CTGCCACCCCCAATGTTCCTCCCAGCCCTACGAGGGACCGACCGACCTCTCGCCGCTTCGTGGAAAGGATCCAAAGTCTGACATGCAGCAACGAACTCCAAAACAGTCTACTGCTACCCGCCTAGGTCTCAAATCGACCAGTTGCGTCTCACAAAGCCCATGCGAGCGGGAGGCTTCAGCTTTGCGTGAGGTGAAGCCTTCTATACACACAGGGCCGTCATCTGCATTCTCGACGTGGCCAAGGGCCGTTACATTCAGTTGTCCAGTGAGCCCGGCATTCTGCGGCCGTGCCGCCCAGCGACAGTGCAAAAGCTCACCTTGCAGCATCAGCTTGGTCACAGCTGTACACGGATAAAGTGGGCAGCAATACTGCTCACAGTCACACAGACTGACCGAATGGATCCCGCGTGCAACCTCTTTGCCGTCTTTTTACGGACCCGATATACCAATCCGAACCTGCCAATGGTCATTCTTGTCTATCCCCAATAGAATGGGACAATCCACGGCAGACTGTATCGTTCTTCTACCCGAGAAATGTAACGGTGAGACCCAGCACGTTGCCCTTTAATGAGATTCATGTGCGCATGGATGATTTGGCTCATCGGGAGGATTCAACGTCTCGTCGCCCACGCCCTGCAGGGAGCGTGACCAAAAGATGCCAAAACCACGCCCCCTCCTTAAATAAACGGTGATCAAGTAGTAGGTCGGAATGTACCGCTTCAAATGGCGCATTTAATCCGTCGCAACGCAGAAGCCCCTCACAATGCACCATCATTTACCATGTGCAGGGACACCACCAGCACACGTCTGGTGGGTGCATCTAGTCCATCATTCTTCACTGCGATTCGCAAACCCTCATTATCTTTTCCAATGTAGAAAGATGGCGCCTCAGCTCAGGGGAGGTTAGCAACAACCCTTCAACGGGCCACCTCGAATCGCTGTGATTCAGTTCCCAGCCAAAGCTGATGAATCGGACTGGGCACACAGAGGCTATAGTCCCTGAATCTTCGCAACAAGAGAGGAGAACATTCCATGCTGCTCGGTCAGCATGCGGATGAGACGATTAACGCTAAAAGCCATTTCGCCCCTCGCGGTCGGACTTGGGTTATTAACCCCGCGGCTGCTGGCTGGCTTAGCCCACCGATGAGACTTGGGGCAGTTTGGTTGCTGGTTTCTTTCAGACCTCGAACATGACTTACATTCTGCCATCCGGGTAATTGGAAATGTGCACGGTTCGTAAGGCCAGACGATTCATGCGCCGTGGCTGATGACGGTCTTGGACTGGCATGTCTCAACTAAGGAGGAGCGACGTCTGAGAGACTAGCGGCCAAGATCCGATCTCGAAGCCCTGCGTCTACAATATGGTACAAGGCACCGTACTCCAGCCATGCAAAATGAAGCCAGGACTGAGTCGACTTGGAGAACGAGACAAGCCAAGACAGCATCAAGAGACGGGGAGGGTGTAATGCGAGTGAGCAACTGTGGTGTGTCTCGACACAAGTCAGCAATGTGTGTGAGTGTCTCGCTCTCTCTCTCTCTCTCGCTCTCACCTCAGCCCGGTCCGACCTAACCAAGTCTTACCCTTTTCTGACCTTGGGTTTGACGACGTGGCTTGAGCGTGCTGCGTGTGATCCTCCCAAATTTGTGGCTGAGGCTCTTGTGGTATCGAGGCGTGGCCGCACAGGGAGGTCGATCCCATGGCCCCACGAGCCAACCACCACACGTCCGGTTACTGGGGAGTGACAGATTCTAGGCTACAGAATTATTCCTGTTTCTAATTTTGAAAAGGATATCAGCTCAACTAACTCTTGACAGGGTGTACGCCTTATTATCTCCTGCTTTTGTTTGTACATTCTTGTTTTTCTCTCACCATGTTTATTGTCTGGCCGACAAGTCGTCCACCGGAGAGCCGCCAGTGCGGGTTCTGAAGGGTGGAACAAAAGGGCTTATTAATGACGGGGTCAGTGAAGGACGGACCCAGGCAATGGTGCCGCAAAATCAGAGATGAGATTGGCGATGCCGGCTTACCGGAGAGAAGGTCTCATAACCACGTGTGTTGCGCTCCGACAAACGCCTGTTCAACGGGCCTAGGGTCCGAACCACCGTTTCTCTTGATCCGAACGGGAGTGGGTGCGGCGTTCGAGACCGGCACCACTTGCAGGGCATCGGTTCCCACTAGGAAGGGGGCGAAGAGGGAGGAAGGAATCACCAGTGGGGATGGCCTGGGACCGCAGCAACTGGCTGGCCTCAACCGTAGCGGAAGCCCGCTCAATTTCGACAAGATTTGCCGTGGATATCGCTCCTCCCCCCATGAGGCGATAATGGGTGGCGGCGACGTCTCCTAAGGAAAACACTATGCAGCCGAAGGGCCCCTCTGAGGCCTCGTCTCAATTTTGTAGACCAGCGAACCTGGTTCAGACCAAATGGCCTTGTACAGGGAACCTAACTGGAAGAGCTCTTGGTGTGTTCCTTCTCAACCACCCATTGAGGAGACTTATCCGGTTTCATTCTCACAAAATGAGCAGTCAAGCGTGTTCTCCGCTCTTTCCGTTTCGTCGTCCGTACTGAGATAGCTACATACGTGGCTGTCTGTCTACCTGCCCGGCCCTGTTTTGGTCTCTCTCTCTTTCTCTCTCTCTCTCTCATCATCGTCATCATCCTTTCCCTGAATCGGCCAAGGGCAAACATTGCCGCCCCTTCTTCGGCATTATATCGAATATAATCACTTGAACTCGCCCAACGAAAAGCCCCTTCGTCGAGAGACTATCTCGGTATAGCCTCCACACCCTAGTGGCCAACTCCAACCCCCGCTGAAAGCTCTCCCCCCCAACGAAGTGAAAAAGGGTGATGGAGTGGCCCTCTTCCGTCACTCCCAATTCGTTCGTTGTCCCCCTCTCCCTGCCCTGTCCTGCCCTGTCTGGTGTCCTATCCCCATTACAGTCGAGCTCTCCCCCCTCCTCCTACATGTACAACAAGGATTTAGATCCTCCCGTTCGACTCCTTCCCCTCGGCTTGGATTTGATTTTTTTCCCTCTTTCTTCTCCCCCCTTCTCATGTACTATTCCCTGCTTCTTGCTCCTTCAGCGGCAGGAAGAAGGGCCAGCAGCAAGACCCAACCAGTCACGGTCTTGGTAGTGGGATCGTGTACCTGTACCTGCAACGGTGGCTGTACACCTGCCTCTGCCTTGTCTTCGCCTTGTTCCCTTCTAGGCTGCCCTCCCTTCCCTGCCCTGCCCTGCCCTGGTGAGTAAAAGAAGAGAAGGCGATGTGCTTCGCTGTAAGTGAACAATAAAGAAAAGGAGATGGAGCAAGGGCAACGTATAACCAGAGAGGGGTTCAGGATACCACGCTATCCCTGTTTTCGGGCTATTACATGTTGGGTATCCCCTTTCTATCAAATGTTTCGTTACTTGGACGTGATGCCTGAACGATTGGTTGTATTCCCGCCTGCATTCTAACTACTTGTCCATCTAGTCGCCCTTTTTTTTCTTCTCACCCCCCACCCTTCTTCTTTTCGTAACTGAGGCCGTCCATCCGCGGGATATCTCGCATAGACATACCCCGTGGTGAGTGGGTGGTGGGTAGGTGGCAGCAAGCAAGCAAGCAAACAAGGCGGACTGTACAGACGGGATCCTCCGTGTACGTAAGTACATATTTCCGTACTGCGTCTTGCCTGGGCGGTGTGTACACGTTACAACCGACGGCCGGGTAGAGGGACGAGCGATAACAGGCAAAAGAAGAAGCGAAAGAGAGGATGGTGGAGCAAGGGCAAAGATGTGCTGGATGAAGAGGTGGCGGGAGGCAAAATAAACCGCCAAAATAAACCGCCATTTCAGGCTCTGCTAAATCAGGCCATTTCTTGTGTGGAAACTTTTTGTATGTATGTATGTGCGTATGTGTGTGTGTGTGTGTTTGCTTTTACTCGCTCGAATCACCGTCGCTAGAATAATGCTCTGGAAAAGCCGGGATATATTTGAATAGTTGGCGTTGGCGTGGGTGGTGAGATGGATAGTTTCAAGATGGGGATGATGATGTGGATGTGTGACGGCATCGTCTGCAACTTGCTACTTTCTCCAAAGATGCGGCGGGCACACGACGCCGTGGACGTAGATGTAGTCGTACCAACCAACTTACACACACACACACACACACACACTTTTCACGCACACCATCCGCAACGTAACGCACATGTGTAGTTCAACAGAAGGAGGAGCTTATTCCTTCCCCGTTTCTTCCTCTTCCGGTTATAGAGAAGAAGAAACGGCTAGATATGCAAGTATTTGTGTTTGTTTCCATGCTTACCGAGATGGGGAAGAAGGAGTCCAGGAGAATCTTTTTTTAAAGAACAAAAACAAAAAACCAAGGGTGGTCGGTCGAGATTTGGAAGAGGCATAATTTGTAATATGCCCTGTCAGCAGTAAAATCTTTAGCCTCTGAAAATGAAGTACCATCTCTCTCTCGGGGGGGGGGGGGGCGGTGTTTCCAAATAAAACTCATGATTGATCTTGCACTTTTGTTGACGAGTAGAAGCAGACATTCGCAGTGAAGCTGTACCAGAAAAAAAAAAGACATCACATCTGGAGCATGGAAAATTCCAAAGGGACCTACGTCAATCTACACGTCTTCATATGACAGATGTTTTGAACTCCGTGGTTCACTGCCTCACTTGGATTAAGTTGAAAACAGACAACAGAACCCACATTGACAGATAAAAAACCTCACGACACAATCATGTACGTTAACAAACTTGTGAACTCTCCTTTTAATGTATTTAACAAGGGGGGATATCAACTAAGAGAAAAGCTGGCTTCAGGGAAAGAAAAAAAAAAAAAGAAAGAAGCATCCAGATCTCCAGAAACATGTCATCAAACGTTCCTGCGGTATTCATCCGTGTGACTGCATATGCCGCTGCCGCCTGATGCAAGCTTGCTGCTGACCCTTAATCCCTAATGCTCCTTCACCTTCTGCGCACTTCCGCTTGCCTACAGCCGTGCCGTTTTTCACAGTCTCCCGTGCCTAGCCTTGAAAATTGCCACCTTGTCGTCGTAAAACAGGATTTCGCGGAGTCGGAGGCGTGGCCTCGAAGGCTCGTAGTCTACATCTCGGAGCGATTCGTCGTCCGAGTCCTGCGCAACAGATGTCTCTGACTGTGTGTCGTCCGCTTCTACCGCACTCGCGGGGGTATCATCATCGTCGTCGTCTTCATCCTCTTCCTCCGAGGTCTCTTCATCCACCTGACTGGCTGTCTCCTCATCGGTTACGACATTGTCATCTTCGTCTTCCTCATCATCGACTCCCGAGTCGTGTGCCAAGACACCAGAATCTATCGCAACGCTCGTGCTCGAAACGCTGCTGTCTTCTGCTGGCTTGCTTTCCAAAATTTCGAAGCACTTTGTAGAAATGCCCACGTAGCAAAGCTGTATCTCAGGACGCAAAGTTATGATGTCAACCATTTGCAACGCCAACTCTCTTGGCTCAAAGGTGCCAATTATGTGATCGGCAACATATTGCAGATTTAGTGATCGTATATGAGGAATGTTTGGTAAGCGTTGAAGGAAGGTATGCTGTGGTTTTGAGTTAGCTTCAGTCTAGATTGGCAAACACGGCTGGGAATTTGTCGTGCCACGACAGTTGGGACATGTCAAAAAATACAAGTGCCTCGTGAGGGACCCAAAGTTGACTTACCCAGTCCTTGTAATGCAGGGAGATGGCGAGTTCCCTCAGGTTCGACATTCGTCCGCTTGTCATGTACAGCAACATGTCTGTCGTGAGCACCCAATTACGCCAACGAGAGCTGTCGCCTGGCGCCTCGTTTTGCTTACGGTCTGAGCTATCTAGAAGCACCTTTTGCAAGCTCGCTCGATGTTTCTTAATGACCCCCTTAAAGACTTGATCAATGGTGACGGGTTGGGGGTTAACTCGTCGACGGTCTTGCAAGAAGAGCACCTCCAAGCTGTTGGGCGCCAATGTGTCTCTCAAGAAGCTGATAAGGGAATTCGACACAGTGTCGGTATGAATACTCTTGAGGCAGAGATGATATTCCATGGCTTGCTTGTTAGAACCGGTTGCGTGAGGTCCAAGTCTTGATGCCGGGGTTGGCGCAAACTGCCGTCGAAGGCCCTTCCAAAGATGCTCACTCTGACTACAATCCAAGATGGCAATGTTTGTCAAAACGGTCCAGTCAAACGCTTGAATGCAGACCTGAATCGAGAGACTGACCCGCTCAAGTTCGAGGGTCCGCAGCCTAAGCTTGCCTTCTAACCTCTTTCGCGAGGAGATGGAAGCCTGTTCAGGGGTCTTGTCGCCAAAAGTTGTATCCTGTTGCTCAGGCTCAGGCTGGGGCTCGGGCTCGCGGGCTTGTTCAGTGTCTGTCACGGCAGTTGTTCCCACGGAAAGGGCCGAAGGCTGGTCCTCCGAGTCAATCTCGGTTGTATCGTCCGCTGGGGCAGTATCTTGACCGGCATCTGTATGAGAGTGCTCAATCACCTCCAACTCAGGCGAAGTGTCCGCGCTGTCGGTATGCGGGGCCGCGTTACTCGTGGTTTGTGTTGCCGGGGCAGAGGACATTGGCGCCTTTTCCCTGGCTCTCGAGCTTGCCTTCCGACGAATATCATACACCCGACCCACGAGCACTCCCAAGACACCGCCCAGTCTCCTTTCCCCTATGGAGCTTTCGCCAGGCCATCTAGCTTCCCGATCGATTTGGTGCAAGTCAGGCCCATCCCAGGGCTGAGCGAAATCCCGGTGTACAGCCTTTGGAGATATGCCAACGCGCAGTTCCTGGAGACTATCTTTCGATCGTTCAATTACCATCGCCATCTCATCCAAGTAGGCCAGTTCGTCAATGTCTAAGACGGTCAAACTTTTGAGGGGGGGCAGAACGCAGAATGTAGGGAACTCAACCCGGGTATCTGCATAGGGTAAGGGGGGTCGCGAAGCGGCGTGAGCAGCACCTGAAGCGATCAAATAGCCGATAGATGTAATGTTGTTGCCGCCTGGCGCTGCCAGATGAGGCGGGGGAGGAGCCGGGCTTGTAGACGTGGAAGATGTAGTGCCCTCATAGTTGTCATGCCACCTGACCCAGACCTTCTCCAGTTTCGATTCGCCGTCCGGACTGTGTTCTGGGATAGATGCCAGTGCCATGAAGATATCAGACAGAACTCCGGTTGGCATATCCCAGACGAATGTCTCCAAGTTGACCATCTTCTCTATGGCAAGCGCCACCAGCGTACCCAGCATTTTGCCACTTTCCTTCGAGATCATGTATTCCGCAACCCAGTCAGTAGGGCCGTTGCCGAGCGAGAATTTTCTCGTGTATTTGGCGTAGTCATTTTTTGGCCTCCGTTTGATAGGGCCGGGGTTCGCCATGTTGTATGAAGGATTGAGCATCTTGCGCGTTCGGTAGGCAAAGGAGCTGCCGAGGCAGATCGTGGAGAGGCCGTAAGTAAGCGCGTCTACGCTTTTAGAATCGGCTGTATTCATTTGGGTCGCATCGGGCCAAACAATATCGAATCGAGAGTAGATGTGAGGGATTGCAAGGTTATGGAGGTTAGAATTCGTCAGTGCTAGAGAGGTAAGATCATTCGTATGGGTGATCTAGAAGAACAACGGTCAATAACCAGTTACAAGGCAGGAGCGGTATGCCGGACTTGCCTCCTTAATTATCAACCGCAAGATGTCTACCGGTAGCTCAAGCAAGGTGAGCTTCTTGCCTGGCAACCGGGTGGATGCGACAGCATCCCATTCCTTGTCCTTGCCCTTCATAAGCTTGCGCATGACGGCGGATGGATCCTCTCCAGCATCAGTGCTGTCGTCATCGACTGAAGTGGCATGATATTCGTGTATTTCGTCGTTGACGGGGTCTGCATGTTGATTCGGATGAGATTGAGCGAATTGATGGGTGGTAGGGTCCGTTGTTTGTAGGGCTGGAGCCATGGTTGCGAACGGGCTCAACGCATGCTTCTTGATGAATAGCAATATCCGGGCAATCGGAATGACCCCCGTCAAGGTATTTGAGGATATCTTCCTTCTCGATCGGCAGGAAATAAAGTAGATATGCGCAGCAGGCAAGACGTAAAGTGTGCCGGTGACGACACCGGAGAGACCGGGAAAATATGTGATCTTGATTTGAACTTGGTACTGAGTTCAAAGAACGCGCGGTAGGACGAGTTTGGAGATGGGAGGGGAGTGAATGCGCTTTGTTGGGTAAATCAAAGCAGACCAAGCGACAGCGCAAACCGAACAAGACCAATCATGTTATGTTAAGATCATGAGCAGGTATGAAGGTTGTGGTGATGCTGCGGCTCTTCGGTGGAATGGAAGTGCGGTGGTGGTGCGTTGGTCGGTGGTGGTCGTCGTTGGTCACCCGTTCCCAGCCTTGCTCCGCGCTAAGGTGATGACGGTCTGTTCTATCGCAATTTCCCCAGATGCTATATGTACGTACCTTCCTTCGTTAATCGAGTCTCAAGAAAATAGGGAAAAGGACTGAGGGATGCCAGGGGGGATGGAGAAAAGAAAAGACAAAAAAAAAAAAACCTCCAACTTCAGGTGAGGTACTAGTCAAATGGTGAGGCAAAGCAAGGCAAGTGCTGCTTCCCCAGGCCAGGTAGGTTCGCTGGTGGCCAGGGACTGGAACTGTGGGAGGTCAGTCACCGTAGACCCACATTTTCACAGGACCCGCAGTTCCAGATTCCGCTTGGGGTCAATAGGTACCCCGGAATTTGATTCAACCAGTGGTGTTTGACGCTGCGAGGAGACGCCTGATGAAGTACCGCATTGGAATTAGGAGCTCCAGCTCCGTTTGAGGTGGCCCAGGACAGGGCAGTTGGCAGACCCGTCCCGCCGTCGCTTCACACCTACAGAGACAGGCCTGCCACGCGTGCTGAGAATGAGGTAAATTAAACGCACCTACAGCTCCAAAAATGCCGATGAATGTGGAGGGAACACAGATGCATGGACTAAAAGGCGGTACCCAGACCTGGCATCTCGGCCCGTTCTGTGGAGGGATGGTGTGCTACCTGATTCATTCGCCTTTACGCATTCTTTCGCCGCTGCCCTATCCCAAAACCCTGGCTTCATCTTCCTCAGATGCTTATCTGGATCGTGGATGCAAGATTAGCAAAACAAAGTCGCGACTTATTCCAGCTATCTTGGTCCCCGGAAAATTTTTCAGCGTAACACAGCTCAGCCCTTTCTAGGTCCAGTTCACACGTAGGGTCGGCCATGATATCGCATTGCCCTGGCACTCAATTGTAAAGCCCAACCGTTGAACATATCCGGCTTTGGTTCCGACATTGAGAATTGAAAATTAAGCTTCATGCACGATCTGCGTGCAAGCGATCTTCAGTTGACACCCCAGGGCCATCATCTGTCTGAGCTCCTGGAGCTCTCCGCGGCGTTGTTGCAGAGCCAACCCGGCAGTTACTAGTACACCCAGAACCAGTCAGGCCGCCTGAATCGGCTCTTAGGCTCTTCACCCTGTCATCCCTTTCTGGAAGTGAAACTGCTTACTCACAAAGGTTGTCGCTCATACCTCTGGACTGTGCGTCTGGGGTTGTGTTAGGAGAGCTTTGACAGAAATCCTGGAAGAGAGGGACGTTGGTAAAAGATAAAGAAACCAAACGAAAATAAAAATAAAAGGCGAAAATAAAGTAAACGGCAGCCCGACGTTGTTACAACTGTTTCCGGCTTACACGGCCATATCGGGTCAGCAGGTCTGTCGCCTCGGATCGGCTTAATTAAGGCATTGTGTACAAGAGGTCACGACCCCACGAAAATGGCCACAACGGTGACGTTTCCCGCAATGGAGGGGTCATTTTGGTGCGGGTTGCCTTGCAACTTACTTGCTGGCTCACGGCGCGTATTACGTTGTTGGGGGCGCGTGCCTTATCTGGCAGTTTCTTCTTCTCGGCTTGCCATTTGGTGGACGGGATTTCACTGTCTGCCTAACATGCACCCGTATGACACCAGAAAGAACCGCATTGAATTGACGCATATTGTCCCCCCCTTCACTTTCCCACGTCAACGTAAACCATCGCGAGGCCACGGTCACCTCTACAAGATGCCACCTGTTTACTCGCTAAACTTTGACCCAAGGCAACAACTGACCATTTACCTTCAGTCCACGTTGCAGATGATTAGTCTGTTGTAATTCCATGCTAGTTCAGCCAAAAAATAAACCGTGTCTTGTCCCTTCGTGGTTGTTGTTACTCTGTCTCGAAGGGATACAGATACATACTTATTATTGCTCTTCCCCGCCCACCGCCGTGGCCCGCCTTAGCCAAAGGTAGGTACCGTACCTTTGACGACCACCGGACCCCTCTCCTGCACACCCACACTAACCACCACGCAACGCTACGCTTTCCCCAGCTGTGAGCGAACTCGCCCAGAAAGCCACTATTTATGCGCTCTTACCGCCTTGACTTTACCGTCTGACTGCGAAAAACATCAACATCACATCATCTCGTCAGACGAAAAGCTTCTGTGCCTCGAATACCAAAAGTTCCGGGCACCCCGGATCATTACGTGCACCGTCAGTAGAACTCAACGGCAACGGAGTCCACCCCTCCGAAAGAGACACCTCCATCTATCACCCTTTAAAAGTATTCACCTGTAATACTTACGAATCGAGCGGTCAAGCAACCATACCGACGAGAATACGCACGACCAACAGCGAAGCCGAATTAAAAAAGAGAGAGACCGTGACACGACAAGACATCATGGCGGACTTCATCGTGAAACTCTGGGAATCCATCTTCACCCCAGGCCCGACACCCACCCTCCTCATCGCGACCAACGTGACCTTCGCTGCTCTCCAGTCTCTACTTTTCGTCCTCCTCCTTGCGACCTATAGCATACACTTTGCCATTCTTTCCATCCTCTCGGGCGGCCTATGGTATAGCATAAACTGGTTCGCCCGCGAGCTATCGGTTCACGCCGAGCAGGAGGAGAAGAAAGCCCGCCTCGCGGCGGCGTCTGGGGAGACCAACGCGGCCACCGGCGCCGTACACACAGATGATAGCGACACCGAGGTCGAGGGGCCGGTTGGCCAAAAGAAGAAGAAGGGATCCAAGCCGGTCGCTGGTAGCAGCCAGGTCGAGACGGAGGAACAGAGACAGGCGGCCGAGTTGAAGCGTCGGGTCGCTGCGGCTGCGGAATCTGGTGCCGAGAGTAGCAACGTGGAGGGGACGCATTCGAGCGTGAGCACCGAGGACGAGTGGGAGAAGGTTTCAGAGGCCGAGAATGAGAAGGATAAATAAGGGCTCGCACGGGTGGGAAAAAAAAGTGGAAGACTTCATTGCGACGCGCCTAATCCCGTCAAAGCGATGCGATGCGACGGAGGCAGTAGGAGGGGGAGGGCACGCATCGGCGCGAAGAGATATTCGAGATACCCATGGGCAGCGTCGACATGATGACCAACTTTTGGCAGCGCGTGGAGGAGAGCGAAGTGGAACAGACTTGCTGTACATATGACGCGGGCAGTATACTCCGCAAAAGAGTAGTAGCTCAGTACAAATATTGTTGGTGATCAGAAACCCATCATCATCATCATCATCGCAGCTGGTGGTTACTTTTTTTTTTTTTTTTTTTTTTTAGAGGGGGGTTTTCCCCGTCAAAGAAAGTTATTTGCATTGAAGATGCGCTCCTGCGTCCAGCAGGAGTCGATTGAGACCTCTTGTGTAACCTGCGAAATCGCGATACATAAACCCCAAACCTCCTATATCAACCACACTTTACAAAGTTATTTTTTTGCCCTTTCTTTCTTTTTTTATACAACATGAATATATGTCAGAGACCCGCCCTCCGATCCTCTTCCGGAACGCCATGTTCATGCCCACGCTAATTTTACAACGACAGCGCCCCTCCTGGTCTTCCTCCTCCTGCTCTCGTGGTATGTCCAGTCACAGGCAGCATTACAAGTTTTAAAGATATTTCAACTTGCGTGTTGCAAAGGCGGCAACCACGGCACATATGGCTCCGATAAAGAGGCATACAGCAATGGCGTTGGGGCCGTCCGTGTTGTGGTGCTCGCTCTCGGGCGCGTCCGACAATTCGGGGCTCTTGCCGGGCTCTAGAATGGAAAAGACAATGGTGCTGATGAAGGTGCCGATGAATTGCGGCAGGGTCGTATAAATGTTTAGAATACCAAAGTAAATGCCCGACAACTCGCCAGTGGACGATGAATGAGAGTTGTCTTCTGGGCCGTGTTCGAGGTGTAAGGGTTGGTCCTGGCCGAGGGTGGGGAGCTCAATGTTCGAGGCGTCCGAAAGCCGGCGGTACGCTGCGCCGCCTCCTTCGCGAGCACCGCTGAGCTTGTTGACCTCGACACCTAGGAAGGCTGACGGGGCCCACATGGCGATCGTCCAGGAGAAACCGCAGAAGGCGACGAGGAACGTCGCAAAGCGGAAGCTGGTGGCGAAGGGCGCCATGAACATGGCTGCAGCGAACATGAGGTGACCACAGATCCAAGCCGTCATGAGATCGGGCTTCTTTTTGGAGAACTTCTCCAGGAACGGCGCGATGCTCTGTGGTGGCCGGGCGGTGAAGCCCTCGTCATCTGGCGACTTAACGATAAACGGAAGCAACCATGCGCCCAGGAATGTGATGGTGGAGTAAATGACCAGAGCCATGCTGCCGATTCTACCGATGTCTCCCAACGCGTCCTTGGAGTCGTTGCCATCTGCGGGGGCGTCGTAGCGGAAGTAGGTCTCGCCGACCCATGTGGTGCTGTAGAACAGGAACGGAAACCAACCGATCCAGGACCAGAACTGAACCCAGCATATGGCCTGAATTCTCGGCGGCAGGTGTAGCAGTGTCGACCAGATCTGGCGGAATACCTTGAACCTCCCGGTCGCCTGTCGCGGGTCTTGTCTTGTGGAGACCAGCACCCGTTCCGTCACAGCCCAGCATGTAACTGCCGAGGAGAAGATCATCAAGAAGGTAGCTATCACCGTGAGTATCTGGAACTGCGAATCACCCAGCCATGACCCAAAGATGCCGACCAGATCCACAGCTCCAGATATGTAGCCCAACATGTGTCCGACCGCAGACATTCTGCTAGCTAAGGAGGCAAGTGTTAGTGATGCACACTGAATCTGCAACGCAACGAACACACTTACACCAAGCGGCGCCCGTTTGCTGCTTTTCAATTGGCAGGGTGTCTACAATCAAGCTTCTTGCGCAAGACATGACTATGACAAGACAGTTAGCGGGTACATTCGTACGTCTCAGATGCAAGCTCTGCCTACCGGCGTTGATGGCAAAGTCCACCACATAAATAGCCATCACGGCGAGAATAATGGTGAAAATGCGAGCAGTCTCCTTATCTGATATGAATAGTCCTACGATCTCCTTCGTGAAGCCTAGTGTAAGCAGGGCAAAAGCCACAATGACCGATCCCATCACTATGAAGGGCCGCCGTCTGCCCCATTTCGACTTGGACTCATCCGCAATGGCTCCGACGATGGGTTGGACAATCAGGCCAGACAGCGGTCCTGCGACCCACACCAGCGATGTGTTGCTCTTCGTCAGGCCAAGATTTAGGAGGTATGGTGTGCAATCTATGGCATCAAGTCAGCTTAAAAAGGCACATGCGTAACTGGCGACACGGTGACGTACATGTCATCTCAATTCCCCATGTAAAGCTGCAGGCAAGCCCGTGTTAGAACAGAAATGTCACAATGTTGAGTAGCATGGTGTAGCGTACGTGATACCAAGGGTGTTAAAGGTCAAGAGGATCATGCGCATGGCTTCGGAGCTCCCCCTGATGGAGGGCTGCCCCGACCAGCTCGACATCTCGGCGGGATCCTGCTCTAGGACGAGGGCGTCGTCTTCGGCGTTGTCGCTGTTATAGCCGTCGTCTGATTCGTCTCTTCGATCGGCAATATCCTGGGAACCGGGCGTCCTTATCGGTTCCCCTCGATGCGCTTGGGGTGGTTTCTGTAGTTTGGAGACGTCATCAAGCTCGGCGACGTGTCTTGCACTGTCGCTGCTGGAGGAGGATCGCGAAGGTGTCCTTATTGGTGTAGATTTACCGCCGGAGCCGTCGAGTGACTGTGGATGGCGAGAAGAATCATGCGACGACGTCGTTGAGGTCGACGTCTGGTCCATTTGAAGGCCCGGGGGAGGATGGGGAAAGGCCAGGTGGGCCAGAATATTAAAGTAGATCCGGGGGGGCGTCGCGGCCTCTGCGGATGTCAGAACCGGGCGGCGCGCGCGTCATGCCCACAATTCGCAGTGTCTAGCCAGGGATGTTTGGCGGTTTGGGGGGAATATGCGACAGAAGCAAAGGTAAGGGAGGGGGTGGGAAAGAAAGCTGCGAAAGCTATGGTGGACCGGGCGATGCGAAAAAATTATGGAGCGGGATGCGTGCTGCAGCGTATTGTAAGAGGGAGATTCGACCAGGTGTCGTGGGAGTATGCAGCAGGGAGGAACACGAGACGAGGATTACCATCTGCTTGAGGCGGCCGTTGGTTGTTGCCCAGCTTGAACTTTGACCGGCTGAGCTGAGGGCAGTTGGGGTAAATGTACTGCTCAGAGTACTGACTGGATGAGAGGATGGAGAGCGTCTCGGGAATGCGCGGGATATGTGATACACGAGTAGACAAGACTGACAAGCATGACGGTTTGTCGGGGGAAGCTTCAGCTTCTGGAAAGACTGCGTGGCTCATTGGAGATACTGTGACATTCATAAAAAAACTTAATGAGGGGGGCCACAATGCTGAGGAGAGGGGACTAATTTGTCTCGTCTAAGTCATTTCGTGTAAGGTATCTCCCTACCTTACTTCGCCATACCTCATCTCCCTACCGCTGAACTCTGACCACTGTGGGTGGTACGTGTTTCCCCTGGACAGCTCCAGTACGTGCAAACCACTGGTTGAATATCAATCAAGGTGGAAACATGGCTGAAGCTCTGGCCATCACGGCGAAAGGAAGGACTCCGAATATCCTGAGTAGTTCAGCAGCCCTGGTCTGTTGTCGGGATACCCAATCAGCGAGATCCAGTTCCTGGTTTCGTTTGGCACGCTAGTAATGCATCTACCTAATTAAGCTGGGAACCAGAGCCATTCTGTCGGCATGGTCAGTACTGACTTTAGTCACAAATATCGGTGTTGTAGTAACGCCAACAGCTTCCAAGGGGACTCGTTCTCATTCTCATGTCTTAGAGTTAATTGACTGAAGCTGAGTCTGCCGCTGGAGAAGGACACGTCTCTCGGTTGTGCTGATGGTATCGGGGGTTTTCCTCATAAGATGGCGGCCCAAGTGCACGACCTAGCCAGGTGATAATTATATGCCCTCTATCTCTTGACTCTGGAAAGGAATGTTTTTGAAACATGTCGCTGCAACACGTGAAACTAAAAGCCATGTTGGAGTATTCATTCCCAACGAGCTTCGAGCCAGCCCAAATGAGTCCATGGTGTGTTGATTCCGGCCTCTTTAGCATCACATCGTTCTTGGACGTTCAACTTAATTAATGTCAAAGAAAGTCAGATAGATAGTAGTCGTCTCGGCTGATTTAGTGGTAATCAGGATGGGAAACGACGTAGTGGTCTGTCCGTATTCCTGGAAATGTGCAGTCTTCGCTCTGGATTGGCTTGCTAATTTTGTTAGTTGGTCAAGGGCAAAGTTGACTTCGTCCAACAACAGTTCCTGCGGCTAATCTAATCGCAATCAGCCGAGTACCTACCTAGTACTTATCTCACTCGATGATGGCATTCTCAATTGCTACCATCTATTTCCATGATCCACTGCTGCGGACCCCCATCTACGAATAGGGCAATGCCGCGCAGGACGTGCGTCAGACCTGTTCAAAGTGGCCGCTGCCCCTCCGGCATCTGCCGCCGTCGCAGCCCAGGACTGCCCCGCGTTCAACGGCGTGCCCCGCCATCCAGTCGCACCTCTTGCGATTTTTTTTCGCGGCCAGTCGAGCTCCGACATAGGCCAACGTGGGTGTGGTGCGTGGTGACGACTAGTGCTACTGGCACACTAACTACACTAACGTCCTAGCCCACACAAAATTTCCGTCGTCTGGCTCGCTGCCGTCTTTGACTCACCGCAGAACCACCCCGCCGGACAGCTTCCGCGACGAACGAGAACGAGGATACAAAGTCGCGCATCACCAACGAGACAGGCTTTCTTCCTCCTCCCTTTTTTTAAACCTCCAAAGCCTCCAGGCCTGGCCAATTGACTCGGGATCTCGCTTGCTCCCCCCCCTCTTAGCTCGCTTGCCAACACCACCACCACCCGCCAGCCGATTATCCTCCGTTGCACGACGGACTCACTGCTGGCCCTTCTCGCTCCTGCAGAAATCTCGCCACACCCATTGGCTTCACCTCGACGCCGTGCTCCATTCTTGCGCGCCCGACATTCCCACCCAATTTGCGAGTCCATCACGACATCGAGGGCGTTTCTCCTCTACTCGTTTATTCGTCCGCGACGCCACAGAGCATACACATACCTAGCCTACCATGGATTTGGTGAACCAGTTGGTTTTACCCTTCCACCAGCCAAACAATCATGGCCCAGTTGAAAGAGAAGCTAATTGCAAAGGAAAGCCTAGAGGGTCGGCTGTTGTTCGCCGTGCCCAAGAGTGAGTCAACCCCTACGTACCAGACAGATCCAGAGACCGTGAAAGCATAGTCTGACAATGACTCCTTGCAGAGGGCCGCCTTAACGCCGCTACGCTGAACCTGCTCGAGGGTGCTGATATTCAGTTCCGTCGTGAGAGCCGTCTTGACATCGCGCTTGTCAAGAACCTCCCTATCGCCCTCATCTTCCTTCCCGCTGCCGATATTCCTACCTTCGTCGGCGAGGGCCGCGTCGACCTTGGAATCACAGGTTGGGACCAGGTTCGAGAGCACGATGCCGGCATCATTGCCTACAACAAGTCCCGCAGGGCCTCAGTCGATATCAGCGCCGATGGCAGCGACCTCAAGCCTACCGGAGGCTGCGAGATGGTCATGGACCTCGGCTTCGGCGCCTGCAAGTTGCAGGTCCAGGTCCCTGAAAAGGGCGCCTACGCCACCACACAGGACCTGATTGGCAAGACCATTGGCACCAGCTTCGTCAACTTGGCGGAGGAGCACTTCGCGAAGCTCGAGCTGGGTGTTGATGCTGAAGGAAACAGCAACACCTCGCCGAGAAAGCTGCGCACCAAGATTATTGAGCTCAGTGGAAGTGTCGAGGCTGCATGCGCTCTGGGAGTTGCCGACGGTATTGTCGACCTTGTTGGTAAGTAGCGCCAAGACACTCACTGTTACGAGAGATAGATGACTAACTTATATGCAGAGTCTGGTGAGACCATGAGAGCCGCTGGCCTCAAGGCCATCGATACCGTCGTCGACTCGCAGTCGGTCCTCATCAAGTCTCGCTCGCCGTCAAACGTTGAGCTCGTCGAGCTCATCGCTGCTCGTATCCGCGGTGTCATCACCGCTCAGAAGTTCGTCCTGTGCCAGTACAACATCGAGAGGTCACGCCTCGCCGAGGCCAAGCAGATCACCCCCGGTAAGCGGGCGCCGACCATCACGACGTTGGACGAGGAGGGCTGGGTTGCTGTCAGCTCGATGGTTGAGAAGAAGAAGATTGCTTTGGTGATGGATGATTTGACCCGCGTTGGCGCCCAGGACATTTTGGTGCTTGATATCCACAACACTAGATAGACTTTTGCATAGGTGGAAAATAGACGACGACCACGAGATATGTAATACACGTGTGAGAGTACCGGACAACTCTGTTTGTTGGACCGCACCCTTTGAAAATTACGAGCCAATTGTCAAAACGTGGAAATGGAACTGTGTGGTGGAAACGCCTGTTGATCTCAGCCCATATATGCCGCAGTTGTGGCTGCGAAACTGTTGGCCGCATCGAGTGTCGACAATGCTTGCGTCTCTAGCGTCGCGTTCCCGAGGCTTCACACCAGCTCGGCAGCATCAGCCCTGTCGATGTGTAAGACCAACGCACTGGCCGTTCCTGATCAACAATGGTGCATGGTGTGAGTCTGCACAAATCGGCCGTCCATCGAAACTTTAGGTTGGGAGTGTCGGATACCATTCACCAAAGTGTCTGGACCGCGTTGAGACTGATGTCAATTGGACTTCTCCTGCTGATCTCGACAGGCGCCAAGTGGGGCCCACTCCGTCACTCCCGTATTCCGTACGCAGTGTACCCGTGAAACAGGGCGAACAGAAGGAATGGCCATACGGCGGAGCGAAGTGGTGGTTGAAAGGCATGTGCGAGACAATAGGCGTCCCGACAATGGCTGGTGTCCCGTAGCCCCCGAAGCGGCCGGTGTGTGTGTATATTTGTATGTGGGCTGACGACGGAAATATTTAACTGTATTTCCCCTCTGCACGACGAACATCTTCACAGGCATCTTCCTTTTTCTGACATCCCATGTAAACCAAAATTCAAGTACTCGATTTATCGCCGTCTATCGGAGACTGCTTTGCTCTGCAACTGATTTGCCCAGGAATGCCGGAACACGAGCCTGCGACAACCACGCTGGGTTCTAACAACAACAAAAGTATGTCGTCATCAGCAACATCCGCCAAAATCACGACCTCGCGGGGAGGTAGTGAGGCTGGTACTATCCAGCAGTCAACCATTTACAAGGTCAGTTTTCATATCTAGATTCATCGGACTGTGTGTCCTTGGGCACTTGGCGTCATTTTGTTCTAGTTACAGTCGAGGCTCACATACTTGCAGGGTGTTATGACCCCCATCATCTTCGTCTCCTTTCTGCTCTCACTCGCCTGGGTTGATATCAAATATACTCTCAAGAGATCGAGAAACCACGGCCATGACCATGGTGGTGGTTGGATGCCTGCTTGGCTGCATAGCATTGTGTATCGCCGCTCCCCGTACTACTACGAACAAGCACAGAAACACTCCTCGCCAAGCCCTAGCGATGAGCAGGGTGAGTGGTACTACCACAGTAAGCAGAAGAAGTTGATGCACATGGAAGTCGACGATGCGTTCGAGGTCAGAGGGCGCGTCCTGGTGGTCTTGGGAATCATGTCTCTCGCAATGGTCTGGGGCTTTTGGATATTGTCGAGCTGGATGTTGAAGAATATCTGGTGGCGGAGTCTATGACTAGCTAAAACTATGTGAGTGAGGAAAAGTTTTTTGATATTGAAAAGGCACATGCACACATGGGCATAGCTTCCGTCGGCTCAATGATGCTCATGTCTCCCATGGTCGTCTCCCAGGATGATGGCGAAGACTTTGGACGAACGATATTCAGCACGGTCCACCGATTAGGGTCATCACCTAAGCTTTCGGCCCACCTGGCAAGCGGATTATCAATGGCAATGGTCTTGGTGGCGGAAACCGAAATCGATAAACGAGCGTGATGGATATGATGACGTCGGTGTTTAGTAAATAGTGTCAGTTCAAGATAGATACACTCCGCCATTGAGCTTTGGGCTCGAACCAGCCTGAAACTAAGACGAAGACCAACCTAATAAGATGTAAGAAAGACAAAAAGACAGAAGAATAGGAACCTGTCCAGGCAGGATGAAAATGAGGAGTAATGTGATTGCCTGTACATAGCTTCTTTGTATCGGCGGGCCTGTAGGAAGGCCAGGTAGAAATTTTCTCACTGTCCACGATTGTTACTTGATGGGCTAAATTTCACCGTTTCTTCTCTATTTAATCAGCCTCATTTCCTATGACCAAAAGTGAAGATCCTACTAAATCTCAGCGCACACATTCATTTGTAGGTCGCCTCTGGGCACAAGTACTCCGTACCACTTCTAGAATCCTTCCGGTCACACTAATCGATTCAAGTGCCGTAGTAGCGGGACAGACCGAAACTCCAGTGTCGGATCCCAGTACCCGGCAAGTTTTAGGCACCGTAGCTCCCGCTCCTCGCTATTGGTGCTCCCCCACCCACGTCACATAGGGCCGTTTAACGTTCTGAATGGTTCTTTCTTTTTCGGCTTTCAACACGCGAATTTGGCGCACACACTCACTCACCACCCGCGTCACTTTTTTGGGATCATCTCACGCCAATGGATTGCACTTACACGACCGTTAGATGAAATAAAACATGTCGGGCCTGGAGCCGGAACCAGAACGCAGCAATGGGCCCGGCACTTCATCCGGGCCCTCGGCGCTGGACGACGCGCTGCGATCTGAACTTTACGCGGCCATTGAAGCTGTTTACGCGTCTCCTCCCCGCTTTGGACCGCAACCCGATCTCAAACCCCGTCCTGCCACGACAACCCGCGATCCCGCTCATGCGCCATACCATTCTGTACCGCGGATGTCTAATGGGAGTGCCTGTGGCCGACTTGCTAGACACATGGAAACGTGGAAGTCGAGGCTCAATGCTTACGATCCGCGTCATCAGCGGGCCTTTTACCACCTCCACCCGCCGGAAAACAGTGATGACTTGGAAAGCCTCGTTATGGGCCAAAGCATGTCCGCCGCTGATTCTGAGCTTGTCCAACATCTCCGTTTTTCGTGCCCAAAATCCGGCTTCGAAGTCTTTCTTGTCGTCTTGGAATATACTGGCATTACCTACCAGTTCAATGCTTGGGTACCTCGCCAGCAAGCGAGGGGTCAGTCCATTCAAGGGCAGCTTGGTGAAGACGGCTACTGGAAGACGTATCAACACGTGCAGCACTCCCCCCATATCCACCAGGTCAGAAACTTATCAGGGGCGATAATGGCCGAGGAGATCGACTGCAGAGAGGACGACGTGCTGGATAAAAGGAATGTTGCTTGGGAGCGCGCTCGGCGTGGTATTTTCTCCTGGCAGGGACGGTCTGAACAGCGAGCTTTTGAAGAAGAATGGCAAGCTCGCAGGAACAACCCTAACTGGCGTGAGATGATTGTACCTGGAACGCGCGTTGATCTCGGCAAGTATTATGCACCAGTATGTCCACTTCTGCCTGAGGGTGATATATCCCTGTGCCGTGTGCCCCAAACTCATCATCATACAGGCCATCATGATAGTGCCCCTGGAAACTCAGTTGCATTTTATAAATCTCGCGGGAAAGCCGCCGCCCGTCATCAACGTCTGGCGGTACCTTTTGCAGCAATGCGAGAGATCTTTCGACGTGCTAACCATGTTTGATAAATATGTGCCGCCAGGAACACAATACTTAAAACCCGACAAGCAGGAAACCTATACCAAAGCTTTAAAAGCCCTCTGCAACTACGCCTTCCCGGGAGGAGACGATGCTGTAGCTGAGACCAACATTCTCAGCATGTGGATACAGAATCGGAAGGCATGGGCGGAAGCCATCGATTCTGAATTGTTGGGCGACTTGATGATGACGTCCTTGATATTCGATGACGATGAGTTTTTTGAACACCTTGCCACATGTGTCCCTTTTCACCCGGTCATCAATTACATATGGTTAAGTCGAAAAAGGGGCACATACGTTTACCCCGTGGGGCTTGCACACAAAGCATATCTACATCTATCACAACGAGTGAACAAGTCCGGTACGGGGGATAGACTGTGCCGCTTGGCCTTTCAGGACGTCAACTTCTTGCAAATTGCGAATGACATCAGTACGATACCCATGTTGCGCGATGACGGCGAAGCAATCGACATCTCCCGAGAACTTGTTCAGGCGGCCGTGACCGCTCGGTTGGAAACACCTCTTTCGGCAAACCATGGCCGTGCCATAGTGGAGCTCTTGAGGCTATGCGGAAACTTTCAAAGCTGGAGTGAAATGTGAGTATACCGGCTTCATGATGAGTGTTATCTGACAGTGTCCAGAGTGGATTCAGCCATCGATCAGCCCCGGGAGTTATGGAGGCACACTCAGTTTATCCTCGGCCTACTAAACAGGCTTTTGGAAGTAACGGTGCGGGAGAACCTACCACTTGACCAAGTAATAGCATTCTACCGAAAATTTGAAAAGCTCGTCATCACAACCGATTCGACAGGTCAAGTTGGCAGCCTTGTCAGTAATGCGTTGAAAGACCAGAGTTCCGAGGCACAAATCGCAAGACAGGCCTGGTGCGAACCTGAGCCGACGATCGACTACCTCGAAAACAAGGATGTACCGCCGCCGACCAGTTTTGCCGTGCTCGCCGGTCTCTTTAGAAGTCTTGATCAACTAGGTCTTCGCGAGGAAACCGCTAATCTTGTGGAGCACATAATTGCACGCCAAGATGAAATCAAGCCCATCCACATGGCAACGTTATGGCTACCGTGTCTCAGGGCCCTTCAGGATCTCGTAGACCCCGAGACTTCGGCATATCAGAAGCTCTTCCAGGCTATTTTCGAGCGATATGAGAATACGGTGTTTGAAGATGTTTCGGGCTCTTTTGAAGATGCTCCAGAGCACATTCCGCCCATGGCACCATGCTGCGACGACTGCAAATATCTCGACGCCTTTCTCGAGCAACCTAACTGGAAGAGGTTTCACGTGGTGAAACCAAGAACAGTGATTGACCATATCCAGGATCAGCTTCGCAGCCAAAAGAAGGCTGTTGAGGTGAACATTTTTGGCAAGAACGAGCAGGCATTGACCATGCAGCTTAACAAGGTCTCAATGGTAAACAAACAACTTCAAAAGGCACAGGAGTTGCGGAAGCAGGAGGCTACAAGAATTGCCCAACAGTTCGACCCTGAGGGGCTACTGCCTTTCCTCGGCGACAAGGGGGACATCTTGTGGAGGCTCGGGAATGCAGAGTCGCAAGAGAATGCTCCAGGGAAGACCCCATCAAAACCATCTAACACATCTGCTGGCTCTGCGGTGACACCCAAGAAGGATCCCAGCGATTCCACCGTCAAAAAAGAAGCGGCGTCAAGCATCGACTATTCTACAAACAGAGTCACACCGAAGACCGAGTCTCCAAGCAAACGGCATGCGGTTAAAACTGAAGCCACGATTTTGACTTCTTCCGAGCGCCCCGTTGATGGAAACCATACTCACGATATGCCCGGGTCAGTCAAGAAGGAGGCGATACCGAGCAGCAGCCAAGCACAGCCCAGAGCTACTGGGGTGTCTACGAGAGATCGACTCAAAAGCCTTCAACCACCCAGACGGAACTCTACACCCAAGTTCAACGACTATTCAAGCGTGCCAAAGGACAGGACTGACCGAACTCATGGCAACTTCCTGAGTTCGGCGGGAGGACCTGAGAGCAGCAGCTCGAAGACGTTGGAGCCTGCCACCAGACGGGACCCGCTCGCGTCTTTCGGGGGTATCCGAAGCAGAGGACCTGTGCGCACGGGTACACAGACCGCTGGCTCAGCAAAAGGACATACGGCGCCAACTATGAAGGGATTCGGACTTTCGGGCAGAACCAACGCCACCCCGGGGCCGTCAACGACTTCAACGCAGCTGGGTTTCACGCCTGGAGTATCGAGCACTCGGCCTCATCCTACGAGCAATTACAACACTTCGTCGACCAGCACCGAGTCGCCGCGTACCACGGGGCAAGGTGGCTTATCCATTTTCGATGCGGAACGAGCGAAGGGCGCACGATCGTCAGGTTCAGCTCCTGGGTCACAGGGGGCGTCCGGAAATGCGGCGCCAGAGACATGGCCATCGGCGAGAGACAAGGAGAACACGCACCACATCGGGCTGAGCAAGCCCGTTTCCGGGCGGTTGAGCATGACTCCGAGCTCGGAAGTCCTGGCGGCGCGGTCACCTAACGTGAGGCCGGTCAACAGGTCTTCGGCATTGACGGCAGGGAGCAAGAGGAAGGCGGAAGACGATGCGATCATTGATCTTTGCGGCAGTAGCCCCGAGTTGGGGCCGAGCAAGCGGGTAAGGAGGACCGCTGTATTTGATGCACCCGACGACGACGACCCTTTTGCAGATTAAGAAGACATGGACGTGGGAAGGCATTTAGCGCACTTGGAGAGCGCTTTGTGGATAGAGTTCCTATTTTTATTTTTATTTTTTTGCACATGTTGTTTTTTATTTTTGGTTCTACGGCTACAGGGCATCAGGGGCGTTTTAGAGGGTAGTTCCCATCAGCAATCTTGGTTTAGGAGCTAGGCAGGATCGATACCCCAAGAGAGAGAGACAGAGCATTTGCGTCATAAAGGTGGTCATTGAATACGCTTCATCATTGCTATGCTAGATTTAAAATAACCTTCCAGTTTTGTTTGCCCATGCTTCGTCGCAGAATCAAAGCAAGTCCTGGCCGCCGCTTACATCACGTACAAGATATCGGTGTCTTATAGATGTTAGTGGGATGGGAACAATAGGCCAGACCATAGTGCGTTCGTGTGTGTGTTTGCTTACCAATGGGGTGACTGCTAGAAAGCTGGGGCAGCTGGGTGTACTTCTCCTCGAGCACGTCACGGATGCTGTTGAGGAGCTGCACGTAGCTCTGCTGAGGGTTGGCCTTGAGGGCTGAGATGAAGGCGTACGACATGGCGCCGGTGGCCTGGTTCGCGATGGTAGCGTCGGCACTGCTCTGGCGTTAGTCGATGCGTCTTTACCGCAACTACGAAAGGATGTACTACTTACGATGTCTGACTGTCCTTGCTGCCGGACCACATGATGACGTCGGCAGGCGAGGTACGGGTCTCCTTGGTGTGCTCGTAAGCGTCGTCACCCGCAATGGCACGCTTGCCAAAGCTGAAGATGGAGCTGGCGACACCACCAAGATCACCAGAGGCGTAGGCCGTAAAGGCATTGAGAAGACCCTGGCCAGCCTCCTTGGCCAGGTTAGGCTCCTTGAGAACGCCCTTGGTTGAGTAGATGTATGGCAGGTCCAGCGCGGAACCAGAGTGGCACGAGTCGAAGATGGCCGTCAACCTGACCCCGGGCTGCAGCGGCTTGACCATGATGTGGTGCATCTCGTCATCGACGATGTGGCCGGCCTCCTTAAAGTCGACCGGATAAATGACCTCGTCATAACCGTCGTCCTCGTCGCCGTCGAGATCCTCGGTCTGACCGCCGTGACCCGAATAATGGAAGAAGAGCGAGTCGTTGGGCTGAGCGCCTTGAACGAGCCAGTGCATGGCACGGAGGATGTTCTGCTTAGTAGGCTGGCCCATGGGCTCGCGTTGGTCGTCGGTCAGTACGACCATGTCCTCGCGCTTGTAGCCATAGCGCTCAATGAGGAAGGCGGAGACGTTCTTAACATCGTTGATGCAGCCGCGTAGCTCACCATCCTGACCGAAGTAGTTGATGCCGATAAGAAGGGCTTTCCTCTTGCCCTGGCAAGTGGAGTACTGGAAACCGTAACCCTCAGGAGCACCATGACCAAACTGCTGAATACCTGACGGTGGGGGAGGAGGAGCACTTCTGTTACCGTGAGCCCAGTCGTTGGAGTTCACGGTGGGCATGTCTATTGCGTGTTAACGCTGTGATGTACCACCATGGGATAGGGTTGCTTACGAGGTCTTCCCTGGTCACCGCGGTGATTGATGGGGTAACCATAAACGTCCAAGCCAGGAGGGGGTGGATGGGAGGGAGGAGGGTATCTCCCGATGTAGCTGCTGTCAGGGTTCGGGTTGGGAGGCGCTTCTCTGTAGGAGCCGTAGCCCTCCGGAGGGCCGGGAGGAGGGCGGTCATAGCCTCCGCCGTAGCCACCGTGGTGAGAGGGGGGCGGACCGGAGGGAGGCTGGTACCCGCCGCCGTAACCTCCGCCATAACCTCCACCGTAGCCTCCGTCGTGGCCACCGCCATGACCACCGCCGTAACCGTACTGTCCAGGGTAGCCAGACATTCTGTGCAAGGTCAAGCTGTCGGTGCTTGATGACAGGTTGGCGTTGTGTTTATGGTGGAGGTATCTCTACACCTTTGGAATGCAATGTGAATGGCTGTGCTGAAAGGCGGGGGAGGGGTAAAACCCACTTTGAGTGAATAAATAAAAGTATCCAGACAAGGGCAAGCTTTTTGGAATAAGCAAACCCCCGAAAATCAAGACGGAAAGCGGCTTCTGCAACGAGGATCTGAAGAGTCGCAAGTCTCGGGAGCGGCACCGACGACCAAGTGTCGTTAATAATGGTATGCCAATAAGTCGAGAAGTGAGTGGGGTGAAATGTAAGAGGGGCCCCAACGAGCGGCCGATTGAAATGTGAGGTGGATGGTGAGGGGCCCGTCAGCTGCTAGAGCAACCTAAAGGGTACATGTAGCAGGTAAGACGGTAAGGGGCATGGTTTGGAGGGGCGGCCCAAGAGGCAGCCCAGGATGAGACACCTTTGAGGCCGGCGTGGTGGGGTTTCAGGCGGAGAAAGGGGAAGAAGGGGGGCGGCAAGAGGAATCATCGGTTCCAGTTGACCAGGAGTGGTAGGTAGTGCACTGCTTCACCGTTTTGGATACGAGTCTCCTAGAATTCACACCCGCCTCAGTGACATACTTGGATTACACCAAGAGGAGCTTCTCCTTGCCCAACAGATCCGCCATTTCCGCGTATCCGTATCCCAATGCTTCATGTATAAAAATAAAAAACAAAAAACAAAAACAAAAAGTAAGGTGAGGTATGTTTACTCTGTTCAAATTACATGTATTACTTCCGCAAACCCAGTTGTTTTCCTCGTATTATGAAAAACACCTCATGGACTAGACAGTCTTGGGCATCTCACTTGATAAACAGCGCATCATCCGTAATGATTGCCTACTCAGGCTCACATCTGGAACGACATCCAAGCAGGACCGAAATCGCCCATGCAGAACAAATGTTACCAGGGCCTGCAAGTCATTCTAATGATTAAGGTACTTCTCATCGAAGTACCGAGCGACAATGAGCTTAACTGCCTCGCCTCGCCTTGTCATCTAAGCACAACGCATACACCATGGGCTCATCACGGCGCCCGCAATCCAGATCATCAAAGGCAACATGGGTCCCAAGGCCCAACCCCATGTCCGTTCTACGTGAGAAGTTGCCTGCCAAGCCCGAGCGGCTGTCACTTTTGTCTCCCGCAGGAGGCTCGGAGGGAAAAAGAAGGGACGAAGAGTGCCCAGACTTGTGTGAACGCTAAGGAGACCGTAGCGGACGAGTGAGAGGCTGCAGCACAGCATGCGGGAGGAGGGCGGACAGCGGGAATCTCCCATCCCTACTATGTATGGCATCTGCCCGCTACTCTCCTTTACATCTGAGCGAATGGCGCTCAGTCCTAGGGCCCAGAGCAAGAGAAGATAGCGGCCAAGTGAGGTGGTTTCCCATTTAGAAGGAGGAGAGCGGCTAATCCTCTCTGAGCTTAGGGCGCGACCGTCTCGGTTGGCGCCATGTGGATGTGGCCGCGTACGCTTACAGGTCCGCGGGCGGAATGGGCTCTGCCGCCAAGACCCTCACAGGCGAAGGCGCTAAGGTAAGGTAGAGTCGTAGGGCGGCCTGGCGTCATACCTCACATGCTGGCGGGTGATCAGTTTAGGAGGGGCTGAAGAGCGATGGCTGAGGAGGGGAACAGCCTCTGAGAGAACTTGATAGCAATAGTGCATGTTAACAACCACCATCTCGTGGAAAGTCATTCAAAACCAGGTAGCGAAATTGAAGTTTTGAAGCTATTCTGTGTCAGCGCCTGAGCTGCTGGCTTTTTGTCCCCGCAGGAGTCCTAGTGGGACAAAACAAGGCACCAGGACCAGCATCAGCTATCTTTAGCTACCCAGCTGGAGCTCCCCTCGCTCAGCCCAGCCCAGTCAAGCTGGGGCGCCAGCGCCGGCAATCTGTCTGTCCAAGGAGTGAGCAAGACAAGGTAGCTAGCTAGTTAGCAACTAAACCAGAGGGGCAGTGGTGGTGGTGAATCAATCAATCAGGCTGATGCCAGGCGAGGGGCTACCGCTTCCTCACTTTAACGTTTTCTGCCCTTCTCTTTCCCCTCCAATCTTCACTTCCACGTCAACAAATAATTCGACTCAGCGACGAAAGATAGACCCGACCCAGGCGAACTGAGCGAAGCCGTATCCAGACTTTCCACCTCGCATCTTCGCATCAATCGCCCGCGCCGCTAGAAACACTTCTTCATCGACGACGATTTTACCCACGAGACCCTTCCTCTCCGCGTCCACAGAACTCAAAATGGTTCGTTTGTGCCGCCCCTCCTTTCGCAGCTTCGAATAGAGAGCTCCCTCCCAGTCTCGTTTCCGACCCAAAACTGATGTTTTGACTTGGACGTCAACGCAGCCGCCTTACAATCTTACCGAAGAGCAATACAAGGACTACAAGGCAGTCTTTGCCGTCTTCGTAAGTTTGCAAACACCCCTGCTTGAGCTTGGCCATCGCATTATTGCCAGGCAGGTTGAGATTTTGGGACGAACCCTTCTGTTTACTGACATGTCACCGACAACGAACAGGACCGCGATGGCACCGGTTAGTCTCAACCAACACACATTCTCCATGCAGCAGCTCTCATGCTACCGCTCATACGCTCGTGCAATGCATACAATGAAATGCGATTTGTTCACTGACACGGTCTCGTGACCAGGCGGCATCAACGCCGAGGAGTTCCAGATCGCCATGAAGTCCTTGGGCCTGAACCCCAGCATCCAAGAGGTCAAGGACCTCATCAGGGAAGTCGACCCCAACGGTGACGGCGACATCGATTTCAACGGTAAGACGTCGCCCTATCTTCTGTACCATCTCTTTTCGGCAAGCACTGCAAAACGCGATGGCACATGTTTTGCTTTAACCAAAGTCCCTGCCCATGTGACAATGACTAACCCTACTGCATCTGATTAGAATTCCTCCAGCTCATGAGCGAGGCCCCCGCGCCGTCAAGCAAGGACAGCGACACCAACAAGGAACTCGTCGCCGCTTTCAAGGTGTTCGACAAGGACAACAGCGGCTCCGTATCGCCGTCGGAGCTGCGTCAGGTGCTGCTCTCCCTCGGCCAGCGCGCCACGGACGAGGAGATTGAGGAGATGATTAGACACGCCGACCTGGATGGAAACGGCTCCATCGACTGTAAGCTTTCACCCCGAATCAACCCTCTGCACACACGTATATGCACCGCACCCTGCACAACCACAACGGGGTGCACCACCACATGGCTGTTTAAAAAAAAAAAAAAAACAGCTCTGCGCTACTGCTCTCTGCAGTCCTGCCTGCCGACTGCATCTCGCTTTTACCCCTTCCCCGCCCCCCACCCAAATTTTGTTTTTATTAATTGAATGATGCGTCGGAGGATTGCGGCTGACTTGCATGGTGTGAAACGAACAGACCAGGAATTCGTTCAGCTCATGGCCCCGAAGGAGGGTAAGAAGTAAGCGATTAGCAATTTTGAACGGCGACAAAAAGAGGACTGGCTTGGAAATCTTATTACAAATTTTTTTTTTCTTTTGGGAAAGTTTTTTTGTCTTTGGTGGAAATGGAGGGGGGAGAGGGTGGGAAAAGCACTGCTGCCTTGATACCCTTTTCTCTAGAAAGGTACAGTGAGGTGGTATTCGAGTGTTTGATGAAGGGCGAAACACTTGGCAATACAAATTACAGCAAACACATATTCAATCAAACATTTCACGCATTTACGCATCAATCACATTGACACATTCACAAACACACATGACAAAAAGGACTTTATATGGACTCGTTCTTCGTATTGCGTTCGAAAGTTGTGTGACGTTACTTATCTGAATGCCACTCACCAGAAGGCTGACAGTCCACTCGTTTGATGAATCGACAAGGGAAATTATGCGAAACGCAATCGCCATGTGGGTAATCGTAAGAGAATCTGGGAAAAAAAAACAAGGGGGTGTAGCCGAATGCCGTGGGGAATATCGCCATCTACCCCAGAGAATGAACTTAACGTGCGAGGCAGGCGGTAACAATCGCTATCCAAAGGCGAGCGGGATAATGAATGCGGTTCGAAGATAATCGAATTCATCGTTTGGTCTGTCCGGCGCAAAAAGAAGCTCAGGTCGAAAGAAGATCTCTTTGCCTTCCACCGCCCATTACCATCCGTCCATCCGTTTCCGAACCAAATAATAGTAAGGCCGTGATCGCGTCGGGGGAATCTCTTTGTTGTTGCACTCGTATGTTGTTATAAGTTTTTGCGTGTTGGTGGATTAGAAGCAGCATGTTAGGCATTCCAGGCAGCACTCGCAGGTCTCGCCGCAAAGCCAACAGCAGCAGAGAGTGGCGATACTATCAAGGTGAAGTCAGTAAATGTTTCATGATGGCCCATGCTTTCTTTTGGGCGGTTGTGATGCTTGCTTACCATCCGTAGAGGCAGCCCTTGTCATCCTTCTTCTCCTCCTGGGGAGGGGGAGCTTGACCCTGGGGAGGGTAGTACATCTAAGCGTTATGTGAGCAAGTGTTCATCTTTAGAGGTAGGTGAGGTTATTCTTACGGGCTGCTGGCCCGGAGGAGGGTATCCGTAGCCCTGGGGAGGGGGAGGAGCGCCGTAGGGCCTAGACGCAGGCGCTTGTCAGTACTGTGGTCCAAGCTTGAAAGAGAGAGAGAGTTGGGATGAGGCCGAGCGGCAGGTTGAGACGTACTGCTGCTGAGGAGGGTATCCAGACATGGTGATTAGGTGGTTGAGTGTTTGTTGTTGTTGTTGGTGGTGGTGTAGGTCGCAAAGTGCGAAAGGTTGGCAGGTGTGTCGGTGAAGACGAGGTGGTATAGATAGAAGGGAAAGTGGGTAAGGTGAGTGAAAAATAAAGGCAAACGGAAAGAGCGAGGAATATGAAAGGTTGAGCGACTCAGGGGTGGAAAGGAGAACAGGATGGGTTGGAAGGGAGGAAGTAGGATGGGATCGAATAAATTGCCCTTTTGGTCAGTCACAACATAAGAAAAGTTGCTTATTAGTGTACGGGAGGTCCGAGGTGAAGGTGGTTCCCTGGTCCCCGTTTTACACGCCGAGTCGTTGGTGCTGCGGCGACTTGCTGACTTCCCTTATACGCGTTACTACCTAAGCCATCCGGGCTACTACTGCTACGCCTCACACATATACAAATTTGGGTTCTGGGGCGTGGCTCAAGGGGTCTTGTCCACCTAGTGCGTGGGACCTTCGGGGCCGCGGGCGTGCAGAAGGAGACCAAAAAGGGAACCAATGATCATTTCAGAACACAAGGATCGCTGCCAGAGCCGAGAGAGAATTGCACGGGGTTCCGGCCGGGATACCGGGCTCTCTCGGCAGAGAAAAAGTCTTGGTAGGCAGACTAAAAGGGGATGGCGAGGTACAACTGTCTAGGTTTCTTGGCATGCTAATCTCTATACTAAAGTAACCGTATGTATGTGCAGATAATACCCAAGTGTGCAGGAAGATAGTATCTGTTTGCAGAGCTGCTCTGCACAACAATAGGGCAGGGCTGCACTTCCGACCGTTATGAGGATGCAGCGCGCAGAGAGAACGTGTACAACTATGTAGGTAGTAAGACCGGCATGGGTATCGAAAGGTCATACCGATCCATGTGGCTCTCTCGAAGGTTTTTTGTCTTGGCTTCTTCCAAAGATGTGATGGTGGTGGATAAATCGGCAGCGAGCAGCCCATCTTTTTTCTCTTGGCGGAGTTACGCGTCCACATCCAAAAGCGTTAGGTTATCTGCAGCTCCTCAGCTCGGCATGCCGTTTGACAGCAAATAGACGCTCGTCGACAAGTCTTGAGACCCGTTGCCCAGCCCGTTGGAAGGCCTTGGGTGTTCTCTGAGACCCTTGGAAACCGCACCGCTCGCCCTCGGGTCCATTAGAGCCGCTGGCATTGGATGGCGATGCAAAATGCGGCTGCTCAATGTCAATAAAACGGGACGGCCACGGTTTGACGATGTACGTTTTTTTTTTTTTTCTCATACGTGGTAACAACATAACAACACAAACTCAGCACAGCACAGCACAGCACACACGCACGCACACACGAACGCGCAAGACATCTGACTCTTTTCTTTTTTTATTTTGCCCGCACGCAAATCACCAGACCAGGCCAGGTCACCCCACTTGCTCGGGTGTCGATGAAGTATGTTGCAATATGCAACTGATCATCGACGTACGTACGGATAAGGTAGTGTGAGAGAGTCAGCCGCCCCCAACGGAGTCTGGGACATGCGGGAGGCGGTTTTCTTCGCAAGTGATATCCTTTCCTCAGTCGGTTAGGCTCTTAATTCGCAGTAAGATGGCATGCCTCCACAGGTAATAAGGTAGAAACTCAATTTGTTCATAGTCTGGTGGGTAAGGCAAGTGCGAAAAGATGCCAAGCTATGCCATTTTTAGCCGAGCGCACCCTGTTTAAACCCTATGGTGGAGGACGGCGGACAGGGCGGAGCGCGGCTGCGGGTGCAATGACAAGAAAGAAGCTGAGGCACGTCTCACGTTCTCACAGTCGCTGGAACTCTCTCTCTATCTCTATTTCTGCTTTTCTGCAATGGGGAGGGGGGAAAGAGCGACAGAGTTCCGAGTTCGAACTCAAACTGACACAGTCACATTCACTTCCAAGGCGGGCACCCTAGAGTCAAGTACAAGGCCAGTAAGTGCAAAGCAGCCTGAAGTCCGATCCCCTTGCTCCAATTGTTTGGGTCCCCGGACCCTTGCCGGTGCCTGCCCTACCAGTTTGGAAAGCAGAAACTGCCAATCAGTGACCGTCCCAATCGTTCCTGCCTTTTTCTATGCACTACGGCCGTTCACCCTAAAATCCCCCCGGGCACTACGGGCTCTAGCGTAGAAGCATCCACCTCCTTCCTTCTCAACTCCCCTCTCGAACATTCACCGTACTGTGGTACCACGATACAGAAAAAGGGTTAGGATTTAGGTCTCCCAACCAGGTACCATGACCGCCACAGTGACTTGAACTGGTGGGGAGGGGATACCCAAACGTGTTCAAACAATTGGGGCGTTCTTCTGCAACCCGCATCTCAGGCACAACCGCTCCGTGGCGGTAACGCTTTGCATTGATTGTAGTGAAGCCTCACTTCACCCTCGCCCAAGAGACCATTGAGGCAGGCAGAGGCACCCTAGTGCGGCGGCACTTCATCCCAACCTTGGTAGTGACCACGAACCTTGCCTTTCCCGTGTACCTAGACCCTGACCCGTACACAATTCATCTGTACCTGGCCTATCTCTTACACTTACCTTGGGTGTCTGAGGTTGCTCTTCACAAAGCTCGGCTCGCTGCACTAATCTGCCCCGGGAGGGAACCCATCGCCCTCCACACATCTGCGAGAATCCACTTGGCCCTCCTCGCCGCAGTACAAAGAGGCCAAGATTTTTGACGAACATCGCGTGGACCATACAGCTGTCAACGCATCACAGGTAACCGCCCGCTCCCCTCCTCTCCCTTGACGTGTTTCCGACAGATCTCCTCTTCTTGCATTCACCGCCCATAAAAACAACAGAAAAGCTTACGCAGCGCCAGGAGCCCCTCGATCTTTCTCGGCCTCTGCCGTCTCATCCGTCCTACACCACTCACAACCTCTCGTATCCCCATCTGCTCGCCTTACTAAACCGGCCTATCCGAACCAGAGAAAGGAACCATGTCTTTCTTCAAGAAGCTCACAAAAGAGTTCGAGGAGCTCAAGACTTCCTTCTCGGACGACAAGCCTGCCGAGAAGAAGGACGATCACTCTCAGCAACAGCAACAGAGTCAAGAGCAGACTGGTAAGTTGCCCTTCACTTGCCTTGGCCTTCCTGCCTTCCCCGGAAGAGAGGGGGGTCGAAAAACCATGTTCGCCCTTTGAATCTTTGGAGAGGGAAAAAGCCATTGAACCATGACAAGCTTGGTACTCTTGCTTGGCTCATGTTCATATTACATTCAATACCTTTTTTTCTCTCTATCTTGCCAAACAAATTCCCTCACCTTGATGTCTGATCGATCTCACCGATCTGTCATCGTCGTTATGATAAGGTTGCTGACTCGTGCTTCTTCTTACTAGGCACCCGCAGCTACGGTGATCACCCGCAGCAGCAGCAGTACGGTGCTCCTCCTCCTCCCTCCAACTACCCTTACCCCCCGCAGGCACAGCCTCAACCCGGCCCGAACCAAGGTTACGGCGGCCAGCCCAATTACGGCCAGTCTCCCCCTCCGGTTGCCCAGTCTGCGCCCCCGATGGCCGCTCCTTCCGTTTCCCAGGGCTGGCTCTGCCAGTGGGATACCAAGTAAGTTAGAACCGCACTCCGACCCCCATCATTCGAGAACATCCCAACCACTAACTTCCTTGGCAGCTACCAGAGATGGTTCTACGTTGACCAGAGCAGTGGTCGCTCCCAGTGGGAGCACCCTTCCCCTCCTAGCGGTCCCGTGGGAACCCCCAGCTACGGCGCCCCTCCCGTTCCTCCTACCGATACCAGATCTTTCGGAGGTGACCAGGGCCACGGCGGCTACGGCTCCCCCGCCCCCTACGGTGGCGGTGCTCCCGGCTACGGCGCCGCTCCCAGCTATGGTGGCTCTCCTGCCCCCTATGGCGGTGCTCCCTACGGTGGTGCCCCGGCTCCCTACGGCGGCGGTGATCCCTACGCCCAGCAGCACGGCCAGAACCCCTACGGGGCTGACAAGGAGAAGAAGAGCGGCAGCAGTGGCATGCTCCTTGGAGCTGCCGGTGGTCTTGCGGTCGGTGCCATTGGTGGCGCCCTGATTGCCGATGCCCTCAGTGAGTAACCTCCTCCAGCCTGTTGCCATAGATTAGATCAGTTTCTGCTGCTTTCAATTTCGGGCTTGTGCTGACAATTGATGTAGACGACTCGGATGATGAGGCCAAGGCCGCTGCCGCTGCCACACCCGCCGCTCAGCCTGCGTACGGTGGCTACCAGGACCCCTACCAGGACCCCAGCGCTCCTCCTGCTGTTCTTCCTCCCACTGACAACGATGGTGACTCCATCTCCTCCAGCGACCGTGAGGACGTCCAGGAGGCTAGAGCGGAATACGAGGAGGCTCTCGCAGCTGCTAACGACTCGGACGCCAGCAGTAGTGACCACGAGCGTCTCGAGGAGGCTAGGGAGGAGTACGAGGAGACTTACGAGGAGGTTTACGATGATTAAACAAGCTGTGTTTGGCTTTGAGTGTAAAGGCAGTCGGAGGATAGCTCGGCTGCGGTTTCCTATGACGACATGACGAGAAATGATAGCTCAGCATTGCGTGGCAGTTGGGAAGGCATCGGGGGATAAACAGCTTTGTGGTGTCGATACAGTCTCTACCTCTTGCTTACAGCATTCATAAATCTCGGAATATTAGAAGCAAAGACGCGTTTCAGGTCTTGCTAGTTGATCAGTAGCAATATGGCTCCAACCGTGCGAGACAAGTGATGAGCACTCGGGATGATGGGTTGTCATGATGTGGAGGGGAGGGCGAAGCGTGAAAGACGGCCCTATCTCACCCCTACCTCGATTACAGCTAGGAAAGGGGGTAGTGAGAGATTGTACGTGGCCCACGACAGCCACTCACGCGACAATGATGCGACTATTTTGACCTCACCGTGACGACCATGACTCTTGGTGAGTAAGAGACGACGTTCGCCTTGTCGCAGGGATGTACTCTTTTCATAGCTTGGGAATCGTGTTCCAGGCTCTCGTAACCATGTCTCGGCCATCCCTTAGATCGACGATCGTCAAGGTGGTAGTCTGCATCTCAGACAACAAGTTTCCTGAACGAGGGGGCGTGTGGACCTACTATGTAGTGTATGAATGGATGTCCAAGGTTTGAGAAAGCTTTCTTATTCCGTTGCTGTCTGCAAAGTTCATGTACAGAACAGCACGATCGTAGATTACATGATGTATGGGGGAATATCTTCCGAGGGGGTCTTCTTCCCCAGGATTACAAGACAATACCAACTAACTCTTTGTCTCGAAAAGGGATCATAAATCCGGTCTACCTGAATCTAGGATGGGAAAGTGGGAAAGGAAATGAAATTTACCATGGAGGACACGACTTGCATCTCGTCCCCAAGGGACCAAGTGTGAACCATTTGCGGACGTTTGTATTTTTTTTTTTTTTTGACATGTCGTTTTCTCTCATCCCTTTCCCCAAGTCCTTCACTTACAACTGACTGGACAAGGTGCCTACCCGGTTCGTTTCGACTGGCTCTCCCCATCCCCTCAATTGATCGCCCACAAATCGGGTCAGGAACCACCACCACCAACCATAACCCACACCACACACCAGGTCCAGCCTGGTAAACTCGGCGAGCTGCCGCTTCCCTTTTTCAGGTACCCGACGACGATGACAGGCTGGATTCGAATCCAGCTCTCTCGCCCTGTCCGCCCAGCCCAGCCTAGCCCGCCTGCCCCCAGAGCCGTTCCGTTTCGATCGTTCGTTCATGCACCAGTTTCGATGGGGGGACCAAGAAAAAAACAGAGAGGCGTACGGATACCGGCCCCATGAAATGTTTCAGGGCCTTCTCGCCCACCATCGGGGCCCCCTTCCCCAGCCATTTTCTATTTCTAATCTTTTCCCTTGCTGGTCTCTCTTCCAGAGGCTTCATCCGGGGATCGGCTGCTCATCGCGTCCTTTTTGGGGTCACGTCTTGAGAGATTGGGACGACGCGCCGGTTCGAGAGAGAACCATTAGTTTTTACTAATAAAAAAATAAAAAATAAAAAGCTTGAGTACTTGGGGTAAGATGCTGTGTCGATTGATGCAAAGTCATCCACAGGCTGGCTGGTTTGATTTCTTCGGGAAGGCTAACTGCGTTACTACCAACTAACACTGTGGCTATTTGCGCCTGTAGACCGGGGAATCCAGAGAAGAAAGAAGGGAGGAGGCTGGAAAAGCAGGGCTGGGGGAGGGGCGCCATAGATTGAGAGAGAGACAGAGAGGGAGAGGGAGAGATAAGCCTATCCCCGCCAATGCGTTCGTCCCCTCTCAGGGTCTCCCCTTTCCCAAAAAAAAAAGTTCTGCCCGTAGTCCGTGCTTTCGAACCGCCCCCATCGTGGGATTGATGGATGGGTGTAGGATGGGTTTCCCGATAGTGGTTTTGCCCCTCCCATCTTCTTCCCGCCCCCGTCTGCAAGTCAGAATGGATACCCAGATCTCCCAGCCTTCCCGATGCACGAGGTGGCTGGGCTGAGAAAGGTCCCTGTGGACAGTAAACACACCAAAAGAAGGACAGGTCTTTTTTTTCCCCTTCCCTGTCTTGAATCCGTAGTTCACGCCAGAAGCGGTAGCCGCCGTCGCGTTTGGTGGCCTCCCCGGCTGGATGGTACGGGTTAGTTTGGACTTTACTGGCCGCCCGGCGGCCGTGCGATCCGTCGTCTGAAGGGTGCTGGGGGAAAAAAAAACAAAAAATGGCGTGCGCGAATAGCTAGCTCCCTTCCTTCCCGTTCGACCTCTCCCGTTCGTAAGTCGGCCGAGCCGCGTGGAAAAAAAGAGAGAAAGATGGCTGGTTAGATTTCTTTGGACGGCTGATAACCGAAAGTCAAAATGGGAAGGCGGACTGGGCGCCGCAGTGTGCGGGTTCGTATGGGGCCATATGTCGCACATGCGTGTTTTGGTGATTTGATGCATGTATGTGTTAGACGGAGGCCGGGGGGAGGGATGCTGCATGACATTTCGCGGGGAAGGACGTTTTGTCGTCGAGTAGAAGAGTCAATGTCACAAGTGGTAACAAGATACAGAAATTGGTGAAATATGTTTTGTCTTTTTTTTTTTTTTTTTTTTGGTATGATGATAATATTTGGTCCCCGTCTCAGAGATTCTAGCTGTAGGGAATAGTGCACAAAACAAACCAGTAACTCAAGAACTACGTATAGCTCGAGATCAAACGCGCATCCCCCATTCTTGAAAAACAAAACTGAAAAGACAGCAAAAAAGCCTTGCTTGGCTCCACCCTGAAATACGCCAGCCCCCGATGGAGGGGGGCTACCCTAACCCTGGATTCCTGGCTCGTGTCTGCCAGTTGGGAATATGGTACAGTGGAAAATAGAAGCGCTCGAAAGAACAAAGGTTGGAAGGGTCAAAATGTAGACGGGACAATCTACCGCCAGGTACCGTGGAGCTTGGTCCTCTGGCTGGTCCTGCGGCCTTTGAGGCCTACTTCGCCTTGTAGCATGAGGCTCTTCCACCTCCGCGACAGGCAATTCCTGTCCTTGCCCAGACTGCGCGCGCAGTCCTGCCACTCTGATTTGCTGAGCTTGAGCTTCTCGAGCACCAGCTCGACCAGTATCCTGTCATCCTCGGCGCTCCAAGGCTCACCGTCGGCTTCGATCTCGACGTTGGAGCCCTGGGCATCTTCTGCTGCGTAGTTGCTGTTGAGGTTTTGTGGCAAAGCACCGCCATTGAGGAGATGTAATGTGTGGTAGTCGGAGCGCTCGAGGCCGAGAGGGAGTGCCTCAGGCGCAATGCGTGCCCGCTTGGGAGTGGAGGGCGCGGATGGGAGTTGCTGTTGTTCTTGTTGTGACGAGACCTCGAGGTCGCTGTCGACATCCTCGTCCGTGAGGAGGGCGTCGTCACGGCCCATGTCATCGTCGGCGGCGCGACGGCGCTTGTTCACCCCGCGGGGCGGCGCACGTTTCGCGATGCGCTTGCGCGGGAGATGGTCGTTGTTGAGGTTCGCATCTGAAGCAGGCTTTGTGCGCGGGCGTAGACGGAGCTTGAGAGGCGGCGGCGCATGGGCGAGAGGGGGAGTTGGGAGCTGACGGTGCGGCGGCGGAGATGGCAACTGCTGTGTCGCGTTGTGGTTCTGGTGGTTTTGGTGGTTCTGGGGCATGGAGAGGAGGGCCTGAAGGGAACGGCAAGTGTCGAAGATGTTGCCGAAGCCGCCTTGGTTGGAGAGAGAGGGAGGGCTTGCGGGCGGCGAAGCGAACATCGCGGCCTGAAGGCGGGTGAGGGGCGGCTGCGACGTGTCGCACGAAAGGGCGGAGGGCATCAGCATCTTGGCGATAGTCTATTCGGTGCTGTAGACGCGATGTTCTTGACTTGTGGGTGCTGGGCTGCCAGGTGAGGGTTTGCGACAAGTGCTATGAGAGGGTTGCTTGCGCGACTTTGCGACTGGGGAAGGGCGAGTGAGGGTTGGAATGCGCTGGGTGACTGTAGGTTCGCGCGACGATATCAAGGGCGGGAGTATTGGATCGGTGATCTTTGTATAAGATGGTGGTCGTTGTCAGAGAGTTGGGGGTCTGGCGATTCTAAGGGTTTTTGAGGAATGTTGGCGGGATATAGTTGTGTGTGTCGGTGTGAGGAGTTTCGGGAGGGAGGCGGTGGATGAAGAAGGGAAGGTTGGCTGGGACGGACCTAGATGGCGGCAGAGTGGCAGGTGGCAGATGGGATGGCGGAGGATTAATGGGGGGAACTAAATGATGGGAAAAGATGGTGCCCCCCCAGTGTGTGCGGTGGGCCACCTGACAGGGTCCGTTCACTGGCTGTCGCAAACTGCAAGCTGCACCTTGGGTGGATTCACAGTGTCTGGAGTGCTAAGAAACAGCGCTATCGCCTGACGCCATCACTGTATGGAGCATTCAGATACGTATCTTTCCCGCCAGGGATTTTAATGGATTGTGGGAGTTGAGGGTCCGAGCTCTGACCGACCCTTCCGTCAAGTCAGTTCACCTGTTTGCCGTTCCTCGTTAGGGTCTCTCTACACGGCGCAAAAGTTGTACACTATTCCCAGACTACGAGGGCGACTAGTCGAAAGTCTAGAAAATCCAGACGGTCAAGGGTGCGTCGGGGGCGTGTGGATGGTTGTAGGGAGTCTCCGAAACAGCCCGCATTATATGGATATACCCTAAGAACAGAGAGACTAGGTATGGATGAGGTAGACAAGGACGCAGGATGGCTGGCTAGGCCACACTCACCAGTACTCAACATTGACTTTCACCCACACTGTCTCCATCCAAACCCTTTTCAGGTGTCTTGATCCTTTTCGGTTTGTGCCTCGAATCTGGGACGGTGCGTTTGCTTCGTGTCTTTCAATTCTGTCCCCCGCCCCCCTTCTCATCCTCACCGACCTGCAGTAGTGTAGCCCTTTCTTGTCGAGCCTGTATCCTCGTCCCTATCTGCAAGGGTTGTCTTGGTGTATCGAAAGAGACCACCAACAACCACCCCTTGGCTTGATTGACTTGTGCACCTTTTGTTAGTTCTTCTTTGATCTCTCTGCCTCTTGCTCTTTTACAGCTTCGGCTGCTTTGACTCCTTGCTTCGTTCACGCTACGGTTGCATCTCTCTCTCTCTGTCTCTCCTCATGTTCATGCAAAGCCATACTACTCTTGACCTGACCTAGCCTTTCTTACCACCCTCCTTTCACCCCCAATTACACCTTTCGACTATCGCCTATAACCATTCTCCCTGGACTTTCTCGTCTGGAGAACCTGCAAGAAATGTAAGACAGACGTCTCTCACGGACATCAATCTTTCTTCACCCTGGCTTTATCTCCCCATCTCTGTATCTTACATCGCTATTGCGCCACTTTCACCTTCCTCGGCGAGGCTCCTACTGCCTCCACACAGACAATGTCCGCCCGTCCACTCTCTCCCAAAAGCCTTACGTCCGCTCAGACTTTGGTGCTAGAGCTGCGGCTCGATCCCTCCCTTCTTCCAATTCCACTATGGTGGCCACACAGACGACACCATCTCGTAGATGTTCTGATCGTGTCTGGCTTGACTCAGCTTCTCATTCTCGACGCCATTGTTTCTGACAATAGCCTGGTTCACATTTTTGACTCGAGATTGTAAATTGCTTGTTGTCAATCATCCTCCCTCCAGCTGCGTCTGGGCCTCACTACGGATACTCCGCCCGAATGATCCATCTGCAGACGTCGAAGCGTAGGACTGCAGCTAGCAAACCACCATCGTCATTCTCTGCAGATTCAGAAGATGAATGTCCACCTAACCATTCTATTCACCCCGCCCGCCATCCTCAAGCCAAGCCACGAGGGTAAAACGCATCCCTCATGCCGTGCCTCCATCTCTTTCGTTTAGAGTTTGTGGTGGCCTTTTCCAAACTTTCAATCCCCACCTCGAAGGCGCTTGACAACTGTACAGAGAGATATGGGTCTATATCCGGCCGACTGTTTGCCCTTTGCGGTGTGCTCTCTCTATTGGCTCCATCGAACCGGTTCTGTGATTTGAGCGATCCAGATCCAGCCAGCCGGCGGGCTTAGCGAATTATCTGGCCAAGTTTCCCAGTCTCGTGCGAGATATTCTGATCAGCCCCCAACGACATCATAGCTCATGGATCCGACACACTATTACCCTCTCGGCCCTCTCCCTCTCCCCCCTCCATCTTGGGCGTTGCAAGTCTATAGGGAACGCTACCAGTCACCTTTGAATCTTAATTTTCTACGTGATGTGCCTGGTCACCATCCTTCGTCACTCCTGACCTCAACCCTCCCTCCCGGATGATGATGACGCATGACTCACAGTGCTCCTGACCATCAATCCAGCCGATCGAGTATGCTTCCGAGACGCCCGCTCAAAGTGCTGTAATTTCCTGGCAACCGCCCTCAAACACACATTTACACCCCTTCGGTGCAAAGTGACCAGCCGTCAGGGTGACCACAGGGGCATTCAAGAGTACAGGTGGATGGCGGTGCCAATGGTACGTTGTCATGACAAAGAACTCGTGGTTACCCACCAGGGCCCAGTATCGTATCAGGGACAATGTGTGCTCCGCAGGACAGGCGCCCTGGCCTCAAAGAGGGGCCCTTCTTTTAATGGCTTGCATCAGAAACGTGGATAATCGATCTCTCAGCCCCCGCTTGCTTCCACTCTCTCTCTCTCTCTCTCTTTCTCTCTCGTTCGGCCCACAAGGGCCATGTGGGCTTCGGCCACAAATTGAACAATGTCAAAAATAGGATGTAGGAACTCTCCTCTGACTCCTGAACATCGACAGCCAAGTAACGACGCACACGCAGGTTGATGTCAGCAGTGATGCCCGACTGCGAGCATCAGATCAGATATCAATTTATACGACAGCGGATTATAAGTAGACAACCAGTGATGAGACGAGTGGGAGTGGAAATGCCACCCGCGGTTACCGCCAGGTCGTCACAATAAAAAGAACGAGGGGAAAGTGTGCCCAAAGTGGTCGCCCAAAGGTGGGTGGTCGTTAAGCCTGCCAACTTCTGCGATGCGGTCGTCGCGTGTCGCGTGCCTCCCGCGTCATAACGCGTCGCAGACGCGACTGGCGTTTAATTGCTTGCAGACACCATTGGCCAATCAGCACCGGTCGTGGTGGACATGTCTTGTCTCATTGGCTCATCAAGCTACAGACCGTTTCATCCGACACAGTGCGCCGGTACGGGTTGTGGGTCTCTTTGTCATTTTACCCTGCCCTCGCTTGATACGTACCCGTCGCCTTATCCATCGTCACTTTGCGACCCCAACTCTGACATCCGCCACAAACCTGGTCTGTGAGCTCAGGTAACGCCTCTTTGGACATACTTGCTTCTCAGGCTCGGCCGGCATGACGGGGGGGGGAGGCGGGGGCAGTTGCTGCGAAGAGTGGTGCCGCAACGGTATGGACGGGATGGCATGGCGAAATTGCTCCCTGCCCCAGGATTCTCTCTCCACATTTCTGCGCTTCTTCTTCTGGTTTTTTTCTGCTTTATCTGCTTTCGCTTCATTCACCTCAGTCGTCATAGCAACCAGGTGCAGGATCCGCCGACGTTTGATGAAACGGTCGAGGACCTGTGTAGGTCGACAGACAACGTACCATTGCACACACCCGAAGTCTCGCCTGTTTTTTTTTTTTTTTTTGGAATCATGACCGGCAGTTGCCGAAACCTGTTCGATGGAACTAGTGCATGGTCAACGCGGATCTCTGCATCGTATAATCATTCATAGCAACTTTATGGAGGCCACACCGTCCACGTCTAAAGGACTACATATTCTTCGCTCCGCTCCATCTTCTTAACTCTTTCAACTGATCTTATGCATGCCGCCAGTGTCCCGCAGCTCTGGCGGTGTGCCGAGCGAGTTTAGCCGAGTTTGTACAATTGTCACTAGGCGTCGGATTCCTCCCGACATCTCATGGCGTCACAGTCTGGGCTGTGGTCAAACTTTATCACCAGCCAGCTGGTTTTTGATCACCATGTTCAACATCACAGGGCCAAATCACCCGTCTGTTTATAATCGGAACAGTGGAGGTAATTAAGCAATTTGGTGTTTAAAAATCACGTGGGACAAGGAACCATTCCCCTTTGCTTCTCTTGCGGCACTTGTGAGATTTCAGAGACCTTGTTGGTCATTTGTGAAGCGGCATGGCTCGTTGCGATGTTTATCGTATTTCATATAGATGTCTTGTAGGCTTGGATTAGGGCTATTATGATGACTAGAAGCTGTCAGTTGCTATTTCAGTGATACTTTCTATGAGCCAAACTGGTAGCTGTTGAAAAATGATGTCGCACTACTACTTACTTTGATTCCGCTGGGCTTCAATAGACCTTCTCAGAGGAAATAGTCTGATAGACTTCGGTATCGCTAACTTGAAATAATCAATAACTGATTCAATGCCGCTCGACTGCAGTGACGGTTGCGCACAAGTTATTTTTGTATTATACGGGATCTGTTATCAGCGTAGTGAGTGGCTCTTGCTGCCAGTATTCGTGCTCATTTACCAAGCCCACCTGAGGCGCCTATTCATTCTTTGTCTTTCCATGTTGTCAGCAATGAGCTTGTGGGCAACTTTAAGGATTCGGTCCTGAAATAGACCTTTAACAGTGCTGTTGAAGAAACACTCGGTATCTCGAGAGATACCATCTTCGAGCTCCATGACCATGGTCGTTACTCCATTATAATGCCCGCTATCGCCGGTGTCGGATTGGGGAGGAGACAGTGTGGGTTCTAACAATGGTTAGTCTTTCTCAAGTTTCGGCGCACTCACAAACAGTTCTGGAGGAATGCCAAAGGTGGTCTTTCTCCTATCATCAGGCTGGTAACTACGTGGCGAAAGGAACACGAGTCCACCGCAGTGAGAAGTGACGTTTTCAATATAGGATTGGACTAAAGTACGGACAGATATGGGGAAGACGCAGTAATCTGAACCAAAGAAGGCTCCTTTCCGCGAACGAGGTTCGCATCGACTTGGGAGGGCTGCGCTTTACCTTTGGCTACTACATCGTGACGGCATCGCGCAATTACCTCTGCTCCTCCTTAGTGAGGTATATCTTCTGCTTTTCATTAAATAGTCTTTCCTCCTCAGGCCACGAGTTTGAGTCTTTGCTAGTTTGGATGTACTGGAGAAAAGAGATGTTTCATCACGGCGACATATTCATAGCTCAAGACGCACCTAAATCAGCCCAAAATCATTAGAGATGGCTGGAAATATTTGAAAAGTCTGTTGGAATTGGCAAAGAGTCGAACTATCTGTCAATAGGAACGTGATTGTCATTCCTGCTTTTCTAAGAGTGGATATAGTTTACTATCGGTAGCTTTATTGCCCGTTGCGCCGGCCGTTACCGTCACCCCTTTCCTAGGCACTGCATTGCCTGTTCAAAGTATTGCCACAGCGAACCTAATCCTTCATTATGATACATGGATAAGAACCAGCTTCACCAAGACAACCATCAACATCCCGTCAGGTACGGAGAGTACGTGGATCTACTATTTTTGGAGGTAAGCATAGTCAGAACAGGCTACTTCCAGTCATCAGACGTCACTGCCGGAATGGAAATGAGAATCCCAAGAAACAAATCTGTTAATACAAGGATTTCACTGATATTACTTCGCTCATCGCCCAGTATCATCTGTGATCGTGGTAAGTTTCTCTCAGCATTTCCAGTTTAGGAGAAGTCGGCGGAAACCTTGGTTTGAGGTGGGCACACATCACAGCACCAGGGCAGGGCACGAAGCCCGTCGGCCGCCTAGGCGAAACGTTTGGCGTCTTTGGGTCTCACTACAGCATCACGAATCAGCGAATCGGAACCATCCCAAACCTATCTGTAGATGTGCCGGGGGCGGGATAAGATGCCTGCTGTGCGGTACTCAAGGACTAAGTCGCCACAGTGGAATGGTGAATGTCTAGCCGCTTCATGTGCTGACGGGAAGAAAGGGGTATGTGTGCGAGTGTGTAAAGTAACAGCATGCGTTCTGGTCAGTTGTGACACCAACTCCCAGGGAACTCGTCGCGTTCTGTATTTGTTCGTTATGTTGCTCTTGGAAACAAGCTCCGCAAGAGTACTGCTACATGTGCCGAGTCTATAAGAGAGCGGGAGAGATACTTGATTGAACTGTTAATTGGGCTATCGGTTGACCTTCTAGTCTCTGAGGGATTGATATTCGCAGACACATAAATTCTTCAGATCGGCATCGTTTCTACTGGGCCACAATGACCTCGTTCTGCTCGTATGTTTTCGCTACTGAGCCGCCGCTCAGCCCGCTTTAGTTTATGGCCATGCCCTGAAATCGGCCCCAAAGACAAGGGGTCCATCATATTGAAAATCATGCAGTTACATCTTCTATGATCTAGTTTTCGACGAGAGAATCCAGCATCCCACCGAGTGATTACATCTTCCATGTCTGGTTACGTAGGCTGAGGCAAACCTCACAAGTCCAGACCTATTGCAATCGAAATTTTGGTTATATTAACCCCCAATGAACCAAAATGAGGGTAGCAATGGATCTTGTGGGTCGAGCAGATGAAGTATGAGGCCACTGACAAGCTGTCAAAGCCGTTCGTTGTGATAGCTAAGTACCTATGGGGCAACCCAACCAAAGGAACGGGTCTCGTATTGTTGGGAGATGAGCTAAAACTCAATGAGCCAGCCAACGGCTCAGAGTTCAGAGAAGGCAGCTTGTTCAATCTCTCGATGTCGAGGCCAGTGTAATTCTACGCATAATCATTGGCGGACAAAATCTCCAAGAGTGAATACGTTACCATGGTTCTAGAAGAATGGCAAAGATTGATAGCCCGGACGTATTGGCGGGCAAGCGAGACCCACGGCAGCGATGGATGATTGAAAGATAGACCTATCTTGTCCAGGGCACGGCATCAGAGAGGGGAGCTTAGCACCACCAAGAGTCTGGGTCTTTTCGCAACCTCAAGTCACGACATTGTCCAGCTTGCCCAAAGCAGCGCTTGCCCCTCTTCCTCAATCTACCTGACACAGCGGTCCTGCAAAGTCATGGTTGACACATTCATTCTTCGGGCACTCCCGAAAGCTATCCGACACTGGCAGGCTCGACCGGAACGCATGGTCTTATTTCCGCTTTTGCTTGGTACAAATGTCTCCCTGAGCCTGGAGCACGTGTGCTTTCCTTGATGGTTTCGCGCCTTCCGCCACTGCGGTACCCGTCTTGCCATGATGGAAGAGGGGAAAGTCAAGCCGAGGGCTCCTTCTAATCCTGTGGTGTGACGTTTTCTGAAGGAGCTGCCCTTGCTCATTTTACAAGAGCAATACGACAGAATTTCTCAACATCTCGTAAATGGTGTCGACTGTGGGAGCAACACAAAATCACTCCATGCTGAGCATGTTTGCCCACTCACCGAGTTCCATCAATGGTTTCCGTCGCCGTCTACAATCGAACCCTTTACGTCTTTTGGATCCACTCTCGCCTAAAAAAAAAAAGCCTGCCCAGGACGCTGAAACCTTCGACGGTTGCTGAGAGTCTTAGATTCGACCAACAAGAGTCGCCTGCAAGACAAATGCATTGAAACCCTCGACGCGCCTCGCTACCTCGGAAAATTGTGATACCGGCAGTAATACCGGAGACAAAGAAGTGCGCAGCTTGCGAGTTGCGTAGCCTCTGGTTTAGCACTCTACTTGGCATTGACAAACCTGAACCATCAATTACCATGAATTGGACCTGTAAGCTTCGTGACAACTTCGATGACGATGCACCCACCGCTCACTACACCTCGCTCCAGCTTGATCTTGCTGCCCATTTCGTTCCTACTTTGTTCGTCTACACTTTTCAGGGGCTGACACCCTGCTCAACATGTCGCCGGTAACAGCAGACTTCCGACCGTTGCCAATTATTATTCAATCAACGCGGGTGACCTGGCCCACCTACACAACTTCGGCCTCCTGTTCTCGACCGAGCTATAACCTGGGCTTGCCAGGTATTGCTCTACGGGTCTTAGCTCGTTGGTGGGGACACAATGGCGACCATTACCAGAGATTGAAAGCTAATGGGTAAAGGGAGATCAAACCCTGGAGTGACGTCGACCTTGCTTAGAACTTGTCGTTATTCACTTATGCGAGTGGTGTAGCAGATCATCCGGAACGTCTACAGCTTCTTTGCCGAACAAGGTCTTGGGGGAGCTCAACATCGATTTGGTTCCTTGCATGAAGGGAATTGCATATCCGACGGTTTGGGGACTGGGAGAAAAAGACTTCCCGGGTCCACTGCCGAACTTGCCAGGGCACTCCCTACCTGCAACAGGAACTTCGGAGCTCGAAATTCCTGAGACCAAAAGAAGGCGACTGCCTTAAAGCGCAAGGGCTGGATGAAATAGAGGGGTTAGTGGCACTCAGCCCAGGGTGGTGTCGACCATTTTGATCCGTGCAGCTAGATCGACAATGGCATCCGTCGTCTGAAATCTTCGAGGATGCCACATTACGAAGATCTTCCCTAAGCTCAGATGCTCCCGTACGACCGGACGACTGATCGGCTACAGAACATGGGCGCATCTCCGGGCTGTGGGCGACGGTTGCTGTCACCTTCTTTTCCAGTTTAGAGCTGCGGCCCGCGGATCGAACCAGTTCAGTCACTTCTGCAAGGATGAAAGTTGCAAGTCACACCCCCAGGATAGACTATCCTTGTTCGGCAATTGTCGAAATCTGACTGGGCTATCTGACTCTGGGAGATCTGGCCCAGGAATTCTAACTTGGACACCAAGATCAACCCGCTGTCTCTTCCATTGATCTCCCATGATGACACCATCTCGGAAATCGCAGCCAACGGCTCTGTGCTACGGCAGAAACGATCTGGTTGCACCGTTCCACTAGCCATGGGGCCATCTCTTACCTCGAAATAACATTCAATTGACGCATTACGTGCACATGTCGACTGATGAAGCCATGGGATAGCCCAAGAACCCTGTGAGACGAAACTGCGCAACCTATCTGGCAACAAGTATGCCAACCTAACACTGTGCATACTAGTTAGCTCAACCAAGTCTTGACTGCCTATACGCATCCTCCTTGGTCTTTCCAATGGAGTGAATTTAGTCAAGGAAAAAGAAAAATAGCACCATGCCAAGTCTTTGTTGCTTCTCGCCTGACCTCGGGAACATCGGTTGTCTGATGTCTCTCAGTTCCGAAGACGACGGGATGATTCAGATCATGTTTGATCGCCGACCTCTTATGGGATGACTACGCTATGCAGACTTGCGGCGGCTCTGCTTGTAGCTTTAACGATAACAATAACAGAAAATGCGGGGTGCAGTGGAGCTGCTTGAAATCCTAGCACTGCTATGAACCAGTAACTCGCTAGAAAGCACACCCTAGTTACACATCATACCAGATCGACTCCTGCAAGTTGATGCGGACGCGGCGCGCCTGAGTATGACCGTCAATACATCCTCACATTCTCAGATCCAGTTCGTCCCAACTGTCGGATGATGCTACCGTTTTGAGAGAATTGCACTCCTCGGGTGCCTCTCAGGCAACTCGCTGGGGTTAACTGACTTGGCCCTTCCTTTTGAGAAGCGACTCGAACCCTAACTTTTGCTGTGTGTTTTCCCCGCTGTGGGTTGGAAACATCAGCTCTCTAATTATTAAGGGGCCCGAGTGGTATCGTGGGGCTTGACAAGAGTGCGATCTGAGGGGCAATTGTCACATTTGCAGCTTGCTGTCCTAATTCTATTCCGATTAAATGTATCAGCGCCTTAGACATCAGCCTGATTACATTATCATCGAGGTTGATTGAACAGGCGCCGGCAGTGTTGGTTCCAGACCGCCATGTCACCCATCATACACAGCTTGCAAGGTGCTTCTGCAGCGTTGCATGACCGGATGATCTTAACAACGCGCGCCGAGGTGAGGAGCAAGGAGCGTTCGGCTCAAGCAGTTACCATGTAGCTGGAACTGCTCGGCATCCGTGTCGCGGCCCGCTAGGCCTGCGACCTTTGGCTGCAACAGGGAAGATGAAGTCGACGCATGCATGACAGAAAGCGAGATGAAAGGATTGTTCAAAGCACCAGTCACAGGGCCAAAGCATAAGCGACAGCGCCCGTTGGCCAAAAAGTCCAGACCATTGAATTGCCAACATAGTCGCCGAACTTTCCCTGGGGCCAGAAGATATTGCAGAGCGCTATCATTTTTTATGTTGTCCCTAATGAGGATTCCCTAACCTTACCTACGCACTGTTGAGGCCGCGAACGTGGTGAGGTTACAACCCGTCATCGGTAGCCCATCTTTCCTTGACTGATCTGAGTTTAACCAATTGACGTGAGATAGCAGACGATACTAAGGCACATATAGATCCAAAATAGAGGCCAATGTGTTGTCTGCATTTTTACTTTTATTTTTTATTTTCAAATTTTTTTTTTGGGAGGCTGAAGCATGTCGTCGGATGTACTAGTCTTGAAAGTCAAACTATCTAGCAACTGCAAGACCGTGATTCATTTCGAAAGCCAACACAAGCGTCTGCGTGAGTCAGACTTGTTCATGCAAACCTTGCGGTAGCTTGGTAACAAGAAGGTCTTCACCAAAACTCACTCTTAGCTCGCCATTGTCTAATACTGTCCATTATTGTTATTTACGATACTCTTGACAACCAACCGCCTGGGATACTTGAAACCCAGAAGCACGCTCCTCTTCAAACCCCAAAGAGTCGATTGAGTTAAGAGGCAGCCCGTGGCGGTAGTTTAAGGCTCTTGTGCGCAATGATGGACCAAGGGGCGGCAACGGGACAGTTCTTTCATCATTCGTCCCATGTCTGTGCTTGGACAGAGGCCCGGCTAGGATTCGTATGGACTGACAAGTAAAGACAGGGATGAATGCAGAAGTGGCCCGGCGCGACCCCGTCGGCCATGCTCAATTTGATCAAAATCGAGAGTTGAGAGAAAAGATCACGAGTTAGGAACCGCCCAGGCAGTGTGGAATGCGACGGCTACAGCGCCAGTAAGATGAAATTCAAGTCGTATCCCCCGCCTTGTCACCTGGTGGTTGCATACATCTCAATCAAAGCTGGTATCCACCAATATCGAGCTTGCACATCTTAGTGAGCGGGTGCTTCCTGTACCTGATTTTCTGCAGCATGGTGACCTTCTCGCTCTTCGCTCTGTCATCCGAAGTTGGCCACCCTCCTCCAAGCAACCCTGTCCTGCCCAGACCTCCCACACCCACCCCTCGTTACCCCCGTCGTAGTGGGACAAGGGTTTGAGGAAAGGGCCGCTCTCAAGCAAGTTGACGGCGTGTGGCCCCGTGCTTCCTAGTACCCGCGAAGAGCTTGCAAGATGAGCATGGGGTTTAAGATGGGGTGAGATGGGATGTGACAACAGCCAGCCAATCGTCAAGTCGGCCGCGTTAGATGAGACGCTAGGTACCCAGCGGGCTCACCAGGTGGCCTTTGGAGGCTCTCTGATGTGCAACATGGACAACGGATTGCACAGGGGACTGTCTAGGGAAGAATAGTCGTAGAACGCCTGCGACGTCCAAGGCTGTCATCATACCTGGCGCTTATCATAGCGACTTATTGCCCAGACAGAGAATCTGGAGCAGGAGGGGTCATCAGAAAGACACAGGCGAGAGGTCCGCATGTCATTCCGAGCAAGCGCCTTTCGACATGCAGTTTCAGGCCCTCCGAAAAGAGGGCCGAGAAAAGTCATCTACTCAGTTTTTTGCCTTTCCTCTTTGGCCTCGCACACAGGGTCGTTACAATGACAAGATCTGGTACCTGCAGCAAGCTCTTCAGTTTCTGTCTGATTACATCTCTCTCTCCCCACCCTCCTTGCTCCCTCCCCCTTGTCATTTCTCGCGGTCTTGTCTCTTGGTTCAACTACTTTGGCTGAGACTTCAGTCGTGCACTGCGTCTCTCGTAGGGCGGTACATAGGATCAAGCCGGGCAACGCTCGATACTGATGAGGACTTAAGCAGCGGGAAGTCTGGTTCTCGTTCTCAGGATCACGTCCGTTCGCCTTCGACAAGTTCTACCATCCCTACCAGGCCGTTTTTCTTTCTTCTTGACCCTTGAAAACCTCAATCAGGCGCCTCTGATGACTGGAGGGCTGTTGTGAGCCCCCTCGCCACCACGGAATCGATACAGATCTTCCTATAAACGAGACTCGCCCCAACTACCGTCACAGCCCAACAATAATCTACCCCGTTGCGCGAAGTTCAGCTTCATCTGCTCGTTTAGGCGAAGACCTCTTCCTAACCTAATACGCCATATCTGCGAGTCGACCTTGATCTCCTCACTTTGCACCAACAACGATCAAACACCACGAAGAGAGGCGGTAAAAGATTGGGCGAATAAAAAGACTCGTATCTGTCTTCTGAGACACAGCTGCCCAGCCCCCACGCACAGTTGTCAACAAGCGGCCATCATTCAATCAGTACGCTGGTACTAGCGCGGACATACGACTAATAAGCTGAGATTGCCATCTGGTGGCGCTGGAAGATACAGCCGTCTGCCGCGGTCCATTCGCCATCGAACACAAGTCCTCGCGCTGCGTGCTATTAGTCGGGCATTCCCTGAATGCAGCCGGAAACCAAGGTATGGGAACACCCGTCACTACTCACCCTTTCTGTAATCGCCGTACCCTCGCTCGCCTCATTGAGGCTCACAACAATCTTCGTCTTTCCTCTTTGCCCCCAACCCTCGATCTCTTTGGTCAGCGTCTCGCGTCATGATTCTCTCCGCCTCAAGGTAATCAAAGCCCTGACTAAGACTTTTCAGGCCTTCAAGCTCCCGAAAGAAGTGAAGTTTGGGTGGCAGGGGTAATTCGGTCCAGGGCCAGGCCCATGGTTATTGGACTCGGAAGGTATTTGTTGACTTCCACATCAAGAACCCTAGCAATCCCTGACAGCTTTGGCCATGGCGGCCAGCCCGACAGATCAGGTACATCTTGCCGTTACCTCACCGATCATACACCCCCCCAAAAAGAAAAAAAAAGATAAAAAAAAATTGGATGCCCAAAGTGGAATGACATCGCCAGTACTTGGATGACCAGCTTGGTTCTATACTTGGAGAGGCGAAAAAAAAGGAAAAAGAACAAATATTGGTAGGATCAGCAGCGTGAGAGGTACGTTCCCTTCGTTTTTTCCTTGGTTTCACTCGCTTCTTCCTCGGGCATTCGTTCTCTTTTTTTAGGTTGATTTTTCAACCTCTCTAATGGCCGCGTACCAAGTCGTTCACTTAGGGTTGTATCAAAAATCTCATTGTACCTTGCTTACAGCTCATTTTCTTCCTCGATCACCTCGCCCTACAACCACCACGTCCGCCTCGCGTATAAGGCTCCTAGCATCAGCTAGCCCAACACTCGTTGAACATAACTGTCGCATTTGCATTCCGTGGTAGGAGGCTTGGGATACCTTGACTGGTATTGCCCTTCCTTGGCACCCTTCTCTTGTCTTCCCCCAGCTTGGGTTGCAATCAGCCCACGGCAAGAGAAATAAGTTGGGGAGCCGACCCAATTTTGACGCTGGTCACCTCAGCAAGCAAGCCTTACAACTTCGGTACACTACTTTGTCAGTGCCGCACTCGCAGCCAGGCACGACCGCTTAAGGCATCTCGATTGGCTCATACTCGTCTTCGCTTCTCGCCCCCCGTCCTGTTTCCGCATTGGTTCTGCGCGCGTTATTGCACCAGACTCTCTGCCGGCAGCAAAGCTTGGTCCCTCTTTTCCAACGTGCACTTGTTGATACTTCCATCAACACCTTGTTGAAGAGGGCACGGGCATCCGGTCTCTCTATCAGTTGGCCTTCTTAGAGGTTGATCCCAACGACTCATAACGATCCGGTTCTTTGTTGGAGGCCGACTTGCCAACTCTTGCCCGGAACATCGAACCCTCTCGTCTCACTCCTATCTAGCCTTGCACTGGCTTTGTCGTCGCAGCCCCTGTGCCGAGCCCATCACGGCGTGACCTAGCACCTCTCGGACTCTGATCTCAAGACGCAACTTCTGGACAGCTATCTATATCGTACCATATTCTTTAGGCCTGGGGCAAATGGTCTGGATCATGTCTTACCAATACCCTCCGCCTCTACCCTCGAGTGGCCCCGAAGTGGATATGTCTCATTCCGGGTACGCGCCTAACTACAGCGCGCCAGCTGCCGGTCCTCCGCTCATGGTCCCGCGGTCCCATGAACAATCCCAGAAAGATCGAAACGAATCCTTCTCTCAGGCAAGTATGATATTGAAACATTCCATTTCCACGCCTAATATTAGATCGTGGCAGGCCAACATGTCCGACCCGAACCAGGCCGGCCTAGCTGGTGAAAAGAAGAGGAATAAGCTGGGTTATCATCGAACCTCAGTAGCTTGTGGTAAGTGCTTAACTCCAGATGCTTTGATTAGCCCAGACACCCCCATGCCGATGCCGCAGAAGTGTGCTAAAACGACCTTTAACAAGGGCACTGCCGTCGACGGAAAATTCGCTGCATCCCTTCTCCAGGAGACATCCAGGGCCGGTGTATAAACTGCATCAGGTTGAAGAAAGAATGTAGCTTTTACCCCGTAGATCAGCCACCGCCGCCACAGCCGACAGAGGCGCGTCCAAAGGCGACTTCCCGAGCATCAACTGGACCCAAGGTTGCTTCGGCGTCTTCTTCCCCCGCCATGGCTTCTGGGCAGTCACCGGAGATTTCACAATACCAGCAGTATCAACACGTGGCGATGCCTTCCGCCCAGAACATGGCGCCGCCCACTATGCGGTCATCGAACATTGAAACAAGTAGGTATCAGCACTCGCTGAAGACTTGAGCAGTAATTGACAGAAGTGAAACCAGTGCCTCCAGGCGCCTCGTCGGCTTCTCGTTCCTATGACTTTCCGCACCAAACAGTGGTGAATTGGATGCCATCGGATGTCAGCTCTGGCGGTGCAGCGAAACCGCCCGGTTTGAATGAGACCTGGAGAACATATCCTCAGGAGTCGCCAATCACACCATCTTTCTCGCCGTACACTCCTCAGGGGCCTTCCTCAGCTGGATGGGGAACAGCTATCAACGCAGACCCAAGCGCCCGGGAAGAGATGGGATGGGCCTCTTTCGTACCACAGGGTGCCATGGCGTATCCTAGTGAAGCTCAGTTGCCTTCCCACTACACTGCAGTACCACATGGCCGCGTCTTTGGTAGGAAATCGTCTGCGATGTCTATGGATATGTACCCTACTCAGATAACCACCTCGGTTTCTGGCATTGATCCACAAGGTGCATCACTCTCGGCGGGCGCAGTCCCACCTTCGGGCTACGGCTCATGGGACCAGCCGTACACTTATACCAAAACAAATGAAGGCTACGACAATTGGGAATATGAAGAGAGCCGCGAATGAACTATCAGTCCGGCAGCGCATACTTACGAACGGATAGACGCGATTTCGGTGGTGCTCGAAAGCCCTCAGTGGTGTTTGCGTCAATAGAAGGGACAACATATGCGGCAAGCCTTAGAGAGGCTATTGAACGCTATTCGGACCACAGAAGTCAGAACAAGACAGCAGAAGCAGCGAAAAGGAAGGATTTATGGAAAGCATTTGCATTTTACGGACCATATTGAAATTCGAAAGATACCCGCACCCGCTTTGAAAGCGGCACCATGCAGTCCGGCGCAGATATGGCAGCGGCATTTGAGCGACTTCGATTCTTTGACAACAGAGAGTGAAAAAAAGGATTGGAGACCAGGTTCGATTTTAAGCAAGTTTTTGAGAAACTGAGATACGACAAGCGGCCAAAACCCCTGGAGCAGACACATTTGTTTGGGTGCGAGGTCCAAGCTTGATGGGTCTGTGACACGGGGGTCACACGAGACGCCAAGTGATGGATCCTCGGAAAGAGCTGACGAGCCCGGAGAAGCTTTGAAATCTGCTCTGGGCGCGAAGGCTTCAGTCAACCCAAACCCCCCAATAATCCCCCGGCATACGCACGATACATAGCGGATGGGTGGTAGCTTTGCCGAGAAATGATGTCGCGGGCCGTCACTGCCACCGTCAGCGCCATGACCTCGCCCGACAACACAACTTACCTTCCGTTCTCCCTAAGCCGTGTCTCTCGACCGGCCATTGTTCCAGAAGGGGATGGAGGACGTCGAATTTGGGTACCAAGCATGGCGCAGGCGGAGGAGAGTGGGGCCGCAAGGGCGGACACCGGGTAACCCAGACGGTAAACACGAAGTCTAACCAAACCGAAACCGAAGACCCGGTGTTCGCCACGGCAAAGGATTCAAAAACCCTTCCGGTGGTTATACGGCGAACCAACAATGAGCTTCCGGAGCAACCCCATAGTGAGAAGGCGGAGCTCGGTGTACAGAGGTGGGATTAAGGTGTGATGGACGGCGGGAAGGATTTCAAACCAGTCTGGCGGGGAAAAGTTTAAAAAGGGGGGAGAGCAAGACATTTTGGGAAGCATACGCATTCCCAAGGGCTTCGATGATGGCTTTTTATCACCTTCACTCTTTTATTTTGTTTCTTTCTCTTCCCCCTCCCCCTTTTGCCATTCGTTATCGCCGCGTTTTTCATGTTTCTTTTCTTTTCTTCACGCTATTTTTTTTTTTTTTTCGATTCGTCTACATTCTTTTCGCTCCCTCCCCTTTTCCCCGCACTCGTTTCTTTCCCCCTATTTCTTTTTCCTTCACGATCATGTAGATTTGACGCTTTGATTCCCTTCGACACGACAGCTTTACGTCCCCCCCACTTCCCCTTCTTGTTCACATTACCAGACATGTTTGGTTGCTTTTTTTTTTTTTTCTTTCCCTTTCTCTTTTACTTCTTCTTTCTCATTTCTTATAGGAATAGATTACTTTCGCCATTGAATGGTTGCATTCATGTACCGTGTAAATGTTACTTGTGCTTTGATGACAGCCATTATGACTGAAATGAAAACTGCGCGTGATATAATGTCTTCCGGAGCCACAAAAGAAGTTGTAATATATGCTGGCCGTGCTCTACATGACGTAAACTCGGAAAACCCCCCAAAAAAAGGAAGGGGGAGGGGGGGAGGGGGACATTGACCTTGGCTACCACCCAGCTGAAAATTATTCAGGTGTTGTAAAAACTACTGGGTTCAGTGCTAATTCACCATTACATCGAGTTGAAAGCTGCGTCCATTTTGTAAGTCCGTCACGATGAGAGACCTCATCATACAACCAACATAGGTAATCCCGCGACGGGCTTCCTTCCGGACTTGTCGGGATTCACCCTACCCGCCGAAATGCAACCCTACTCCATTCGCCCAATCCTGCATGAGCCGTGGCTTCGCATCATGTCACTCGCTTTTGTCTTGCTGCTGATAGGCCTTTCTCGAATTGCTGGAATCCAAAACGGCAGAGGGATCTCAGGAATGTGCTCCCCCTGTGACGCTGCATGGAGAAGCCGTCACCAATCACGCATATGTTGATTTGAAGGCCTCCTTAAGTCGTTTCCCATTGGAGAAATTGCAAGAGAAAAAAAAGGCCGATATAAATGCTAGTACGCTAAGCAGGTCATCTCGTCATTCATGTGCCATTTGCCATACGGCTATTAATACTCTTCTAACCCCCCTTCCTCCGTCCGTGGAGCAAGGCCTTCAATGTACGAGTTGCCACGTGAGCACCAGAAGCGTAATGTATGCAGCTAAACTGAGGACGGTGAGCAGAGCGACGCTGTTGCCCGAGGTGCGGAACTTGCGGACAACGGAGACGGAGCCATCCACGTCCTCCTTTGGGGAGGTAAAGAACTGGCGGTTGCCCTCATGACGGCGGTAGATGGCGACGAGCATGACAGCGGCGCCGTAAACGGCGAAGAGAGCCCCGATGGCATAGAACTCAGAGGTGAAAATCTTCAGGATAATGAGTGCGAAGGAGAACTGCGAAAGGGCGGTGCGCATGTAAGCGCCCTCAAAGGTCCTCTGTGCTGCACGGATCTCGACAAGTCTGAAGTGTGTCAGCCTGGGATTTGTACAATCTTTGCGACGCTTGACCAGCGTGCGAGGGGGATATGACAGAAAGGAGCATGGAGCTTGATGCTTTCAACTCATTTGATATGGATGCTTACTCTTCGGCTGTCAAGATGACTGACCGGGCCCTGTGAAGGCGCAGGTGGAGATGGTCTTGGGGGTTTGGCTGTCACGGATATCTACGAGTCAGCAACGGCGTTTCCGTTTGTGAGTTGCATAGCATCGTGATAAATGCTTGAGGTCCTCATCAGTTAATTGGGATGGACGAAAGATGTATCACCTTCCTGTCCAAAGGGAATGGTTTCGAAAACACGGACCTGGAACATTGCGCATCAGTTTAGGCCGAGATCCGTTCTCCAAGTAACGGCGAGTAGCCAGAAACCGCTTTGTTAAGATTCCGAATTGTTATCCAAATAACAGGTCGGGGATGGTCTGCTTCGTTGTCGCGGTAGACAAAATCAAATGCTCGGAACTAGTAGTGACGAGATACAGGGCTGAGATGGCTCCATTCCCATGTCCGAGGATAACGTTCACGGAGGGAGGTTTGGAGTTCCCCACCAGGTGATCCCCATCAAATCTTGGCTAACCAATGAGATCGGTATATATAGTGGGTAAAAACCAACGATTAGATAAGGGGATGGAAATGATAACCAATGAATGCCATTGATGTGGAGTAGCTGTATCAACAGTGCGTAACATTCTGAGTCTGTAGAGACAAGCAGATTCTCAGATTGCTCGCATGGCGTCGCATGGCGTTGCGCATCTCATCTGATGTGCCAGTGGTGTCCTCTTTGACATGCCTCGACCTTGCATGGGCTACAACGGATGCTTCGTCAGCTTTGCATATGATTTATCTACAACGTTGCTTGAGGACTTTTGATGCTGGGTAGGTACGAAGAGCCTTGGCATTCAAGAGCCTGGATTCAATTGGTGCGTTCCCGGTTGGCTGATGCTAAAAGCATTTGTGCAGAGAGGTTCGGATAGTGCACCGGTCTGGCTGACGGGATGGCACATTGTCATTCGTCAGATGAACGACCAGGCTCCTCGTTTTGCTGTATTTTCGGCAATGTGACGCAACGATCGCAATCCCATGTCTCTGTCCACTGGTGCCAACAGACCCCTTGATTCAGCTGCTAACCGCCGAGTGCCCTTTACATCGGCGATGCTAAAGATTCCCCAGTAATTCGCACTCGTTGCTCTTGTCAGGCACATGTTTAGAGCCAGGTTCGCTCGTCGGGTGCACCTCCACGGAACAAACAAGAAATAGCTGGAGAGCCGCTGCGTGTTGGAAATGCCGGTTTGTCATAGACTGTTAGTACCGTCCTGTGCCGCAGCAAGACATGGCAAAGCGGACCGCTGGGAACACTTGTGGCGCTGCGCAGCCTCAATGCTTCATTCGTTTCGTGCCGCGATGTGCCATGTGCACCGCCCTCGAGGTAGAATGTTTATGCCCAGGATCCCAACATGAAGAAATATCCGAGTTCCATCGCCGCGGCGTGCGGCTGTGCACAATCGTGCCAGACCCCACATCCAAATATCAGGCTCCCCGGTGACCGGTGCGGAGCGACGATGGGAATCTCGTAGATGCGAAAGCGACACCAAAGAGCCATGTGTGATGTTAATGCCCCCTCCCCCCCGTGCTAGCCCGGACCCAGACGGTACCCAGCCGGGACTTGGACGCTGGGCCAAATACGGAAATAATTGTCGAAGCTCTGGATGCTGCACTTTAATGATTGCCAGCGATTCCTCGGCGTGGTTGCCTGATATCCGGAATTTAATCCAGACTGTCTACTGGCAGATGACATCAGTGTCTGCAGGTCTGACGGGGCATGTTCAAGGTTCTTCTCAAGGTAAAAAAGATTTGCGTAGCAGTATGCCAAAGGGTTAACTCTGAATCAGCCGGATGTGGAAATCTGCCTCCCCGGTGAGGACAAGATGACGGGAGAGCTGGCGATCCAGTGGCTTCTTTCTGTGACTGGGGCCCTGATGGCCATGATGTTTTAGCAGCAGTAGACACAGAGAGGATGACGGTGGCGGGGGAATGTTGTCTGGGTGGTTGATGAACGACAGTAGGGCAATGCTTAGCTTGCAACCTGTGCGACACGGGAGAGGCAGAGCAGGGTCAGGGTGTCATGAATGATAACCAGGGCAGTTCCTGCGTGGTTTCGATTGATTTGGCGGTGTCTAGGACAGGGTGCCTGTATTTCGATTGCCGGGCTGCTTCTGTCCTGGGGCTGAGAGAAATGCGCCCAACGAGTGCATTGAGAAAGCCTCGTGAGAATGGAAGTATTAGGGTAATACTTTGGTCTGTCACGAAGTACTGGTGGCTGTCTCAGGTCCCTTCTAATCTAACCGATCCCGGCCCCCAATCCGCCCTACAGGCAAGTGTGCCTGTGGACAGTCGGACCATCGTCCACTCACAGCCGTATCTAGGCTTGACTTGGAGACCCACAGAGCGGGGCGTGGTGCTGCATGAGGTCCCGCGGAGCGAAGAACGCTCTCCCACTAACGATGATAAGGAAGGAACCAGTTGGGGGGGAAACATTTTGGGAGGGGCCTAAGGGAAGAAACAAACTGCGGAGTGTACATCAAATGCGAACCATTATAACTATGAGGGCATTCCACTGGACGCCTTACAACAAACAGGAAGACAAGAGGGAGGAGGGAAGGGAAAAAAACCAAAGAAGGCAACCAGAACCCCCCGTCAGCAATAATGCGAATTATGTCTCCTTCCGTACCTGTCTGGCTGCCTGCCCATTACATTACAAACCGAAAACCAAACCCTACTCACTCCAGGGGGCAGGGTCAATGAGGAAGGTACGGGGTGTCAAAGATGCTTTTCATGAGGTTTCGGCCGATTAAAAAGTGGTCTGAACGATCGTTGGTCAAGAAGCCTCAGACAAAATGGATAAACCAGGAACCTTGTGGTCGTGGAGCTTCCCGTGTCATTAGTCCAACTGCGTCTCACAGTGGCAGCGAGAGGCAGCGTTGTGGCGGCGCATTACCGCCTCGGTGGGCTGCGCATTCTGACCAGGATGTTACCGCCCACACGCTTTCACTGAGACAGGTTAAGGTGGAAGAGCTGAACACAGAATAAAGACAAGTAGGTGAGAAGGTAGGCAGACTGCAGCCCGAACCCAGCCCTAGACAGCTTAGCCTCCAGGACCCCTTCCATCTGGTGCCGCCTCCTCCCTTCTCCTCATGTTGGTCCAGCAAAAAGGTACATGCACCTGCCCCTAACTAACTGACTGGCATTAGCTTGACCACTATGTACACACAGTAATTACCTTACTTTGATGCAAATTGAACCCACCGAACCCAACTTGGCTTCCGCTCCCTTAGATTGAATTTGGGTCGCTGTCACTCCCAGTCCCACCACCTAGCCTGCCAATCATCCAGTAACCATCCATCTTTCCATCCATCCCTCCCCATCATCCTTGAGCATCTTCCATTCTCTCATCCCCCCTCCCCTCCTTCAACCCATCTCAGGCTTGTCGACTCTGCCACAATCTACCGATGCCACGGCCCTAGGCTCTCTCGCGCCTCGTTTTCCTGTGCTTGTATGAGCTCATCGGGTCTTGTCTCCCATCTTTCCGTCATCCGTGGACTCAAGCCTCTTCAGCCAAACATCGCGGATAGCTTGTCGCATATCTCGCTTCGCGCTCCCTGCTAGAAACCCACGTCAAACCACCACCGGTCCACCAGTCTTTCTGTCTTGGCCTCCTCTCATCTTTGCGACCAACATCTAACCAGCCTGATCACCGGTAACTGCAACGTACAATCCCGATTTGGTCGTTCTGAATTCAAGTGCACTCACTCAGCCAACGGCCTTGCTCGTGTGGCCCCCCAACCCCCCTTGCTTCTCGTCCCCAGCTCTTGGTTGCGGCGCGCAAGACGTAGTAGTATCCAGAATAAGCGCTGGTCAAAAGAGACGACCAACCCATCCACCTAGGCCACCGCACCGCCGCCCCTCCACACACGGAAACACATTTCTTGTGGCTTCCCCCCAGCCTGCCGAGGGCTAGACATTTTCTTCCAGAAACAACATTTACATCAGGCCGCCACCTTATTTCGTCGGTCCAGTTGCTCATTTCTCTGCTCTCAAAGACTCTAGGCGACCCGCATCTTGTTGTGTCATCTCGTGCTCGCCGTCCATTGCACCGGCATAGCGCATCGTGTTGCTGCTGAACCAATTACTGCTGGGCAAGAACATGACATCGTCTTTCTAAGCCTCGGGAGCAAACCGGCCTCAGTATTGGTCCCCAGTCGTCTGACCAACTTGAAGACGGGCCAGCGCTTTCAACAAAATCCTAAACCCATCCTGACTGTCGCCTGTCTTTGCCCCCGGCTCCACCGTCATCATGGCTTCGACCTACGCCGTCCCTCCTGCTTCGCTCCATGACGGGCAGGTGAACGAACCCCGCAACCCCTCTCCACCGACGGGCGCTCAGCGCCGACTAACTGCCAGTTCGTTTGACCCGAACCATCTTTCGCCCTCATCGCAGTTCCAGAGCAGCTCGGTTTCGCCCTCCTTCAACGATACCCCAGCTGAATCCATCTCAACATTCAGCCAGTATCATAGCGATTACAGTGATATCGATGACTCGCTCGACCCCTTCTTTGGTGTGGACTTCAGCGCAACAGAGCCTGGTACACCTTCGTTTTTGGGCCCTCAGTCCGGGGCCGAGAGCTTTGGTCAAATTGCGACAAACGAAGGCTCAAGGACTCGCAACGGGACTCTAGATGCCCACTCGTATCCCTTCACACCCGAGCAAACAGCCTCACTTCACACAACCTCGCCGGGAAGCGACCGGAGGACAATCGCCAAGCCCGTAGTCAACCGCTTGCCTACCTCTATCTCGCCCCATGAATTGCAAAAGCCGTTCGCACCTCCGCCTATTGTCACCCATGCCGTACCTACTGCTCCCGCCCCTCAGCCGACGCCCGATCCAAGCGGCAGCGGCCGGTCCAGTGAGGACGGGGCCGTGCCATCGCCTGCCATGAGAGCAGCCCAGAGCCCCCGAGTCACCGTTTCGATGTGGGGTAGAGATAATGCTGAGCCTATCCAGTCGATTGAACGCACCTTTACGCCGGATGACGAGGACTCGTCGACGGCGCAGGGAGGAGGCGTTGGCTCTGCAGGTGACTTGATTTCTTCGCAAGACCAACCCCCCTTCATGTCGCCCTCGCGACGCTCATCATTCGGCCGCCGTGGGTTGGATCCAGACCACAGACCCTCGATCGAAGTTGCGAGTGTTAACGAGATGTTGACGCGCCGTGAGATCGAGGAAAAGAACCTCGAAGTCGACCAATGGCTGAATGGTTCTATTTCAGCGCCGCCTCAGCAAGACACCAACCTGCAGACTAGTCCCGAGTTTGTAGCTGGAGATGACCAGATCCACATGGGCGACCAAACCGAAAATCGCTATCAACCTGGGCAAACTTACTTCGTGCCTGGGATCGGTGAAATGACAGCTACAGACTTGCACATTATGCACTCGAACCGAGTCTGGGGCGACGCTGCAATGATCCACCCAATCAGTGGACCAAACGCAGACAGATATCAGCCAGAGTCTTCAAATGCCGCCATCGCTCGCTTCAACAGGATGTGCATGGATAATGCGTCCATCATCTCCAAAGCGGCCACGTGGGGTACACGTCGGCGGAACTCTCTGCCAAGTCTCCACGACGCGGACATCGAAAACGTCACCAGCGGCAATATACTAAAGAAACTATCCATCAGCAGGGGCGAAGGTGGCCGGAGACCGAGCATCCTGAAAGAGCTGCGCGGCATCGTCCGCAGACCCAGTGCCACTTTTAAACGCTCTAGAAGCATTCACGAGGAGGATCCTGTCAAGTCCGAAGCCTCGCCTCCTGAAAAGCGTGATAGCCTGCCCAACCTCCTGCAGGCTCGCACTGGCAGCTGGGGCACAAAGAAAACGCCTACTCCTAGTATCAACACTGCTCTGGTGTCTATGGGTACCGGTATTGGTTCCATTGGAACAACTCATGCCCGAACCGGCTCTATCAGTGCCACCCCCATTACATCACCCAAGAGCCCTTTTGGTGGCTTACAAGTCAAGAACACACTTCGTAGACCGAGGAGCAAATCTGACCTTCCGAAGGCCAGCAGCACCGAGACCCATCCTACTCTTGTCAACATGTGGAAGAAGACCGGCGGGCCACCTGTAGCTGCTCTCGCCAAGACATCTTCCACAAACCTAGATTTGGATGATGATGACGATGAGGATGATGGCTTTGAGGAGGGTGAGATCAATTCCGAGTCCAGCAAATTGATTGATAACATCACGCCCAACTTTGCCGGTTTCCAACGACATATCATCTGCCTGAACCCCGATCTGGAGAACATGAACAACTTCTTAGTTGATCGGATAGCTCACCAGCAGCTTGTACGGTACAAAAGCCTTCTCAACACCAAGGTAAAGCACCTTGGCCTCGGAGCAGCCTGCAGTAGCGGGTCTCTATGCCAAGCTCGCGGTGGTCGTGCCGTCTTGCTCGACCAGAAGGGAGATCTTCGTGAACTAGACCCCCTGTCCACTGGGCTCGATTCAGGAGACGGCGACTCGACACCCATTGAGGGTGCTATTACAAAAGACAGCTTCCCTCAAGACATTCCTATGCCGCCTACGCAGTCGCTGCCGGCCGAGTTTGAGTGCCAGCTTTGCTTCGCGCTCAAAAAGCCCAAGAAACCCTCCGACTGGACCAAGCACGTTCATGAGGATGTGCAGCCATTCACTTGTACATGGGACAGATGCCGTGATCCGAAGATCTTCAAACGCAAGGCTGACTGGGTGCGTCATGAAAACGAAGGCCACCGCCATTTAGAATGGTGGACGTGTGATGTTGAGGACTGCCGGCATACCTGTTACCGTCGGGACAACTTCCTTCAGCACCTGGTTCGTGAGCACAAGTTCATTGAGCCGAAGAATAAAACGAAGGCGGCCATCAAGAAAGCTGGCGGTGTAGATCCCACGTGGCACAAGGTAGAGCTGTGTCGCCACGAAACTACAAAGAGGCCACAAGAAGAGCCATGCCGATTCTGTGGCAAGCAGTTCCCGTCTTGGAAGAAACTCACGGTCCACCTGGCCAAACATATGGAGCACATCAGCTTGCCTATTCTTCGCCTGGTCGCGGCCAAGGAGCTGGAACCGGACACCCTTATCAGCCCCGTGCCAGATCCGCCACCAAGGTCCCTATTTAACGTACCGGAACCCACGAGCGCGGGCTCCGTTGTGAAGAGTGAGATGTCTCAGGTTCCGAACTATACGCACCCTTCGTACCAGCCTCACACGATGATGCCAAACAACAATGGAGTATTTCAAAGCATGGATCAGTTTGGGTTCTCAGCTAGTGGCGCTGGTAACTCCCAGTTCCCGGATTACATGTATGGCCCACAGTACTCGAACAATGCTCAGTCGATAGGACAGAACATGCTGGGACTGCAACCCCTTAACCGTGGAACTCAAGGGTTCAACCAGCAATATGACAACGCCAACAATATGGCCATGGCTGGCGGCCCTTACATGGGAACCCAGCAACAGTACATGTCAATGGCGCCAGAGACGGAGCCTTTCCCAGCCATGGACCAGAATGCTCTTGGTTTGCACCAACCCACCCAGTTGGGGCCTCATATGAGCTACGACGGACTCATGACGCAGAACAATAACCCTCAGGGGCCCATCTCGCCATACTCAAATTCTCCTCTCCAAGGTGCCTCGGGCTTCTATCACCCTCCTCAGTAAGCGTGGTGCAAGCTGCTCATGTTGATCTAGAGGCTGCACCTTCTTTTCATATCGACGCGTAGTTTTGGATACCCTTTCTACTTGTAAAGCACCAATTCCAACAAAGCTGCTTTGGCGAGACTCTGTTTGGAAGGTTTTTTATTTTTGAATTTTTTTCTTCGCCAGTTTTTTTTTTTTTTTTCCATGAGCTTCAATCACGGCCGACACAGGTTTGGAGTAAACAGGGGCGTCCATGAACGAAACGAAACATCAAAAGAAAAGGGAACATGTGCGCGGAAATTTCTTGGATGCCTAAGCTTACGGCACGGTGTGTGATGTCGATCTGTGAGGTGTACTCCATGACGGCCTAGTAGTTAGTTATATATTAGGGTTGATGTCAAAGTTTGGTCATAAGCATGGTGTCGTTTGTCCATATACACATTGACGGCGAATGCCGAGGCCGGCAGCGGATAAGATGAGGCCTCCAGGAACCAACAGACGACATGCTGGTTGGAGTGGGCGGGAGAGTATTTCTTTGCTGTTCACAGCCCGGATAGATAAATCGTACCTAATATGTGAAGCAGACTTCCATGGTATTACTACGCACGTGCTTGGCAGTGCACTCACGCGATGTGACCCAGAGACATTCATGAGAGCCGGCAGGATATCTCCACCAGAGAAGCATTTTTAGCATCCGGCGTCCCCATTTTCGAAAAGGGCGGGCGAATGAAGCCCATTTCGAGGTGAACTGCAAAGCTGCCGAAGCGAAGAAGCGAGGATCCTGGGCTCCCGAGGAGTTATCAAGACCCAACTTAGCCCAGCCCAGCCGGCCCGGCCGTGTCACGCACGCCCCCCCCCCCTATGTCAAGTTTCTTGAGGAGCCCACCCAAGTTTCCAAGGCAAGCGTTGCAATCGCGAAAGGATGGAGAAGGGGGGGAGGAGGAGGAGGAAGGGAGGTTTTTTTTTGGAATGGGGGCCCGCTTCATACGAGGCGCAATGCCCTTCTTTTCCACCCCCCGGGTCGGGGGTGTTATACTATAGTGTTAAAGGGCGGAGCGGACGGCGACGGGAGGTCGACAGCGCCAGCCAGCTAGACCCCGGCGGGCCGCTGGGATGGATGGAGCCAAAGAGATGGAGGGAGGATTTGAAGGGGGAGGGGGGGCGGGTTTGTGTATGGTATTGTGCTCGCCGAAATAAATAAGAAGAGAGGGAAAAAAAAAAAAAAAAACCACAATTATAGAGACGAGGTGGGTAGGCTGGACGGGGACCTGGGACGGACGGACGTTATTCTGGATCTGTGCCTGATTGTCGGTAGTCTGCATGGAAGCGTGCATGAGGTATAGAGGTCAGGGAGGGACCCCCCCGTTTCCTGTCAGGACGGCGCTGAGAAGGATTTGATTGGCGGGCTAGAAGGGTCTTTTGAGATATGACATGATATGGGGAGGGGGAAGTGTGCTGAGTAGGTTTCGCGGTCCAGATTTCTGGATGAGAGGGAAGGGATAGGACAGGGATGGGAGAGAGTTGAGTTTGTTCTTCGTTCGTCGTTTATTATCGGCGGTCGAGGTCAATGACTTGTCGTTGATGCGGTTTTTTTTTTATATCATCACAACGGTATGGAATCGAGAGGTTGGTTGTTTGTCTCTCGTTCTGTTTTGACTAAGGCCGCGAAGCAAGACATTTTGCTTGTCTTGTCTTTTCTTGTCTCATCTTGGCCAACGGCCCGGCCGGCTACGGAATACCAAGAGATGGAAATGGGGGCGCTTTAGCATTCCAAGGGGGGCGGGAAGGAAAAGCAAAGTAACCCGGACCAGTTTTTAGCAGATTGGCGAGGGGGGAGAGATGGCTGGGACAAAGGCATTGTTCTTGGGTTTCGATTTTTTTTTTCTTCTCCCCCTCGCTTCTTCTCTTTGGTACGGAATTTTTTCTGGGGTAAGAAGCCCGGATGAACGGCTACGCATTGTCTTGGAGTGCCGGAGATGGGAGTAGATGGAGGAAGAGGAGGAGGAGGTATAGTTGGGTTTTGTTAACGGCTATGCTACCGGCCTGACACCGCGATGAGTAGCGCGTCCCGAGTGGTTGGGGCATGGGGTGGACGATGGAGGCATGATGCATGTTGAGGTGAGGGGCTACGGCTCGCTGTAATGGCTAGTGGGTGTTTCTTTACGGTGAGATTTTGTTGGAGGACAGATGAAGACGGCTTGCTTTCTGTTCTGAGGACGAGTTTTGTAGGAGAGATGGGAAAGGATAACGACTAGAGATGTTGTCTCTGTGAAGCATAGGGGCATTGAGCCCAAGATTTTGGGTTCGTTTGAGGGCATGTTAACGATGGCCCCATGGCATCAGGATAGGGCCATGTGATGGAGTATACTGCTCTCAGAGGAAGAACCGTAAAGCAGACAAGCAGGCGACGATGGCTTGGGAGTTAGGGGGTCACAAGGTTTCGGGGGATGTTGAGGCAGCCGCGGGGATCCCGCAGGAAACAGACTTGTTTTACAAAGTCGCTGATGAAGGGACTAGGTGAAATCTAGGTTTGAGAGGGAGGGGTCAGTCAAGTTGGGTAAAGTGGCTCAGCCGAAGATGGCTGATGGGTGAAGTCAAGTGAGGATATGATCAGACGAAAATGACAAGTTTAACGTCAACTGGCAGTTTTGGGCGGGGGTCTGACGCGCGAATCGTTACGTGACACGGTGCATCCGAACCGAGGAGGAGGTTCGAGAGTGGAGGGAGGTGGCGCATGTACGAAGGCGAACGGACGCCTGGGGCTCAGAGCGGAGGGCAGACACGCAGAGACAAGAGACGGCGCGACGCACTACCGTCTGGAGGAAGATGAGATGGATGAGCAGTCTGTCCATTTGACGTATGGACGGACGGTTAAAAGCATGTGGACACCGCATACGCAATTCTCACGACTTGAAAGTAAGTCTGTGGGTTGAGATAGAGAAGGAGCGAGAGATTATGTAAGTAAGTCTGTGAGGCAAGAAGATCCAAGGACCAAGGCATTAAATGCCCTTGCGCCACTGACAGATGGCGCGCAGCATAGCGGTAATTAACAAGGCCGACCCCAGGAGGGCACGGGCGGAAGAAAGAATAGAGCGCGCGGGAGATGGGATGGGAGGGAAGGTGATAATCCGAAGTACTTAGGGCCAGGCGCATGGAGACGGGATTGCCTTGTCTTATCTCTGTACTACGTAGTGGAACCAGGTCGGCAGTGGTTCATTGCGCGCATGGCATATCGGATATTGGATAGTGAGTGTGCTGCTGCTGCTGCTGCTGCGCTGCTACTAAGACGGGGTGGAGAAGTAGTAATGGGCGATGTATAGTACACTAGAATGTTGATAATGCTGGTAGCATCAACAAGTTATGCCGTGGTGAGCCGGGTGGTAGTGATGATGGGTAAAGCGGCTGGCAGAGGGTTATTTTTAAAGGCAGGTAATTTTGAAGACATGGTGTCAATCCAGACAAGCCCGCCTGGCCGTTCCAAGAGTTGGGTTCGTTGGTATATTGGATTTAATCTATCAATTGACCAGATCAAGGAAACAGTGGTTCTGGCAAGAGTCAGACGAACGGAACGACAAACAAATTTCCGTAGTCTGGTCTTGTCTTCCTTCCTGTCTCGGCGGGGTTTTTTTTTTCTTCCCCTCTCCCCTGGTGACGTGACTACCTCCGCTCGTAAACCACTCGGTGGAATTTTGTCTTTTGCAGTTGATGGCGTCGTCTCCTCAGTGAAGAATTTCCCAGTTACTCAGAGAAATGGCCTTCTCCTTCTCCGTGATGGCGCAGTTTCAGACAAGACCGGGGTACGGGACCGGTATGGTTCGGGATTCCCTGCTTGGTGCGTGACGCCCGCCGCCGCCGCCCCACGTTCTCTCCTCTCACTCGCTGCTAAAAAGGCAAAACGTCGAACGGCGGCAGCCAATGGATCCAATCAAAAAAGCCCCGTCGAGGAATTCTTGACCCGCCCCTCCTCCTTCCTCCCCCCCGGAACCTTTTCCCACTCACTAAGGAAAAGCGCGAGAAAAAAAAAAAACCGTAGAAAAGAAAGACCAGTTAGATCCCCTGTCGATCTCCCAGCCAAGCCCCTCGGAGACCCCTGACCTATGCAGGGGCGCTTGCAACGGGGGCAAAAGAGTTGTGAACGGCGTCGTCCACCCCCTGTCTTGGGTTATACACTGGCCCTCTACGGAGTGAATGATGGTTTTGTGTTTTACGCAGTCATCTATCTGTGCTCTACGGATACTGGCTGTACAGACCTTCATACAAGAAGATGGAACGCTGCAAAAGAAACTGCGTCAATGAATCATCATCAGCGGAATTACCGACACCTGCTCCTCCATGAGGAATTCAAGGTCGTGTTTCAGGCCCCACAGGAAAGAATGGGCAGCGCATAGCTTATGTCAGGTAAAGAGCCTCGTAAGGCACAGGGAGGATAACGTACTTCCGTGCTGTTTGTTCAATGGTCAAGCATCCCATCCGTTGGTTCATTCAACCTTCATGCCCGGCTACCCGTTGCATCCTCTCTGGCGTGCCTGCTAGTAAAATACAAGCGACAGTGGTAATTTGGTGGTTGTGGTGGTAGGTTGTACTGGGCAGATTGGACTTGGAAGGTACTCATGCACCACGAACTAGGTGCAAAGATACTTTGGGAAATCCTCCACCGCTGTAATCAAATCTGTTCCCTGTCAGAAAACCCGGACCCCTCAATCTCTTGTTTCCTCACCAGCAAGGACCTCAATGAGCGACCGACCAGTCCAGACTGGCCCAACTCACAGCACCACCATGAGTCTAGACAGATGCCAATCAGGGGCTTGGACGGGGGGTGTTCAGGTACGTAACGTGTGTGATGTGTTTTTGACTTTGGGTTTTGCTTGCGTACTAAGTCGTCCGTATTGCTGCAGGTACTCTGTTCAATACATGCTATTGTACTCTGTATAGTCTACGTAAGTATTCGTCGAATCTTTTTTTTTTTCACCTCCTGCAGTAGCTTCATCCCATCTGCACCTAACCTCAACGCCAAAACTCATGCTAAATACGAGCGGCTTGCAACCACTCCCGTGCCGCGACACGGGACAGACAGTGAGCGACACGCAGCCGCACCATGCCATCCATAGCTAATGCCAGTGCCGTGCCATAGCAAGCTAGCACAGAGGGAGGGGAGGGGAAGACCTAAAGGCCCAACCTTGGGAGAAAAAGGGCCCCAGTTCGTCAGCGCCGCGTTGTGGGTCGACCCAATCCTTGGGCTATTACTGGACAAATGAACCCGAACAGGGGCAACGACGTTTTGCAGGGCTTCGGCTGGCTGAGAGGACTCCGTGGGCAAGGTTTATGTCAGGGACGAGACTCCAATCGAGCTTGCGCCCGGTGGAGGTCTCGGGGGGGTGTGTGCGTGGATGTGGGCGGGTTGAACACGACAACCTGGACCGACCTATCTGTCTACCTCTCCATGCCTCTCTAGACAGTGAACCGTGAGCGAATGCTTTCTCAGTCGAGAGGCAGCGTCCAGGGTCCATGTCCCATTTTCATGGGCCTGTGGATGGGAACAGACAACGCTGAGGTCGCTTCCAGGCTTGGGTCCCCGTCTCCCGCCAACCATCGATCGCCAATCGCTTCCCCTTCTTGCCCAGTTCGTGTTCGTCCTTTTCCCTCTCCGTCCTTCTTGTCCTTCTTGGTCCTGAACCACCCACACATCCTCTCCCTTCCTCTCCTTCCTTCCACACCACACACCACACACACCACCTCCTGACCGACGTGCCTTCTTAGCATCGTCGTCTTCCGCTCGTTTCATATACCCGCCTGTGGACTTTTAGCCTCTTTCGACCAGCCACTGTCTCTCTCTCCTTCCGGCTGTTTCTTCTAGACCTTCTCTCACCCGCAACAATAGCATTGACTGTCAAAACCACATCAGTCGCCATAGCTTCTCACTCTCTCTTAAGCGGTCCATCTCTCTCGACTTTCAAGAGCCCAGTTGAAGGCTCACCCCATTGTCACGATTCGGGCTTCGCAAAGGCACTTCGTTGCCCGCCCTCTTTTCCCTTCTTTCCAGGTTGATCCTCGGCCACATTTGTTTCCTCTCTCTCTTCGTCCTGTTCTGTAAAGCTGTGCTTGCTTCCCCTTGGCTCTTACAACCTTCTTTCCAATCCATCTTCTCTAGTACTCCTCCAGTTGTTTGTTTCCTTTGGTCTCACGACTCGCCTATATACCCAACCGACGCGACGACGACTTCGATAGCAAATCACCCGCTTCGCCAAGGAAACATCCACTCTTTGCAACCGACGAACACGGCATACCAGCGTATTTCTCTCTCTCACATCTGCATCAAAGCGTGTCAAATCTGTTCTAGCTTGGGCAAGGGACGGCAAAAGAGTTTAGGAGTGTTTTGGAAAGAAAGAAGCTTGTAAAGGCTCAGACAGCATAGACTTTGGATATACCCGCTTGGGAGCCACTATCGATTCCCGAACAGAAACGACGACGAACCACGAATTTCCTAACCCGAAAATCAACAAAAGTAAAAAAAACAAACAAAACCACCATCAAATCCTTCTGACACGATGACGCGAACCGCTCCCAACTGGGGCCCCAAGAGGCTGCTGGCCCTGGCCACCACCTTTGCTACTACCACCCTCGCCAACTCGATTCTCAAGACCAGCAGTTTCACCACCTGCGGCGACGAATCCGCCATATCCGTGCAGAAGATCGACATTCAGTACAATAACGACGACAAGACCGTCACCTTCGACGTAGCAGGAACGAGCTCCAAGGTCCAGAATGTAACTGCTGTTTTGGATGTCAAGGCCTATGGAATCGATATCTACTCTAACAGCTTCAACCCTTGCGATTCTGGTACTTTCGTCGAGCAGCTTTGTCCTGGTAAGTGCCCATTTCGTACACGCTCGCTGCCTTGAGTGAGGCACATGGAACTAATATCCCACAGTTCCCGCCGGAACTTTCGGTGCCCGTGGCACCCAGAAAATCCCTGAGCAGTACGCCAACATGGTTCCCGCCATTGCCTTCCAATTTCCCGACATTGCTGCTCAGGCCAAGCTGCAGCTCAAGACCCTCGACACGAATCAAGAGGTCGCCTGTATTCAGTCTCAAGTCACCAATGGCAAGACTGCTAGCGTGCCCGCCGTTTCTTACATCTCGGCTGGTGTTGCCGGTCTTGCTCTCGTCGCCACGGGTGTCTCCGCCGTCAGCTCTGCCTTCGCTGGAGGCAGCGCGGCTCTTAGCAGCGGCCATGCCGCCGGTGCCGGTACCATGAGTCCCAGTTTCACTGAGGTTGCCGGTTGGTTCCAGGGCATGGCCATGAACGGCATGCTTTCCGTCAACTACCCTCCCGTTTACCGAAGCTTCACCAAGAACTTTGCCTTCTCCACCGGCATCATCCCCTGGACCGACATGCAGATCGCCATTGACAACTTTCGCGGAATGACTGGCGGTGACCTCACCAAGGACAGCGTTGAGATCCTGAAGAACAGCACCCTTGTTCTTGGTGATGGCTCGACTATTGACGGCAACAGCACCTTCTTCAAGGCCAAGCGCGCCCTGGATACCGTCGGCACCCTCCTTGCCAGAGAGATCGAGACCAGCGTTAACGGAACCACCAGTGGCGACGCCGGCGATGATCCCATGAGCACCATCAAGAAGCAGGTCCAGGGTATCACTGCCTTCGTCAACACCCTCAGTGTTCCCAAGTCCAACACCTTTATGACCGTCCTCCTCATTGTCGCCATCGTCATCGCCGCTATCATTGTAGGAATTCTTCTTGTCAAGGTCATCCTCGAGTTCTGGGCGCTGTTTGGTAACTTCCCGAAGAGCCTTACTGGTTTCCGTGAGCATTACTGGGGCTCCATTGCCCGTGCCATTACTCAGCTCATCCTGCTGCTTTATGGCATCTGGGTCTTGTATTGCATTTTCCAGTTCACCAATGGAGATTCATGGGCTGCCAAGGTTTTGGCCGGTGTCAGTCTGGGTGTCTTCACGGCCATCCTCGCCTTCTTCTCCTACAAGATCTGGAGCACCGCTCGCAAACTGAAGCAGGCCGAGGGAGACGTGAACGGCCTGTACGACGACAAGACCAACTGGATGAAGTACAGTCTCTTTTACGAGTCCTACAAGAAGAGCTACTGGTGGGTCTTCATCCCCGTTATCATCTACATGTTCGCCAAGGGCACCATCCTTGCCGCTGGCGACGGCCACGGCATGGCTCAGACTTCTGCTCAACTCATCGTCGAGGGTATTATGCTCATTATCTTGCTCTGGAGCCGCCCCTTTGAGCGCAAGTCCGGCAACGTCATCAACATCGCCATCCAGGTCGTCCGTGTCCTCTCCGTTGCGTGTATTTTGGTCTTTGTCGAGGAGTTTGGCATCGCCCAGACCACTCAGAACGTCACCGGTGTTGTCCTTATTGCCGTTCAGTCAGCTCTTACTGGTGTTTTGGCACTGCTCATTGTCTGGAACGCCATCAACGCTTGCATCAAGGAGAACCCTCACCGCAAGCGCAGAAAGGAGATGGGTAAGTTATCCCACGAGCCTCACCTAAATGATAGCGTCACTAACCCCCTTACAGAAAAGATGCAGCGTGACATGGATACTCTCACTCCCCTCGACGCCCGCAACTCCCTCCTCATGGACCGCAAGGACGCTGAGCACGGTCATGGCACCACCTTCTCCATGAGCAGCGTCCCCGAGAAGGGCATCCGCTCCGAGTCCCCCAGCCACTATGGCGCCGCCGGCCATACCCCTTACCAACCACTAGCACCCAACACACCTTACAACGGCAACCCTGACCAGAGCAGAGAGAACCTCGTGCTCGGCGCGGCGCCAATCGCCGACAGGAAGCCCACGCTGCCCAACGTGGGTGGTGACTATCACAACGTTGGATACGGTGGTAGCAATGGGTACCGGGGAGTGTATCACTAAATGTGATGGAAGATGGGAAGAGGCCATTGTCACCAGTTGACATGGCCTCCCTGAATGAACAATGAAGATAGAAAACCAGAATCCTCAAAAGTGTGGAATGTATGACCAATGGATCCGACATCAAGGATCCAGAAAGAGCCACTTTATACCTCTTTTCTTTTTTTCCCTTAACTTTTATTTATATTATTTCCTTGCATCTAGTATCATTTCTCACATCAAAAACCTTTGCACATGGTCATGATATCGACGGCTGCCGTGTTTCTTCTTCTTTTTCTTCGTCTTGAAACACAGGGAGGGAGGCTGGGGTTGAAGGGCATGCAGTCGTGTCTTATATAGGAGTGTCTTGCTAAATGACATTTCGAATTCGACCGCAAGGTTTTTCTAGGGCTTCTTCAAGACAAAACGGGTGCATGGTAGCGACTGGGAGGAGGGTGTTCAGATACCTTTTTTTTGTGTATTGCTACCTCGCAACATCGCGAACCTTTCCTTTTTTTTTCCCGCGATGGGCTTCACATCAGTATATATATACAAACTACAACGGAATTGAAAACTAATACTGAAAATCTGACTGGCCTTGTTTTTGCTGTAGCATTGAAGTGAATATCTGATAGAGTGTATCGGTATGTACCTAGATTTACAGAAAAGCCGGGAGATCGACGATGTCAAGGATGTGTATCAGCTATGGTGGGTTTACATTACGACGGCCCACGTTTTACGGCGCGTGTACCTTTTCTTCGTTTGAGGGCAAAGATCATCGCCAGTGCGTTGGCGAGCTGAAGATGGAAATGCTTGTTGTGTATCCGTATCCTGGGCCGTCCCCACGACTGAGTTTGCGTTTACCCCCACCCCCCACCCATCTTTTTATCTGACGGCCCCCTGTGAGAGTTGAGGTATGTGTGGTTCTTGGCTGAGTTGAGAGTTCTTCATATGGTGGATACTGTGATCCGTGGCAATAGTTTAGAGGCCTGGGAATGTGTGTTATGTGAAAGGGTTTGGGTAGATACGTTTTTTCCCCCCAACATTGCTTTGGTTGTGCGTTTGATTTGTAGTTGGTTTTATGTTCAATTAGCCTACCCCGAGAGCTGAGCCGACTAGCTCCTCAGAGAGAGCTAATTATGAAAGTTTTGTTGGTCCAATGGTTACTACAAACAGGTGCTCATTTGAGATGTGTTTACTCAAAATAGAGGAAATACTTTGTAGATATCTAAGTGTTTAGCTGAAGCCGTCTGTGACCCTGCTTGACCCGGTCTAACCTACCTATTTCATTGGAGTTGCAGAGACCCTACAGCCTCCCCACGCACAAGTCTTGCATCAGCAGCGTCAAGTATGCAGAGGATAATAGTGGTTAGTCCTCCAATAACTCTAGGGCGGATACCGCTTGGTTGCGACTTCTTAGACCAAGCTGCAGTAAAGCTTGTTGTGATGCGTGCTATCATCTCGATCATTCTAGTTGACCTACATTTACTCCACGTGCCAGCATCTTGCCCTCGACCGAAATCGCTTGTAGAGGCAAGACCACGCTTATATCAACTTCTCCGCACCTGCTCACGGCTATTCTTTTGCCAGATAAAGCGTTATCACTGGTTTCCATTGGACAAACCCATGTCGTCTTTGCATTCGAGTCATTTTGTCCTCAGAAGCGGACTTAGTCTCGTTTGCTCCTCATGCAAAGCCTTCCTGTCGGGGGTGGGGGCCCTGAAATACCTCGAAGAGTACTCTCTTGATACTCAACCGACGCTCACCACTAAAGTTTCCTATTTATCATGAGCCAGCAAGGTGGGCTCGTCTCGTTACAGCCCATACGTGTTGAAGTGGCAGTTGTCACCGGCACCGATTTGGTCTATATAATATTCCTAGTGTAGGCAACCCGAGAAATGGATTGGTCGACGGAATCGGTTGGGATTTGCAAACAATTAATTCAGGGAAACCAACTCACTTCTCCGGCACATACTGGTGTCTGGCAGATGGCCAGGACTCTTGCAATGCCAGACTGACGATCACGCTGGTTACATGTCTGGGTTCTTCACTCACCATCCATGATTAAGATCAATCTGCCTACTCTTGGTCGCTGTAGACAAGAGAGCGAATGTCCCTCACTTCATCCAATTGGGGTCTTTGCTAAGGGGGTTTTTACTTTTATTCTGATGAGAAATCTCTTGAAATCCCAATAAGCAATCGCGGAACACCTCTCAATTGGCGGTCAAGCAAGAAACTGCGCATTCACCCAACCCAGGCGGTTACGCTGAGAGGGGCCGCTTCCTTTCCAGTGGGCTTCTTTGAAGGGTCCAGGTGCACAGTAGACCCCAGCTGAAATGGCCGTTACAGTCATACAGTACTCCGTACAGCGCCTCCTTTTCGTGCCTGCCAGTACAGTACGAACAACCCCGCTGCCCCTCATCACCCCACTGAACGTCATCCGCACCAAACCGCGAACCTCAAACTTGGTCTCAGCTTGTCGTCAATCCAACTCGTCACCTGCTACTCTTGCTGACACCCGTCTGCTCTGGAATACCCTCCGGCAAACGTCTGGCTCCGGCTCATTCTTCCAGATTGCTAATTAACACATTTTCTTACGGCGCAGGGAGCAACCTACTAAGCCACGTGCCCAGCTTCGCAAGCCCCGCTGCCCAAGCAACACCTCTGCATCTGCTCCCGCCAACTCGCATGGACTAAGCATTTCTTGGCAGCTCAAATAACGCCATTATGAGTGAGTTGCAAAAGGCTTGGGCAAAGAGGAAACTCGACCCCTTGCACCCCTTGCCGGAACCTCTCAACGACCTTGACGAGGAACCAGAGTACGACCAGGTCCCCGAGCTGCCGGAGCACCCTGACGATGGGGATTCATCTTCAGCCTCGTCCGCCTCATCGGCTTCGTCCACCGGTACGGTCATTCCGTCACCGAGCCAGAATCTGTTTGCACGACCTCAAGGGTAAGAAACGTCTGCCGTCTTTGCGCTCCCCCGGCCTCAGAGCGGCCAACGGAAACAGAGGAGGTTCGGGCCGCTGATCCAGCTTATAGTGTGTCGAGGGGCCGCACGCTGGAGCAAATACCCTGGACGACTTACTTCGAACGCGAGCTCTTCTTGAAGCCCGCAGGTGAAGGCGGGAGCGCCGTCACGTACCACGCCTACCTCAACTCACCCGTCGACAAAGGTCCGCTTTTCGTGATGCACCACGGCGCCGGCTCCTCTGGCCTCTCCTTCGCCGCTTTGTCGTCCGAAATCCGGAAACGGCTCCCATCGGCCGGCATTCTGTCTCCAGATGCGAGGGGCCACGGCTCAACCTCCATTACAGACGGCACTGAGCTGGATCTTAAACTAGACGTCTTGACGACGGATTTGTTTAACGTCATCCAACTGACAAAGGCCCAGATGGGCTGGTCCGAGCTACCTGCCGTAGTACTCATCGGGCACTCCCTTGGCGGCGCTGTCGTCACTGATCTCGCCAAGTCGGGCAAGCTGGGCAACTCGCTGTTGGGATACGGCGTGCTAGACGTCGTAGAGGGCTCGGCGATGGACGCCCTGCAGAGCATGCTGACGTATCTCTCAACGCGGCCGAGCGGCTTCGCGAGTTTGCAGGCGGGCATCGACTGGCATATTCGTTCACGCACTGTCCGCAACTCTGTTTCTGCGCGGACGTCTGTGCCCGCGCTTTTGGTCTTCGATGACCAGACGGATCCCACGCGGCCGTGGAGGTGGAGGACGGACCTGGCGGCAACGCAGCCGTTCTGGGAAGGCTGGTTTGTCGGGCTCAGCAAGAAATTTCTCGAGGCCAGAGGAGGCAAGCTGCTGTTGCTGGCCGGGACGGACAGGCTAGACACGGAGTTGACCATTGGTCAAATGCAAGGTAAGCCTAGTTGTTTACCTCGAGTTCTTTTGTAAATGCTAAGCTAAATTGCCGACTAGGAAAATACGCTTTGCAGGTCTTTCCCGAAGCGGGCCACTTCATCCACGAAGACCTGCCTGAAAAGACGGCTATGGCGGTCGTCGACTTTTACAGGAGGAACGATAGGAGTGCATTAGTTCTGCCGCCCAAGGTCGGCGATCTTTTGAAGCAGGGAAAGAGAGTCTAGAGCTGGGGCGCGCGCATTTAGACAATCATCTTCTATGCATTCAATTATACCCCTGGATTTGGCTCGCCGCATTATGATACTGCGCTGGAAGAGCATACCGCAGGATATAAGTCATTGTTCAAACTTACCCAAGACCGCTGCCATGCGTGCGTCATCTTCTACCCAGGGTATGGGATGGCTTTAAATTGAGGATGTCACATTTGTGAACAGAACCTAACTACTCATCCTCGACCGATGCTGCAAATCTCCTATCCCAAGTCCTCTGCACCGTAGGCTCCTCGTGTGGCATGTTTTCCTCACGCCTCAGTCTCATGCCTAATCCGGCGGCCTGATGAATTAACTCAACGATGCGAGTGTTGCCTGAGGAAATCGCCAGGTCGACTGCCGTCAATCTCTCAGCGTTTCGGAACTGCAAGTCGGCACCTCTTGCTACCAAACAGTCTACGATATCCTCACGCTGCTGTAATATCGCCAAATGGAGTGGCGTTTGCGTCTTGTTATCCCGCAAGTCGATCGGAACCCCATGGTCCAAAAGCTCCTCGATCACGACAGCGCTGCCCAAAGCTGCTGCGAGATGAAGAGGCGTCTTCCCCTCACCGTCCTGGACATTGATGCGTGCCCCATGGTCCAAGAGCGTCTGGACGATAAGAGCGTGGTCCAGGGACGCTGCAATGTGTAGAGGGGTCTGTCCGTTGCTGTCCTGCGCGTCGACAGGGGCTTGGTGGCCCAATAGCATCTGGACTAGTTGGAGGTTACTCGTAGATACCGCCCAGTGCAGCGCCGTCCGCCTCTCGTGATCAACGGCGCGGATCAGGTCATCGGCCTTTCCAATCAAGGCTTGACATGTCTCGAGGTGCCCACCTCCGACAGCGTAGTGCAAAGCGGTGCGTTCGTTGGCATCAACACGCCTCGGATCAGCTCCGTTTTCGAGGAGAACCCAGACTGCCGGGTTGCAGCCCCCCGAAGCGGCCATGTGAAGCGGTGTCAGGCAGGGATTCCTGGTGCGGGCGTTGACGTCGACACGACTCTGCAGGAGAAGCCAGAGGATATTTAGAAAGCTTTTTTTGCTGTTGCTATCACTTGAGGTACAGCAATTTTCAACCACGGCGTGCAATGGCTGTTTCCCCTCGTTGTCCGGCTTGCCGACGTCTGCGCGACACTGTATCAGCATCCATGCCGCTTTCGCCCGGTGGTAGTCTACAGCCCATCTCAGAGCTGTCCGGCCTTCGTCATCGGTCACGTTCAGGTCGATTTTCCTCTTCGCCAGGAATCTGATGATTTCGTCTTGTCCATCTTGTGCCGCCCACCGGAGAAGCGTCCAGTTGTCTCCTCCGTTCTGCGCCTCGAGCGATGCTTTGTGCCGAACAAGGGTCTTGATGATGGCCCTGTCACCCTCGTGCGCTGCCCAGCGAAGAGCCGTATATCCGTGCTCATCATGAGCATCCACTTCTGCCTTGGCTTTCAACAGCATATTTACCATATCCACCTGTCCGTACTTTGCGGCCCATCTCAGACACGTGTAACCTGCACAGTCCTGCAGTTCGAGATTGACACGCTTGGATGACAACAGAATCTCAACGGCAACCTTATCATCCATCATAACTGCTCTGTGCAAGGCTGTTCTCTTGTCCGCGTTGGGCATGTTTAGATCTGCGCCTCTATCTATCAGAAACGCCATGAAATCCCACTGACGGTGAGCAGTCGCCCAGTGGAGGGGAGTCTCTTGGCGTTTAGTTTGCGCGTTGATATCGATGTCTTTGTGCTTCGTCATTGCCTTCGCAACCAACTCCACCAGCCCATAGTATGCGGCTATGTGTAGGTCGGAGACATTGGTTTCGTATGAGAGAAAAGGGTCGGCCATGATCCGCAGTGTGGCATTCAATTTTGGCTTGTTGGACACGACAGCCCAAGCTAGCTTATACAGCTCTCCGGGCGGTGCCGACGACTCGAAGAGATGAGTCCCCCAGTAGTTAGCTGCGTACCTGAGAAAAGGGTAGTCTTTGTGATTTTCTTTCAGCTCGTCTTGTGATGCAGACAGCTTTTTCGTCGGTATCATGAGGAGGCAGTAGAGACAGGTGTTTGCCATCATGGACTGCGCATTGTGAAGGAGGAAGTCGGGCCGTTTGTCTTGGAGGTATTTCTCAGCTGTCGTATGCGCCAGACGGACGATTTTCTTATTATTGCCACCCGAGACGACCACGACGAGGCCCGCACAGGCTGATGTTAGGGCTTCCTCACTACCAAGCGTCTCCGAAGCTTTCGGCAAGGTCCTTTTGCCGGACTTGAAATAGGCAGAGGCATCCCTGATTGTAAGGGCGTGTGTCAGTTCTTCGACTTCAAGCGGTCTCTGAGAAAACACCAGCCAGGTAAGGACATTGAAAGCCCTGTCACGATCCGGCTCGGCCTGCGTTCCAATGCGCCTCAGAGCTTCGGTATAGAATTCATCCAGCTTTGTAGGAAGCTTCTCAAGGCCGTCTTTCAACCCCGCGAGGTCGTGCGCCAGAGCTAACGATTCGATATGCAGGTGGGCAAGGAGGAACCTAAGCAGCCATTGTCAGTGTCGGGCACTTCCGAAATTTGCTGAAAAAACTAAGGGTGTGACTCTACAGGAAATCCCGACTTCCTCTCGACTGATTGATTTCTCTGCGAGAGAACTTCTGAGAGTCTCAGACGAGATACGAAGGAATCATGACCCAACGTCAAGCGGGTAATAGACGAGTCTTGGAGGATGGAATGGCCGATCCATAACGAACCATAATGATCCATGAGAATCCGCTCAGAGCAGCATTGGCATGACTTACATTCCTTGTGATTTTTCCACAATTGTCGATATAACCTTGTCTCTAAATGATGACTTTGTTTGTGGGCCGTTTTCGATTAACCTGTGCAAGCGGGTTCGACTATCGATGAACTTGTTAAGGTATGCTTTGATATCACTGTCGTGTGCAATGATTTCGAGGTCGTCGCTTGGTTCTATCAAGCCCGAGAATTTGGTGAACTTTCTTGAAGTGAATAGAATATGCACATTCTGAGGGAGCTTCTTGCAATCTGACAGAAAGTTCGACAGGGTGTTTGTCTGTACGTCGTCACTACATTCGTCCAACGCATCGACAACCATATATACCTCGTCAAATGCGGCCATTTGGGATTTTAGCATCTTGACATAGTCTTCCTCGCAAGGACTCACGCCTGTTTTCTTCCATGCGGTGTGAAGCTTTTGAACATCGGAAGAAACCACATCGCGGACCTGCAATAGCTGTAATAACAGGCTTGCGAGTATGTTGCCAAGGCCTTGGTACTGTTGTCTCCTGTAGTCGAAGTAGACATAGATGCAGGCGGTTTTATCATTGCATGAGAATTTACTGCGGAGGTAGTCGATGACAATAGACCTGTATAAGTATAGATTAGTTTTCGCAGGTTTCAGAAGACCATTAAGAGCCGTAGGTGGTTGTCGTACGCGAGGACAGTTTTGCCTGTGCCAGCTGTAGCGCCATCAGTCATTAGGAGGAATACTTCGTCGACACTTTGGATGGTATATCTTACGATTCCCATGGCACCACAACCTCCTCAACTCTCCATTCCTCCATTTCTTAAATTCGGGAGAGCTCAGTAGCCAGTCGCCTGCCCTGGGTGTCGTCTTGGCAATTTGGAACATTTCCAATTGAACCTTTTCAAAATCGAGAGGGCGAGAAATGGACTTTATCCAATCCATAACATTTGAGTCGGCATTAAGGCCTTTCTTCCTGTCAATAAACTCGAGTGGCAATGGAGGTTACAAGGCAAAACGAACTGCTTGGGACAGATTGATGGATATGATTTACTAAGATAATCTGAGCGTTAGTTCACTCATGACTTGCTTCTGATCGTCTATTCCGTTATTTCAGGAAATCCGTACCAAAGTTCATGGCTCCGCCAGCTGAGGAGAAATTATTTGTGTTCCCCATTGTAATTTCACCCATATTCCCCGGTGCCTGGAGCCCTCTTGCGTTATCATAGTTGCTCTGGATGTTGGTCATGGCAGAATCGTGGAAATCGGAATCTGGTAGGGATGGTTCCACTTCCGACAACGCCTTGATGGCGTTTTCCAGTTTCCCAACTTGCCCTTGCAAATCTGCATGGGCCTTAAAGACTTGGTGAATGGCTAACATTTTCAACTTGTCGAGGATCTCTTTCATCAGGGTCTCAACCTTGTGTGCTTTACCCAATGGAGCAACCTTGTCCTTGTAAAACCGGACGATCACGTTCCAGTCCTTTCCGTCATTTTCCTTCTTCTTACCCTTCTCAATCTCAACGAAGATGTCTCTAATTATAGTGGCTCTCTTTTTGCAGCTCTTAAGGACGGGCTCAATCGCCTGCTTGTCCGAGTCTTTCGGAGCATCTGTTTCTAGGGCTCTCTGTGCAAGTTCCAAGGTTTCATTTACAAGTGGTAGGCTTTGTCCCACCTCTTTAAACGCTTTTGGGAGGCCCTTGACGTGCTTCAATGCTTCGTATGCAACCACCAGCGACTGAATAATGGCAATTGTAGATCCAGTTATGCTGAGAGGATCCATATTGGTTGGCTCCGTGACTGTCGACCAAGATGCTGCAAATCCTCTGTGAGTGGTAAACTGTTGTAAGAAAATATTAGCATAATGCTCGTATGCTACAAATCTATCACTTTTACCTTAATGTCTCTGCAGAAGTCACGGCCCTTCCAGCACCTTTTTCACATAGAATTGAGATTGAACGTATTTGGACGACAGGCTCACGAGGCGTCTGACCATTAAGGACAAGATGGACTGGATACAGATATAGCCAACTTTTTGGAGGGGTTAGTCTTCTGCATCTCCACTGTCGTCCCTTCATGAAAGAACTGTATAAACACCCGCGCCACAGTCGCATGCATGAATATGATGCCACGTCAATAAGCATCAGGCTGCCTAGATGGCGTTTTTGTTCCCCAAAAGAGAATTCTAAACCACCATCAGGATGCATTGCCGATGTGACGTCAATTGGCCCGACAGCCTCATTAGGCTTGTGTACTAAGGGTTGATAGGATGGCTATGGGAGGGCTATGCAAGACCCGGATCGCAATCGCTAACCACAAATCAGCGTCGCTAGCGCAGGCCCTGGAGATAAGGAAGGGGACTTGTGATGCTAGTTCAGCTGCCTCCTGGGTGGAGTGGGGATGGCATACGAGCGGTTTTGGCAGCAGGCAGGCTCCCACTAGCTAGGCGCACCGCCAGGCAAATGGGTGCAGAGGTTGCCTCACAGCCTGCTTCCAGGTTGTATTAATACTCTAAGAACAGAGGGGGAGCGGGGTAGTCTGATTGAACAGAGCTGCATGAACGGCCCAGACCTTCCTCTTGCCAATTGGAGGAGATCGGAATGTGGCTGGCAGTTGCAAGCTCATAGAACGGAAGTTGAACGCCCAAATTGAAGCAATCGAGTTCTCGAAACTTTCGTGCGCAAATTCCCGCTTACAAGCCAGATATCACGACATGGGCGTAAGACTTGTGTCCTACTGTCCAACCACAAACTGTCAACCTCGCTTGTAAAGAAGTGCGTCGCAAACCGACGTTGAGAAACACGTACAACATTGGGTTCGAACTCGGTATTAGCGACAACAGACCCTGTTGATCGGGCCCACGTTGTAGTTCAACTACATGATGAATCGAGCAGCCCAGAGAGCACTGCCTTACACCCCTCGGACTCAAAGCATAGACGGCGAAGAGGATAGCGACGTATCCGACAATGGAAGCTTTTTCAGAGATAGCGAAGATTGGAGCGATGAGGAACCGGGGCAGGAGACGAGAACTCATCAGAGACCGAGGCCACATTTCGTAGATCGTGGATTTGGACAGTCCCAATCTCAGAACCCGGTCTCTCGCAACACTCACCCCCGGCCCCACGTTGAACTGGACGATAATCGTACCGGCCGTTACTCGCGGAACTCAGGTGGACAAGCTGTTCCGTTTAGACCCCGGGGATACTCTTACAGTCACCCAGATCGATATAATCCTTCTTACAGGCCAGTCTCTCTTAACCCGCAACCTCAAAGCAACCAAAGCAACCCTTTTATCCCACAGCATCCAAGCCAACACCTTCATTCACCCTTCGCCCCTTATCCCACGGATATAAATGCCTACCCCCAAGGAGGTAACTTCATGAGCCCGACTCCTCCTGCATATCCGCCCCCTTCCAATCCATACCCGCCGCCGAACGTGTGGAACGGCAATCCCCATAGTCACTATGCCAAAAATGTGCCGCCACCTCCAGGGCCTCCTAGCGGCTACTTCCAACCCAATCCTTTCGGCAATTCTACACCTGTGCCACATCCAACAGTATATCCGAACGAAGAGGAGGAATATTATGAGGATTATGTACCCCTTCAACCACGAAGTATGCCGTCATACGATCCCACACACAATAGCCGGCCCAAGCCACAACCACTTCAACCAAGGATTAGGCCGTCTCGCCGAGAGCAAGATTTGCAAAAGAGACTGGAAGCTCTGGAACGAGAACAAGAAAGGACCAGACAAATTACCTTGAGAGAACAGGCGCAAGAAGCGGCCGAGCGGGAAGCAGCTGCAACGAAGGAAATCGACCTGCTACGGCGTGAGTTGGAGAGGATGAAATTTGGATTTGACGAGTTGCGACAAAGTTTCTTACTTAGAGACACAGAAATACAATCAGAGCCTGGTTGGGGGGTGGGAAGATCAGAATATGAAAACAGACCGTACACTACGCCTGCGCGTTCTGTTCAGGATGGTCCAACACCTTGGAGTGGAAGAGAAGAGGGATATCAGGACTCATATCAACAAGAACTTGACAAGTTTAGGAATGGAAGACGGCAAAGTGAGCTTCGGTCATCGTACCAGGGCTCAACGCCAAGTAGGCAGGGTGATACGTATAGGGAGAAGATGGAATCCGATCGAAGATCGACAATGAGCGGCCGAACCGACTCAGAAAACCTACGAAGGGCATTCAACGCTGGCTTAGAGGTGGCGCTGAGAAGTCTTGACGAAGCAGAATCGGTCGTCTATGGCCCAGCTTCCAGATTGTCCGTACCAAGATCCGCCACTGATGGATACGCTGACAGAGATCCTCTTTCGAGATACCCAAACGCTCGGCCGACTGACGCCTATGGTAGAGAGATGTTCGAGCCGTCGAGTGCACCAAACTTGAGCCAAGGGCGACCAGACTATAATGGTTTTGACTCTCGTGCACCGCCAGGTCCTGGTCGAGCATCATTTAGACCGCAAACCACTGACGCTGACTGGGTGGGCAGGCCACCTAGGCGTAGACCCCGTGCCGAAGGTAACGATGAGCGGGAGTCGAATACTGCTAGCCAGAGAAATGGCCAGCCTCGAAGCTCTGTTCATATCGCGGGCAACACAGGCGTTTCTCCTACCAGGACTGACACGCGGGGCGCCGATTACATGAGTGGTGGAAATGGCGGAACCTTCCAGGACATGGGGGTAAATGCCCGTCCATCACGAAGAGTTTCGATCAACCATGCCGGGATCAACAGGCAACCCGGCTCTGGGCACCAAGATGATTATTTTGATGAGGAGAGAAACCCGCCGAATGTGAGATCGCAAAGATCCCAGTCTCATCGCAATCGCGGGCCGGGCAGGGAGGCACCTCCACCACCTGTCGCACCAGAGCCTCCTCATAGATAAGGGGGCTACTCCCCTGGATGTGGATTTGATATAGACGACATGAAGTCGAGATTGGGGTCCAGCTCACTTGAAGAAGATTGAGATTGTGCTAGGCAAGCATGTAGATTTTGGTTTAGGAATTTGTGTACGATGAGGGGTGCGCATCAGAGATATACTTCGAAGCTAACGCATAACGACTGAATGAGTATACGGCTACTACTTAGATACCTTAGTAATAGCGAAAGAGACGTGTTTGCAATATATCTAACAATATCTGAATTCGAGTGCCTTGCTTTGGAGACAGAACACAATCATTACGTTAGAAATTCGCAGTTGCTTGAAAAGACAAGTAAAGAATCAGAAGGCTCCAAAAGGTTGCGCAAAGATATTGACGAAGCAAAGTACAGCTTGGCGATGAACGTCTGAACCTTTCTTCTTTCCCTAAGACTGGTCATATCGTGGCCAACCCAACGAAAAAGCATGATGATGTTCAACCAAAAAAACATACAACACCAGGTATTCGCTGGTCGTCACCGACCCAACTACTAATCCGGCCCTCACTGGCTTATCTATGGGAGAGCGGACGGGATCCCGAGTTTTCCAGTGGGTATGGTCGTATGTGCTAAGAGGGGGGATTGTAGTTGATTATATCGTGAGGTGTCTAAGCGTGATGCTGCCCGCGACTGTCTCAGAAATTTGAGCATAACCGCCGATGACCTGAGGTCTTGATTTCGTCCATAGCACTATCTTTTGGTTGTTGCAATCATGAGCCTAGGATATCACCAAGTCTGTTGTCACTTGCCGTGGTTCCGGGTGCAATCCAAATCCGTGCCAATAGAACGTACCGGTAATACGACTTCTTGACGTGGAGGCTGTAGACAAATCGTGCTTGCTTATTATATGCGTGACTCAAACAGAGCCTCTAACAATCCTTTCGTACATTGGGCCCTTTTCCTCCACTTGATGAAGCGCTACTCCTCAAGCCTCCCCCCTTACTGGACCCTCTGACCAAACCTCTCCCGAAGATGGTACCCCTCCCACGATTCGAACACAGGCTCGAGGCCTGCGGTGCAAAGATAATTCCAACATGATGCCGAACGCCAGGAAACCGTAATGTCTTTTGATGCCATACACTGCTCTTCCCCCTCTTCTGAATCATTGCAACGCGATCGCTCCCCGTCGATTCTCGCGGATGTGGAGCAGGCCCTGGAGGCCGCAGAAAACGAAGAAACCCTGTTGCGAGCCCGCACGGTCAGTATTCGGCAATTGAGTGGCCTCGTCTGTCTGAAATCATCGGGCAGCGGGGTTCGACATACAATGTAGACGAGCACGGCGACGAAGAGAGTGCTTGCGACGGCAGGGCCATTCTCGGGGTCATCCGTGCCGCCGACGAGCTCGGGGTGGTTCTTGTTGAAGAGAATGCTGAGAACGCCGAGGATGATGATCGCGAAAACGGAGATGACGGTGCTGAAGGGCGGTGCCGAGCTGTCAGTTTCGTGGGTTCCCTGGGGAGGGTTCAAGTCTCCGGGAGAGGGACATACCATTGCCATGCTTGCATGGCACTAACGACGGGCTTCATGATTGCGGTATGTGACGGGGGCGTTGCCCTCCCGGTTCGAGGTCGATGAGAAAGGTGATGCGGGCTTGTCGTGCCTTGATGAGCAAGGCGATGTTCGTTAATGTTGGCGATGATGAGGCTGATGCGGCAGGTCGGTGCTATTGCTCCTGTCTCGCCAAGCTCCACATCCATTCGGTGACGTCCAATAGTAATGCCTTATTTCCTAGGCTGCCGGCCCCGGTTGTTATGACATGCATCAGCCACATTCGAAGAGCTCCAGCCACACTTCGGAAGGGTTGGATCCGTATCTCCGGTGGACACAACCAGACCGCGCCGCGATCCCGCCCGGGCCTCTATCTTACATCGCAATCCGATATATGTATGTCGCAAACTAGAGGAAGGAGTTCGGCGCCGATAGAAGCCGGTCTATCTGTGCACGTATTGCGAACTTCGAGAATCAGTTTGACTTCTTCCTTGCGGTGATCTACTGTCTTGACTCGAGGGTTTCTCAAAGTTCATGACTGCCCGACACTGGTTGTTCCAACGAACTTCTGAACCTTCACCTGAATCAGCTCTGTTGCCGACTCGCGGTGTTCACTAGTCAACTTGCGCACTCGGTGGATTTTTTGAACTGTGAATTATAGTCGCTTCAGGTCAGGCTCGGAGATGCACGACAGAAACGGTACGATAGGGGTCTTTTTCGTATTGCCCCATTTCAACCAGCTGTTTCCACTACCCGGCACCAGCGCCTGAAACACCAACTCTCGTCCTGAGTTCAACTCAATACGAGCCGACAGCGCAGTGTACAATAACTCCTCGGCAGGATCGTCTCTCGCGAGAAGCCCTGGGAAATTTTGTTGAAGTAGAACGCATTTCGGCATAACAGACTTGGGCCCTCTACGCTATCCAAGCTAGAATCACGGGTCATCTGGCTGACGCCAGTGTTGAGTGCCCAGTCAAACGTCCAGTGCGCCCTGGTCAACGCCCAACGGACTCTAGCATGGAGTTTACGGACCGTGACGTTCATTGACGGACAGGTCGGTCAAAGGAAAGAAAAGAAGCTTAAGGAGAAAGATCGAATGCCAAGAGATGGCCGTTCAGTCTGGGCGCTTGACAGCAATGAACGATGCAGGTCGCCCAAAGTCAGGATGCTAGCTAGGTACGGTGTCTTTCACAGAGCAAGCGTGTCGACTTCTCTAGGATAGGCCTGCTGGAAAAGCTGCCCAAGCGATGAACACTTGGACATGTTGAAACTGCGTTATGGCTAAATGGGTAACTGGCATATCAAACGGTGCACGGTAACGGACACGGTGGGTATCTATTAGCCGTCTCTCGAAAGCACTGACATTACGCAGAGCCTCTTACACACAAGTTTGCTCTGCGACTTCGCAAATGAGCCCCCCAAAAAGGAAAGTTCTCTTCCGGCTTTGGCGGAAACCACCTCATTTTTTTTTTTGGTGTTCGTCCTGACGCTAGGGCGAGGTTCTGGCGAAAGTGATGCCATGGTGGCTCTGGTCACTTCACCAGATGATTGCCCGTCACAGTTGCAGGATGAAAGGTGTCATAGGGGGGTCTGACATAGGACGACGGATTGGCCCCCTGAAGAGAGATTGGGCATTTTGAGAACGCCTGGGTTCCATGCTGTCCGGAGCTGGGATATCTTTCCAACTCAGCTAGAACCACTTTACTGGCTAGCCGAGGGACCCAGTTCAGGTGTTGCCTATCCGTAATCACATCGCCAATCCTATAGACGATCCTAGGGTACCCGTAGATTCCATTTACTGTCTACATGTGCCCGTCACCTCGGAATCAGAGCTTCTTGGGAGACAAGGTTAGTAGAAAAAGTGAGACCGAGACGCACTAGTGACGACCCCACGGCTGCTGCCAGGGGGATGGGAACTCAATCAATCGAAGTCAACGGAATCGTAAGCGATCTGCAAGGCACTGGCGCTGGGGGCTTTTCTATGTGGTCAGCGCTAGCAACGCTGCCTGTCGGCTGGGAGTGGCACTTTTAGTCGCTGGCCAACCAAAGCCGGACGCCGGACGGGTGTGACAGGGAGAAGGGGCAAGCCATTTGATAATTAGGATGCGACACATATCGAGAAACATTGGTAAGGTTGCACTGGATGTACATCCGGAGAAACAAATCAGGCGACGGAATGCATTCATTACGTGTGACACCGGCCAAAATGACTGGCTGTCACCAATATGTTTGCGACTACGCCCAGCCAGCATACTGCACAGGTGTGCCTTTCATCATCGATATTGGGGCGGGAAGTATGACCGGGCCATGACGGTGACATGAGTAGGATTCCGCATAGTGACTTCGATGCGGATTTCCGTACCGAAAAGGGAACCATGTCATCTTTCTTGGTACTAGGTACGGTGGTTTCCAAGACTGGGCGTTGGTAGTTCTGCGAGACAACGGCAATCAACGTGGACAGAATATGCCACATGGTTAACCAGGCATCATCGCACGAGTTGTGCCCGCCAAACTGCAGTTCCTGTAAGGGGCTTTATGAAACGCCATGGGAAGGGAAGAAGGAAGCCTAATTGCGAATAGGGTGGGAAATTGTGGTCGATTTGGTAGACAAAGTTCCCAGGGTTGGCACTGGCACCGATGAACACATTTCGTTAAGCCATAGCCGTATTCCTTCGTTCGTCCTACCGGTTATTGCTAGAATGACCAGGTTCATGGGTTCGAAGGGCTCCTTGCCAGTTGCAAAAGGGCAAGACGAATACGGCACCTTGCAGAAAAACGTTGCTATTCAAAACACGCCATTAAAGATTCCCTGTGCTAACAAGATGACAGACGCATCAGAGCGGGCGAGACAGTGCACTTTGGATACAGCGAATAGTCCTGGAGTGTGCCTTGATTCGCATTAGTTGCCGGTCATTGAGGGGCTCTGGCGGCCGTCTTTTGCAGTGTCCCGCTGTTCGCTTTTTTTGGGGTCCGAGGGCCGGGGGAGTGACGAGGATCATAGATCATAGGGCAGAGAAGACCAACTTGGGGGCGTTAGGAGCATTGGAGACGCTGGGCGCTGTCAGGTCGCAGTCACTGGCCCACAGCCCATAGTGGCCTGAAGCGAGGCCTCGGGATCCCACTGCGGCTCCACTCATACTCTAATCTCGACTCCCATTCCACTCCTCGCACCCATCCTGACACCAAATTCATTCATCATCGTGTATAGTAGGCAGCCCACCACCAGCACTGCCCATCCATCATCTCACACCAATGCGGCCTCGGCGTCTAAGCGACATTCTCGGCGTTGTGTTCTGCCCTGTGCTGACGTCGACGAAAAGGCTTGCAAATCGAAGCACCAGGCCCAACCAACAATATCATTTGTCCTAGATAGGTAGGTAAGGAAACAAAAGGCTGGGTATTATGGAGGTTGGTTTCAAGGGGGCCTCTACTACTGCAGCCAGTATAGGCTGTTTGTTTGGCTTGCCTCGCCTTGTCATAAAAAAAAAAATGGAAAAAAAACTACGCTGCATGCTGCGGCATGCTGAGGCGTCGCATGGCGTCTTCATTCTGTTCCCCAATTACATAGTGTGTGATTGACCCCATCACCCTGGATTTTGCTTCAGGCGGCTATTTTCACTTCGGTTCGCCGTATTGGCACGTTTCTTAGATGTCCACTATTTCATTCCGATTGGTAGGGAGGGAACAACAGGCATCCCCCCCAGGTGACTGGCGCTGTGCTAAGAAGAAACAGAGTCAGACACAGCCAGCCGCTTATTTTGTTTTTGTACAAGGTTCCGATATGCAGCCCAGATCCAAATCCCCTGGCCCGTCTGCCGGGGCCCAACAGATTTGCTTGTCATCATGACTCCTGGCGCAAACTTCCCTTCCCTCTCGCATTTGACGTTTTTGTCTGGCAGGTTTTCGGTGTCTTCTGTGCGCTTTCTTCTCGTCATTTACGGCTGGACGGCCACAACGCCCAGGCTTTGGTTGGTGACCCGGCCTTACCGCAAAAAAAGCATGCAGGGCTTTCAGGCCGTGAGCTATGCCGTTACCTTTCGACTAAACACCTGCAGAGAAGCAGCAACACCAACGGCAGACTCCCCGCCACCAAACACCCTTGTCCCCTGCCTCCTACCTCCTGCCCCCCCTCCATCATCTCTTCTTTAACCCCCCCGTCACACAGAACAGGCACAAGGTCAACCCCTGAACAGCAAAGGTGCCGCCGGTACGTACCTTGCGAGAGGCTTGTTTGCTTGTCGACGGCTAGGTGCCGTTGACCCCATCCGTATACGATGGATCAGAGCATCCGATGTTGTTCTTGCTCCTTCTGGCTCCCGTTCCTTTCTTTGATTAACCTGAAAGGGCGTAACCTGGACAGGTGTGCTAGCCCTGTCGTCAACAAGTACATATGTGCCAAGCGTCGTCGACATTCGATCGTCGCTAGACCCAACCTGACCAAAATCTCTTGTGTGGACCATATAAGGACCGTAGCCCAATACCTTCACTTGTTTACTGCAGATCTATCCATTAGAGTTCCGGTTTCGACCTCCGTTCCTTACCACACAATCGACCTTCCATCTCGGGTAGGCCAACCTAGTAGTCCCTTCTTCTTCGAGAAAAATATTTCCCCTTAAATCCTTCGATTCCGCCAGGGCTCTCGTCTTACAATCGGTCTTGATCAACAATTCTGTCCACTTCTCCACAACAGCCTATCTTTCACGTACCTGAATATATCACACGAGGTCACAATGCGCTCTCAGTCGATTCTCTCCATCATCGCCGCAGCGGCTCTTGGCCGTGTTGCCGCCCAAACCACTGGCGTATGTTCTACTTGGTCATCGTGTCCGCCGTCGATTCTCACATTCTTAAAAATAGGAGCTCGGTGACGCCACCGTTGTTAGCAACCCTCCTGGTTATGTCTACGAGGCCGTCCTGCCTGAGCAGCCTTTCTTCAAGGCTGGCTCTCTTGACGGTAACGTTAAGGGATCCATCGTTGCCTTGTCTGCGCCGGACGGAAAAGGTGTCCAGTTCAAGGTCAAGTTTTCCAACCTCCCCGAGGAGGGTGGCCCATTCAGTAAGCTCATGAACTATGCCCACACATCACGACCAGCATCTGACAACCTCCAGCCTACCATCTCCACGTCGACCCTGTCCCCGCCGATGGCAACTGCACCAAGACTCTCGCTCATCATGACCCTTTCATCCGTGGCGAGGCTACTCCTTGCGACTCGTCCAAGCCAGAGACTTGCCAAACTGGTGACCTGAGCGGCAAGCACGGCTCTGTCGCTGTCGATGGCTTCGAGCAGACCTATGTCGACCCCTACTTGTCCATCGTTGAGGGTCCTGGCTCCTTCTTCGGCAACCGCAGCTTCGTCTTCCACTTCGCCAACAAGACCCGCATCAGCTGCGCAAACTTCAAGCTCATTTCCAAGCCCGATGCTCCCCACAGCAACTGCACCACCACGACCATTGCAGGCACCGGTGCCGTCCCCGCCCCCACATCGACAAAGCCTCCCGGCACGGTTCCTTTCCCCGGAGCTGCCTCTACGAGTGGTGCCTCCTTCTCTCTGCTAGTTGCGGCTTTCGGTGTCGTCATGTTCGCGCTATGAAACAAGTTCATCGAGTACTCGAAAGCGAATTGACAACTGATTTTGCTTCTCACCAAACATTTTCTTCTCTGTTTCATTTGCGGCTAAACGACATACGTTATGCGGATTTTATTAAAGGTACCTGAGCAAGGTATCTAGGAGGGTTCTGAGTTCTTTTCCACCTTTACACCTAATGAGCAAGGCCGAATCCAGTGCGGAATATGGCAGAGCATATTTTCAACCTGTACATACGTTCCTTTGGTCACAGTTTTAGATGATACCAGGATTAGACGGGTAATTGACAAAAGTTGACTTACCATTTTGTTAACGAGTATTGCACTGTGTTGACTAGCGTGAACTCTATGAGCCTCAAAAGATGCCAAGTACCAAAGGATACGTATGCGCATCGGTGCTCGGATAAGGTCCTCGCGAGCAACAAACACCAAAGCAGGTACAACGTCGCATTGACGGGGATCTAGGTCAATGGATGACGTTTATCACAATGTGTCAAGCCAAGACGTCGGTATCTGCGTCCAAAGTGAGGTTGTCCCAATGCTGCCATCTACTACCCGGCGGCCAGCACATATTGCAGGGAACATATAAGAGCGACAGGAAACGGGGGTCAAAGTCAAATGACAGCAGCCATCTTGTCCCTTGGCAAAGAAAGCGTCGTCCGCCCGCGGGACCGTTGCGAACGATTCCTCGCGTCCGGAGATTTCCGGTTGGTGGTGTGTGGATGCTGGATGCTGGATGCGGACGTCAGCAGGGACAGTGCCTGTTTGTGCGTTCTTCAAGGTCCATGACAGCGCGATGATGAAACGTTGAGATGGGAGAGTGGACGACGGTTCGGAGGAACCACGGCCGTTTCGTTCCGTTTTCTCTCTCCTCTCTCTCTCTTCTCCGTCTATTCGGCCGGTGACGTCGAGCCGGGGTGGGGGTTTGTTCCATGGAGACTGATTTAGAATTTTGGGGGTTTTTCAAAGTTTGCGCTGGGTAATTTCACTAGTTTTGCAGGGGCACTTCTTTTCAGACAAGGGTCGGAATCTACGGCAAGTTTGCGTGCGATGGAAAAAGGTTGATGGAGTAGTCTGGGGCTGACGGTTCTGACACTTTTGTCTGCCTTGTGTTTGGAGGCGTCGTACAGAGACAGGGAAAAGCTTGCGTGCAAATGAGGTTTATGCCAGTGAGACCACTGCTCCGGTACGAGTTTGGACCGACCTGTAGTCTGCGAGGGGATGATGTTTTCAGGGCGGATGGTTCGTCGTGGGGATGAGGGTTTGACAAGTTAACATTCAAGTGGTTTTGGCGTGTTAAGTTTTTTGCTGTAGATGGTCAGACCGTCGTGTGGTTTCATGCTGTGGTGGTGACAGATCGCTGGCTGGTTGACATGTACCGCGGGCGCCGGCGCGGAGATGTGGGGGGGGGGGGGGGGGGGGCCAGTGTGCGTCTGCAGCGCCGGCGACTTATTTAATAGCCGGTCATTGAACGGCTCCGGGACCGGCGATATATATGGGTCGTTGAGGAAGAAAGGAAGGAGACACACTACTCAAGAATCGCGCATTACATGCAACACATCTCTTACATCGCGCACACATTCTAATCCTAATGCCTCGTTTGTTTTCTCGTGGGGGGTTTTGGTTTTTTTCTTCTCGTTTTTGGCGCAGAGCATTCTCTACTTTCCCTATTACCCCACGGCTAGACCACCAATTGCTCCGTGTGCCCTCCTCAACGAACACTTTGATAGACCGTTCGAACGCCTGCTCCCCAATTAGCCTCAGAGTTTGAGTGCCGGCGAATTGACCCGTACCATGGCTTCTTCCATGCGAGGGGTGCCGATCGCTTTTTCGGCCAGTTTCTAGGGCTTGGCTTCTCTTTGGTCAGGGTAAGTTGGGGGTGGGGATTTGGGGTTCTGGGCTCGGTAGCCGGTAACTCTGTAGCCTGGTCCTTCTTATCCTACAGTCTTTCTTGGATTCGTTTTCTAGGATTGAATTTCCGTAAGGTCATGATGCAGGGCCCCCTTCGGATTTAAAAGACGACCGAGGCAGTCTTCTCAACTGGTTTCGAAAATCAGGTCAATGGAGCGCGGCAGAGTTTGCTGGGCCCCTGAAGGAGGGTGATATCGGGCCTTAACACCGACGGGTGGATAGGCTCCGCGAATGGAAGACGTATTGCAATTTCAACAGTCTTTGGCACAGTTTAATTCAATTCCTTGAAGTGCGGAGTTTAAAGTCAGGGGAAATCTAGAGTTGCGGGCAACTAACTACAACTTTGATCCGCTCCAGTCTAGCTCGATACCTTGATTCTCCCTAATCGGCAGGGGAGAATATTTGGGTTTAAAAGAAGGGGCAAGAGGTATATTAACAGTGAGGTATACTCATCTCAAGTTCCACGTGGCAACGTGACTCCAAATGGTTCTGCCAGCGACAACCGTAAGGGGATAAAAACCTCAATTGTCATGGCCAGCGTCGAAGGGTGTTGATGTAGCCTTGATTTGACTTTTGGTCTGTCAGATCAGAAATGATGGTATTCCAAATCTCAGACGAGGCAAAATTCACCACATACTGTAACGAGAGTTACCGTACGGGAGCAGTAGAGTCGATGGTTGTGGTAAGTTGAGGTCCTCTATGGTATCCTCGGCACGAATTAGTCCGTGTCTACAAATCTATTGAGTTCAAAACCGCAATAGGCTAATTGATTCCACCTCCACATGGAACCTGTAAATTGTCCACAAATAATTGGGGTTTCATACAGATGCTATAGCTTTCTGGCTAGCTTTCAAGCGTAGTAGTGCCCTGTCAATGCTCGTCGGATCTCCGTGTTTGGCAGGTTGATTTTGATTGTTATGCTTCGGCGGTGCTACTTGATATTGTGGCGGCGGCGGCAGAGTAAGTTTTCTCTCAGGAGTGAGGGTTGCTTTGTGGTCAGCACGAAGTAGCAACCGCCTCAGCCTGCAATCACTCATCGACGGTAGTAAACGTTTGCATTTATCCTTTCCCTGATGTGACTTATCAACTGCCACAAAGACTATTTAGAATTAATAATATTATTTTTGCTGTTTGCCTTGCCATTTTAGTGTACTGGCCATCCCAAGTACCAGTAATTTGTTACGGACATGGGCTTCAGATGCACATTAGACACTCAAACCTTCCAACGATGCCATTTCGCATCTGATTTTGTTTCAATCCTGAATCCAAGTTCTCCTGAAGCTTCAATACTCGGATTACCTGTCATAACAGGTCGGTTCTCTACGTGTCTAATCTTGATATGGGGCGCCAATCGCTTGCTTTTGAATCCTGTTTCCCCGACCGCTATTTCTTGTCAGAGCTATCTTATAGACAAAAAATTATATCATAAGACGCCTGCTTCATGTTGATAAAGATGCAGTGCCATCTTTGACTTCTCAATAATGACCTATTAACAGATAACGAACCATCAAGATGGCGCCCTTCTTGTTTGGTCATCGTTGGAATCGATGACCCAAAAAAGACTATGAATCAAAGAATACCGCACAACCATACCACTTCAATAAGTGCTCAACTTCCGCATGTGCGATGTAGGTCTTATGAAAAGATGAGGCGGCGAGCAGCGGGATGTGCAATTGTCACGGCCTCCATAATGCCAGATAAAAATGATACAAGTCAATGAGACCTGGGCACCTTCCCCATCATCAACGCTCACCCGAAAAGTCTGCTAGGTATCAAGCCTGATACTGAGTCACGGCGAGCAAGAAATCAAGCGTGCGTGATCTAGATATACTCAAGTTCAAACATCGATACCCATTGTTTTTTTGTACTGATCCCAAATCCCCTGCTTGTACACCTTATTTCCTCTGACCCAACTGTGTACGGCTTTTCAAGAATCATAAAAGGCTCTTTTTATAGTGTTACTGGTCATAAGTCATCGCCCGTCATAAGCTTGGGTCAAAATACCCGCCTAGAATACACAAGCCGTGTCCGAATAAGAGGACCGACCCCTCCTGTAAGTGCTTTTCCGCTGCAATGCTGCAGCTTGCCCAAACGCCAATTTTCCACTCGTGATTTTACATTTTGTCTACAGATTATTAACGGGTATAAGAGACATTCTTTTCCACCTCTGACTTGGCATGGTGATGGCCAATATGCTCAGCCGGCATGTCCCCCTTTCGAGGTACCTTTTCATTGTCATTTGACTCGGAGTCTTTCGCTGGCAAGACCTCCTTTATGGACTGCGAGGTGATTTTGATAGTCGTGCGGACATTTATCACTGGCCTTGATGAAGTTTGTGTCTCATTGGTATGGCTCCTCTGCCCAAGATCGGACGATGGGCGGGATTCGGGATACTCGTGCTCCTCGCTCTGCCTCTGATCACGAACCGTCTTGTTCAGCTCTATGTCAGAGCTTGTAGGGGATAGCGTGAGGTCGTCGTACGTCTGATTCGTGGAACTGCAGTTTTCGGAGGTGGTGCCCCTGGTGTTCGGTGCGGGAGTTTCGTTTTGTGCAGGGCGACGGCTCGAGTCTGCCCAGCCTGCATATGTCGGGCGAGACTGTTTGCTCTTGGAGCTCCAGCCGAAGCCCCAACCATGGAATAGCGGTCGCAGGCTGGTGACGGAGGCGGCAATGATGCCTAGTGCAGGCTCCATCACGCTCCAGATGGCAACGTCGCTGTCGAGAACATCAGCGGTTTGTTCATGTACAAAAGAGATCGACGGATGATCTTACATTGTCTCGTAAAGAAAGTCTGCTGAGATCGCAAGGCGCCTGACATAAGGAATACGTATGATTAGGGCAACACCAGCGCTGTAGACGCATTAGCCACGAGGTAGCCCTTCCAGGTTTTGTTTCCACTTACATCATGCCCATACTCAAAAGTACAGCTACCAACACCTTGGTTCGACGGTTAAGATTCACATTCCAGAGTAGGGCTATTGGTAACAACCCCATAACCCAGTCAGATACCGCGGAGACGACGCTGTGGGCAACGACGGCATCCGGAACGATGTTGTAGTTGATGCAGGATCCCTTCATTCCCTCAAGCTGCTTCCAAAAATACGACACCGGTTTGCACTGAAAGGTCATGATGCAGAAGAAGGCGATGGAGATCATGCAGACGACTACCAGGTTGACGTAAATGATCCATCGGTGGACTTTGTTGACGGCGAGCCGTAGAAGCAGGACGCAGATGGACAGTCGTATCGCTAGCGTAATTGGGGGATAGAGGACTTCGCAGATGTACCAAGCTCTCAAAGATATAACGGCTTTCGAGCGGATGAGTTCCGTGACATGTCTACCGGTAGCGCCTTCGGTGATTCCATGCATGGCGATAACTCCGTAGACCACGTACCCGACCTACGACAGTGACGTTAGCTTATATATGGACAATGCGGTCGATAACCAAGACTTGCCGTTGCGCCGAATATGAGCCAGTCATCCGCCGCCACACTTTTGACTATAAACACTTTGACGTACGCTCTGGCGAGGACGAAGATACTGGCGGCAATGATGAAGGCTAGCTGAACGCCAAACAGCTCCATTCCACGATATGGAAACTCCTCCTTGTCGGCTCGTTCGTAGATTGAGCTGTCCATGTTGTCGAAAGACATCAACAGTGTCTCAGCCATCCACCAGAAAGGTCGTCACGCGCAGCGCCATGGCGGCGGACAATAAGCAGACTTATAAAGTTCAGAGAGCCCGCCATCTTACATGGCACATCTGTCAACACGAACAAACTCAGCGGGGGTTCAAGGGAAGGAAATGAAAAAGAAACGTGGGTTCATAGAGGGCTGTCCGGCCGTATGAGTGAGCGGGTTCATGGTCCATCTGCATCTCGATGGGGGCAAGGACAGCAACCCGCAGGCCCCCGTGCAGGTAGACAGGGGCCAGGCAGACACTTCCATAGCACGAGTTCTGAGTGGATGAATGAGACCGATCAGGGTCCTCGACAAGGGCTGTACATGTATGAAGGATATTGCCAGTTAACGAAGTGCCCACAAGTAAAGGGTGGTGTCATTTCAAGGTACTGACCGGCCCTGTCTGCAAGTCGTACGTATTCTGAAAGAGAAGACAACCCACAACTGGAGATAAGAAACCCCCACACAATGGTAATGGGGTTTAGGTTTGATGGGGAAAGTTTACTAGCACGCGAGTTCAGATGAACCCAGCCGTGTTGCCGGACAAACAAACCAGAACTAGAATATTGTATCCCTTGGAAGGCGGAGGGTCCGGAAAGTTACCTCTGATGAGTCTGGATTACAGATCTTCGCGACTTTGAGGAGGGTTCAAGGGACGATCGCGTTCTGGTAGAAACATTCTGGCCGGCCATAAGAATACTCCGAACCCATTGCTGGTTTATTCAGGGACGACCAATGCTGATTTAGCCCATGACAGCCTTTAGTTTAAGGACCTGGCTTGACTCGCAATTTGACCCTAGTATTCGGATTCGGGTCTGAAAGCCCAAACTAGACGAAAACTGATCACGATCATGCCCCTCGTGGCCGATTGCCGAGGTTCAACATGTCACCTTCTGGAAACACAGAGTCATCGTGCAGTACCGATGATGTCTTGGACATCACCTAAGATCGTCAGCATAACGGTGACGAGATGGTGGCGATCCTCGAACGATCCGATAAGTCGCCAATGTGCTTTGGCCTTCAAATTCCACGAGAAAAGAAACGACGAGGTAGCCACACAATGCCCTCGCGTATTAGAAAACCCTACTTCGCGGTAAACGTCTTATTGCAAAACTCTTCGTTTATTAAATGAGTGCTGAGTGAGCTTGCGGATAGACTCATCCGATCTCAACGGTCAAGCCATTTGTGCCCCATCGATACGACCCACTCCGAAACATAATTATATTGTCTCCGAGGGTTTTGCTGCTCGAAATCTCTCGCAGGGCTGCTGTTCAACCCTGAAAGGAACAGCAAAAAGACCGGTCCAGAGGTGGACTTCAAACTCAGAGTAACAACGAGATTGCTACTTTCTATGTTAGGAAACACAATTGACCCCAGACGGGCAGTCAAAGCCGCATTGCCGGCAGGGTTTGCTGTCGTACGATTCTGGGAAAGTGAGCCACGTAAAATAAAGTGGTGTGCAGATTGACTCAAGGCAAGATGGCGATAAGTGTGGGTCATCCACCACAAATCGTAGTGACGACCTGTGCCTGGTTCTCAACCTTCCCCGCCGCAGCTTCCGAAGCGCTTTAGCAGTATGTGAGTCGCTAGAGCTAGTTAAATTGAACAGTCAACGGCAATGCCATCATGTGTGCAAGGTTGTGCCTAAAAGCAAATGTAAAAGAAAAGCTCAGACCAAGACCACACAATCCAAGTGACATGTCAAATGCCGAAAAAAAGGATAATGGGAAGACATCCAGGACTGTTAGCAGAAAAGATGGACTGTTACATTTGGTCAGTGTTAACAGACACCTCGCATATTATCTGAGGTTAAGCTAATGAAAAAAAAGAAAGCTGAGGTGGAGAGGGAGGTTGTGGTGGAGGTTGGCGGGTTCAGACACTTGGATGGTACAAGCCTGAGGGATCTCTGTTGCCATCTGATGGAGGGTCACCTCGCCAGTCTTCGGCGCAGGGCAAATGTGCCAGACGCACAGAAATGCCATCTGAAGGAAATTTCGGAATTTGACCATGTACCGCGGTGTCATTCGAGGCGGGACTTTTTTTTTGGGGGGGGGGGGGGGGGGGGGGGGGGGCCTACCAGCCTTGATGGGCTACAGCGACTAGAGCTGGTGCATGGCTACAAGGCGGCAGATCCAGCCCTCAATTTTTTATATGAAGCCTACGCTGCAGCATGCTTCAAGATGTGAGACGCACATGATAATGTAACTATAAGATTGTCTTATAAGTAGATGCTCACCAGGAAGACCTGACACTACATATTCCCCGGCTGCAAGCTGCCATGTGCCGCGGAGTAGGCCGTATGATCCGGCTGACCATGACCATTCAATTTTTTTCTGGGCAATGCCTGCAGCTTATTCCTTTCTTTCAGGTACTCTCAAGTGACCAGTTTGAATTGGCTTCTTTCTTGTGCTGTTGGTTCGTTACCTGAGAATTGCTAAGAAAGGTGACACATCATTTGTGAAGAATCTCGATGCGGTATCCATATCCGTACCCTCATTCTTAGCCGATGTTCTAGCAACTCCGCACCATTTCTGACTCGGTCTCTTTATTTTCTTCATCTTGTTGTGTGCCTTATAGATGTCTCGCGGGAGCGGCTTGCAGGTTATCAGCCACGTTCTGATTTTGCCGGGTAATGTCCGGCCTGCTGTCTCAAGCGGACGAATAGGAACGAAAGTCCATATAGAGTGATTCCCAGTGGCGCCCCCAGACCTGGGAGATTCAAAGACCTAGTGCCAGCACATGTATTCATTCAATATGCGAGGCCAGATAGCCTGACTAACGCCTTACGCAGAGATCAGAGACATGAGGACATACAACAGCTCAAAAGCGCTGAATTGCTGCTGGAGAGGAGAAGAATCCTCTTACCGACCTTTTTTGTAATCTGAATTTTTTTTCTCGGATGTCAAGCCACGAAGAAAAAAGCAAGCATTCTAAACTGATGGTCAGATTATGACGTCTGTTAACAAGGGTACAAGCTCGCTTGAGGCTGCAACTGGATGAAAGGAAGAGGGGCGAGGGGATCAATGAAAAGTTAAATAAGGCAATAACGGAGCCAGCTGGACCCTTTTCAAATAAAGTATTCCTTGAAGCGGCCTGACCGACTGGATCCTCCGAAATATCCGATCGCGGCGCCGACTACGGGTACCGGATATGCGGTCAGCCCTGTGGACGGAGGCGGGGCCGGTCTTGCTGCGGGGACGCACAGACTTCTCGGCCAAATCCTCCGATTATTTTTATGATGTCAACGCTGCCATAGCATGATCATGTCGAATCAGTCGCTCATACCTCTGCAACCTTGAGTTGCGCAGACACTTGGAATATTAGATGGATGTCCTGGTCTAATTTGGATAAAGATTCGAAATATTTGATGGTGGACTTGGATACCTGGGTCCGGCGACAGAACCGCGAGGTGGGCGTTATCGTGCCTCTTGCCAAATGTTCTCAATAAAGTGACACAAAGAAAGTTCAAGTAGCTTCGCTATCTCATCTTTTCTGTGTAATCGTAGATATCTGCGTATTAATGACGGAGGAAATGAGTAGCGTCTGGGTCTAGACCGTGTAATGTTCCTGCAATTGCAGTCACGATGACGTCGTCAATGAGGTATGTGGATAATCCACCTCCCTCAATCCATCTCAAGGTCGGCTCAACAATATATACAGACGACTCATTCCCATTGAGAAATTTCAAGTCGCACCCTTTCATTGCTTCAATTTCAACGACAGACGGCACAATACCCATTTCATTGTATTCATCCATCACAAGGCTACAGATTTTTGTGTCGATATTGTTGTAAAGATGACGGACAAGTCACAGTTCCAGGAGGGTATGCTCGCCGACGGAATCTTCTGGATGAATGCACGCTAATTGTCCACAGGCCATTCGGTGCCAGTGACGGACCAGGACTTCCCAGGAAAGGAGGGCAACATGCCCAACCCTACTCCTCAGTTTGATCGCATTCCCACAAGCGATGGCGGTTCTAAGCTGTACCAAGCTGCTGGAAAGCTGGAGGGCAAGAAGGCCATCATTACTGGAGGTGACTCTGGTATTGGCCGTGCCACAGCGATTCTCTTCGCTATGGAAGGCGCCGATTCGCTCATTGCTTATCTGAAGGAGGAAGAGGATGATGCTCAGGAAACTAAGAAGCGTGTCGAGGCTTACGGCCGGAAATGCTACCTTCTGGCAACTGACCTCACCGACCGTGCCAACTGCAAGAAGGTCGTTGACGAGGCCCTCGAAAAGCTGGGTGGCATTGACATTTTGTTCAACAACGCGGCGTATCAAATGATGAAGGAGAGCATCCATGACCTCTCTGAGTAGGTTCACACCCTTCCCGCACCCCCTTGGGCTCGCTGCTAACACTGACTAGGGAGCAATGGATTCACACTTTTAACACCAACATTCACCCTTACTTTTACCTTGCCAAATACTCCCTGCCTCATATGAAGAAGGGCTCAACTATCATTAACAACGCAAGCATCAATGCCTATGTTGGTCGCCCCGACCTCCTCGATTACACCTCCACCAAGGGTGCTATCATCTCCTTCACCCGTGGTCTAAGCAACCAGTTTGTCGATAAGGGCATCCGTGTCAACGCGATCGCTCCGGGGCCTGTCTGGACGCCACTGATCCCCGCTACGATGAACGAGGAGGCTCAGAAGCAGTTTACCGCCCCCATGGGACGCCCATCTCAACCCTCCGAGATTGCGACTTGCGTGGTGTTCCTTGCTTCCACCGATAGCTCTAGCATCAGTGGACAGACCATTCACTGCAACGGTGGTACCATTGTCAACGGTTAAGGGTGGGAAATTCACGTGTCCGACGTTGAATGGCATGTATACTAGTCAAATAATCAACTGGCACAACCAGATGAATGACGTATGACGCAATGATAAAGATATCTTGAAGATTCCAAGCTAGGCTTTTTACTGATGCCTCATACCGCCACGCACTTAAATTCTCTTACACATAATTCCTAGAGTCGAGTCGCTGGGAAAGACTCTGGCCGTTGTGTTGGCAGTGACCTTTTCTTTTTGTAACCTCCGAACGCGGGTATAATCATACTATGAAGTGTAGTGCTCAAAATATCTAAATATGCACTGCAATAATTAGGGGACACCCACTGGAGGCGGCAAGACTAACCATAATAGGCGGCCCAGCATGGATGAAACAGGGATGATCATGAAACTCATCCAACCACAACTTGAGAATCCAGTAGCTAGCTGCTAAAGAGCGGCGGGAACAGCGCGTTTCGCATGACCTGCATTTAGAAAGGTGGTTCTGGTGCATTTTGTGCATATCGGTCCATATTGAGGCGTATTAGTACTAGACCACCAACTTCTCCTTATTGGATAGGAACAACGTCTCCTGTCTAAAACCGCCACAAAAACGTTGACCCCTTTATCTTGCTTTCACTGTTGGCGCGCCACGGGTTGTTGTCTAGACAAAGCTGCCTGACTGAGAATGTAGCCGACAAGCTGGCCAACCATATGCCACTGAGGCATTAGAAACCTTCATTTGGCCTGGCTGAAGAGATGGTCTTGCCACCAAAACTTTCAAGTGGAAGCTCCTAAACCGCTGCAAGTCACAAGGTTTGGGCAAAGCACAGGGTTAAATTTACAGAACCAGACTCAGTGACGCGATGAAAGTGAGTGGATATATTCGCGTATCTGATTGCCTCATCGCACCACAGATCTCTGGTCCCCATATTCGTAAATCACTGGGTACCTACCGATGCTGCACCATGGACTGTTTGGTTTTTCATGATATGCCATGACGCGTTTAAATTGGGGCACAACCCGGTACGAACTTTGACGTCGTTTCCGCTAGGAGAACAGCGTCATATTTCCGTGTCCTGATTAAGGCAGCGGGATGCATTGCGCACTGAGATCTCTGGGGAACTCTATTGTGGCGTCGTGGTATTAGTGCGGGCCGTTGCCAAAGAGTAACATCGACTGCCAGGAGCCGGAATGAGACCCCTTTGTCAAGGAATACCTACCTAGCGAAATGAACGCCCAATGGCAAGCCATCACTGAGTCCGGGGCCGCTCGGCCCCAGCTCTGTTTCTGAGGTACTATATACTTGGAGCGCATGTGACAAGTGGGCGCAAACATCAGGGGAATATTGGTATTGAGTACCCCAACTGCCAGATCCATCGTCAGTGAACCAGAATGGCCCCTCGACGTGTCGCGCTTTCCCCTTCTTCCTCACTCTATGTCGCAGGGCCATCCCTTCATTTTCTCTCTCCCCTTCCAGAACAACTCATCTGGTCTGCACTGCTTGTTTGGGCTGAGCCACCCACACGTACTCCATCCGTTGTTTTTTCTTCTTCTTTTTCACTTCTTCTACACTTGAGTGTCGTCGCCTACTTGCTCATGTTTCTTGACCATCTGGCTTGCTCTCCTTTCTTCTGTATCTGCTTGGACCCCTCGAGCCGTGCACATTAGCTGCTGCGAGACTCCACAAGGATCAAGTAAACAATCGAACCCTCCTTTTCGCTTCGCATCTTGTCGCATTCCACAGCTTCTTACCGCGAACCCTGGTTACAATGTCCGCCACGTACAGGCAGTTCCTGACTGCCCCCAACTCGTCGCTTCTTGCGCCGAACGCAACCCTCCTGTACATCACTACCACCACCTCTTATAATGGCCCTACCGACATCATCAAGCATCTCAACACTCTGCGCAATCAGGTGAAGAAGAAGAAGGAGGACATTCTGGATGTCGTTGAGGGCCGCGATGCCATTGCCGCTGAGATTGAGACCTCCCTGGAATTCGTCACCAGCGGAGGCGTCTATCTTCCTGGTCTCGATGACAACTTCTTGGCCGATCGCACCGTCCACCTGCCGATTGTGCGTACTGCTCCTAACCAACACTGCCCTTTTTACAGGCCGCCGAGCTAATATGTGAACTTTACAGATGCACGTTGTGAACTTCGACAGCGAGGGCAAGATCACGCAAATTCGGCAAAGCTGGGACCAGGGCTCCCTCCTCAAGCAGCTCGACATTATTGGAAAGTCTGGTCGCAACTGGCCCATTCGGGACAGTCAGGAGCAGATCAAAATGATAACCAAGGGCCTCAAGGCTACCGGCAAGGTCGCAGACGCTCCTGACACCAACGAGCTGATCAATCGATCCCGTGGTAGCTCGACCAACGCGCTCCGCGACCCCCACGCGTCCCTCTCCCTGTTTGCGCCTAGAGAACAGCAGGCCGAAGAAACCCCGGCGCAGTCTGTCGTGTCTCCTTATGCGGGCACCCGACCGCAGCAACGGTCTTTCACCGAGATTTTGGGCGACGAACCCACCGATGAGCCCAGCTCTCCCAGCGCGGGACGCGACCGTGTTGCCCCCAAGATTGGTGCTGGAAAGAACTTCCAGCCCAGCCGTTTGTTCGACGCTGACCAGCATGCTGAGGAGCCTGATAGCCCCGAGCAGCAAAAGTCACCCGAGAAGTTCTATCGCCCCAACCCCAAGAAGTTCCACCACTTTGACTTCGCCGACGATTCGGACCCTCAAGACACACCCAAGCCTGCCGACGGCCGCCCTAAGCCGACCAAGCACGACAGCACCTGGGGCTTTGAAGATTTTGTTACCCCTCAGAAGATCAAGCCCACAAAGACCTTGCGCCACCAGGATGTTCGCCACTGGGATACCGACGTGACCAACGACTCTGTCAAGGAGACCCCGCTCGCTCGTCCCGTTCAACAGAAGCCCCGCCGCGACGCTGAGGCGCACTTCGACTTCCAGGATGACGGCCCAGATGGCGAGCCTCGGCCCGCCGGACGCCCCAAGGGCAGCGCTCACAACACTGGCCTGCACCTTTACGAGAACAACCTATACAGCGAAGATGGCAAGCCTCTTCCTCCTGACACTGACCGGGCCCTGGGCAACATCACGAACTTGAATCACCGTCACAAGGACTTCGACCCGCACTTTGCCATGGCTGATGACTCTCCTAGCCAGGCCGGCCAGCAGCAACGTCCCACGGTCAGTGATTCTCGCAAGAAGGCGGTCAACATGATGAACTCCAACTGGGACTCATACGACCAGTCCCCTGTCTCCCAGAAAGAGAATGTGCCCGAGCCGCAGGCAAAGGGCAAGGGCGGCATCCACATTGCCGGAGATGGCATGGGTTCCAGGAAGGCTAATGCCGACGATGAGGACGATAGCCGCGGCATCAACATTGCCGGAGACGGCATGGGCGGCAGGAAGGGTACTAACCGCAACTGGCTCTACGGCGACGATGATGAGGATACCCCCAAGGCCATTCCACCCAAGAAGCCAGGCCTGAATGCGGCTCAGAAGAGCTTCTGGGACTTTTAAGTTCCGTCTTGACCGGCTCGTGTCCGTGATACGGACCAAGACCTTGAGGGTTCTAACTTATTGATTGTTTTTATTATGACTCAATGTCTCCTATGCTGCCCATGATTCACGGGAGCGTGTACTGTTGCAATATTGTCAGAGTTTGTCTTGTTTACTTGAGAACAGTTTGGCTCCACTGGCCATCCAGGTGCGTCGAGTTTGACTGGCTGGAAAACACCTGGAAGTGAAATACTGTATCAACCCCCGTGGTGGAAGGAGAGTGAGAGTATTGTTGGATCAGGGGCATGGACTGAAGAGAGATTGATAGGTTCCTCTGTTATTGTACTGCGTAAAGTTGCAAAGCCCATGATATCCAACAGAACACCTATTTACATTAATTCCACTTGCCTGCTTTGTGTGTGTGAATGAGAAAAAGAGAGAGAAAAAGAGAGAGAGAGAGAGAGCACGGTAGTTGATTCGTTACAAATACATACCAACGGCAATATGCGATGAGGGCAGATAAGCTCACGTGTAGACACATGAAATGGAGAACGCCCTGTTCAGCTGAACCTTGCATCACAAGAATGACGAAACCACGCGATTCTCAAACTGACGAGCATTTGCATTGGATTGCGCATTGTAAAGTGCCCAACAGCTCCGTATCATCGCCGCTCTCCTATTCATATCTATCTGGGTTGCAAATCTCCAGGAGCTGCTATACATCAGCTGGTCCTCCGCCGGTGTGTAAAAAAAAAAAAAAAAAAAAAAATCCCATGGCATCCAAACGCCTCGCTTTACTACCGTTGTTCATTCTACATTTCATGAAAATCTGACGCACAGATCCAACCAACGCCCTCCCCCCTCCCCCTCCCCCTCCTCGGGGATTATTGTTACCGGTGCGGCTAACACAAAAACTTGTAAACACGCTTCCACCTCGGCCAAGACCTCTTCTCCTCCTGTTCTTGGGCGACGAGGATGCTCAAATTGAAGTCGCGACGACCGGTGTTGAGATCCATGTCCTCGATGCGGATGTACACGGTACGGAACCACAGCTTATGGCCGATGTAAAAGATTAGGACGATCGGGAAGGCGGCGTATCGTAGGAAAAAGTTTCGCGCCACCCACTCTGGCTCCCTCTTCTCCCATCCTACAGGGAACGCGCCGACCCAGAACTGTGCGATCAGGACGAGCACGTTCATGATAAAGCCGCACCAGGACCCGAGAACGCCGACCTGGCTCCGGAACGCGAGCTCATGCAGACCGTGTCCCTTTTGCCGCCAGGCGTGGCGGAAGCGGATGTGGCACAGGCAGATCGATGCCCAGGTGAAGATAGACGACAGCCCGGAGATGGCGAGCAGCCAGTCGAGGACCTCGTCCTGAGCGTCAAGGTCCGCGAGGTAGGCGATTAGCCCCACGACGGCTGCAACGCCAATGGCTGTCAGGGGGCGACCCTTGCGGTCTACGTAAGAGAGGAAGCGGGGCGCTTGTTGTTGGTCTGCCAAGGCAGCAAGGGTTCTAGACGAACCGAAGACAGCAGAGTTGCCTACAGATAGAACGGCGATGAGAATGACAGCGTTCATGACGGAAGGGAGAACGTCGATTTTAGCGTTCTCAATAGCGATGACGAAAGGGGATGTGTTCGCGTCAGCCGAGGAGGACTTGGAGGCTCCGAGGAGGCGTGTCTCATCGTAGGGCACCAGTAAGCCGATCAGAGTTAAGGCGACAACATAGAAGAGCGTAATGCGCCAGAAGACCTGCTTGATTGCAGTTGGGAGGGATTTCCGCGGGTTGGCAGTCTCAGCCGCGGCGAGGCCAACAAGTTCAGTGCCTGCGAAGGCGAAGGCGGCCGTGACGAAGACGCTGCAGAGACCTTTGAAGCCATTGTGAAATGCGCCCGGATCTTGCCAGTACCTGCCGCCTATGTAGCCTGTTGTCGGCGTTCCTCCGCAGTTGAGAACTATGCCGAGCAAACTTTGATGCGTCAGCCGTAAGGACCTGAGAAGACACCTGAGGGACACTCACATGAAACCTATCACTGCTATGACTTTAATGATGGAGAACAAAAATTCGGCTTCACCATAACCTTTTACGCCGAAAAGGTTAATAGCAATGATACCGACGAGGAAGACAGTGACGAATATGGCTTTCGTGATGCCCTTGTCCCAATACGTGATAGTTATAGATGCCGCAATGATTTCGAGTGGCAAGACAATCAGCCATTGCAAAGCATAACTGCTCCATGTCAGCTTTCAAGTATGTGAATTGCGGTAGAACGCCGCAGGACTTACTTCCAGCCCATAGCGAATCCCCATGAGGGGTCCAAGAAGCGCGTCGAGTAGGCCGAGAACGAACCAGCGACCGGGAATGCGACAGCCAATTCTCCCAGTGCCTGACAAGTGCAATACAACATGCCACCAATCAAAGAAAACGCAATTAATAGCGACGCCGGTCCGCCGACCTCGAGAGCAGTGCCCGAGGCCACAAACAGACCCGTGCCGATGGAGCCGCCGATGGCAATCATCTGTAGGTGCCTCCCCTTCAACCTTCTCGATAGCAAAGTATTTGAGGTTTGAAGGTTTGCGCGGTGGATATCGAAATAATGCACTCCGTTGAGGACTCTATCGCTGCCGGATTCCATATCGGTGGGCGAGTCTTTCGGGCGCATCATCTGGGCCGGGTCGCGCCTGAAGCTCTCCAGCATCCGGCTGAAGACGCCCGGCGCATCGCTCGGGTCGTAAATCGGTTCGCGTCGCATACTGTAACTGCTCCCGACGGTGAGGGAGTCTTCTTTCACTTTGAGCGTACTAAGTTCTACGTCTTCGTGGTACGGCGCCATCCCGCTGTAAAAAGTGTCGAGGGTGGGCTTGGTACTGGCTCACCGCTCGTCGCGGGGTACTATTTGCAGCTGCCAACGTTTCTCGCCGTATCAATCGTTCGTGAGTAGTTCGTAGGCTTCGTTTCAATCGTTTAATACAGTTAACGGGGCTTCAGGTGTCGATCAGCCCCATGAAGGACTTCATGCCTATCGATGACAAGAAATCGGGCGCTTTTGTCGTGATTAAAGGTTCGAAGGGCGATTGTACGTCGTCGTTTATTGTCGTTCGATGATGGATGTATTTTGAAAACGCAAGGGAGCTTCGGCGTCGTTGTTGCAACGAGAATCTGGCCAACTAAAGGGGTTGGGTAACTCGCCCGTGGAGGGAGAGGCTTATCATGCTGCGGCACCGAAGCAGCGTAGCCCATCTGTTGCGTTGGCGTTGAGTGACGGACGGAACGGGTGCTCAATCAGGCGACAAGGATGTTGCCAGGCGGCCATCCAATCCATCCTACAACAACCACACCAATCGCCAGTGACAGGACGAACGAGGGCAAAGGCCGAGCCGGGCTGGACGAATGAGGGGACTAGTTGCCACGACTAGTCCTCGGATCCCCTAGTTTCTTTCGCACCCTGTTTTGAGTCTGGACTACTTCTACAAACGTTTATCCCACCCAAATATGTGATGTGCCCACTCTCGCTACTGTATCTCCATGTCTCCAGCTCTCTGTCGACTTTATCGCATCCCGCGTCGTCGCAATCTGTGCATGCAAGCATGTGCGCTTGTCCGGGGTGCTTAATGGGGGGCGTCCTACCGTCGCAGGGCCATCTCCTGCTTTCAGCTGGAGAAGATGGGGACCGCTCCACTGACTAACAGGACATACCCAGCCAGCACTAGTCAAGTGCATGAACTTGGGGGCCAAAGGGGCGAGACCCTTCCATCCCTTAAGATCCCATGTGGTCACGCAACACCATCTCTTGAACCTCCTCAGGGTCTATACTTTAGACTGAACGACATGTTTAGTACGCCGTGCACCCACCTGAGATCTACGCATTTGTTCTCAAACCCAGTTTGAATTCCTGCCGACAATGGGCTGTCTCGTCCCGCTGTACTTGTACTCCCTTGTGTGACATTTTAACGCCACACGCACAGACGAAGACCTTCTTCAGTTAAATTTTATATGCAATAGTCGGCCATTCTCTTGAGAGTATGTAGTATTTAAAACACTCATGCCCAGCCCTCCAATGTTGGAACAGATTAGAGTTATCAAATATGAGGATCATAAGTCCCATCACTCGTGATGTGAATGTCCGCGCCAAGGGCAAGGACTGTATCTTATCCAGGACGCTCCCATTCCAGACTCTCCAGACAATTAGATGGCAGTGCCAGTGACAGTGGGAACCCATGTGGTAGAAGACTACCTGCGTAACAGCCCGCGGTATCACGTCTAGTACATTTATTTCTGCAGCTGCTTGTGAAAAAAAATAAACCCAACTACTCCTGTTACAACGCCAGGCCGTGCCACTCGGATCAAGATACCTCCAAAGACACAGTCATGCTATGTTATATAAACATCTCATTCTCGGCTTTTCATTACAAGATGGAAACCATCTCCAGACGTTCATATAAATCATGCCTTGTCGGTGATAATTTTGCCATTTGCGTCTCTAGGCTTGCGCTTCCAGCCTGTGTTGAATAGCTTGCCCATGTCGAAACGTGGAAGAGGGTGTGCCTCGGTGTTGAGGACGATCTTGTCCAAGGGCAACAGGTCGTTGGGCGAGAACAGGAGGTAAAAGTATTTGAGAGTCTCCGCCTAGTTTCACCTCGTTAGTAAGTATTCCTTGAAATGACGATACGTGGGTCGCCTTACCATCCAAAAACTCTCTAGGTTGTCGCGGGTGACGGGAGGGATTGTGTTGGCGTTGCTCAAGCTGGTGAAGCCACCGCCTTCCTCGACAGCAGTGTAATTGACAAAAGACTTGAACATCTCCCAGCCCCAATCTCGGTACTTCTGTTCGCCAGTAATTCTCCACATGTAGAACAGACTTTCCACAGTCTCCGGCCGCTGCAAGTTATGAACGTCCATAGCATGGACCTCGAAGTCCTTGCGCCAGGTTGCCTCGGGGTCTGGGTCGAAGTTTTGAGGAGGATGGTGCGGGGCCGAAGCGGGTTTTGGAGGATTGTCGATGTTGAAATAGGTGATCTCCGCAGCAAGACCAGTCGCCATCCACTTGTACATGCCCCAGCAGGTCTGCATCAGCTCGCGAGCTAGCTTCATATCGTCCTCCTTCTTTTTGTCCCATGTTGGCAACCTCCTTGCCTCGGCCTCAGGGATACCTCCCGTAACTCCCAGTGCGATCGTTCCTGGCATGAAGCACACCAGATGGTCCATTTTCGGGGACAGATCGTTTTGCAGACCGCTCGGCCGCTCTCCAAGAACAGTAAAGCCAGAAGGCTTGCTATAAGTGATAAGGTGCTTGCGCACGCCTTCGAGGGCCTCGTCCCACATCTCCAAGTAGACTGGCTCCTGCTTGTTCGTCTGCAGGTACTGCTTGATCAGGTACTCATAGTACGAGTCGCCGCGGGAGCCCAGGCGAATGTTGTCACCTCTAAATTTCCCGTCAGTGGCGTAGATGTAAATTGGGACAAGACCATCCTCAGCGCCATTATCATCAACAACTTCCATGACCTTCTCTACCTTGTCCCAGAAGTCTTTCTCGCCAGTGAGCTTGGCCAGATACTTGAACTCAAGTTGAAGTGTTGTCGTTTCGGCAGTAGAAGAGGCGCCACCGTCGGCGTGAGAAACAATGCCCTTGTACTGAGCCAGGTTGACGCTAGCGTAGGGGACTCCAGACGGTGAATTGAAGGCTGACATCAACCGATCTGCCAAGTCCCTCGCCTTCTCCAAGTATAAGTCCTCGCCTGGTTGCCCAGGGTCGTCGTCCTTCATGGGAGCCAGATCGGGGTATTCGGTCGAGAGATAGTGGGCGGAAAGAAGGCCACCGAGCATTCTGATGGTCGTTTCAAAGGTGTTGACGTCTTGATCTTGATCATACGTCAAAGTCTTCGAAAGCCACTCTCGGGCGTGGGCGAGTCGCGAGGTTTGGTTCATCAATATCATGGTGTCTAGCGAATCGACAATGATCCAACCGAGGCCCTTTGGTGCCATCTGCCGGCCGGTTTTCGCAATGGGGTGGTACTCGTCGTGGCCTGCAGTAAAAAAGTAACGTTAACCTCAAAATCCGAATGTCCTGATAATGCGGCTTGGTTCAACTGTACCCCATGCGTAGCGCTCGTATGCATCCCAGCTGAGTTGGAAGGCCTCGACGACTCTCTCACGCCTCTTTGACCAATCCACCTTCTTGCCTGGCGGTTCAGACGAGCCTAGCCAGCCCCTCCATTGTGACGCCGATTCCCGAGTTTTGGATCCTTCAGAGAAGAAACCAAACCACCAGAGGCCAGTAAGAAAAAACAGCAGAAAGCCGATTATCGACCGTTTCCTCCGCCAAAGAGGTCGAAACCTCCGAGAGGCGTGATAGGTGTAGGGCTTGTCCTTGTACATGGGAAGCTGTCCCTTTGTGCCCAAGAGGCCCTCGACTCTTCCTTGGACACCCTGAAAAAGACTAGAGTTGCCTCCACGGCCCCGATTGTTCACGGAGCCAGATCCCCAGTACCGATCCTCCAGAGCTCGCTGCGGGTTGCTAAAAGAAGGGACATTCTTGGGAATCGAGAAGGCCATATCGTTCAGTGCGTTATTTCCCGCCTCTACTGCCTTCTCCTTGATGTTCTGGGCAGCACGGGAAGCCGTGACTTTGAAAATGTCGAGGGCAGAGTTCCGATGTAGGTTGAAAGGGTCGCGTACGTTCATATTACGCTCTCAGCATTGTCGCAGTGGATACCTGGCGGTTTCGAAGAAACGAAGAGCTGGGCAGGTCCAAATTGAACTCGAAAAATGTAAAACACAAGATCACCCCCGACAACAAGGATTAGAGGTGCTGCTGTGCATCAATGGAAGCAATGACAGAACAACTGAGACATGCGCATGCGAATCTCGATGATGTGGACTTTCCGATTTCACTGGAGCAAAGTGGCAGGCGTGGCAGGCGCGGTAACGAACGCCTCATTACCCACGAACACTAAGGCGTCGAGCTCCTCCCCGGCCGCCCCATACCAATCCCATATTCTTTGCACGCCTAGAGGTTGCCGGCACGCTTTAGCAGGCTTGGCCTTGGTTGCCAGCCACTCGTGGACCCCCTGAACTTAGAAAAGGCCACCTGTAAGTCAGTCGCCAAATAGTGGACGGGGATCCCAGAGACCACTCCCGGAAATGCTGTGGTGGATTTTGGTCGGCCGGGAGAAAAACATGCCGACGATTCCGGTGCCCCATAATTAAGTCATTAGGCTGAGTGAGAGAGCCACTCTTGGGTAAGCGTGCCAGCAACATGGTGCCCAGACCTCCGCTTCCCGTTCTTCGGTCTGGTGGGGTCTGGCAGGGCACACAATCGGCGGCAAGCATCAGCAGAGACACCGGCAGTACGGTGATGATATGCGCTCAAAGCCTCCGACTTCGACGGACAAGTGCAGGATTTCACAAAGGTATACACGCCAGCTGCAACGCCCTTTACACGGTCATTTTGCCATATCACGAGAGAGAAGTGCCTCAGAATAGGAAATTCTGGCGAGTCTATGACACAAAAATTTGCATTGGCAAGTTTACATTTGGTCGGTGCCACAAGATTGTCGACGTCCTAGATCAGCCTTCGTTCGACGGGAAGAGTTTATTTCTTCATCAAACCAACACATGATAGAATCAGGATGTCTTTCAAAGAGTTCCCATTCCTAGACTCGGAAGAGTTCGCCGAGGTTTGTCATCACTTTGACAGTCAATATTGCCGCGCAACCTTGGGTCCCCTCCGCCAGCGCTGGAAGTTGAGGCTTTGTACAGCATTAGACACGTCTTTCGCTACTGGTGTTGAATACACAACGTACTTGCAAGTTACACGACCACTTGAAGCCACATTGGACTATGGTGACCTCTCGTCGTGCCTGGACAAATTTACGTTTCGAGAAGGAGAAGATATTGGATTGGATGATGAGGCTATGGTAGATGCCGAGGAATCTGACGAGGTAACGTCGCGATGGCCATCATGTGACTTGTTGCCTGACCTTACGATATGACAGGCTGCTCTGTCCAAACCACGCGTCCCTGATGCTGGGCACGTCGTCTATGAGGTACATTTGCATCCAACTTATCGGATGCCATGCCTCTGGTTTACATTGCACGGGTTGCCATCGGACGAGCCAGCTTTCAACCTTGATACCGTCTTTCGAAGGCTCGTTCCCGATCAGTTTAAAGACGCGCTTCGTAAAACGGGCGGGATCGGGGGTATCTCAGGCGACGTGAGTGCGCCTCAGCTGTGAACCAGTCAATTATGAGTTCTGAAAGAGACCATGTGCAGGTCTGTACTAACACATCATGTCGCAGCACCACCCCGTCACGGGACTTCCCTCTTTTTTTATCCACCCATGCCTTCTCGGGGATGCCATGTCGGGGTTTGATTGTTCCAAGGAACAGTATATGATGCTTTGGTTGGGCTTGGTGGGTGGGTGTGTAGGGCTTTGGGTGCCCAAAGAGATGGCTATCGATATGTCTGGCTGAGGCATGTCGCACTCATCCCTCCGCCATCTCCCCTTGCTGAATCGGATTGCAAGACCTTGAATAGATCAATCGTCGTCGCTGTCCTCTTCCATCGCGACGTCGCTATCATCGTCTTCTTCCTCATCTCGCTGCCGCTTCTGGCCCCTCGCATCAGAAGCTTGCGCGTCACCCATTGGCTGATCATTGGCAGTGGTGGGCTTCGCTGCTGCGGGCGCAGGCGCGCCACCCGGTGCCGGCGCGTTAAAGATGCTTTGTTGGAGCTCCGTGACTTCGATATTAGAGGCACCGGCGGTTGAGTTCGGCATCTTGTACGTGCCGTCGAGTTTCGCAACGAAGTCAGACTTAGACTTGGCATATTGGATCGTCTACACGATTGGTTAGTCAAGAAACGGTGAAGAGAGTCAAAACATAAGGGAGACATACCAGAGGGCGGCCAAGAAATTCGAAGCCTTCCAGCGAGCGCATAGCTTGAGTCGCTGCTTGCACATCACGAAAAGTGATGTGTGCCTGGCCTCGCATCTTCATTGTCTTCATGGCAACAATATCAAGGACGGGGCCATAAGTAGAGAAAAGCAAGTAGAGCTCCGTTCGCAGATCGTTTTTCTGAATTTTCGCGGATGGCAGGTTTTTAACATAAAGACTATAAAGATGAGTAAATATCCAACGTCTCGGGATGATCGACGTACGTCTGATTAGGAGAAATCGTAGAAATCTTGGCGGGTAATGATGAGTTCGGCGCAAGGCCGCGAGGAGGAGCGACGGCTGCCATTGCGGGTTTGTAGCTGGGACAATCCAGTTACAAAGTCGATGGTTTGCTACCTTTTCTCGGAGTCGGCAGTAGATATTCAGAATCGAGGTGGTTAAGGTTGGGCGTCGCGGTTGTTATGTTGTGCACTTGTCGCGATCTAAATTTTTGACTTGTGTCCGGCCACCGCAGTTTGGTCGGATGGCTGAACTCAGGAGCTTCCTTACGTCCTTACTAGCGCGGCGGTCGAATTGAGGGGACCCCCAGGGTGGCCTTACTGCCTGAAATCATGCAAGCAGAGGAACCTGCCTTGCTGAGCACCTACGTAACCCGTCTGCCCCACCACAGGCACCCGCCTGATGGTACCCAGTAAGGTATGGATTGCAGCACCTTACGTATGTAGGTACCTTACTTGCACAGCGTCTAGCACTGCCACTTGGATCGCAACTTCCTCAACAGACCATCTTGCTACATTACATTCTCAGTTCCCCTGAATATCTCCCGCCATTCGATTAAAGTGGTAGTAGAGAGCTATACTCCTATCACGAAGAATATCTCACTATGGCGGCTCCTCAAGTTCACCACCTCTTCCACGCTCCTATCGCTGACCACTCGTTCTCGGCCGACCGCCAGACACTGGCCATCGCTCGCGATTCTACCATTGAGCTGTATGGGACTGCCGGCAACTCCTTCAAGCTGAAGGATGAACTTAAAGGACATGACAAGACTGTAACCAGTGTCGACATTGCTCCTAACAGTGGTCGCATTGTCTCCTGCTCCCAAGGTTCGTTGATGCGCTCGACGACCTCCCGAATTGCTACTGGAATAAGAGCTAACGGGTATCGCTAGATCGCAACGCTCTCGTGTGGGAGCCTTCGCCGAACGGATACAAGCCTACGCTTGTCCTCCTCCGAATCAGTCGTGCTGCGACATTCGTGCGCTGGTCGCCTTCTGAGACGAAGTTCGCCGTCGGTTCCGGCGATCGTGTCATTGCAGTTTGCTACTTCGAGGAGGAAAACGATTGGTGGGTTTCGAAACACTTGAAGAAGCCTATTCGCAGCACCATTACATCCGTCGCCTGGCACCCTAACTCCGTCCTTCTTGCTGCCGGATCCACCGATGCCCATGCCAGAGTTCTCTCTAGCTTCATCAAGGGCGTTGACCAACGCCCAGAGCCTACCGCCTGGGGTGAGAGACTGCCATTCAACACTGTCTGCGGAGAGTACCTGAACAACTCTGCCGGCTGGGTGCACTCTGTTTCTTTCTCGCCTAGTGGAAACGCTCTGGCTTTTGCTGCCCACGACAGCAGCATTACCGTTGTGTACCCTAGTGCCCCCGAACAGCCGCCTCGTGCTGTCGTTACCATTACCACCCAGCTTCTGCCCTTCATGAGTCTTATCTGGAGCAGTGAGGACGAGATTATTGCTGCCGGCTACGACTGCGAGGCCTTCCGATTCAAGGGAGGTGAAAGCGGTTGGGGTCTGGCCGGAACTCTGGAGTCCAAGGGGCGCCCGGGCCTCAGCGACGCCCGCGAAGAGTCCGCCTTGAACATGTTTAGGCAGATGGATCTTAAGGGCAAGGCTAAGGATGATACCCAACTCAAGACAGTTCACCAAAACACTGTGACAAGAATCCGCTCGTATGAAGAGTCGGGCGGCAATGTGACAAAGTTTACCTGTAAGTTCATTAATGTTTGTCTGATCAAGAGCACGAGGCTGACCATACATATAGCAAGCGGCGTCGACGGAAGGATTGTCATTTGGAGCACTTAGAATATCTCGCAGTACCACTCGTAGCCTTTCTTCAATGGGGTTTATACTGAATCAATTACGTGCGTCCCAATTCGAATCTCTAACGTCTACTCCATACAAAGGCCATCTGGCTAGTGATTTCAACTCTTTGAGAAGCTCGCCGGATGTGGTAAGTGCTCAATAGAAGTACAAGAGACCAGCCATCTGTTGAGCGATTCCAAAGGGCCCCCGTGTTCTGCATTCTGCGTAGGCTCTCCTGCTCTACTCAGCAAATTCATCTATGACGCTGGCGGCAGTGCCCGACGACTATCACCATCATTCTCTATTTTTGTTTCCTGCCCAAGCGACATCATCTATACGGATAACTTAGCGCACCGAATGGACAACGGACAACGTTTGAGATCACAAATTTGAAAGATGGATTCATCAAATAATACGTGCGAAGCTCTACTTCAGTTACTTTGTAGTACTGTCCTTCATGATACGGACTACTCCTCACCATCATCTTACGGAAGCTTTCGTTCCACTTTCACGTTACAAAATAAACATAAAAGGCATTATCTTGGCCGCGAGAGTTTGATGTTGTATGAATCAAGTGTTGCAGTTGAAAATGCGTCTCACAATTTGCTTCACGTGATATTCGTTGAATCTGTGACAGGGCTGCCATGGAAGACCCCATGTCATGGCAAATTAGCGAGGCGTTGAGAAAGTGACATCTTCTTGGGTGGACAGGGCTGCTGTATAGAAGTAGTTGGTGATGCCACCGAATATTCCGGATGCTGTTTACCAACACTCGGGGTCATGTTCTACGAAATAAGCAATGTGTACTGGTGAGAGGTAATTACTATGCTCGATGTGTCCGGATTGGTTGAATGACTTTGTGCTAGGGTATTTGGTGAGAGTTTCCAATGTGACTGATGAAACCGCGTGCTAGATTAGATTGGCTCGCCCAATCAACACGTTAGATCTTTGACTATCTATCCGGGATTTGAAATTTAGAGCAGATAGTAAGGACATGAAGTCGTTCAAGATGTAATCCTAGATGTACATACTTCTCCACCTTGACATTGAAGTATTCTGGCTTCTAGCTTGCTTGTAGATCAAATCGCAAGTTAAGGATTACAGAATGTTCAAGGGTGCGTGATTTGCACACTGGAGGTCAGTTCTGCATCTGCTCTTAAACGGTCGGGTTTAGTGAAACAAGCCAGGATAATCTGCTAGTGACTGTATCTGTAGGTTGTTCTATTTTACCAGCCTTTCGTGAGCCTCCTACTGGGGACTCAGTGGGGGTTACTTGCAGCAGGAACCCATGCCCCTGCGACCGCGCGCTCAAACGTCAACAGCAAGCGTCGACTGCCCACTGACGCTGATCTAACCCACCCCACCAACACCAGCTAGTACTATGTCTGGACCTCTCAGCTTCCATCCGTGCTTTCGTCAACCACCTCTCAACACTACGTTTATCCAGGCACTTTTTTTTTTCTGAGGAAAGCACACGGTGCCGGTCTATGACGATTCTTGCGGCCTTACATTGCAGAAAGCACCTTCTTTTGCCCTTGCTGCATCCCCTGGCTAGATACATTGCCAGAAATCCATTATATTCCGCCAAGATTACTCACCGCACACGCGGACTAGCCGCCACTGGGCCTTTGCCTAAGGACCCCGCCAAAGCTCGTTGCACCCTTCACACTGCCGAGCAAACCACCAAAGACGACGCCGCCCCCCACGCTCGATATCAGCACTACCCTCTCCTTGCTTCAGCGAAGGTTTCTCGAGCGAGCACCGATATAGCGACATGACTGAGTCGACGTAATGGAGCCTTCCATGTCAACTCAAGAGCGCCAGCTCTGTGAGTTTCTTAGAGACCTGCCTGCGAGATGGAACTACCAGTATGACGAAAATGCGCATCATGACCTCCTCGACAGCCTCTTTTGGTCATTAGCAGGCGGCGAACGTTACATGCCTCTCTTCTTCCCATCCGGCCGCCCTTCCCACAACCACAAGCTCCACGATGCCCAAGGCGCAGTCGAGGGCGCCGAGTACACCGAGGCCGCCCGAGGCAAACGCTGCGGCCACATCTTCAAACCTGGAGAGGCTTCTTACTCCTGCAGGACTTGCAGTACGGATGATACCTGCGTTTTATGCAGCAGATGCTTCGACTCGACCGATCACGCCGGCCACATGGTCCGCATAAGCATCTCTGTTGGGAACAGCGGTTGCTGTGACTGTGGCGACGATGAGGCATGGAAGGTCCCCATGTTCTGCACGATCCACTCCGAAACGAGCCCAGACAAGTCGGAGGGTAAGGGAAAGGAAGCGGCCGGTCTACCAGAGGATCTGGTGCAAAACATGCAGATGACGATCGGCCGGGTTTTTGATTACATTTGCGACGTTATATCGTGCTCTCCGGAACAGCTCCGACAGGCCAAGACCTTGGACTCTATCCAAGCTGACGAGGAGCTCTCGCGTCTGTCTCCCGACACATACGGGGAAGGCGCTTCTGGTCATTCTGAATATGCGCTGGTGCTCTGGAATGACGAGAAGCATACAGTGGAGGATGTCCAGAACCAGATTGCGCGGGCTTGCAGAACTACAGAAGCCCAGGCCTTGGAACGTGCTACTGAGACGGATCTTATCGGCCGAAGTATCCTCAAACGCCTTGACGACCTTGATACTCTTCTTGAGATGGCGACGAAGCTGGAGCACATCAAGGTCACCGTCACTATTCGATCATCACGGGACACGTTCCGCGAGCAGATGTGTGGAGCCATGATTGAATGGCTCAGTGACATATCTGGATGCAGTGTCGGAACAGACCATGCCATTCTACGTCACACAGTCTGCCAGGAAATGATGAAACCCTGGAGGAAGGGTAGCCCAGGTACTCACGCCATAGTAGGAAAGGACGGCATATATGACGAGGAACGATTTCTCAGGAATCTTGAACAATCTCAGTCTTTTACTCAGCATGTCCTTCTGCAAATGCAACGTATTGCGGCCCAACAGGCAGCTCGTGCGTTTGATGTTAGTGACGATGAAGACATCGACATGGGCAGAGGCAATGGTACGCCGGACAGCGATGCGGGAGATGACGATGACGATGATGACTTAGATGACGATGACATCATGATGGTTGATGTCCGAGCTGAAGCCCCTGGTGATATCGGCCTCGAGTGGCGCGGAAACGATCAGGCTTTGGAGGAGGACGAGGCCACTATGGCCGGCTACCCGCCACCTCCGCCTCCCCCGGCACGGCGAAGTGCACGAGACCGCGATTTGACACCGTCAGACTCGGACACGGCGGAACCTCTGATAGCGCCAGCTATCTACGCCAAGGCCAATCTGGAAATCCCCAAAACGCCTGGCCAAGGGGACAAGACCCCATCACCGAAGCCAGGTAGATACTGGCTTGAGACGCCGCCAGGATACATGAATCGGGAGAACGTACCACCGGCAGAAGATGTCTTTCAACGCGTCCGTCTCGATTGGCTCATTCTGTTCGACCTTCGCATGTGGAAGAAGGTCAGAAACGATTTGCGGTCTCTATATATCTCCACAGTTGTTTCCATACCAGAGTTCAAACGTATACTCGGTCTTCGATTCGCTGGACTTTATACGACACTAGCACAGCTTTACTTGATTGGAGATCGAGAGCCCGACCACTCCATCATTAACTTGTCGCTACAGATGCTCACTACACCATCTATCACCGCAGAGATTGTGGAGCGTGGCAACTTCATGACAAGCTTGCTGGCCATCTTCTACACGTTCCTCACTACTAGGCAGGTGGGGTACCCTTGGGATGTCTCATCCAATGCTGTTTTGGCATTTGATTCTGGCTCAGTGACGAACCGACGCATGTATCATTTCTATTTGGATTTGAAATATCTATTCGGTTCGCCCCATGTCCAAGAGAAACTCAGAAGTGAAGAACGTTATCTTTTGCAGTTCCTAGATCTTGTCAAGTTGCACCAGGGCATAGGACCAAACGTTCGTGCTGTTGGGGAACACGTTGAGTATGAGACTGACAGCTGGATCACCGCTTCCCTTGTGACAAGGGAGATTAACAGACTAGCTCGGCAACTTGCGGACGCATTCAGAAACGTTCCTGAAAATGAAGCCCATTTCGTTGCCCAAGCTATCAGAATGACGGCCAAGGCTGTGATATTGCACTCCGTTGGCGCAGAACGTCACAGATTCAAACAAGCAGAAATCAAAGAGGAGGTTAAGTTTAAGACCCTGGGCGATTTTGAGTTTGATAACGAATCATCTCGATACGATGTTGTCAAGTTCACGGTGGAAGAAGATCCAATCAGCTTTCACCACGCGCTGCACTACACGCTCTCATGGCTCGTCGAGTGTGGAAAGTCTTTGCCAGCTGCCAGTATGAAAGCGCTCCTCAGCTTCACTACCCAAGATTTGAGGCTCCCACCACGCACAATGGGTCGTAAGCTCATGCCGAAACGGGAAAATTCCCCTGAAGACAACCTCATGGCTGCTTTCGATTATCCTCTTCGGGTTTGTGCTTGGCTAGCCCAGATCAAAGCGAACATGTGGGTTCGCAACGGTATCAGCTTGCGCCATCAAGCGGCAACATACCGCGGAGTTAGCCAAAGAGACGTGTCTCACCACCGGGACATCTTTCTCCTTCAAACCGCCATGGTTGTTGTTGACCCTAGTCGCGTTCTTGCATCTATAGTTGACCGATTTGGCATGGAAAAATGGGTAAAGGGATTCTTCGAACAGAAGTCGGCAGCGCAGGACGATGCACAGCATCTCGATGTGGTTGAAGACATGATCCACTTACTGATCGTGCTTTTGAGTGATCGTACATCACTGATTGCTCCTGAGGATGAGCCCAACGCCAACATCCTTGCTATTCGTCGGGACCTCACCCACATCCTGTGCTTCAAGCCACTCTCGTTCAATGAGATTAGCAACAAGCTGCCGGAGAAGTGGCAGGAACAAGAAGATTTCCACAGCGTTCTGGATGAAATGGCGTCATTCAAACCTCCCGAGGGCGTCTCCGATGTGGGTACTTTTGAGTTGAAGCCTGAATTCGTTGAGCATATCGACCCTTACATTGCCCATTACAACAAGAACCAAAGAGAAGAGTCTGAGTTGGCCTATCGAAAGAAGATGGCCATCAAGACTGGCAAGCCCGTGGAGGAAATTGTCTACGAGCCTAAGCTTCGGCCCATACCTTCGGGGCTGTTCAAAGATCTAGCTGCTTTCACTAGCACAGGCATGTTCGCACAGATTATCTACTACTCCTTGCTGTATCCGCTTGTGGCCGCCAAGCTTACACCTAGCGTGCCTTCTACTCGGATTGAGACCTTCCTTCAGGTTGTCCTTCACCTAATACTCATTGCTATTTCGGAAGACAAGGAGGATGAGAGCGCCATGACGGAGGAATCACTCAACTCGTTTGTCTTTGTTTCTTTGACGCGAACAGGCCGAAGCAATTTCATGCCAGAAACACCCAACGCGAAGACGATTGTCGCCTTGCTTGACATGATGTCAACCAAGGAGGAGTTCAAGGCATGCCACCCCAAGATTGCCCTTATTCTCAAGAGAATGCGCCAGAAACGGCCACGTAACTTTGAGAGTGCCTACATGAGGCTGGGTGTCTCGGTTGACCGCATCGACACTGCCTCACCAGCAACCAATTCTGCGGAGGAAGAGCGCGAGCGAAAGAAAAAAGCTGCTTTGAGCCGTCAAGCTAAGGTCATGGCGCAATTCCAGCAGCAACAAAAGAGCTTCCTAGAAAATCAAGGCAATATTGACTGGGGCTCCGACCTTGAAGATGAGGAGGAAGCCGAACAAAATGTCGACCGCAAGAACAACTGGAAGTACCCCACAGGCACTTGCATCTTGTGTCAGGAGGACACAGACGATAGACGCCTCTACGGAACTTTTGCTCTCTTCAACGAGAGCCTTATCCTCAGACAGACAGATTTGCAGGATCCTGATTTCGTCCGAGAAGCTTTCCACACCCCCTCAAACCTTGATCGATCCGCGGAAGACATACGACCTTTTGGAGTAGCCCACGAAAACCGAGAGGAAGTTGTCAAGGTTAATGCCAAGGGTGAGAAGTTTGCTGCGGAGCGGCAGACGATAGGCAAGGGATTCCCTTCCAATCTGTCGCGCCCCGGACCCGTCTCTACCGGCTGTGGTCATATGATGCATTACAGCTGCTTCGAAATGTACTTTGACGCAACTAGTCGCCGGCATCACCACCAAATCGCAAGACATCATCCCGAGAACTTGCGGAGGCAGGAATTTGTTTGCCCGTTGTGCAAGGCCTTAGGTAATGCTTTCTTACCCATCATTTGGAAGGGACAAGAGGAGTCATTCCCAGGCCCATTACAGACACAACACATCTTCGCAGACTTCCTCGACACTCAGCTAAAGTCAGGCTACTACATCCTTGGCGCGAATCGGCCCCCGGATCAGGTGCAAACTTCGTTTGCCAACTATACTGCCGGACATATCACTGGATCCTTGGCAGAAAAGGCATCCCAGCTGATTGACGAAGCCTGGACGGCCGATGAGTCGGGTCCTGACTCTGTTGTTGTCAACACACCCCTGACATCTGTATTTCCGACGGCCACAACACCAGTTTCTAACCGCCGATCAGTGCCCAGCAACAGCTCGACGATCGTGGGTGAACTGGCTAAGGTATACCGTCGTCTTCGTGACACGATGTCGTCTAACGGGTTTGAGAGTCGCCACAAGTACATTCCACTAGAACTTCGAGAAAAGAACGAACTTGTCTATAGCGATGTGCTGGCTAAGCTGGTTGGCTATTCGATTTCTGCCGTAGAAATTCAGCAGCGGGGTGTTGAAGCACAATATGGCTTAACCTTGCTTGAGAAGATTCCCGAGCAGAGTCTGACACATCTACGCATACTAGCTGAAACAGCAACCTCTTACATTGCTGTTGGCGGGCTGAAGGCTGGTGGCGATAACCTTGTAGACGAAGAATTCCGCAAAGACAGCGAACGTCAGCACTGCCAGCTGTTTGTTTCTCAATACTTTGGGCAAGAAACCGAGCACGTTCGACGGCCGATTGACACTTACCCGCCGTTGCTGGGTCAGGATCCTTTTATATTTTTCTCTGAGTGCGTTTTTGGCCTGGTCCCTGCTCAGAACTTTGAGATCACGCATATTTTGAGGCTTTGCTATCTCGCAGAGATTGTCAAGGTTGTCTACCACATGGGAAGGAACATTCCAGTATCTGTATGGGTGAACCATATTCTCAACAAGGAGACGCAAGATCCAGCTCTGAAAAACTTTGCCGACTTTTGCCTCACGGTCACCAAGGCCGGCATGGAAATCAATGTGTCTCATCACGAAATGCCAGCAGATTTGGGCCAGAACCGCGGATTCAGCCAGCCGGAGCTGGATAATTTGGAGGGCTACTACACTTTTGTCAAGAAATATGCCCTAACCTTCCTCAGAAAGGCTATTGTTCTTCTTTACGTCAAATTCGGCATTGATTTTAATAGTCACAACTCCCCACAACCTGACGCAGACGAGCTGGATCGTCTCACTGAAGCGCTTCGGGTCCCGTCATTCGACGAGATGTGCGCAGCTATTACGGATCACGGACCATCTTGTGGTTGGCCAGCCTCAACAGCAAGCCTAGTCAACGGTTGGATTCGGCATCAGATCATGTGGCCTGGGGATATTGAAGGCAAACTCCCAAACTCCGCACTTATCAGTCATCCAGGCATATTTGAACTGGTGGGGCTCCCCAAGAATTACGACGCGCTGATTGAAGAGGCAACCAGACGCAAATGTCCTACCACAGGCAAAGACGTCTCTGACCCAATGATCTGCCTGCTCTGCGGCGAAGTGTTCTGTGGCCAAGCTGTCTGTTGCTTAAAGGAAGAGACATCAGCCGGAGATCGCGAGCCTCAGAGGATTGGTGGCTCGCAGCAGCATATGCGAAAGTAAGCAGACACTTTTTCATGTTTTTGCATAAACCATGCTAACTCAGACGTTTCCAGGTGCCAGAAAAACATAGGGTTGTTCCTCAACATTCGCAAGTGCTGCATATTCTACCTATTCCGGTTATCAGGCTCGTTTAGCAGTGCCCCGTACATTGATAAGTACGGCGAAACAGACCTGGGCCTGCGTCATGGTCGTCAACTCTACCTGAACCAGAAGCGCTATGACTCCATGCTCAGGAACACGTTCCTCAGCCACGGCATTCCTAGCTTCATTAGCCGTAAGCTAGAGGCGGAGATCAACAATGGAGGGTGGGAGACGATTTAAACTTAGGGGTAAACTTGGGGGAGGGGGGTGATTCGTGCGTACGATCAAGACCAGTGTGTGATGTCTTCCATTGATCACTTGTAAAAGAGGGAGGGAGTACATCGGGTTGGTGGCTAGATGTGTTTGTGAATTACAGTCGATAGACGTCCGCATCTCACGGCCTCCGGGGTTTATGGGCAGAAAGGAGTTCCATAGGGAGGGGTGGTCAAAGTTGTTGATTGCCGCGGTTGATATCATAGCACTTTGCTATACATATATTGATGTGAGGAATGCCATCTGAAATATTTCTTCATATGAGCAATCATCTCGTCTCCTTTCGGTATCATTTATTGCATGTCAGCCCGCCAAGCTGATCCTAGGATATCTTTCGGCGTATTTGTCGATTCATTGCAATGAAAATCCTTTTATGTCCCAGCCATCTCCATGTCCTCTTCCTGTTTTATTGGCGGTTCCGTACTGCTGGTCTCCTCCGCCTTTGTCTCTTCTTCCTCCATCCCGTCCTCCACATGACCATTGGCCACGGCAGCGGCGGCAGCAATTGCTGCTGCTGCATCGCCGTTGCTCACCACTCTCCTGAAAATACGGATGGACCCATCCTGCCCCGCACTCACCATGTTGTCCCCATGTACATCGACCCAAAAGCATACACTTCCCTTTCCATCTCGATCCTGTCGGTGGGCAGGAATTCTGTGGACGACCTCTTTCGTTATAACGTCCCATAGCACAATCTCGCCATCTTCGCTCGCAGAAGCGATGAAGGCGCCCTCACCGGGCACGATGCCAAAACACCCACCAATGGCGAAGCGGCTGTTGGCGTGACCTTGGTATGTCTTCTTCACAGAGCCATCAACGTAGTCCCAGAGACGAATGCTGTTATCGAGGTTGAAGGCGAGGACGAAGCGGCCGTTAGGAGAGAAGCAGACGGATGTTACGGCGGGGTTGTCTTCGTGAACGAGGGTGCGGAGGCATTGGCCTGTATATGTATCCCAGATACGACTGCAACAGTACCTTGTCAGCACAACACTTTTGGATAGAGGGAGATGGGCGTATCTTACATCAGGCCGTCCGTCGAACAACTGACGACCAACGTCCCATCGCAGCAAAAGTCAATCCCGCTTACAGGGTCGCTATGTGCTGGCAGACTCCTCATCAATCTCCCAGCCCTCACATCCCACAGGAAAACAGCTTCGTCATAGGACCCGGACGCAAGAACATTTCCCTTGGGTGAGAACGCAAGACAGTGCACGTAATTGTGATGGCCCCGCAAAGGAGGCATCGGCCTCGCAAATGGAACATTGCCATCTTTTGCCAGAGCTGCGACACCCTTGCCCGTCATCTTCGGACGACCCGTCACTCTATCCCACAAACGGATCGCCTTGTCGTCGCTTCCCGTAGCCAGGGTGCCACTGTCGGGACTCCAAGCGACGCAGCTTACGCCAGCCATGTGGCCGACAAGCGTGTCCATATGCGCTCCAGTGGCAGCATCCCAGACTTTGACGGTGCCGTCGGCCGATGCGCTGGCAATCCAGCGCCCATCCGGCGATATCCTCACTTGCGAGATGGGCTTGCCAGCATGCCCGCTCAGAACCTTCGTCTCTTCATATTTTGGCCGCACGGGACCTTTTCTCGTAGGCGTCGCCGGTGTCACTGCGCCTGTTGTTACATCACCTGTTCCCGGTGAAAGGCGTAGGCGGCGATCGACATTGTCTGCTAAGCTGCGCGGGGAGCTTCCTCCCGACGTAGATGCCGGCGAGCGCGATCGTGTACGAGAGTCGCTGCGAGAGCGGGAGGGCGAGGCCGTTGGGGAGCGCGTTGGTGAACGCGACCTTGAATGGGAGGAGCGAGAGTAGTATGCCCCGTTGAGTTCGTCATCACTTGGAGACCTGCTAGGCGTCATGCTAGGACGGCCTCGGTGGGTGGAGAGCCGGCGGCGGCGTGTGGTGCCGGTAGTAGTCGAATTGCGCTTCTCCTTACTATCGTTCCCGTTTTCGATTGTCGGTAAGTTAAGCTCATCTGGCGAGCTGTATCGAGCTGCTGCGGTGGTGTGGTCGAGGACTTTGCGGCGCTTGGGGGGTGGTTCTGGGACCGCCATCGCGGCTGCTGGGGAGTCAGGATTGGACATTTTTGTGTTTGTTGACGGCGCTCCTGTTGATGTTTTATAATCTATCTGCAGATTACGTTCGATATCGATTAAGGCTATGTTTGAGGTTCTCGTCGAGAATTGCAAGCGGGCTTTGGGGTGGTGACAGGAGGAAGGAAAGACAAGGCTGAACAAAAAGTGATGATGAGCATCAACTTTTGGGGTGCAAGGAGCAGGGGGCCTTGACAACTGGTGGTAAGCTCCCCCTCAGCCTCGTCCCCACCACACGGGTCGTTCGAGGGTCTAGGTTGACAGTGAACTGGAGACGCTAAAGAAGAAAGAATTGGCTAACGCAACCCGTCATGCTACAGCGACAAAGAAGCTACCGATTGGTCAATTGATTGGTTGATGGGGCACGGCCGCCGTACAAGTGATTTAGAGTGGATCTATCCCAACAACCCCGGCAGGAGTAAACAGAGCAGAGAGAATCTCGAAAGCAAACGTCACTCACTGAGACGTCCCAGCGGCTGACGACAATTTCGTCTCATCCACTCGTACACCCGATAACCAAACCCATCAGTCGAGTCTATTTGTGACTGAGGCGTCAGGCTACTCGATTTTAGCTCGTGCTCATTTTTCATTCGAAGCCAACCTTGCTGCATCCGGGAGCTTCGGCGCATCCTGAACGACTTCAAGGTCAAACGCCTACACGCCTCCGCTGCTTCATACCTTGAACACTGCTTCTTCAGCTCACAACATCCTCGGAACTGCTGGTTATACTAATACTACTACTCTTTCTCTTTTTACGTAGTCGGTCCAATTCACTACCAGATACCTGACCCAGCTTGCTATCGCCTCACTTACACTATCATGGACCTGCCCAGCGAGCTCCGAGTGCTGACCCTAAACTGCTGGGGACTCAAATTCATTTCCAAGCTCCGTACTGAGCGTCTCTCAGAAATAGGCCGGCGCGTCGCCTCCCTCCCAAACCCACCGCATATTGTTGCGCTGCAAGAATGTTTTGTAACTCAAGACTTCGACTCCATCCGTGCCTCGTGCGCCTCCATCCTCCCCCATGCCAAGTTCTACTACGGAGGCGCATTCGGCGGAGGTCTCGCCATCCTATCTCGCTGGCCCATCGAAGAAAGTTCCGTGCATCGCTACCCTCTCAACGGCCGTCCGACAGCGTTCTGGAGGGGAGATTGGTACGTGGGAAAAGGGGTTGCTTGTGCCCAAATCCGCATCCGCATATCCGGCCCTGGCGGAGAACCTAAGGAGCAAATGCTGAGCATCTTTAACACCCACACGCACTCGCCCTACACCGAAAACCAGCCGGGAGACAGCTACCTCGCTCACCGCCTTGCCCAGGCCTGGGAAATGTCCAAACTGCTCCGGGGCGCCGCGCAAAAGGGCCACCTTGTCCTCGCGTTGGGCGACTTTAACATGCGGCCGCTGAGTCTCCCGCACAAAACCATCACTGCTCACGCGCCTGTCCGCGACATTTGGCGTGTTCTCCACCCCGATTCATCCCTAGGGGCGGTGGAAGATCCTCTAGAGAAGCCAAGGGCCAAGCAGCCTCCCACGGCAGAGTTTAATCTTCGCGAGAACGGCGCCACGTCTGACGGGTCCTACAACACTTGGAGGTGGCCTAAAGAGCTGCAGAAGAAGCTGGGCGAGGGAAAGAAGCCTATCGTGGTTGCTCCGGATACGATTGATCTCAAAGGGAAGCGGCTGGATTACATCTTCCTTGGAAGCCCACCATCTCAAGATGGTGGAGGTTGGGTTGTTAGGGAGGCCCAAGTAGGTATGGTTGAGCCGCATCCCACGCTTGGGTGTTCTCTCAGCGACCACTTCTCCGTCGAAGCGACGCTGGTATACCACGATCCAAGCCCTGGTGGAAACAACAAGTCATCTGCGAATACCTTGCTCTCCGCTCAACTCGAGCCTATCACTACTAATGATGTGTATCTTTCAGGTGATGAATACGAGAAGATTCTGTCCGTGACACGCGAATACGTGCAGCGCGAAGAGAAGCAGCGTTACTGGAGGGGCCTGCACTTCTTCGCCTGGTTTTTTGTTCTAATCGCATGCCTAGTTGGCGTGTGGTTCAGCCCGTACAATTTTGTAGCTTTCATACTCATGCTTTTGAGCAGCTTGGGAATGGTTGCTGGTGTTGTCGATGGTCTCATGTCCCTGTTATTCTTCAACTCCGAGCTGAGAGCTCTCAAAGAGTTTGAATGGGAGATAAACAACGTGAAAACAAGGGCCCATCATAACTCTTCTGAGCCCCGAAGAGAAACGAAGATTTAAAGACTACAAGAAGCATCAGTATGTACTTCATTTTGCGATTCAATCGTGTCGTTCGAGTTGGACGAGGATGCAAATTATGAGCACGATACGGAGAACATTAATGAACAATAATGTCTATTGCTATTCATTACTCTATCCTTTTGTTTAATCACCTCACATCGTACTGTTCTGTTCTGCACTGGCCAGTTCTGATTTTCAGTTTCATAATGGCAGCGCAATCGTAACCCTCACGCAACCAACTTTGTAACCTAGCATCCGTCCCTGAGACGTGACATCGTAGGTGTCCATGTTGTAAATCGTGTTGAAAGGTTGACGCTGAGTCGGAGCCCTTCGCCACGAGTACCCTAAAAATGCCATCTGTTTCCTCAGTCTCATGACTTCGCTCTTCGTTGCAGGATCCCTGAGCAGCTTGTCTCGGGGCCGCTTGCGTTCCTTGTGACCATATCTGCGGACGAATTCCTTCATGCACTGCTTTCCCTTAGAACTCAACCTTGAGTAAGCATCGATGTTATGATCAATTTGCTTGAGTCTTGTCGAATCGTAAGGCTTGTCAATGGCCTCAACAAAGAAGTTGATGTGTTCAGGCTTGAAACCAACAGATTGAAGTTCCAAAACAATTCCGTCTATATCCGTGGGCTCTTCCGCCGTGCAGGAGTCTACCGACTCAGACCAGTCACTGATAGGCTCATCTTCCTCAAAGTAATGCGTATCAAGGAAACTGTGAATCCGGGGCAACCACTCCGGCTTTCTCAGATGCAAATCAGACCAACGAATCCCCCGAAACCATGCATGTTTCTTGATATCGGATGCATCATCTGGGAATACATATTTTCGTGGGGGCTGTGAAACACCTCTTCGATATTGTCTGTCTTGGTAGTGATACTGAGGCGATGAGAGTCGCGTTTCTTTGTCTTGGAGCAGACAAACTATCAAATCCAGACAATTTTCTGATACTGTGGACCCCGCGGGAAACTCTAGAGTCTCCTTGTGGCCCTTGAACAAGTCAATCTCGGCTTCAATGGCTATTACATGTGCAGATGAACTTACAATGATATTCTGCTTGGTATAGTGACGACCCTTGTCTGAGAGGAATGGCGTGTGGCCGTAAAGACATTCGTAGAGAATAATTCCGATACTCCACTAGTCGCATCTTCCGTCATATCTGTCACCCTTAACCACTTCTGGAGCCATATACTGGCTTGTGCCAACGACAGAGCGGGCATAAGACCGGCTTGTAGCATCAGCTCTCCAGTCAAGTAAGTCATCAACCAAACACAGCTCCGAAACTTGAAGCTGAAGCCTACTACCTACTGACGCTAACCGTGGAAGCTGACCCGCTTGGACAAACTCAGGCGGAGGTTCATGTCTCGAAGAACCTAACTGAGATGTGTTCCGTTTTTGTGAACTCCCGTCTTGCAAGGCTTTGAGATCCTCATTGTCGCCATTAAGTATAATGTTGTTAGAAGAGAGCAAACTTTGACGGTGCCACTTGTAATATGTGGTGTCATGGGACCAGTGATCGTCAAATGCCAGTCCAAAGTCTGAAATCTTGAGATGGCCGTCAGCGCCAATAAGGAAATTGTCTGGCTTGACGTCTCGGTGAATGCAGCCAAGCTTGTGTGCTTCTTCGACGCAGAGTATCATTTCAGCAATGTAGTAGCGGGTTCTGGGTTCGCTAAGGACATTCTCGCGGATCAGTAGTCCTAGAAAGTCCCCCCCAGGCATGTAATCCATGACAAGATATAGGTTGGTAGAGTCTTGAAAACTGTACATCAAGGGGACAACCCTGATAGACGGTCAGTATCGTGGCATGACGAGAATAGTGAACGCGAGGGTTGTTAGGTGACGAACTTACCAGTTTGAATTCGATGCAGCGACCAAAAAGTCTCTTTCAGCTCGCAAGTGACCTTCCTGGCAGCTTCGAATCATGTCCGATTTTCGAATGACCTTCATAGCAAACACCTTGGGCCCGCGCCGCTCACGGACAAGCTTGACCACCCCAAAGCTCCCTTTACCGAGTATTTGAAGAGTTTCGAGGCTGTTCAAATATGACTTGCAAGGTTCCTCAGAAATTTGCTCGTGGATTGTTCTCGTTGCCCAAGAAGACCGGGTCGTCCTGCAGCTTTGAGCTTTGGCGACCCTTTGTGCACGGAGATGGTTTGATTCTTCCTGGAAGAAACGGCCCATGTAATAATCCTTGTCTTTACTTTCGACGGAGGGTATGGTCTCGTCCACAAGGCGCTGAAACTCAGTAACACGCCGCTCGCGCGGTGTCTCGCAGCTACCGATAACCTCGTTATAATATGTCTCCAAGTAGATCTTGGCTGCTGCTGCCTTTTCTATGGTCTGGATCCTCCCGAGGTCAAAGGCTGATTGCAGTTGAACAACATCTGCCTCTTGGGTACCTGGCGCTTTTCCAGCAGCTGGTAGATAACGAGGAAACCGCTGCCCCCAGCCTCCAATCACTTTCTGGAAGGCGCGTTGGATGGTGCTGCCGCTGCTTGAGCTGGTAGGCACTAGCGCGATGTGAGCATTTCTTCACAGCACTCATAGCAGCGTATTTACCTGCACCGCGTTTCACGGTTTCAAAGTACTTGGGGAAGAGACTGTGGTTGAGGTTTGCAGGCGACCGTTCGGGCCTACGCTAGAAACTATGGTGCGCCTGACCATCAAATTCGTGGTAACAGTTCGGGAAAAGGTCGTTGGGCTCAATGGTCATAACGGCGGGCAGAGGACCGGGCAGCGGAGTGCTGCTGCTACGGTTATGGAGGAACTGATGCATGTTGATAATTGGGGGTCTGGTATAAAGGATAACTCCTGCTGTTAAACGATTTGTATATATGTAAAGATTGAAAAAAGAAAGACGAACAAAGTCGACCGGCTTTGGCAGTGCTCGGTCTTGACGATGGGTCTGGATGTTGATGTTCAGAGAAGTACATCGGAAACACGGGGAGATGTTCTGGAAGCATGTCCCGCATTCATGGATATTGTGGTCTCGTTCGGTCTTCCCTCAAGGAACGATAGTCCGATCGTGCTTGACATGAATGGTAGGAGTCTCATGACCCCTTTCCAAAGCAAGGCTCATGCCCGTCAAAAAAGAAACAACACCACAAAATAACGCATTACCAACACAAGAGGCCAGGGTCACAAGATGAAAATAATAGGAAATCTTTTCGTTAGGAAACCTGAGCTAAGTACAGAACCGGAAGAAACCATTTCCGGTGATGAAATTCCTGGAACAACAGAAACTCTTTTATGGTACGCCAACCAATGCAGTGTAAGTCCTCGCCTCGTCATCCCGTCAAACAAAATCTGCTTCCCGCATCTTGATGATTGCGGATCTTCACAGATAGCCACAGGTCGGAGACTATCCATTGCGGCACGGCGCAAGCGTGGGCCCGCATTTCTCGCGGTCTCACATCATTATAAGGTGAAGTCGTCGTCTGGGACGCCGGTGCCGAGCTGGTCCAAGCCATCATTCGTGGCAGACATTCTAGGCAGGTATGTAGAGTACAATTGGGGGCACCCTCTGTCGACGTCTCTTCGCCGAAAGCAGGCGCAATGTTGAGACGTTTACTTGATCTCAAGGAGCTTAACGTCGAAGGTCAAGGTGCTGTTGGCGGGGATGCCAGGCAGGCCCTTGGAGCCGTAGGCAAGGTGGGCGGGGATAGTAAGGCGACGCTCGCCGCCAATGGTCATGCCAACGATGCCGATGTCCCAGCCCTTGATAACCTGGCCCTTACCGGCCTTGAAAGAGAAAGGCTTGCCCTTCTTGTTGGCTATATCATGGCGTTAGTGGCTTGAAGATTGAAGTGTTGAAAGACTACTGCTTACCATCAAAGACCTTGCCGTCATCGAGCTTGCCAATGTAGCGAACACCGACGGTGTCGCCGTTCTTGACAGCGCGGCCAGAGCCGACCTTGCGGTCGTCAATGGTCACTCCCTGAACGACCTTGACACCGACGGCGGCCTTGCCAGCCTGCTTGGCCTTCTCGGCGGAGCCCGTGGGGCCCTGCTCGAGGTTCTTGGCAAACTGAACCTTCTTGTCGGACTTGGGGGTGGACTTCTCCTCGGCGGCGACGGGCTCACCCTTGTTGTTCTTGAGCTTCTTCTTGTCCTTCTTGGACAGCTTGGAGTCGTCCTTGCTCTCGGCGATGAGGTCGTCGAGGCTCTCGGCACCGCGCTTGTTCTTGCCCTTCTTGGTCTCGACCAACTTGGGAGCCTCCTCCTCGTCGGAGTCGATCTCCATGACGCGAGGGTCAGCGGTGTCGTCGAGGTCATCGCTGTCCTCGTCAGAGACCTCGCCCATCGCGTATTCGAGCTCATCAGGGGACAAGTCGTACTCGCCATCCTCATCATCCTCGTCCTCGTCGTCAGAGCCCTCCTCAGCGTCGATCACGTAGTTACCAGTAAGGTGAACAGTGTGGGTACCAGAGACGACGAAGAAGACCTTCTCACCCTCGGAGACGGTGATGTCAAGGGGCTGCTGGTAGTTCTGTCACATTGTTAGCGAGGAATGCGCAGTGCCTGTGGGTTATGGCGTAGCTTACGCGCTCGGTGTCAAGAGTGCAGATGACAAAGTTCTCGAGGTCAAGGCCTTCCTCATCATCGCTGTCCTCCTCATCGTCCTCGTCGTCGTCATCGTCGGAGGCCTTACCCTTGCCCTTCTTGCTGGACTTGCCGTTGGGCTTGGCGTCGTCCATATCCTCGTCAGAGTCCTCCTCCTCGCCAACAGCCTCGATGAGCTTCTTGATGGCATCAGCCTGCTTCTGCTTCTTAGACTTGGAGGGGTCGCTGGGGCCACCGTTGGGCTCTTCGTCGTCATCAGAGTCGTCCTCATCGTCGTTGGCGGCGATGAGAGCCTTCATATACTCCTCATCGATCTCATCATCATCACCGTCCTCGAGGTCGTCGCCAAAGCGCTGCTTGACTAGGCGGAGAGTAGAACGGGGGACAGAGGGGATGTTGCCATCGCTGTCGGCCTCGGGAGCCTCCGTGGGATCAATGGCAGCCATTGTGATGCGGAACTGTCATCGCCCAGTTAGTAATCCGCGGAGTAAATTGCGTGCGCCGGTCGCAAACTGCAGTGAAGATGCAATTCGCAGATACGCACCGCCTCCAGCCTGAGAATCAGGCTACAGAACAAGACTTACAGTGGCAGGGAAATCGGGGGAGGCGGGGATAAGAACCTCGCCAGGAGGAATCTCAAGGCCATAGAGAGCGACAGGCTGGGCCATTTTGCTGGATGTGATGGAGTAATACGTAAAAACAAGTTAAAAAGAATGCCTCGTTGAGACTTTTGATGCGAATTCGAAAGCGGTCTTAAAGTCAGAAAGGGCGACTTGAAGATTTTTTGTTCGGTACGAAATGGATTGAGGGAGATGGAGGTGCAGGTGGGAGGATGTATAGAAAAAGTGAGGTCTAGGTAGACGAGCTTTTGCCTGAAATTTTTTTTCTTGACGACCAGCCGGAACTTTTTTTTTTTCTGGCGTCGACCCCACCGACCATGGCGCTAGCACCACCTTATCAGACTTATCCTGCCATAGCAACGACTGCACAACGACAGGGAAGCTGCATCTGGGGAAAGAGCTGTGATGGACCCTTGCAAAAAAAAAAAAAAAAAAAGGGCTAGTGCACAAATGCGGCGACTTTGGGTCGGTGGGAGTTCCATAGAGCCACCGAGAACCATCTACTCTGTAGTACGCACACCGCTCCCTCCCCTGTGTCTCTGCCTCGGCGCCAATGAAGCATGGTTCACATGGGTCGTCTTGAATGTATTCTCCCACTCCCCCCTGTGGCTTCTTTTCACGGTCGACTCAAGGAGACTACTCACCATCTGAGGCGCATCATCATTTGAGCCAACGTCACAAGTCACGAAATTGAAGGCCATAGTATCAAATTGTGTCTATGTTCAGTTTGAAGTTTACAAAGAAAACCTCCACGGACATTGAGCAAAGCCCAACGTGTTCCGGGTGCTCATATCAAAAGATTAGATGTAACATGCCTTTCTCAGTTTCAATTCGCACAATCAGAATTTAGCGCTACTTCTGGCGTCAGATGTCTTTCGCCTTCTGTGGCTTCGTAAACCAAGCCTTAAGAACCTGCCATATGAATCCTATAAAATACGTCGTCTGGCCTTCCCCATAAAACTGCCCTCTATCGCCAACATCCGCCATCTGGCATGCGATCTCAGCAATAGGCGCCGGGAAATGCTTGCTGTTCTTCCTAGCATACGCTGCGACGAGGTCATTGCCATTCGTGATGCCGCCTATCAATAACCGTCAGAAACCATCCAGTTGAGCCTACAAGTGTTTGGGAGTGAGGAGCGTAGCAGGAGACACATACCGCCTGTCCAAAGGTTCCCATCCTGAAAATATCGATACTTCTCACCCACAAACTTTGTTGTGGTGTATTTTTTTCTCAGCATATCTTGAACTCCTCTCGGCCCGCAGACCGTCCTTCCTTCTAACACTCCGGCAGCACCGCAGAGAAAAATCCCCGTACAGACGCTCAACACGTCCGTTGTTTCGCTCCTCTCGACATGGCCCTTCAAGAACCCTAGCACATCTTCATCCCAGGTGCCATACGGATCCGGACCTGGGACGAGGAGAATGTCAAGTTTGCCGGGTTGTACGTCTGGATGAGAAACGTCATGCGTCGTCGCGATTCTCAGCCCCGCTGTAACTGGCAACAACTTGGGAGAAGAGGTGGTAATGGGAGAAGCTGAATCGATCTTAGATGTGATATATGATATCTGCACGCTCGGTGCAAGTTCCTTCAGATGTTTCGGCAAAAGCTCCATCGACTCTAATCCGAGGTACTCCTTAGACATCATGTGGAAGATATCGATGCAGGCCATGTCGAGGAGCTGTGTCTCAGAGGGCACAAACACGCCGATCTTGACCACCTTATTGTTCGTCATGCTGCTAGTTGTCGCTTCTTGATTTAGTCGGAAGTTTTGCCCAAATGTGTAAAATTTGGTTTTCGGAATGGTTTCTTTCAATGGCGGTTTACTTCATCTATAAGTCGAGAAGCTGTTGGGTGATGATGTTTAATGGACTCAAACCTCCCGCAAGGCACCAACTTTATATACTATAAACCGCCAAAGCTTCCACCTGATCTTCTCTCGGAGCACAATGAACTGCTCCCATCCGCAAGCTAAGCTGGGCCGGTCTTCTAGAACATCCGGCAACTGTGAAAGAGCGACGAGGCAGCCCTTGGCTGTTACTGAAGGCGCTGATTGGTCAGAACCATGTAACTTCCGAAAGGTCTCGGTGCTTGGCGGCGATCCGGAACGAAACCGCCTCGATAACTACCGGTCGGTAGGCACACGAATGGAAAGGCTGAAAAGGCTTGGTTTTAAATTCGACATTCTCCAAGTCAACTTCGACTATATATCTTGAGCGGGGATCGTAAAGCTTGAATTGACGCCAGTCTTATGCACATGTCAACTGCAGCAACGGGGTCCGGAAATTACCCAGCAGATACGCACGATAGTCATAAAAAAAGGCCCATATTTGAAACTCTGTATTTCTACAAATCACATCATTCGTATTGTCTGTGGCAAAGTTCTTCCCATTCACCACCCCCGATCCACGTCCTAGCGTCAGTTGCCATGATCATGAATCGTTCTATGTACACACAAGATTAGATATTATAGGACTCGTCCATATTAACGGGTTCCTGGGATTCTGTCGTATCGGCCTCCCTTGTTGGTTTTCGGAACCCGTTTTTAGTTGTTCCTGCTGGGCTTGTCCTGTCCCCAGCGGATGCAGTCGTCTTTCCCCACCCTCTTGGCATCTTTCTGCCTCTGGTAGTCGAACGTCATGATGCTGGCGTGGATATGTCCTGCTGCTTCTGTTCCACACCTTCTTCCTTATAAGCGAATGCACTTGGACGGCTCTCTCGCTCGTCAAGTTCCTGCGTATTGCTCCGAGAACTCCGGTTTGAGGCCCCATGAATCCCCAATATCTCTAGAATGCCGATACCATGCCATGCCATGCATATCAAGAATGCCCTCATCTATTTACACGTGAGGCTCTTGGGCCTCAGCATCTTCAAACACGTAATCGAGTTAAAACCGCCGCTTGGTGGGTCTTCCTAGAAGTGGGCTGTGCTTCGAATCGAAAATAAAATAAAAGAAACCATCACGCTCCAAAACAGGAAGCGAGATCCATTTGAAGGTAGGTAAAGGATAACAAAGAAGGGAAGAAAGTTTCGTTACGCCATGTCGTTTGCTGTGAGCGATTTCGCCCTCTGTCGGGTAGCCTTTTTGCTGACTGAGTAGACCAGGTCTAGGGTCCAGAAATGGCACAGTTGCGCCTGAGCGCAAGGGATAGCTCCGTAAATAGGAGCGACGAGGGGGACCATGGCGTAATCGATGAAGTTCTTCTTGACAGAGCGGTACGAGAAGTTCATGCCGTCGGACAGACCAGCCTCAGACATCTCACGCTGGCGAGCCTTGACGCAGATGCGGTGGAAGCCCTCGTACAAGAACAAGTAGAGGGCAATCTCCATGAAGCCGAGGGTGCGCAAAACATTACAGATGTCGAAAATCCAGTTGAGGTGAGCAACCTCCTCGTTGCCTTCAGTAACCCAGACATACAGAGTCGAGGCGATAACAAGAATGGTCATTTGCAGAGGCAAGAAGTGCGCTTCGAACATGCGGTGGAAAAGATAGACGATGCGCTCCCAGTTGGGGGCCTGTAGGGTGTCATGAGTAACGTCTGAGAAAATGCCGCTCTCGCGGGGTTGCTCTGAGTCGTTCTGGTCCAAAGGAGCCTCAGGAACGTAGACGTCTGAGGCGTCACCGAGGGAGGTGTGTAACGGGCGGAAGGCGCGAGAGGTGTGCTTACGCTCCTGCCAGAGTTCCACAACCTTGCGGAGAGTGTATCCAGAATCGAGAGCACCCCACATGTGTCTCATCGCCTGCTTGTACCGAGCTTGCATGTCGGAGTAGAGTCCACGAAGGCCCTTAGAACCATTGCCGCAAACGTTGCTCTGGCTAACGGGGCTGAGCACGGTCCTCACGGTCAAGTTTCCGTTGAGCGCAAAGAAGCACTTCAAGTACATGTGCAGATCCTCTCCGATGGCTTCGTTGTCACAGTCCCAGCCGCCGACACGGTCGACCAAATCAAGTGGCACAGAGTAGACGGAGGTGGGAGGAGCGATTGTCGAGCCGCCATACAATCCGGACATACCACCAGCGGCCCAGAGAATGTCGGCAACACGGACGATGGCGGGAACAGCATGCGCGTTGCGGTCGAAGATGATTGGCGCCGAGTACAAGGTGGTCTTTGCTGTTTCGGGGTAGGACAGGTGCATGGTAGTGAGTAGAGCGAAATAGTTGGCCGAAAGGTGGCTGTCGGCTGTAGATACCCCACGTTCTTGTCAGCGAATCATTCTACACGCGCAGAAAATCGGAAACATTGACTGCGGCAGAATCTAAGAGTCTGACATGCGCACGTACCGTCAATACCAGTGATAATCACGTCTTTGCGAGCAGTCATTGAGTACTTTTGGCTCAACTTGCGGGCAGCCCAAGCGACATTGCTTCCTTTGCCAGCAGACTCTCCTGGAATGTCAGACGGGTGGATGGTGTAGTCGATGCTACGGAACTTCTTGACAAATTCCTGGATGAGTGTCATCGCCTTGAGCTCGACGTTCGCTTCACGTTGCTCCATTCCCAAGTAGACCTAACGAGACATGTCAGCAATTGAACGTGTTGACTAGCAAGAGGCGCTTTTTCAAGTGGCGGAGCAACTCAGCGAAGTTGAGAATGACTATAGGCGCCAGCGGGGAAACTCACATCGTAGCAGCTGCGGGCCTGGGGGTGCGAGGCCAAAACCTCCAGAGTCTCCTTGAGAGTGTCCATTTCTTCCTTGTAGTTGGGAATAACGATGGCGTGAATGACGCGATCGGATTCGCCATCCCCGTCGGTATACAGCTCAGGTTCAGTGTCTCCAGCTTCGCTGCTAGAGGCAGAACAGGCGTGGGATGTCAGAGTCTCGGAGCTAGACAAAGAGGTAGAGGAGCCACGGCGACGATGAGAGAACTTGTAATCTCTCAAGGTCTTGTTTCGGGCGATCTTCTTCATGTTGCGGGTCATGTCGAAGACGGCGTAGCAGCATCGAATAGGGAAGGCGAAGACAAGGACGTGAATAAACAGGCAGTAGTATGCGAATATGACGGTCCAGTAGCCAGCGCCTTTGGTCGTCGAAGTGATGGCGCTAAGGCTGTCTTGATGCAGATAATTGTAACCATGTGCCGAAGCAGCTGATTCTTTCGAGATCACCCAGTAGCTCAGGGCCAGTAGGGACAGCATGGCCAGGCCGCCTGCGCGGCGCGAGGCCCAGGCGAAGATGGACATGTTGATGAACCACTAGAGCGTGTTGTGGTGAAGCGCGATGGCAGCGAGAGGTGTTTAGTCGGCGGAAGAGCGACAGTGACGGTGACGAGAGGTCGACAACGGAAGGCGACTGTGTCTGCCTGTCAATGAGTCGAATCGAGCAGCCGCGAGAGGCTTGTGAGGGAATGTGCGAAGCCTGGGGTCAAATTGCTCGAGGGAGAGCGAGACCAACGACAGCTACAAGCAACAAGCGGAGAAGGGAGAGAGGAACGGAGGGCAGAGGAGGGAGAACCAAGAAGTAGGAACCAAGAACCCGAAATTGCAAAGGCTGCCTGTCGAATGGAGCCCTACCCAACAGGTCGATAGTGGTCTCTCGCGCTCTCTCTCTTGTCTCGAAAGGGGAGGAGTGATTGGAGAGTAGGAGGGGAGGAGAGGAAGAGAGAGAAAGAGGAAAAAAAAGGGAGGGACTGGGGGAAAATTAGACAGCGTCTTGTCGGATGATATTCACGAGGAGGAGAGCAACTAATGGATACGGGACGGGAACAGAGAAGGAGAAGGAGGGAAAGAAGTGCAAGGTTGAGAGAGTGGATGATTTCTTGGATAGGACAGACCAGGACGGGACTGGGACTGGAACATGGAGGTGGTGGACACGGTACAATCGAGACGACCCCAAAGGGGGGAAAGGGGGTGCACACGCTACTATTCCTAGGAAGTGTGTGTGTTGTGTGTGTGCTGGCGCTGGTGCTGGTGCTGGTGCTGGTACTAGGAATTGAGGTGGGAGCTGGGAGCTTCGTGCTTGTTGTATTGGATCAGATTGGACCTGGGTTTGTTTGAGAGGCCAGCGAAGTACCACACAGCAGGTAAGGCTAATAAAAGATACATAAACGCGCCAGCGTCTGAGCCAAAGGAAGGTCTGAAGTAGCCGCACGGGGGGGAGTGAAAGGGAATGGTCCTTTGCCGGATGCTTGTACCTTCCCCCTCCAACCCCGGCACTTACCCTTCTTACAGCACTGTACAGAGAAGAAGACTGTGAAGAAGCACTGAGAGTTGCGCCAGCAAGACCAGACAAAAGCCAGCAGAAAACACAACGGGACGAGACAAGATGAGCAGCATCACGGCAAAGAAGCGCGAGCCTAGCAACTGGGGATGCGGGACTGGAGCGGACGAAGGAGCCAGGGGACCTCTGGATTGGCGAGACGACGACCAGGGGATAACCCAGCAAAATTGATGGCAGCCGTAAGAGACTGGGGTGAGACTGGAGCAATGGAGCCAGGAGGGCAGATGTACCTTACAGCCCCATCACTTCAGTGAGCTCTCTCAGAGACCTAACGAGATGGGCAATGGACCACAGTGGCATTGGCTGGATTTGGCTGATTGGCCATGGTTGATGATTGGATAGCAAAACGGGTCTTTCAAATAGGAAAGGAATCCAATTGGTCGGCAGTAGGGATATCAAGAGGTCCAGAAACCACTGGGGTGCATTTTTTTTTTCTTACTTAGTGTACCGTACTGGGGCTAGTGCATCTCGCCTGCTATCAGTTTTGATGGGCTGCCTCTGTCTCTCTGGCTCCTACAGTTGTATTCCTCCGATAATTGCGTTAAAGCGAAGTGCGACGTGGGTTCTCGCAACCGACAGGGGTTGCACGGACTTAAAGCAGGGTTCAGTGGGCTTGGGAATTTTCTGCGCCTGCACTGAATCGCCCCGCGGGAAATGAGCAATGAAAGATTACCGGCTAAGCGGCGGCGCTGCAGAGCATCACACTGTGTACGGAGTACCCGCAGTCGCGCTAAGGTCCCTCCTACTTTCTCTCCTCCAACCCTTCTAGTCATCCACAGCAGAATTACTGTCAACACCGCCTCACTCTCCGCTTTCTTCGTCCACAAAATCTCCTTTGGACGGCAGCACGATGTCGCCATTCGTTTGCCATGGCGTCCCTCTTCGCTATGCCTGGATGGGTCCCAGAAGATGGCTCAACTGAGTGGCTCGGCTTAATATGCCTCACTCCATCGTTCGTTCTGCCTGGGCACACGGTACAAGGCCAAGCTTAACAACCTCGCCCTAATCGAGACACATCGCAATACGCATCGCGCGGGATCCTTTTTCGTGTATATTTTACTGTCTATTACTGTCTGCTTGAGTCTGGCGTCGTCGTCTACCACGTCTGCGTCATCATCGCTTGCGAGTCGGCGTCCGTCGGGCAATTGCACAGCCTCGCTAGGCAACTTTTTTTTTTTCCTTTCCCCCTTGCTACCCCCTCTTGAACGCATTCTTGAGAGACCGCCTCTCTTGTTTGTATTCCTCGTCCTTGGGGCTGTGGTTTGTTCGTTCTTCAGCGAGGGTTCTGGCCAGCAGTCAACCCCCAATGGGCGTCCGCATTCAGATGACAAACTGCAGGTGTACCTGACCTTCACAAAAGGTGACAATCTGACAAATACCCGCACAGTGCGGTCATTTTCGTACCCATGGGCGACATCAAAACAACAGGAGGCAGGGCTAAGGGGCCAAGGGCCGCATTCTGTCAGTGCCCTTGGACGCTAGTAACGCTAAGGTGCTGTAGGGTTGCTCCTCCCGCTCTGACGGGCTGGTTGGTCCAAACGGCATCCCCTTTAGGGGATTTGAAAATACCTCCCCCAGTACCAGATTTGCGGTGCTTGGCCTGGGGGAGCCACAGTGCCCACCGCCCCCAGCCTGCCCTTACTATACACTCTTCTCCACTGGCACTATATTCTGACCGGCTCAAGTCTGCTGAGCCCGCCGTAGCGTCGCCCGGGACTGGTGAACAAAGAAGCCAGATGTTTGAGTGCTTAATAATATAGCCAAGTGATGACGGCTCTTATTCACTCTTCATCGGCTTTGCTATGAGAAGTATTTCCCGACTTCCCTAGAAGGACCTGCCATATAAAGGACTTCTTCCAGGCGCTTCAGGTTGTGTTCTTAGCTCCGTGCTAAGGCTATTTAGGGGCGGCGTAGTAAGCCTTCGAGGTGTAGGCTGGTGGCTGGCTGCTTCAGACACCGTACATCAAACCTAGTAGTTTCTCTCGAAAACATCTCTTGTCCTGTCTTTGCTTGAACAAGCATCGCCCACTTTTGGTTGACCCTATTGTTGCAGCTGATGCATGGACAGGTAACTGCTTGCTTTGGAGGCAGTTGGTCGGAAGGCACATGCCTCGTGTAAGTACTCCGTAACAATGGGTTAATTTTCTTGCCTGCTTTAGTTACGTACACACCTTTTGACCTCAGTTACCTCAATGGGGACATTGAACCTAGGAATTTCACCTTTATTCATCCTATGCTCTCACCACCTTGAGCCAAGAAGCCAATGCCATTGTCTCCCTCCATTCCTCGCCCCAAGGCTCCTGGAAACAGCCAACCAAACATCTAACGAATGCGAGTCATCTAGCGTGCTTGTGCATATGTTGCTGTTTGCGGGCAACACGGGAGTTTAGTCGTTGTAGCAGCTCTCCCTTGGAAAAGTCCTTCGACAGCCACACTTGGGCATCGTTTACTCGAAAAACATGTTGCTGAGTCTGGCTGGACGAGATATTTTGGCTTATGTGCTCTCGAGTCCCACCCCTGCTCGGTAACGGACAACACTCGCCGCCTACACAAGCAGAACAAGTCGAACCGGACGTGGTATTGTTCCTCAATCTTTGAGTAAAAGCCACTTGCTTGTGGTGGCGCGCGCCCTGCTTGTACTCATGCCTGCCTGGCCTAAGAGAACGAGCCAGCAATGAACTGCCACGAGCCATGAAATCTAACCATTCTATGTCGCAGGGCAACGGAACAAAGGTGGTTCCCCAGTCTACCCGTCGTGGCTACCTACACCTTTGCCATGCGTGCGAAACCAGGTTGAGACACACGGCGGGCATATACCGCGGCGGCTTGTACCACGCTACCTCTGAGCGGCAGCCGAAGCTGCAGTTTGAAGGATTATACACAATGGAGCGGATGGCACACTATGCACAACAGCAACCACAGCTACCCGGCCCGCATGCAAGTGGTACGTATGCCAAGCAGTGCACAATCGTGGCTCAATCAAGGCTTAGGAGGTATACTTGTCGTCGCCAGCTACACCCTCGCAGGTGGGTATGGGTAATGATTTGCTTGAGACTTACCTCCAGTGAAGCTTGGAGTGCCCCATAGCCGCTGCCTACCAAAGAGAGGCGTATCTGGAGCTTCAGCATGGCATGGCAAGCTGTGGCTGCAGTCGTCATCATCACAGTCATACCGTGGCGGCGTCGTCATAGGGCCTGGGCGGGGGATGCTGGACAAAAAGGTCGGGAAAAGTTGATCGATGACCGAATGCGAATGCGCCCACGCAAGCAGTTCACGACACCGGTATGCCAATGAAGATTAATATCGACAGCGTCAATACAGGGTATGCAGGGCAAGACAGCTTGCTTGGTTGTTTACATGCCCCCTCATAACAAATGTCATCCCATGGCATTCAACCTTCAACCAGTCCGTCTAACACATTTCCAGGGGTTGCAATAATGATCGCACTTTGCTAAACTAGCTCGAGGCCGAGGCCCTACCATGTTTTTCTTGGTCGTCCCACCATCGCAAACCTTCATTTGGTGCCAATCTGTCGCCGAGTTTGACATTCCCCCCAACCCAACCAGCCAGTCCAGCCAGTCCTAGTGCGTTCCCCTCCTCCAATACCATCTACCACCGGCTGCCGTGCCGGTCTAGGATCTCGTGGCGAGCTGGGATATCGCTGTTGCCAGATGATGGGAGACTGAGGACCGCTCACCAATTTTCGTTCTCCTCGTTCTCTCCTATTCAGAATTGCAACAAAAAAAAAAATCAGAAAATTCTGAACCGAGAATCAGTCGAATGAAGGAAAACGCATGTCACTGCAGCCAATTCTCCACTATTGGAGCTGGCCAGGCCACCAGTGTGCCTATACTATGTAGGGGGGATCCAACAGTCACGGCAGCCGATACGTAGTACGGGAGATTTCGACCTGCACATGGTCTGCTACGGTGCGTGGATGCCCTTGTCACACCGCCCGATATAGTCATGTGCTTGACAAGCGCATATCCTTCCTTTCGTCCTTGGCCACGGACTTGAGTAGCTTCGACTGAGCTTCGTTTCTTAGTACGGCATGCCACCGCGAGCCGCAAATTCGTCATTGAATGTGCAGTTTGATACTAACGCATCCGAGTGGTTCTCTGCTCACCGCAATTAAGCCATCTTTCGAATATCCGTGCTATCGACGGTAGGGCCAAAGACACCACATGTTTTAGCGCATTCTCTTCGCACCTTAAATGGGATAACCGCAGAGGAGAATGCAGAATCAGAAGCGTATTGTGGTTGTAGTAGGCAAAGTGCGCAGAACGAAATATCGGTGTACAGAGACTTCTGTACGACAGGAGCACACCAACGAACGACATCTACCTTTTAGCGCACGGAGACGGAGTGGCGCTTCCAAGGCTCAAGGACTAAAGGCAAGGAAGGAAAAGAACGCGGCGACCATCCCTGCAACATATTGTGCTTGTTCTTCCAGAGCAAGCTAAAGTTCCCTAGTATCTCGAATAATACACGAGTACTTTGCCCCCAACGACTTGCTCCACGCTGACCAAGTATCCTTCGGCTTACAAGAGCGTATCCACAGCTCTCCGCAATTTCAAAATCACAAGCGAGAGCTTGCTTTTTGCCGTACTGGAGGATGCAGCCTTGAGAAGAAATGGATAAGGGCCCTTTCTCGTCAGCGACGAATAAGCGACAGTTCAGCGCCTGAAGCGCTGCTCAGTCCGCGTGAGCAGCTCTCGCGTCAGCCTGTTGCGCAAAATACGGCAATAAATCTTCTAGTTGTCTCAATACATTTCTGCTGCGAGGGAACAACCGCACAATTCCTGTGCTTGAAGACCTAGCAAGCTTGCCGTTCCCGCGGACTTCCACTGGTGGTGATCTTAAGCCAACCGAGAAGCCAAGCCAGTGACATAGCGGTAGACGACAACGCAAAAAGTACGGATACAGTAATAGCAGTGGAGGGAACGTGCCGGGGTGGTGGGGTGGGAAATCCTTGGCGGGTCGGCGTTTGAGATTGAATGTTTCTGATGCTCCGAACCTGACTGGCTAGGTGTGGGCCTTCAAGAACCTGGAGTTCGAGGTTTCCTGCCAGCCAACTGGTCATGTCAAAATTGCCCTACTGTTAACATGTTCACTTGTTCATTCATCGTACTCGTTCGAAGTCACTGTCTGGCGTCCTAGTTCTAGGACCGGGTCATTTCGACTGGGATCGGAGTGTTTTCTCGAAAGAAACCTTGCCTCGCCGTTGCCCCCCTCCCTCCAATATAAGCCCGACTCTCTCTAGCTTGGAATCGTGGCACCCACACTGACCCGCATTCGCGGATCATCATTAACTATACCACATGCAGACGCAACGGTGAATGGGAAGGAGGAAAAAAAAAAAAAAAAAAAAAGGAGGCCAAGAAAAAAGGTATTGCAGAGATACGGAGCAGGAGCCTGTTCCTGTCACACCACCATCGACGCGATCCAACGGGTAGCGACCGCGTCTGTTATATCCTTAGGCCTCATATATGCCTTGGCAGCTTGGCTGGCTTATCCCACTCTTTAGTTATTACACTCGAGAGATTGCAATTTCTCATTGCGCTTCTGCCTTGGCAACTTGGCCCTGGCAGGGGTTTTGTTTTTTCTCTCTCTCTCTCTCTCTTTTTCTTCTCCTCCGTTCGCCTCGCTTGCACTTCCGTATTGGTTCAATCACCCTGACTACTGCCAAGATGGAGCTGGAGTTAAGGTTGAAAGAACTTGACTCAAGCTAGTCGCAACTTCAATTGCGAGCAATACGCTGATTCATCAACGTATTCGGTACGGCATATCCGTAAGAACACAGTAGCCAATGTCGCGCCGTTCTCAGGGGATACTTTTTTTTTTCCCCTATAGGATTGAGTTGGGGCCAACATGCGATCCCTTTTTCACATGACTCCCAAAGCCTCAAAAGTTGTCGTTGGGTCTGGAATGTCTACATTCTCCTTCCGCCGTCCAATTCGCATTACATCGTTGTCCATGTATACTAGTTGCTTGACGGTTTTGCTGTCGCAGATATGCACCTTCATTGACAGCCAGAACCCTCAGACTCGTCTGATGGCAGGAGACTGGCATGTCTCAACGTGTTGCGATTCAGACAGCTCCGTGGAGTCGGTACACTATGCCATGCTCACTACCCACCCACCCATAGAGTGCCTGCCTACTAGTGTCCATGCCCCGCCGGGCACCCCCGTTTTTTGTCGGCCGACTGGTACATAGTATCTGCAATTGCCCAATGCGGGAAACGATTTTGAAACACTGCCTGCAAGAAGGTCGAAGGATTGTCGTAACTTTATACTTGACCTGCTATGGTGAAGACGCGGGCATAAATCGTATACATCGCCAAGTCATCAGCAACGAGGACACTTGCCGTGTTGATGGTTAGGCTGGTTTCACGGGCTAGGGAACTCCTCCGTCCCTCCGTGTCTTCTCTACACTTTCTCGAACAATCTGGACAATCTGGCCAAAGTTGGCCCGAGACAAGAGCGTCTGATCAAGTAGATGACATTCTTTTTTTGCACGGGGCCCTTTTACCACCCGCATGTTTCCCATTCCCTGACTTTCCCTTCGAACAGGGGAGGGGGAAGATAGGGCTCGGGGGCATCCCTCGTCGTATGTCGATGAAACGGTTTGCCCCAGACGCCCAAAAAGCCAAATAAACCTCCCGAGTCTCCCAGAGGTCTCACATACATACAGGACAAATAGAAAACCCCGACAGCCGGACGGATCAACCAACCAGTCACCGTAGGGGACTGACATGTCGCATCATCGGATCCGAGGTGAGACCTTCGGCTGCCCTGTGTCCACCCAAAAAAATGAAATGTCCCTCCCCCGCCAACCTAGCCCATGTTGCAAAGGGCTGCTGTTGCCGGGACCGCTGGCGCTGTCTGTCACCCATCAAAGTCAGTCGGGCATGTGCCGTCTCGGAGAACAAAGTGGTGGCGGCCGGGCAACGGTGATTGCGAATTACCCGCATGGAAAACCGCTTCGGCAGCCCTTTCCGGACTGCGTGCGGAGGGGAGATGTCATGTCACAGTGCCACAACGGGCATTAAAGTCCGAACGGTGAATGTGTCGGGTTTGCATTGTTTTTCAAGCTACCGGGCTACGGCATGACGGTATCTTCTCTCTTCTCCGTCAAAACCGAAGATGTGGCGCGACCTACGCTGTTGGATCGCAGGGTCGAGACGTTTTGTCTGCTTTGGACCGTTTTGAGCTCAAACCAACCTAGCTCCCTCCGCGTCCGGATGATGGCCGCCATCAAGGCCCCGCTGGTGTCCGGAAAATGCGGCTCGCTGAGTGAGCCAATTATTCATCCCCCAACCTGCTCCGTCAGATTGCACGCGGTAACCGCAGACGATAGATGCCGAGATATCCTTGAAGAAGGACACCGCATCTTCTTCAACCAAGTGAGGGCGAGAACGGGGATTCTTGGTCGCTTATTCACGCCGTTCTGGCCTTGAGAGTCCGTCTCGCCTGTCCGCAGATGGCCCTGTTGAATCCCCTCCCCCCTTAGATACCAAGGTATTCGATGCTCTGTCCTGTCGACGTGAATGTGGGATAATCGATATTACTTCTCGTAGAGTGCGTCGAGGAGCATGTCCAAGTCAAACCATTGAGGCCATGTTCTCCTTGGATCGGTATCCGTCCGCAATGGATGAACGTCCCTTAAAGAGCTGCAGTTGCGATACATAGTGAGTAAAGACCATGGGTTCGATCTCTCCTTGCTCTCAAGCAACCTTCTCGAAGAGCTCCTGGATAGGTTTCGCGGCCTGGGCTGGTTGTCAGTGGTTGATGAAGTCGATTCCAGAAGGGAACGGAGACTCACATCAATAAATTTCTCAAGATCTTTGTCGAGATTGGCCAAGTCGTCTTTCCTTTTCTTATTCTCGGCGATAAGCTTCTGTTTCCTTCCGACTAACTCCAACCTCTGTTGCTCGAGCGTCTCCCGCTCCGCCCGCTCGTGGCCGATCCGCGCAACCATCAAGGCATTCTCGTCGTCGTCAGCATGCTCCGGATGCAATTCTAGGAACTCCTCTACGGGGATAAGTGGAAGTTTCTGATAAGTGTGGCTGTAGCTATCGTCAGCACCTCGTCCGGGACAATCGCGACCCGCATATGCACATACTCGTAGGATTCGCAGGCCTCAATCTCTCCCTCGAGATGTCTCTGTTCGTAGTATAGGTTCTGTAGCTGCAGGTGTAGGCGGTCGACCTCATGGCGGGCTTCAGCCGTCTGTGCCTTCGTCTCCCGGGCCGTGAAGTTGGCAGCGCGATGGAAGCCGCGCAGGTGTGAGATGTTGGTGAGAAGCAGTTTCTGCTCCTTGGAGAGGTTCGCTTGCAGCTCAGGCGAGAGTGTGTCTTGACTGGCGTGGGTGACGTCGGTGAGGAGCTGCAAGAGCTTCGCGGCTTGGTCCTGGGCGTAGCCAGAGGTCTGCAGGACCACGGACAGCTTAGGATCCGACACCAGTTCGTTGACCGTCATGATTTTTGTGGGAACTAGGGTGATTGATAGATTCTGTTCAAGGGAATAGCAAAGATTCAAGGCAATGGTATCGTTTGAGTAGCCGCGTGTCGTCGGAGATTAGGAAGAAAAAAAGAAAAAAAACCTTGTGATGCAACGGTCAAGGCTGAATATGTTTTGGGTCGTGTCGAGTTGGCCCGGCCGCGACCGCGTTCGCAAGGCTGAAAGATTGGGTCGGATCGGACAGGAATGAGAGTGCGCGGGACAAAGAACGGCTCAAGCGCTGTCGGCGGGATGGGGTCCTAAGATTCAGGCGTTGCAGGGTTTGAAAAGCGGTACAGGCAGATCAATGCACTGCTGCAGTACAGGGAATTGCAGCAGAGGTAGCAGGGCTGAGCGTTTTGCTGGAGCAACAAGACGGGCATTGGAGAGAAACTGACGGCAGCCATGGGGACCGTGCTCCGAGATTGGGATAACTTTGTTAGTGGGCATCTCCAGTGCTGCAGGGCGACGGATGGCGTGCCGTCTCACCTAAACTCAGCAAAAGCAGTGCCAATTTCCTGGGGCCAGTCATCTCAGCCATCCAAGCCATTCACAGATGCCTTGCACGAATGCGTCTCACTGAGTCTTTCTTCTCTTTTCCGCTGAAATCTTGCGCCTGTTTGACTTTAGTCATCCACCTGTTCGGCGTCCCCCCATGAGTTAAGACACGGGCCGTATGGAATGCACCGCAGCTCTGCCGCAGTATTAAACAGAGCACTAGAAGTCAGACATGTTGGGCATGGCATTGGGCGTTCTTCCGCATGTCGCTAGTATGACGGGCGTTATCGTAACGGCGCTCAGGCTAGATATCTTGGTCTCGGAAACGCCATCATTAGGCACGCTAGGGCGGTATCCTGCGAGAGGCATGAGAAAAAGAACTTGGCTTGACTGGCGAACTTTACATCATCAGTCAAGCTGACACCAAACAGGCTGTATGTAGTTGTCATTCGTCGGACTCCGAAACATAAAGGCCTTTACTAACACATATTCCATGCTTAACCAAGTTCTCCGTGCACAACCAGACCAAGGACAGAATGCTCTTCACCAAAGGATCGTCGAGCTCCCAGCACCCTCGGTTGCTTCTTCAGGAAAAAGCAAAGGGAAAGATACAGGTACACTCATAAAACGCGTGGGGGGATGATGGGTACTGGCTGTTCCAATTGGGCAGTCCACGGCAGCCCAGCTTGACCTGCAGCAATGCGGTGTCTCTCTCCGACACCAAGCAGGACTGTTTTCTGCACCTTCTGCACCTGTCCTGGGGCGACCGACGTCAAAACATGAGATTGGTCCAATAACCTCGACAGTGGATTTCATGCGTGGCATCGAATGACGCTATTGGTGGCGCGCCATGTCCGCCACGGCGCGCGCTGGCCCGAACTTTACCGGACATCCATTCAGAAGAGCCATAGGGCCCGTCTTCGCAATGCGCGCGGGAGGGGCTCGTTGGGCCTGTGATCCTTGGCCCTTTTACTATGCTGGAGATCTCCATCAGGCCTTCGTATGCAATCTTACTCCCTTAGTAAAGTGTCATGTAGCCTGTACGTCTTAGCAACCGCAAAGCGGCAAGACGACCGCTTTTTAGTTAGTATTACGGATACTTTGACTGTTTGTTTTCTCTTTACATACGAAAGTAGCGTTCCGTTGGGTGCTCCTCCTCCCACTTTCTCCCGGAGAGCGGATCTTCCTCTGCTCTCCCATGACCTACCCTTTTGAACAGGTCCCCCGAAGAGATAACCCTGGTCATTCTCTCTCTTGTGAGGTAATCCATCTTCCCTCGGCAAGCTTGGGTTCTGGTCACTTTCTCTGCAACCCTTTCTTCATTCTGGGTTTTGACCTCTTTTCATTCATCATCCCCTTTTCTTACTTATCGGCTTTCGGGGACTCAAAAAGTAAACGGTGTGCTTGCTATCTTTTGCTTGTTCACCGCACAATCTTGGCCTCGTAATTGCCCGCCACAACAACAAAAAAAGGCAATACCAATAATTCGTCTCAAATACTTCCGCCTCATCCGTTCTTGCGCGCTCACACAAACACACACACTCTCTCTCTTCTACACATACTTGCCCCTCCCTGTCTTTTGAATTGAGGTACATATAATACGTACCTGCTCCCGAAGTGCCTTTCCTTAGAAAAAGGACGAACGATATACAAACACATGCAAACCACCACAGCGTCTGCTCCAGTCCTATCAGGAACCTGAATCACAGGACCGTCGCCCTAAAAAGTCGCAGTTCGCCTCCGCTATCACACTACTATCAGGGTCCAGGTCTCCTGCCGCCGATCTGTACATCTGCTTCTTGCTGCACACGTTCTTGGCCTCGACCAATCACTCCAGCATTGTTGAGATTCCGCCCGCAAATCTCCCCTCCCTCAACAGACTAGAACATTTTATTTCGTGGAGAAGCCGAACAAAAGTAGCAGCCCCCCATTTCCCTAAACGTATAAGCCAATCGACTCTTTCGCCTCCCACCCGTGGTCTCGTTCGCAAACACCGACGGTTCGCCGCAGCTGCAACCTACGCACCTTCAAACCTCCAAAGCAGAGCCGCCAACGCTTCTGCATTACATTCGGTGCAACTGACGGCCAATCCCAAGGAACCGGGACATTTATTCGTTGCAGGCGGAACACTATTGTCGGCGGAGACAAATCACACCTTTTTGGTGCACGACTCCTGTTTCTGTTCCTTCCTGCCGAGTTCGAACCGCTCGAGCTCGGAACGGCTACTGCAATCTCTATTTTTGTATAACAGTAATGGAACCCCTAGTCAACATGGCTTCAATCCAATCCCCCTGCTCCGGCGCTGCCGTCCAGGACAACGACGACGACGACTTCACTGCGGCCACGGCATCTGGCGTTCAGGCCGAGGGCACTGAACTTACCCGGAGACGACGACACTCTTTCTTTATCCCCAGAAGAAAATCGATTGTCAGCCACATCATGGATGGAGAGGAGCATTTGTTACTTAAGGTGCGTTTTATATCACGTTGTTGGTGATGATGTTTGTTTTGTTTGGTCCCACCTCCCGCCGAGCGTCGGAGGATTAAAAAAAAGGTCCCGCTGCTGACATGTGTTGGTTACACCTGAACAGGTCGACCTCTTCCTCACCGAGCTGGAGCGACGCCTTGAATTCATTGAAGAATATGGCGAGCTCACCTTCGATGCGAGCATCTCTCGAGCCTTTTCCACCTTGCAAACTGTTCGCGCCCGATGCTCCCATGCCTCCGAGGAGGTCCTCGGTGCCGGCCGCCGCCGCCTCCACATCATGGTCGAGACACTCGAGGCTCGCTACCAGGAAGCCCTCGCCTCGGCCGAGTCGTTGAACGAGAAGGCACGGGTCGGCATCGAACTCCTTGACGATATGCTTACGGATTACGAGAACCGCGCGTACAAGCTTCGCGAGCAAGGATTGGCAAATGCCGCCGATGCTGCCGGGGCGTTTATGTCCGAGGGACGTCGAGTTGTTGATGGCGGCATTGGACTCGCCCGCGAGGTGGTTGACGAGGGTATCGAGCGGGCCATGCGCGCTGCTGAGAGCCTTGAGGAGAAGATTGAGCGCGCCATTGCTCGTGCTAGGAAGACGAAGCTGATCACATACGACGACCTGCCTATGCCCTGGCGCATCAATCCACACATTCGCAAGGGATACCGCTTTACCGAATCAAAGCTTGAGTGTGTCCAGTCCGCCTTTGGCATCTCCAACGAGCTCGTCAACATCTGGTCCCATGCCATCGGCCTCGTTATTGTTCTGGCTGTGGCGCTGTACTTCTATCCCCGCAACGTCAACTTCTCGCTCAGCACCAAGACCGATATCTTCATCGCTGCTGTCTTTTTCTTTACCGCATGCCTGACGCTGGTGTGCTCCACTATCTGGCACACCATGAACGCTGTTGCGGATGTCGATGCGATTTCCATTTTTGCGTGCGTGGATTATACGGGCATCTCCCTCCTCATCGCTGCATCTATTGTGACTACTGAATACACGGCCTTCTATTGCGACCCTGTAAGCCGATGGACTTACATGACCACGACTGCTATCCTGGGTATTGGCGGCGTCATTCTCCCTTGGCATCCGACTTTTAACGGAGCGGACATGGCATGGGCGCGCGTTGCGTTCTTCGTTGGCCTGGGCGCCACAGGCTTCTTGCCCATCCTGCAGCTGTACTTTTCTCACGGCCCGGACTTTGTGTGGACATTTTATACGCCCATTGCCAAGTCTATTTTTGTCTACCTCTTGGGTGCATTTGTCTACGCGAGCAAGATTCCTGAGAGATGGTGCCCTGGCATGTTTGACTATATTGGTGGCAGCCATAACCTGTGGCATCTTGCGGTTCTTGGCGGTATTCTTTTCCACTACACGGCGATGCAGTCATTCTTTGCGGATGCTTTCCGGAGAGCTCAGGCGGAATGTTCCATCTTTTGAGCAAAACGGTTCGTTGAGATTATATACAACGATCTTACTTCTCGGTCATCGATGCTTCCCGCAGCGGAGTTTCGGTGCCCGCAAGGGCGATTGCTAGTCCCCAAGGGCCAGGGGATCGTACTCCTGTGTACATACTTTCAGCCCACCCACTCCTGGCAACGCGGCATGTCGCGCCTTTGAGAGCAACCGTGTAAGACACGACACGTCTGCGAAGATGGTTTTTTACGGCGCTCTTCACGGGCAGCGCTGTAGCTTCAAACTGCTCAAGGATCGCTTTGAGTGCACCGTTGACGCGCCATTAATGCCCACACGGCTTAACGAAATGACTTGGTAAGGACGAGGCCCAATACCCCTTCGAGAATGCCGCAACGCCTTACGCCGCTATGACGAGAAAACAAATCAATACTTACCCTGGATAATAATGATGAGGTCATAAAAGTTGTCATGCTCAAACCTGGCGTATTTCTCACGCCTACACTGCTCGGTGCACTTGCGATTAGTGGTTCCGGAACGGACCTGATAGACTAGAATTTGCTACATTGTAGCTTAAAGCTTAGAAGCATAGGATATGCGTGAATAATAATAGATGTCGAAGCCCGTCTACTCAAGAATTTGACTGCAGCCTACAGTGGCATTGATGCGCAAGAATGTGATTTTGTTTCTGAACCAACTTCCACTCAGTAAAAACACCTTGAAGAAAAGACGAGATTCGGCACCCTTCTCTATCCGCGAAGCTTCTACCTTCTAAAACATCATCAAAGTACGATGCATGACTAGTTGATGATCAGACTCCAGACTATGCATGTAATGAGTGTTCTATCCCGTATCGAACCTTGGGAGCCTTAGCACCTGTCACTAGAGTCGTACACGTTCCTAACACATGGCTCATAACGTATGCAGGCCCTACATAGTATGATGCTCACAGAACTAAACAGATAGCCGCTGGTATCCAGCTTCGATCAACCGACATTCCGACGTGCGAGACAACAATAACGACAGCGCGAGGCAGGACAAACGAAGCTGGCCAAGTGTGTCCTTTGTGCAGCCATAGCCACCGCAGGGGAAGTAAACACAGAAGGCACTCTTAAGGCGTGCGATTTGCTGAGAAGCCGGCCGCTAGGGTTCCTCCTTCCGTTTTTAAAACCCATTTCATCATGATAAGCTTGTCAAGAGCGCCTGAAGTAGTGGCGTTCCATGGTGTTAGCTTGTGGCGTGGAGGCGAATCCGATCGATGTGGCTTTGTTCGGAAGGATCGACGACATCCAGCCTGCCTGATGCAGACAATACCATGCTAAAGACAGTACGTTGCCACTGTAATTCAGATTTTGCTTGTGGTTGAGGGGTAGGTATTTCGCTACCTTCCCATCTGCAATGTAAACTCGGCTGTGCCTTCTTCCCTGCCAATCTTTTGCGGCTTTGATTCACGGGTATCTGTGTATGAAGCCCTAAAATATGATAAGAGCCTCCTACTTTAGTGTTTTCCGCCCTGGCGTTCACTACTTATTCGCAACCCTCTGCGGCATAGGCAAGTAAAGTCCAGCTTGACGGAGATCGAGGCTCGAGGTGTGAGGGCACTGAAACCACTGTTTCTTATGTAAAAGGAAATCTCGTCAGATAAGAAGCCACGTGAAAATAAATAGCAGCAGGAAAAGGAAGAAGGCATCAGTTGAGGAAACAGAATCGGAGAGGAGTACTTGTTTGATCCCCTGGGCAACAGCATGTGGACCAAGCCGTGCAGGAGAAAGCATTTTGAAGATAGTAGGAGCATGTAACGCAATTGGAGTGGTTTGATAATGGCCGCATCTTCGTGATTGCTGATGCCCGTTTTCATGTGAGCTTTCTAGGACGAATGCTGTCAGTTCATGTCATTTGTGAGACGTTATTCCCATTTCTAAGCCTCACCTCCACTCATAACGTACATGTAGCTTCTCGCATCATCTACGGTCCTTCTTTTAATCTCAACAATCCAAATGGTGTATTTCCAGCGTTATGACTTACCTGTGTAGCTTGTCTGTGTCTTGTTACCGAAATCTCAGGCGTCCCGGCGTATATGGTTCAAGGCCGAGATGCTGATCTCCATCTCTAATCTACCCAGTGTTACAAGTGCCACCACCACAGAGGATATCACTATACCCATGGGCATTTGTCTGAGAAATCAGAGTATACGGTTTGTCGAGCATTGCATAAAGAGCGTTTCAAGCTGTCTTTGTGGAACAAGGGTGGCCATCACACGCCTACCTAACCTAATCGCCACGTCTCGATTTCGTCTTGATGGGACCCAAGCCTTAGAACTACTGCTTGTTAACACGGATCGAGTGCGGGATCTGGGGCTTATCTAGTAGCGACTCGATGCCATCTTTGCCACAGGTTACAGAGCTTTGCGGTTCGGTTGGAGGAGTTGACTTGGATCAATCATTGAATCTGTGGCCACCGCCCTTCGGAGCTCAAGTAAACCTGATTTTGGTGTATCATAGTACATCTGAAGCATCATGACGTTTTTTTTTTCTTTCCGTAACATTTAAGCACAACGCAAGTTATGAGAAATTGCGGAGACTGAGCTGGGCATCCTCGCGTATACGGTGATGAGCTTGGAAGGGTTGAATCATGCTCACCGGTGCTGCTATTTGTATCACACGTCAATACAGCACATTTAACGGCGTCTGCGCTTAGGTGGGACCTGATGGTTTGGTGCTGGACCTGAATAGTCTGTACAAATTGTTCATCATTGTGACTAGCTACTCGACTGGTATATTCCTGCCGAACGAAGATATATTGACGAATTTATGGGAGCAGCTCAACATCACGCACGCTTCCTAAGTGGCGCTATACGAGAAGAATGTAGACAAACATGTACGGCTCAAGGGGGCTGCATTACAAGCGTTCATATACGTCAAATCGCATTATTTAGGTTAGGCATGTATACATGAGCAACATAACGTTCCCCGTTTCCCGTTTACTCTTTACTCGTGCTTCTCGTGTTCTCGCACCTGTGGCTGCGTAATATCATTAAGCCTCGTTTCGGTACCCCCGTTCGTTTTTGTGTGTTCACATCATCAAGTCGTAAAAGGTTTTTCGTATAGTACAATCCGTCGCAACATTCATAAAAAAGGGGATTTCATAACGTCTTCCATACCCCTGAAACGTCCATGGCATCTTCGTGATTTCTGCGTAGCTTGAGGGATGTGTCGCACTCTTGACCCCTTGATCTTGTCGCGGTTGCTCTGGGCAGGAGCAGGTTGTTCCAGCCCTGGTTCGTTTGCCTCTGAAGGGCATTTGGATATCGGAAAATTTACTGGGCGTGCTTAACAATAGCGGCGTACGTATCGTCCGGTATCCTCTCTATGATCCAGAGCGTGCGTTCGATAATCTTGTCCGCCTGCAAGGAAGGGAATGAGCGTAGAAGCTTGTTGGGGCTGGTTCGTTGTTAGCATTCCAACCTCTACTCCGAGGCTTGACAGAGTAACGTACCTTGGCGAGCTCATCAACTGGTCTCTCATACCCATCAGCTGGGCTACAATGCAGAGAATGTTCAGATGAGGCCCGTATGCAAATAAGAAGTCCCATAGCCGCAAAACTTCAGGCAGTGGAGGCGTGCAGGCGCACAAAGTCAACACCGACGGGAAAGCGTAGATCTCAGCCGTTAGACCTTTGGAATGAAGGTATCCGCTCAACTTGGAGTCGACAGTAGCCAAGACCTTATCCACCAAGGCCAAGCCCTTATGCACGCCATCCATAGCGCCTCGGATATATCCAGGGCACTCCCGCGTGAGAAGAGTATAGAACGCTGCGAAAGCCTCCGCCTCGCTACGTGCAGCGTACAGGAACGGCGCCGCCAACACGTTCATCCCCTGCACATACGTCCCGGGCTCTCCCGCATGGCTGGATTCGGAGCCCTCCGTCGTCAGCGTTAACGCGCGCGCTCGGTTCCTGGCAGATGGCGAGGCTGGGTTCTGCGAGTGCGCGGTGGCTGTTGAGGCCGAGCTGTCATGAGATATAGAACTACGCCCAGTGCTGGGCCGGCTAAGGGAGCGGTCGCGATCACGGCTGCGCTGCGCCTCCCGGAGGTCGTGCAGACGCCATGCGACAGCGTTGAGGAGACGGATGAGGCTTGCTTCGCTTACGCGTCTGCGGAAGAGGGGGTCGGTGGTGAGGGTGCGAAAGGTGTCGTTGCGGATTTTAGAGTAGGCTGGAGACGCGCCGCGATGAATCAGGGCGAGGTAGTCGTCGGTTGGTAGTACGGGAGTGTCAAGAAGGATTAACCAGACGTAGATGCGCAATGTTGACTATTTGGCTGCGCATTAGCTAGGAGAGTATAAGAGCTGGGGGTTCTTGAGGAGGTGTACCATGCCATCGCTGTCGCTCTTGATACCTTCGCTGAGGACTTTGCGGCGCGCCATGCCCAATGCCTCGACTGCATCACCATCCGGCGGACCGTCCTTGATAAGCTGGTAGAGGGACATGTTCGCGTATCGTGGGTTAACGCCCACAATACCTCGCTTGCTAGCGGCCAGCGCATTCAGGTGGTGCGTGTTCGTCGCATCGCTGTTGGAGCGCCCTCGCTGGTGTGATCTATGCATCGTGGTGGAGGACGAGCTGGCATCGCGACGCGTAGGAGATATATTGCGTTGAGTCAATCGTTGCTGAGAAATGAGAGACGGCTGCGGTTGCAAGGCTTGGAGCTGAAGAGCGGCTTTGGAGCCCAGGTTGTGCGCCGACTGCAGTTTGCGCAAAGCGCGATGCGTCCGTGGCGAGGGAGGCGGGAGGAGCTCGGTTGTTTTCGCCTGTGAGTGCACAAAGGCGTGCGGCGCTGGGGGCCCAGCGAATGGATCCCTTGTCGGACTCGATGACATGTTTCTGAAATGGTATATAGCGGATAGCGGAAGAGGGTTTCGCTACATTTACTTGTATGAATTGGGATAACACGAATTACAAAATGGGGAATTATACGAAAATAATCAAACAAAAGTAGGGCCGGGGGATCACAAGATACACCTGGTAGAAAAAGGGGCAACTACAGCGTAGCGAGGTGACGAACACCTCGTGGGCTACTATTTTTGGCCCAAGGCGGGGTGAGGAGGTTGGTGATTGCAGTTTTTGGTGTTGCCAATGGTGACAGTGCAGCGACGGCGGGCTTGGTGTTGCTGGTCGTTAGCTGTCTGACTAAGGCGGCTCAGTTGCCCGGTGAGAGGGGACCGGAGGGGGGCCCGCGACTGTCCAACCGCTCATGTTTTTTTTCGCGTGCTGGGGTTCAGCTCCCGCCATCCTGACTGGCCAATGTGCTCAGCTCAAGCCAAAGAAGGCAATCTGAAGAAGAGAGCACCAGCCTCGCAGACCAAGAACGTATGCTGCTTCAGCGCATGCAAGCCCCTTTTGAATGACTGAAAACTTCCTTATTTTCCAAAGATCTCTCTTTCCCCTTTTCTTAGCTGAAAACCAAAACAATTAAAACAGGCGGAGGTCATCGCTATGATAAACGGAAGGCTGGTGCATTCGGGCCGTGGCTGGCAATGCACAACAAAGGGGCTTGACTGACCTGGATGTCCTGAGCATAATGGGAAAGGGAAATTTTACTGAGCCACAGCAAAGTGAATTAGCCACAGTCTGCCAGCAATGAGCCACCATCGCTTCTTATGTAAGTTGGTATCTTTTCCTCGGAACGGAAAAACTACCGCCATTGGCTGAATGATATTAGTCGCAATATTTCCGTCATGTTAAGGTAGTGTTGTCTTGGCAGTTGGCACGGGCTGGAGCCCATGACGTCTAGTCATCCGCAACACCCGCCTAAACGGAGTCTGTGAGCAATTTGTAACTCTTCTCAGAATGACCGAAAAAAGGAAAGAAAAAAAAAAAAACTTTTCCGGCTGGCAGCTATCCAAAGTGCTCGAGTTTCCATCCACAATCTCCATCACTGGAACCTGGGGCCGCCGATCCCCGGTCCCTCCAGATTCTCAAACCTCGACCGTCACGATAGTACTAGATAGAGTGTGTCCCCATCCAATCCTGTTCAGTTTAAATACCGACTTCACTCGGTATCATTCGCACGTTTAGAAAGAAATAGCGTTCCGACCATTTCGGCCACTTTGGAGATTGATTCCAGCCAGGTCAAGGTTCAGCCCAGTTGATGCTCGCACCTGAGAAAGCTTCACACCACACCTCGCCTAGGGGGCAAACTATCCATCACTGAAATGGTCCAACCAGGTTGAGCATCTCCGCATCATCTGCCCCACTAGACATCACCTCAAACAAGGGTGCTATTGCACCATCGCCGAGTTGCTGTAGCTAAATATCATTGGCTGAATTGGTCAGCAACACACCAAAAGCGGTAGTTCTCTGGGGACTCGACCCCCTCCGTTGGAACACTTGTTGCATAGGCAGAAAGCACATCCTCATCCGACGGTCAGCTCTGATTTTTCAACATCTCCATATTATCACCTTTGCCATCAAGGCAGAGCTTTGTCCCGCCCCATCTCTGACGACACTCCGGTGTCGGTAGTCTCCAGAATGTCCACTCGGGAACAAGGACCCCGAGTTTTCTCCCCTGGTAATGTGCATTTGTAACGCAGCTGCTGTCTGCGCCCACGTTGGTTCCTGAGCTGACCACACGATACATCTTCCGAGACCGCCAACTACTTCTCACATGGTCCGTTCCCCCACGCCCGTATTTCCGCCTAATCGCGCTTATTGGAAAAAAAAACCTATGCGGATTTGTCCCGTCCTGTTGTCATTTCTAATATCTAATGGATATGCCTCCTCTCGTGTGGACATGAGATAATTGGGCTTGCTGCACATCCCGTCTCCATCAGTGGGCTCCGCTAACCTTGGTCCGGCAAAGACTCGATGGCGACATCGCCCCGGTTTATACGTTGCGGGAGGAGTGCGGATACAAACCACCACAACAAAGACTCCTTTGCTCCCTCCAACAGGACATTGTTCGTCTGTTAAATCCGCGCCATCTTCCCCTGTCATTCATCCTTTGATGTACACTTGAGCCACCCCCCGTCAGGGTTTTCTCAGTCTTTGCCTGTCGTCGTCTCCTCGGCGTCTCTCAAATCTTCATTTCTTGGCTACCGCCGTCATCCCGGTGCCACATCTCTTGGCCCACGAGATCCATCGCCTTGTTCCAGCGGGAGAGCCGTAGAGCCTCCCTTGGCGCTCTCCACTGCCGAAGTCTCTGAACTCAATTATTAACCCTGACTGCCTGCGTTTCTCAGAACCAGTTGAAGAGCTTCGAAGAGCTTCTGAAGAGCTTCTGAAGAGCTTTCATTTCAGTTGCATAACACAGACGCCTCTCGGGCGCAACATTTCCCGCTTCCTTTTTTTTTTCCAACCTCGATATCTTGTCGTCATTGTTGCCAAACGAATACACACCCCCTCCCCGGCTGTTGGTTGCAAGCACATCAGTTGATCTCATCAGACGCTGTCAAATCACGACCAGCTTCCTGAGTCGGGCCTGAGCCAATTAATATCTCTGGACCGATTGCGCAACTTTGCAAGGGGCTTTTTGGCAGGTGTCAATTTCGCACCTCCTGCCTCAAACCGCCACCTCCGTTGAGGTTCTAGGACTGAAAGCGCTCTAGTTGCCTTTTCCGACATTCAGCTTGCGCATATCGCACCCCGGTTCTCATTCCTTCCACCCACCGCTCAGTCGGTTTCTTCCGCGGCGTCTGGCGTGGGCCCAACCCGTGTGGCACAGTAACCACCCCAGAAAGTTGTATATAGCCTTGGTTCATCTTCGCCCGAGTGAGAGCCGAATACCTTCTGGTCACTCGCCTTTCCAGTTGCACGCTCGACAACCCCGTCACACCTCGCTAGCTCAAATACAATGACGAGCACGAGAACCAAGATTGGCCATGGCCTAGCCAAGGTCTTGGGCATAAAGCTTGAACGGCCTGAGAACGAAGAGATGCTGCGCGGCGAATCTGTCTTCTCAGTCCAGTCATCAGACACCTTCGTGGAAGAGGAGCCAACAACCGCAGAATGGTTTTTGGAGCTCCTCCCCACAGGCGATGAGGCCCTCGAATACCTTCGTTCCCTATTCCCATTCCTCAACTGGATCGGTCATTACAACATGCAGTGGTTCCTTGGTGACCTCGTTGCCGGCGTTACAGTCGGCGCTGTTGTGGTTCCCCAGGGTATGGCTTACGCTTTGCTCGCGAAGCTTGATCCCGAGTTCGGTCTCTACTCATCCTTTATGGGTGTCATTATCTACTGGTTTTTCGCTACTTCTAAGGATATTACTATTGGCGTACGTTGAAACCCAGCCCAACTTTATGCGCTGAACTAACCCTTCATAGCCTGTGGCTGTCATGTCAACTGTCGTCGGCAACCTTATCACCGACGTCCAAGCAGAATTTCCCCAATACCAAGGCCATCAAATTGCGTCAGCACTGGCCATCATTGCTGGCGCTATCATTTTGTTCATCGGCTTGATTCGTATGGGATGGATTGTCAACCTAATCTCGCTGACCTCTTTGTCTGCCTTCATGACTGGCTCTGCCATCAGTATCGCTGTCGGTCAACTCACGACGTTGATGGGCATCAAGGGTGTAAACACGCGCGAGGCTACCTATATGGTATTCATTAATACCCTCAAGAACCTTCCCAAGACGAAGATGGATGCGGCTATGGGTTTGACTGCACTGGCATGGCTCTACCTGCTTCGATACGTCTTCACTACCGCCGCGAAACGATACCCTCAAAAGTCGAAGCTGTTCTTCTTCCTCTCAACCTTGCGCACGGTGTTCGTTATCTTGCTCTACACCATGATCAGTTGGCTGGTCAACATGCATAGGCGAGACAACCCAATGTTCAAGATTCTGGGAGAAGTGCCTAGAGGTCAGTTCGATGATTACACTTGCCTTGGCTGTCCAATCTAACTATTTGCACAGGTTTCCAAGATGTCGGCACCCCGAAAATCGACACCCATCTCATCAGTGCCTTTCTGCCATTCCTCCCGGCCAGTGTTATCGTTCTGGTTATCGAGCACGTAGCCATTTCTAAGTCTTTCGGTCGCGTCAACAACTACACCATTAACCCTTCTCAGGAGTTTGTGGCTATTGGTGTTACTAACGTCATCGCTCCTTTCCTCGGCGGTTATCCTTCCACCGGATCCTTCAGTCGTACGGCCATCAAGTCCAAGGCTGGTGTCAGAACACCTTTCGCCGGTGTCATTACTGGTCTTATCGTCTTACTTGCCATCTACGCCTTGACGGCCGTGTTCTTTTACATTTCCAGTGCCTCTCTCGCAGCAGTCATCATCCACGCCGTCGGAGACTTGATTACGCCTCCCAACACCGTTTACCAGTTCTGGCGTGTATCCCCGCTTGAGGTTGTCATCTTCTTCGTTGGTGTCTTTGTTACCATCTTCTCTTCCATCGAGAACGGTATCTACGCGACCGTCTGCATTTCCGCTGTCCTTCTTCTGTGGCGCATCCTTAGGGGTCAGGGCCGTTTCCTCGGCAAGGTCAAGATCCACTCCGTCATCGGCGACCACGTTATCGGCGACGACCATAGACAAGTCGTTGGCGAGTACGGAACCTTCGACGCCGGCGACAACGCCGCTCGCAATGTCTTCCTCCCGATTGATCACGGCGATGGCACCAACCCTGAGGTCTCGCTTGACAGCCCCTATCCCGGTATTTTCATTTACCGCTTTTCTGAGGGCTTCAACTATCCCAATGCTAGCCATTCTCTGGAGTATCTTACCGACTATATCTTCAAGCATACTCGCCGTACGAATTTAGATGCTTATGGCAGCATTGGCGATCGCCCGTGGAACGACCCGGGCCCGTCTCGCAAAGCCAAGAAGGCTCAGGCCCAGCTTGCCGAGGCTGAGAGCAAGCCCACCCTCAAAGCCATCATTCTCGACTTCAGCTGTGTCAACAACGTCGATCTTACCTCCATTCAGCAGCTCATTGATGTTCGCAACCAGCTCGATCGTTACGCTGCCCCTGACAAGGTCAACTGGCACATTGCCTGTATTAACAACCGCTGGACTAAGCGTGCGCTCGTCGCTGCCGGTTTTGGATATCCTGCCGACCGTGGCGATGGCCTACAGCACAGATGGAAGTCCATCTTCAGTGTGGCAGAGATTGGTGGCGCTGAATCTGCCGCTTCTGTTGCGGAGAAGTTGGCCAACGAGAAGGAGATCTCGTCGCATGGCAAGTCCTCAAGACAAGCAGATGAAGAATTGGGCAAGAGTGGTGGAGCATACGACGAGATAGATCCTGTCGCCTCGTCGGGAATGCACCATGAGCAGCGTAGGGAGCGAACTGCCAAGCGGAGGGGTGTTGTTGTTCATGGCCTTAACAGGCCGCTGTTCCACGTCGATCTGACGAGCGCGCTGCAAAGCGCTATCGCAAACAGTGAGGGAAGAGGAGATGAAGCTCACGGATCAAAGAACGTGGATACATCTAGTGATTAAACGGAAGTTCTGATATGATTAGCGATTGATACCCTTGGTGGGAACATTTGTTAGATTGGTGCGGATGGATCATGAAAAGTTGCTTATTAGATGATGTAGCACACGCAGTGTTTTGTCATATTTACGTTACGCTATTGCATATAAGGCCACGAGCTTGAATAGACTCGGCATAATAACATGCTATTCTATCTGACCGATCAGAGTTACGCACAGGTGACTGGACAGCGACGGTCTTTATCTCATTGCCTCTTTATTTTTAACCTTACTGCCCGCATGATGCAGCCTTCGAATATACTTCTCAATAGTGATACATGTGCAGCATCGTTAAATTAAGGGCGCTGCAGCGTGATACATTACTTGACCAGCCTTACAATACATGAGCTCTAGTGATTGTTGCGTGTATATCCTTAGAAAAAGAGCATCAGACGCTCCGAGAGGAAAAAGAAATAAAAACAGGATGTGGTTCTTTCTGAATAACACTGCTCTCTTTAGAGAGTAAGGTCGTGTAACCGCCCCTGATAGTTCCCAAACAGCATACTTTAACCTCTAGCTAGGTGGGAAACTCCTTTAATCCAGAAGCATTAAGCACTATGGCAATGTTTCAACTGACAAGCAACCTGGAGTAATGTCTTAGGTGTAGGAGAGTTTGAAGGCAATAATCCATTCAACAGCTATTGTAGACCACATATGTACCCTCTATTGTTCTTGAAGTTCTTCGCTTACCGTGACCAATGTTACGAGCTGACTTGCGGAGTATTTCATCTTATGCATGTGGAGGGTGCGACGACCCAAGACAACAAACCCATATGCTCATATGATTCATAGGTAAAATCGTGAAGAGCAAGCCCTGTGCCCATCCCGCAGCTTCTGGCCAATCTCGGAAAGCAATCAAAAGTGCGACTTTGATTCTCAATACGCAATTCAGTCAGAACGCCATCATAACGGCTTTATCCGTTCTGTTCCGCATCTGACGCTGTATTGCCTAACTTTAGTTACGGGCTTACGCGTGACCGCAATCGTTTTAAAGTACGCAAGGGTCTTATTTCCACAAACGGACGTATTACGAAGTCAGGAGTGCCCTTTCAGTTGAGATCCGATGCTCATCTCCACTTGTTCGATTTTATGTATTACTGCCTAGTTTATGTTGTGGGCCTCTTTGGACTTAGGCAATGTAGTATTATAGCGCGGAAGTTGACAAGGATCGGTTTCTGTAAGTGGGAGTACGAAGTACAGTAATTGACACCTGGTGCTCGAAGGTTGATCTCCAGTTTGAGCATAGCGAAGATCGAGGACGGCTTAGAGGCAACAGATGCTCTAGCATTCAGATGCAGACACAAGCATCAATCCTACTTCATCTCAAATGTTTTAATGCAAATGCAAACAGTTTAGGCTTGCTCCGTGCTTCCACTCACACAGAGGGCCATAAATCTCTGACAGGGTACAAATATGCAAAACGTGTTGTCATCATTCTCATTCAAAATACCCCTCATGCTGTTCGATATCGCCGCCAACGCTAAGTTCCAATCCTCCTGCAACCACAACAGAGTGCCCATCTTGAGCGCGGAGAAAATCAGTTTGCCATCGGCCTTGAATATAATGTAGAGAGTGGCATGCAGCCTACCCGTGACGGGCGAGAAATTTTGCACCTGTTTGGCATTGACGACACAGCTTCAGACTCCGGTCTCGAGGTCATAGGTACACCAGTGGTGAGGAAAGCCGGTGGTCAACCTCAGCGTCAGTTCGAAGTGAAGTGCAAGCAGATCTGTTGCCAACAGTAGCTCAATATCAGCATCATACAGGGTTTCGAGCACAGAGAGAGGCTGTTTTGAAGAACTCGAAATGAACTTAAGGCTGTCTGCTGACACAGCTAAAGCTGTAGAAGTAACTTCCTGTTTCATAAAGAGAAAATGTGCGCTCAACTATATAAATAGAGACATCATGTAGCAAGCAGCCCAAAATTATTTGGCATCTGGGCGACTATGAATATGTAAATGAAGTTGTTTATAGTCTCGTTCGAGATTAGGCCCTTTGCTCGAGACAGGCCGAAATGGCCGTACATGCTAATTCAGTCGCAGCGCTATACACAAGACCAACAGTCACTTCTTATTACGCAGCATGTTGCAGCCAAAGACAATAAACGTCGAACTAATTGTTGTGTCTTGCCCTTCTCCGTAAACCGCACGAGTTGCGAAAAATTTCATTATCTACATCCGAAAATCCAACGTTTTCCTTATTTATCGTTGATGTCAGTTCATAGGAACTTTTTTAATGAATAGAATATTACCTGCTAATGTTTTCCTTGCATATGGCACTTATTAATCTTTATTGCCGCCATACCAGCTTCCTTCCTGACACATTAAAATTAGTTCTTGAAAATTAACAAGCAGGTGTCCCAGGTGCATTGTTGTCGTGACAAGATGAAATATCACCTCACTTTTTTTGTAGTAGAACTAGTCAAGGAAGATACTTAGTTTTAACTCGTTAATCTTTTAGAGTTTCATGAGAGTCTTCTACAAAAAAAAGCTGCCGAAGTAAACCTGCGAATGTAAAGACATTTATTGACCCCTATAAGCTTCCAAGCGTAACTAGCTTAGGATACCTAACAGCGCTATGTGATAAGCATATACTGGAGCTTTTAGAATAGCAGAAATAGAAGTAGTGCGAGTAATGCAGGAATGATAACTTTCATATTTGAAAAAACGAGCCTGCTGTCCTTTCCAGATACGCATGATGTTCCTCTTACTCTATAAGCTAAATAGAAGAGTTCGTCTTCCCACACGTTTCGCCCCAATTACCTCAAAATAAAAGACGTGTTAATAGTCAATTACATAATGGTTATTACCTGTCAAATTTGTTCTGCTTAACAGCAATTCGACGTCAGCGATCGACGTGGCTAGTTCTGCCACAGCAAGACGTGATTCTGTGAAGAACTATTGAGGCTGGTTTGGTTACCTACCGAATATAAACGTCTACTGATTTATTTCTAGTTGGGATACTGTGACATTAGAGAGTCGCATTTGGACATGTTTTGTTAAACTTTAGTATGCGACTTCAAGTCAAGCCATACATCGTTAATCCAAGCTTAGGTGGCTCATTAATATCCACCTGCTCATTTATTTGCTTAAACGTACCGACTACCGGTCAGTCTCTTTACATCGTGGGTGTTAGGGGCTATGCACGGTTGATGTGGCGTAAGCTGTGCTTACGCATATTCCCTACTTAAGTGCAGCCAAACAACAATTTAGCGACTTGTTACGTATAAATTTGCGCTTTTAGCCCAACGGGGTAGCACGTCTGTTTTACACGTGTTGGAGACTATTGTGCGGCTGCCACTGCAACTTTGTAGGCGGATCTGACACTTCACAGTGTCGCAGGATAACCGTACGGGCGTAAGAAGAGGGATATTTCTCGAAGTGCGGTGAAATCTAATTTCCTGTCTATGGAAGCTGAAGCTGGAGAAGTGTAGGTTGAGATGGGTAGAAGATATATCCCCTCCATCCAGGTGCCCGCCATGTGGGTAGTTGAAGTCGCTTACCCATGCGAGGCCAAAGAGACCCGGTTGCCGGTGATTCGACTATTGCGACGAGATCTATGAGCCCGGACTTAGATACCCGAAGTTTGTTATCGTTTGGCCAGTATGTGATGTGACATAGAATCGTAAGAAAGCCATCTGGCAGGTCTGAAAACGGAGGTATTATTGAACTTAGAGATACCCGAGAACAATAATTGCGGCACGAGAGCACAAAAGCCTTCAGAGAAGGTGAGCAGATTGAAGCCGTTCAAGGGGGTATAGCTTAAGCCCGAGCAATTATACAGACGAGCACATTTCAACAATGAACAGATTCGAGGTAGGAGGGGGATTTCGCTCTGCTCATGAGTGCCCTGTTACTGGATAAGAATGAGACGGTAGAATTGTTCAGTGGGAAAGGCCGCATATACTGAGGGTCGGGAAATGAGTGACTCATGCATGATCAAAAGGCCTTCTGGTCACGTTCATCCTATCAAGTCAGCTGAAGCCGAAGTAGCGCCTTGCTATTACGGCCTGGCCGATGATGGGCATCAGAATGTGTCGGGGGTTGAGCATGATGCTCTGCTGCCTAATTCGCTTTCAACACGGTAACGGCTCGCCTGACTTTGGGTTGCCAAATGGCACTGATGGCTAGCTAGCTAGTTCATCGCTCATGCTAGGCCCTTCTGTATAAAGGGCAACCAATTATGATCAAGGGTCGGAATCGTCAACGGCCATAATAGTGAGCCCTCAACCATCCCCGCCTGTCATTGGCCTGTTCTTAGCCTGCGCCAATCTGTCTTTATGTGACTTGAGATGATATTCCTTACCAACTTGGCGGCCTGACCCATCTAAGCACATGCCATTGCCAGATGTGACAAGTGAATATCATGGTGATTTGCGGACCATTAAAAGCCAGAGTAAGAAGAAACATACCCATCGGCTAAAAGTGCCAGTGGCAATTCAGCCTTGCGCCACACGATGACCCCCTCACCACCAGTTTCTATGAATAGCGATGTCATCATTCCCGCAAGCACGCAGCCAGTGATTAGGAGTAGCCCTGTTCGCCCTTGTCGTCTGCCTTGCAGACCGTTGAAACTTGGCTGCATCAGTTGCAATAGATGGGGCACCAACTTATTGTGTACCTCAGCCGCAGCGCAACTTAGGGCCAACAGCTGTATCAGTATTTCCTGGTCATATGTCTGGTTGGAATCCGGTAGCTTGGGACTAATGACGATGTGAGCAGGCGACCAGCATGCAGTTTGCATACCAGTCCGGGGTCGCAGCTGTTGAGCCGAAGCCCTCACGGTTAGCCTGGCCATATACATTACCGTCTGAGCCATTAAGTCTGACGGCGAGGCGTTTCTGAGAATGTTACCAGCAGACTGGTATTTGCTCGTCAATACTGCCTTGTGAGGTGAACGAGAGGGCCGGGCTGGCCAAAAGTTTGGTATAGGTCGCGTTTGATGCGGCCTGGAGAGGCTGTGACAGGCTAGCAGTCTAAAAGTGTCCCCTAGGAACATTGTGTGAGTGGAAGAAAGATGGGATCCGGACGGGGCAGCCGGCCTATTCAGCGGCCGTTGGGGGCTGTGTGTTCCGTTTTCAGTGTAGGTCAGTGGGTTCCAGCGGCCCGTGTGGGCGGCCCAGAAGGAGGGTCAACCTGCCCTAGGGCGCTGGCACTCAACCAATAAGAGCACTCCTTAGGAGAGCAAGCCAGTGGCTGAGAACCGAGCCTCGAGTAAGAGCCAATTCAAAGGTGAGCCCGATTAGATAAGCTCCGCCTTATGGCACGAGGTGAGCAACACAACGGGGAACATCCCTCTCGGTGTCGGCCGTGCAAAGTCCCACTTTTAACTACCTCTCACCCGGACCTGGACTAGGGTACCGCCAACTCCCAACTTCGACTACTCGTCTTTCACAAAAATGCTCGGGCGTCATCGCATTCCAGCGAACCACAGGTCGCGACACATACGAAGTCATTTGTTCCCCTCATCGCCGTCATGCAAAAACTCTTCTGCGATCCTTCCTTCGGTTTTCATACCCACCCTGCATGCTGCCCTCACAACAACAGGGCCATATTCATAGGACCGTTGTCACCTTGTTCGTGCACCACACCTGTCCAGACACTGGACCTTCCACGCCCTCTCTCTGTGTATTTCTGAAATCTGTGGTGCCTTGATTGCCTTCCAAACTTCTGCAAACCACCTGATTCGAGTTTCATAACCCCAAAGTCTGTCGTCACCGTCCAACTATATGTGGTGTGCTTACGGACGGCAACTCCCATCATCCCAGGGTAATGGTCTTTAGGGGACCAAGGATAATGCCAAACGTGGACTGAGAAAAAATGGAATTGTTTCTTTCTAGAAGGTGATCTGATCAGTCTTTCCAGACCGGGGGATGCCGGCCAGTAGCCGGCCTCAGTTTGCCATCTCTTCTGTTACCGCATATCCTTCCCCCCCATTTCTATATCATCTCCACAGCAGTGGACGCCCAGCAGTCGTGTGAGCACCTGTTCTTTATCGGGCCTCGTCAGGTCTCTTTTTAAATCCCTGCTCCAACGGTAAAGAGCATCGCCAACATTGATTCTGTATGGGTCCCCTACTCGTTGGCCTCGTTCAGCCGCTCCCCACTCCTTCTCTGGTAAATGCCTGGTCCTTTTCATCTATAAGAAGTCGGTGAGACGTATCAACATGGAGACCCCAACATGCTCAGTCCCGAGAAGCATATAGAACCCTGCTGCACCTTCTCAGCTTAATGTCTTCTCCCACTGCTGTTCCCCTCTTCAAGTTTGAAGACTTCAAGTTTGAAGAGCTCTCCCTCAGCAAGATGGCTCCCACAACCAGATCACAGGCTCACCAGCAAGCCACCCGAACTTCCTCCGAGTACAATGATACGGACTCCGAATCTGAGAGCGGCTCAGGCAGCAGCTCCATGAGCGATGATGACGACGATGATAGGAGAGAAGAGGACGAACCCATCGTCGTCACGTCACCCTCCAAACTCTGCTATAACCTTGACAGGCTATCACCCGAGGCCCGCGAGCGCGTCAGGGACACTTTTGACCATCCACCACAGCTATCGTTAAAAAAATGTCTACTACGCGACAACTACTATGCCTTCCATATGACTGAGCTTGTGGACCGGTCCATTCGTATCGGTTCTCCCGACAGCCGTTGGCCGAAACCCTATTGCTCCTGCATGGAGGAGAACGCGCCACCTTGCGAGCATTTGCTTTGGTTCCTAGACCAGCTTTCCAAGCAAACACTATACGACCATGACCTAACGTTGCCGTTAAACATGGCCTCTGGTGGCTATCCGGAGGAGATCGGCGACCCGTACAAAGACATTTCAACCTTCCACTTGGACGTTCTGGCTGATGGCCTTCACTGTAACATCTTTGATCCGACTACCGTCGCCGGAGACGAGTCAGAGCATGTCAATGGCTCCAGCGACTCCGAAGACTCGGGAGAAAGTGATAGCGAAGACTACCTAGATCGTCCAATTCCTCGTCGTATTCAAGAGATCCGCGAGATGCTTGCCGTCGTCACATCTGCTTCTGCCCCGGAAGACTTCCGTCCAGATCTGGTATCGTCAAGTATTAAGAAAGCTGCCGTCATAATCAACAAGAACCCCATCAAGCGCCATGACTTGGAAGGTACAATCTTCCGCATGCTTCTTACCAACGACGAGTTCTTCCACTATTTTCTTTCCAAAATGCGCCCTACCGATCCAGTCAGCGACCCCTTTCGCAAGTTGTCACAGCGTGTCGACCGCGTCCTGCATGAACTCGACGCTTTCGCTGCCGGCACTACCTCAACCACTTTGACTGAAGGACCGCGAGACGTAGCATGGGCAGCGCGCCACATTACAGGAGTTGTAGGACTCATACGAGCCGCAATCTTCAAGCGGCAGCGGCCGCTGGAGGGCTGGGAGCGTTCCAGCGCCGCAAGGGCGCTCATCCACATTCTTTCAGGAGTCGTTGAGCGAAACCGTGATTTTATACCACCAAGCACAGGCCGAGCGACGGCAGCGTCTCTCTCGCGCCAAGACCGAAATATATATCTCCGTCTCGTGGGCGATCGCGACGAGGGTTTCGTAGTGAGCATCCTCAACCTCCTTCCGCCCGACGCGGCAGCCCCCTTCCTACATAGTCTGGATGTCATCCAAGACCGGCTGGGCGTCAACGGTGCTCCGACAAGTTATGTCGAGAAGCTCCGGTCTTTGATGGCAAGGCTAAAGAGAAGGGCTAGTGTAGCCTCCCAGTCGTCCGCGGCGGGATCGAAGCGTCAGAGCCAGGGTCCTGATAGGGACAGCAAGAGGGTGAAGTGACTTATCGACCCTCGCCCCTCGCCCGAAGCCTTCCACTGGTAACCTTCGGAATGTTTTAGTCTTGAAGGAGGCTGGCTTCCTATAATGCTTCACTTCTGTCTGGCCGTCTGTGACACTCGCCTCTTTATCTTTCACTTTTCCAACTTTATTCCCTCCCACCCCATCTCCATTCCATTAGGTTTTGTTGGTGCCTCTTATTCGTTTAGACCACCGTATGTCATGTATATAGAGTACAAACTTCTGCAGCATTGAGTACTGATGTCTTTGAAGTGTTGTATGTTTTCGTCTGCGACGGAGATTTTCTGCAATTGAACATATCATAGTCGGTTTTCCATCTAGTAACTCTGTTTACCGCCTTAAATTACGTATTAATTGTATGTGTCTGTCTTCATGTCTAGGATTCTCTTTGTACAATTTCAACTTTCTTCCTTCAGCTTAGCTAGTTCGTGAAGCACCTCGCGCAGAGAAGGCCTGCCAAAGTAGTTATCTCTCCACTCTCCAGTTGCTTTCAACTTTTCTCTTGTCGCCAGAAAGTCTTCTGCCCACGATACCTCCTTCTTCCACCAGGCTGCGGCTGCACTTCTGATATTTTGTTGTCCATCGCTGTCCGCTGTGTTTACGAAGACCAATTTGCTTCCTTTTCTAACGATCTTACTGTTCAGTGTCACTCGACGGCCGCGAGTGCAATAATCGATTAAAGCTCTCAGCTTGATTGGCGTCCTCAGGTAGGCTGGAAACTCAATGTGTGCCTCACGACGATAAGACTGCCAAATAGAGGTTTGCTGTGGAGCCCCGGCTCCTTCGAAAAGACACCAGAGCACCCTCCCGAGCATATAGACCTCTGATGCTTCCTGTTCCTCAGGGCTTAGACCCCACCAACAGATGTTGTAACCCTTGGCCGGGTTAGTGTATTCTTCTCTATCTTGAAGTGCCTCGAATTCTGGGCAAATCCCTCTCAAGATCTCGGCGTACCGGTCTTTGACATCTTCGGGCATGCTTTCATCGGTAGCCAAGATGCGGATGTACTCGATAGCGTTGACTTCCGGAGAGGCAAATTCGCACCATACTCCGCGTTGCTCAAAGTCTACCATGATTGCATCTCGATGCTTGGATAGTACTACATTATCGAGGCGGAGGTCTGGATAGAAAGTACCGGAAGTTTCCCGATGATGTATAACACCAGAGGTAATTTGCATGGCCCATTTGAACTGCTCGGCGGGCGACAATGTGTTGCTGGCACGCAAGAATGGCACAATATCTCTCATGGTACCGTACTGATGATACTCAAGAGTAAAACCAAGCACGGCTACCTTGCTGCCGAAAGTACATTGCTTCGTGATAAGGTGAGCCGGACGTGACATGATGTTTGGGTGTGGCTTCACTGATAGCAACAGTTTTAGCTCATGATACAAATACTTGGTGTAACTTGTCAATGTCTTGAGGATCCACAAGACGCCCTGGATCTTGACAAGACAGACGCTGTCGTGGATCTGCTCGATAACGTGTACTTCGGATATGTCGATACACTCAGGTATTTCGACTGCAGACCCCCACATCTCCGTTAGGGCGGAGGATGAGAGTAGCTGTCGTTCCAAATAATAGGTTGGCGCAATATTGATTTCTATGGATCTGAAGTTGAGCGACAGGTTTTTGAAGACAATTCGAGAGCCGAATGGCACCGATGTGAAGAGCGACTCAGGCTCAGAGAGTTCTTTGGTCCAGTACTGTAGAGCACGGAGAATGTATTTGGCAATGTTGAGCTGCTGGACTCGAGCCCGATCCCTTGTGTGAAAGGCTACATCTAGGTCCAACAACTGCCGTACCTCTTGAGGTTGCGTCGACTGCTCTGGGATGAAGGCGTCGATGCGCATGGGCGGTATGGAGCTCAAAAATAACGGCAGCACATAAAACTGAGTCCCCAGTCCGGTGCAACCGTCAATACGCCACAAGGGCTCAGGCAAAGGATCCAGGCTGTCGATTCTGTTTTTGGGATTGAGCTGGGAAACCCCCCAGTCTGACAATGGGAACTGACGCGGGTTGGCATCGCCACGAGTCGTATGGTCGCCATGGAGGGCTACAGAGAAGGCAGCGGTAGGATGGATGATGTCGTGAATTATGTCCGACGCCAACTCCATGTTGCGACAAATGCATCCAGCACCAGAAACAAGTAAGGTTGAATGGCCCAATGGCGTAGAAGGTCCTGTAGCGAAGGTGTTTCACGGCATTGAAGGAAGATGTGGTAGTCAGAGCTAGCCAAAGTGAGAGGTGGCGCGTGGGGGAGGAGGACGGGGTGATCAAGTGACAGGTCTTCGAGGGGAAGATTGTGTCGTGCAATGCTGTAGTGCGTTGGCGAAGGAAGAGGATGGGGACTTAGGCCCCTCTGTCAGGCCGGCTCTACCTGGGTGGGACGATTATCTACGAGCCAGTGAAGACGTTGGCAAGCAGCGGAGCGAGGTTGCACCAGGCCGCAGGTTCTAGGTGGCTGGAATGGACGCTGTTGGTGACGAGGGAGACCAGGGAAGTTGCAGCTCTAAGCGTGATCGCGGGCATGGGGGGATATTTTGCATGATCATGCCGGGCTCCGATTTGTTTTTGTGTGCTTGCCCTGCAGCTGCATAAAAATGTAACGGGTTTGCGAGGGTGTCACCTAATTGGTCGGGGCTGACTGCAAGAAGCAAGACCAGATTGGTCGACAGCAAAAAGCAAGGGTGATTGGCGATTGTAATTGTGTGAGTCCATACTCGATAGACAGAAGTTGATACAAAGCTTCAACTTACGGAGTATAGTCTTCAAATCAAGGCAGTTGCGTGACTGCCGATCTGGGCCGGAGTCTCACGTTGCAGCAAGGGCTGTCTAATGGCGCCAGACACCTGGCCTTAGCCGTACTTCGTAAGCCGCATCGGCTTGCCAAGAGCTGCGGCGGCTGCCTGAGTAACCACGTGTATAAGGCGAGGCGGGAAGTCAGGTGCGATCTTGCGTGCTGGTGCGAGGTAGGTCAACTCCAGTTGGAAGGAAGGTACGGTTGTGGAATGATGCTGAGGGAAGGAAGCTGACCTAGGCGAGACCAAGCCAAGTGAAACTACGTCCAGTGCCAAGCCAATTGGCTCCTCCCATCATTGCTTCATTCCAACACTTTTCGTTTCTTTTTTCTCTTCATGGTTGCCTCATTCCGGCGATTTCTAGCAACCATTGCTTCTTTCCCAGTCATAGCCCCACCCATTAAAACCAGCCCCTCGCCAAATGAATCCGCGATGTAGTTGCAGTGGCTATCCACCAGTGGGAGGGATTACAGTGACTGCAAACCTGGAAAGCCAGAATTGACGAGGTGGTTTTCGGACCAGCTAGTTTCACACAGAATACTGTTGATAGCGCCGGGTTGACGATGCAGCAAGCATCATGCAGGCAATGTTCCGTTATACACAAGCAACCCCAGTTGTTCTGCCAAATCGCTGGTCGATGGCCGAAGTAGTCAAAATGAAATATGATAGGAAAGTATCATCCAGTGGCTGTCGAGTGGCAACGCGTAATCAGAGTACCAGAGGCTGACCGGAAGATGCCTCCGGGAGAGTGTTGCCAGTAACACTGGTGGCAGGCAAATCCATTAAGAAGCTTGCAAAAAGAATTATTGACGCGAGTATCCGTATTCGTCAACTCCATGTTGATAAGTGACCGGCGCTAAGTACATTTATAGTCTCGAGTGGTTCACGATGTTCGGGGAACACAATTGGTTGCCTTGCGTATTTGGCTTGGCAGGCTTATTCAAGCAGGCTGTCTCAATCGATAATTCCCTTTCCTTTGGCACTGTATGGTAAGGACGGGACCGCCCGTTGCGCGAAGGAATTTCAAGCAAGGTAAGATGTTATAGCATAAGGCTAATCATCAAAAGCCCTGCACTGTATCCGTATTTAGTTCGACAATGAGCACAAATCCCACTGGTTTCGTGACCCACGACACATGCCTGTCTCACTGAGTAGGTGGTTCAACCACCAACATGGACGGAGAGATACATGGGAGGCTGTAATGGGACGGTCCTTGCCTTGCTTCTACTGATCTCATTGCTTGAAAAGCACCGTACTTGCAGCTGGAGGCGCCAGTCCCATAGTTACATCTGGAGGCTTTCTGCCGGCACCGAGGAAAGAACGTATCACAGTAGGGAGTTTGGGAAGCTGCTGCCAAGCTGGACAACGTCAGGGAAACATACTGGCCTGGGGGTCACGGCACCCACCCAGACTTGTATCTACGAGGTTAGTGCCAGGTACGCTCAGTCTAAAGCAGCCGTTTAGGTGTGCTAGAGACGCTCTTCCGTCCTGGGAAGGTTCGACGCTGCATCCGGACAAAGAAGTTGGAGTGTACCCCACGTGACAGGGGACTCAAATGAAGGATTAGATCTCGCTCCTCGCCATCTCCAAGACCCATTGCAAAACTCTGCCCGATCGCAAGCGGAACGGATCTCCTGCTCGTTGATTTAGCTTGGCCACCTCTCAGCCAACCATCTCCGCCTATCGTAGTGTACATCATGTATCTCATGGGCACATGAGTGAACATTCGGAGATCCGTAAGATCTACTTCATCCCACATGCCGTGAGCTTTTGCTAAGGTCACCCGCCCTTCATCATGGTTCCCTGTTCAACTTCTCGAAAAGCACAGATAACACTTCTTAATTCTGCTTCCACATCGCACTTGCCGAACAAGAAGTCTTACTCTGGTAGCGAAGGAATCACATCCACATCGCCAACCACGAACCTGCACATTTCTCCTGCCGATTGCTCGGCTGAAGCACTCACTGTTTTCTCGCTGCAAGCCGTTAAACCATCATACCACTCTCTTCTCTGGCTTTCCCTCAGCGACACACGCATATTCAATGGTGGGGCAGAAAAAAAGCGAGGGCGTTAGCGAGGTTCTAGCGGCGGCATCTTTCGGCTTATTTCACTCGGTAAGATGGAAGGAGATAATCTTTGAGCATCCCGTGCCGTCACACCTGGGCCAACAAGGCGTCGTTATGAGTTGAAGCAAGTGAACCACTGCCCTTCCCCTCTACGATCGCCAGTGATTATTCGAAGGACCAGATAGATCTAGGACGAAACTAAACACCCTGGATGCAAGCTGCAGAAAGTTTCACTCCCCTATACCTCCCACTCTGACCAGTCAAATAGCTACTTGCTAAGACGAGCACAGCTCAAGAAGGAAAGACAATTTCTCCACTTACTTTTTGTGAGAAGCGCTCCGTAGGAACCTTGTCCAGCCCCCGATGCCCATCACACCGGGTGGATATATCCACTCCATGCCATGGGCAGATGCTGGCGCCCGAGTCTGCTACCCGTCCGCCCACGCACTTTAGCTTGACCGAAGCGCAAGGTTGTCCTTGCTCCGCCAGAAGCGATAGCAACGGAACCTCTTCCGCAAAAGGCGGACCATGCAAGTGCGGCTGCACTTACATTACATATGGAACACTGTAGGTTATTTTGACTTGAAAGGAAACCCGCAAAACTGGCACACACGCTCACACACAGACTCTAAGTTAGGCCCAATGCCTAAGTGAGATTATCGCCTAGTGATAGCTCTCACGGGCAGCTTCCTATTGTTTAACATCGACCTTTCAAAGGCAATGTCGCGGCCCTGGGAAACGGTTGCCAGATTGATATTAAGTGTTTGCCCTGCGCCTCTTGGCAATCAGTTGGGCGTTGACTCTCATCCCAGTGGGTTGATTCGCTCTGTCGACTATTTGCTACCGGTCTTGGCACCCACACGAAGTTACTTCCACTACGGTGGATACACCCGTTCCTTCGGTCCCGCCCTCCATCAACCCAAGTGCACCCCCCCTCGGATTTTTACACCCTAGCACGAAATGCGATGTTCAAGATTCCGCTTGTACGAAATATTGGTACGAAGTATACTCCAGGGAAAAGGGCTAGGAGAAAAAGCACACCGACGACGCTAGAAAGACCCATGACGGCCGGTTGACAGTCGACGTGTTATTTGTGCAGGTGGACCTAGCAATAATTCGCGCTGCACTTACTTATGGAAGCAGCACACGCCCCGTCATCTGACCGTTCCAGGGTTCGTTCATACGATTACGGATCGAATTTCTCGGCTTGTTGGGTAACCATCCACACACGACGATTCCAGCTCACCGGTTGCCCATTTGAGCTTAAACCATCTACAGTATCCTGCGTCCCACCACGCCGTTGCCCCTCACTCTTCCTCCTGATGCTTGCTTTTTGCTTTCAATTGTGCCGCTGCTACTGCTGCTGGCAAGACACGGGCCAAACAGACCTTATGGGCCCGGCAGACAACAAGGCTTGGTTCAAGGATCAACTACATTGTACGGCCAGAGCATATTACTTTACTTCATTTCGCCTCACACAAACCGGTACGGCATCATGCAGAGGAACGTCGGATGTTGATTTGATACGAGGCTATTAGTGGGGGCTTCCCTGACCTCATCAGCTGCATCGACTGAGGCATCCGTCATTCGTGGCGGCCGCACATGCAGGGCCTGCTCTCGATAGATACCCTTACCAGTAAGAAGGAGCCAAAATGTTGACCGACATATTTCTTTCAAGACGAGAAGGAGGTACATTGTTTGCTCTCTGCCGGGTCGCCCAGTTGCATAATCCGCATCATGCACCTCGTCAACTGCCCAACAGGTTAAAAGATGTGATTTCCGGATGAGGACAACTTGTCGTGGCTAAGAAGAAAAAAAAAATACGCAGGTCGGTACTATTCTGGAACTGGCGGGCGAGCTGCAGGTCGCGCTCATTTCAGATTCCTGGATCATCTAGTCAAGATTTGATTGAATCACCACGCGTTTAGCCACCGACCACCATGGTTAACCCGGGGGGGGGAGGAAGCAGGGGGTATCGAAGGCGGTCAAGGGCTGTTCGGCAAACATGGGGCTGTCGAAAGTGCGCATCCTGCAAGCTTCACTTTTTTTGACAACCGGCAGGGCTCCTTACACTGTGCCTCGCTTGACGGCCCAGCGCGGCGGGCGCGGCCAGGCCATGTGGAATCAGGCAGCGGCGGCGGCGGCGATGGTGGTGGTGGTGGTGGTGGTGGTGGTGGTGGTGGACGCACACCCGGTTACTGGAGCAGAGCGGCTACATCATCGTCTAGGGCAAAGAGTGCTAATTGTTCCTCAGTCATATGCGAGCTACCAACACAATCGACTGACAGTCTGACCGATCGACCGATATACTGGGAGTCTAACCAATCAAGATGCGATTTCTGGCCAACTAAATACTCACGATCCGCAAAGACGGAGATGAAGCTTCTCCCCAAGATTCTTTGTTGACCGTTATTCTGGAACCTCGCTATGGTGGAGGCGACAGGGGTATTATCACAATGTTTTTCCCAGACGCTTCCTAAGACCAACCCCTCGTGCCGTCTCTCGGATAAGCGGTGACAGTCTCTCGGTTACGACAGGTCCTTTCCCCCAAAGAAACTCGACAACTAAACTCTCACAATTTTCATTCCCACGCACCAACCAACCAGTACACGTTGACGCACATCTATCTCAGCTGCTCCAGCAACCTAATGGCACCTGATAGACAGAATGAATAGTGTCAGACCCTTGGGACCGTGGCGCTTTCCGATGAAACATAAAAAAGCATAGAAGTCAGACTGGTTCATGGGTGATGAATGAATCAAATTCAGGGGTCGCGGCTGTACACAGGATGGTTGGCTGACTCGGCCTGTTGGTTACACGGTACAAGCTGTTAGCCGGGCGATGGATGATGATGACTTCCCAGTCTCGTCAGATCACGTCGTCGCCCGCATGGGGTCACTAATGACAGCTTCACGTAAGCACTCGCAACTCGCACCTGAAAACCCACATGTTAGGCAACGCCCAGCCTCGAGTAACCTTCCCCTTCCCGAAACCAGCCGATGCCAAACTGGAAGTGACGGCGCATCCTTCTTCGGGCGATAGTATATTGTATTTACTATGGAAAACAGTTAGGATATCTGCAGACCTAGCTGCGGAAGGAAGTTCTTTTCATTATTGGTGTAGCCTTCCGAGGCGTAAACAGGGCAAGCAGGCAACTGTTGGTAGCACAGGAGAAGATGCACTTTGAGAGGTAGAATCAGGATCAACAGTGCTCACAACGGTTGGTACCATACCGTTCTTTCCCACCCCTGCTGCCTTGTTCCCATCAGACGGGCAGCCTGAAATCCATCCACTCGGCAGGGGCGGGAAGATGCTCGGCTCCTCCTCTCGCGTGGCGTGGTCTCAAGGACCCCTGTCTTTTTCATGAGTACCCCTCAGACCGGTGAAATACAATTCAGCACGGGTGCAGCCCACTTCCTCAACTTCTCTCACCGAGTCTTCTCACTTCAGCCTCGACTCCTTCGACAGACCGACCGACCAGCACAGGCTACGCCAATCGCCAGTAACAGAATCTCTATCGGCACTCTCTCTGATCTTAGCCAGCCCGCGCGCGCAACGCTGTGCTCCACCGCAGGCGACATTGCACAAAGCAAGCAACGAGGACCCCAGAGGCTCCAAAATCTTGTCGAGCGGGCAAGACAGCGAGAGACACATAGGCTCAGACCACGGTCAGAATCACGTTGTGACAGCAGCGAAGAGCCAACAAGAAACCGACCAGAAACAGAAGCAGAAGCAGGCGCATCTAGAAAGCAGAGCGACAGACAGTCCAGTGTGCTCGCTTCCAAACCGGCACGCAACGCACTTGCCGCCTTTTCCTTTGGTTGTTTCCCCCCCCTTCGGCCGAGTGTGTCTGCTGTCGAACAGGGCCTGCCTCTGTCTTTCTGTGTCGCTCTTCACATTTGCCCATTCTAGCCCGACTCCCTACTGTTACCTCTCACTCCTCTTTCCCCTACACTGACCTGTTCTTCTCCGCCGCCTGTTTCTTGCCGAGTCATCAACCCTCCTCTCCTTTCCCCTACCTACCTGCCCTCTTTCAGTACTCCACTCGCGCACAAGGGGTGCCATTATGTGGCAATGGCTCTCGTGAGACCGTAGCTCCCCCACCCCCTCCCGGTGAGGCGCAATTTTCTACGCTCCCCTTGTGCTTGCTGTGCCTGCTCACTCCTGCCTGCCTACTGCTGCTGCTGCTACTGCTGCTGCTGCTTGTCTCTGTTGTATACATTATACATGCCACCGGTTGTGGTACTTGGTCTCGCTACTAGGCTCTGTCCAACACACCCTCTCTCATTGCATCAATCATGGTAAGAGATGTCCCTGCTTCCCGGCTGGCGGCAGCGTGCATGGGATATATCACCGATCTTCCCCATTGTCCTTCCAGCCCAGCTGCCGTCTCAGCACCCGCATCATTACACACACATCATTCCCTCATACCTTTTGGTTAGCCCTGACTTTTTCATCTTTGCTGATCACGCCCCTTCCCCCTTCTATCCTGTCACCCAAATGTGCGGTGAATTGATTTCGTCTTAGAATCATAATAATCTCAAGAGGCGCCGGCCTCCTGGCACCGAGAGCGACTCTTCCATAGTGCCAGCGCAACAGACTTCGCCGCTTCCATTACAACTCCCACTTGACTTCTACTACCTTCCCCCCGACCTACAACAACAGATTACCGAAGTCGCATCGGTATACCATCTCTCTGGCCCTCAGCTTCATCAAATAGCTTCTCAAGCTTATCACGAATCACAACTTGAACACATTAACAAAAGACACAGATCATTACAATACGACCCCATGTCGTCCCACTTCCCAGGCAGTTCCTTTCCACAGGACTCCTCAGAGAAAGCTCACCAGGCTGGACAGTATGGACAGCATCGCCTTACCAGTGTCGATGCGGGACCATCATCGGCTTTGCAAGGTTCCGGTATTGCTAACGGCCTGGCCGAACGGTTAGCAAACCTGGTTGTTTGCTGTCAGCACTGCTTTTATCCGGTTGCTGTTCCTGATGGTGTGTAATGTCTTGTCCCAATGACGTTAGTAACTCTGATACATAGTATTTGCCAGGCTATCAATTGATTCCTGAGTCAAACTCGTTTGGCTATGGAACAACTACCGGCTATGAGATTGAGAAGCGGCCCTCGGCAGATGTCGCCCAGCAGGATGTTTACGTGCCAACAACTATCTCGCCAAGCGGGGCCAATTCTTTCCCTACCGAAGAAAACGGATTGATGAGTACCTATGTGACCAGCTACCAACCTGTGCGAGAGAGTACTAGTCAAGGACTGGCGGCTCCACCCGGTGCGCCTGACAACTTGGTGTACACTCCTGACATCCCTGAGACACCCTACTACACCAACATCTCAACTTCTGCTGCTGAGGTATCTCATGGCTTATCCAATGTCACGAACCATGCAGTGCCCGCGAGTGACTTGGTACCAGCTCCCTACGACGGGAACATGATTGACATGGCCGTGCCTTCCACCCTGCAACACCAATCGCTGATACCCGTTACAACCTCGGGCTTCTCTATGACCACACCGTATACCATGGAGATAGGTGTCCAGAGTGAGGATTTGGGCCAGCCAGCAGCAAGCGCCAGACTCGACATTGTTTACCCTCACCAGCGGCCGCCGGCTTCCAAGCGGGGTCCCTTCAAGGACATCAAACAGCGACAGGAAACAGCTAACACCAGGAAACTGGGCTCATGTGTACGGTGCAAAATGCAAAGAATACGCGTAAGTATTCACTAAATCACACCAACGTGGGACGACTCCGAAAGTTGGCTGACGTTGCGGCCAGTGTGTACCGGACCCAGAGGACCCAACGGGTTGCTGTCTAACATGCAGCAAGCACAAACAACTACCTCGGCAGCCCTGTGTTCGTGCTAAGCTTACGGAAGTCAAGTGCATGAAGCCAGGGCAGGTACATGGTTTTGAATGGACACTGCGTTGGGGAGACAACGGCCCTGTAGACAACATTGCGAACTGGGCATCGTCTGAGGTAAAGACGATTGAAGTAACGGAGGGCTACACGCGCGGCATGTCAGTACAGCTTCATGTGCGGCAATTCGTCCCTCAGAGAGGAGACAAGCTGGAGCGATCTTGGGTTACTCTTGATGGTATCAAAAAGTCTGTGCCAATTCCCCCTTACGCCATTACGGATCTCGATGAAGCCCAGTCGGCCTACCAAGATTACATTAGGAGAGGCGTTGTCGAATGCTTTACCTCGGTTATCGAGGGCGTAATGGGCGCTCGAGACCATCTTCTTTATGCCACTTATCGCAAAGCCTGGGAGCTATCTCAAGATTTGAGGACGTCCGCAGAGGAGCGGGAACTCTTGCTTCACACTTTGGAGTTGTGGTTGGCCGTCCGTTTGACGACAAAGTCGGTAGAGATCGTAGGAAACGAGACGCTCGGCATGGATCACGGTATTCTGGACAGCAGTAGTCCACAGCACGGGAGTATACCTCTACCGCCAGTTATGGGTGCACAGCTGGACTTGGTTCTTATTCAGCATATACAGACAAAACTGCGACGGGAAATGCTGGAAAGACTACAGAAGATGACACAGCAAAACAAGCAGAAGACGTGGTTGACCACATACCTTGTCACATTCATATTGCTGCATAACATAGCACTTCTTACGAACCACGATGCCTCGTATGCCAGGAAACATGGGATGAAGGCAAGTAGGATGTAGTAGGCTGGGAGTTTTCGGTCATTTGTGGTCTTGGGTGTTGTACTTGAGCAAAATTTACTGACTCGTGACTGTTAAACAGACAAAGTTCGCTCGACAGCAAGAGGTGAAAGAGTACCACTGGGGTATGTATGAGCAACGGGATGGGGCAACATTTCATTACTGCCGCTACCTCAATTGTGTTTTGTTGAGTAAGACATGCTGACGAATGACGGATGGATAGGCGGTACGATTCTTCTGTCGTACTTCCACTACTGCAACAAGGGAAATTTGCCGTTTACCGAAGATTTCAAAGAACAAGATATGCGGCAGCTTGCCCAGTTGGACGAACAGGCGATGCAATTTATTCAATGGACGCGATCACAGGCCATGGCGCACAGTAAGTGACTGCTCTCTTTTTTCGTGAGGCACAGAGAAGGTTCCAATCTTGGTCTTCAGATCGCCCTCTGCATAGCGCTTCGTTGCTCCCTTCCGGACGAGAAGTGGCGTGGAGGGGGGAACCAACAATGTTGTTGAACTAGCGGCTGACATGACAAAACCAGGACACGAATGGGAGAAGCTACACCACGCCAACGAGTACGAGAAGCCATACTTTTTCGTTAGCCAGCTGTTCCAGCGTGACTGGAAGCCCCAAGAATGGGTATACTAAAGCGGGGGCGATTTCATGGCGTGAGTGGTGTGCTTTCCGGGGGCGTTTATTTGTCCCCATTTTTGGATCATTCTTGGAACCAGGGAGGGAGGTACTGCGGCGATAAGCTAAGGCGCAATATGGGCAGGCCAAAAGCGAAGTCGTTGGTTTTCAACGTCCGGCATGGATGTGGAGTTGTTTTTTCAGGTGTTTTTTTTTTCTTTTTTTCTCGTTCATGCCCTTGCCTGTTTCTCCTATTCTCATTCGACCGGGACGCTCAATTGGAGATTTGTCTATGTCTGTTTGGTTTGGCGAGCTACAAGGGAGAATGCGTCTTAGTGGCTCGTTGTTTTCGGGATACCATGGTTGTCAGGGAGAACGAATGAGCTGATGATGGGGATGATGACGATACTGAAAAAGTGGAGAACATGCTCCAGAGCGAGAATGTTGCTGTCTGCCTGAGTTCCCGTTCTTTCTATTGCGTTATCGTGCGTCTTAGGTAGTACGTGTACAATTTGTTGTGGAGAGACGAAATCATAGTGCCCGTTCACAAGCACCTTTTGATCGCAGATGCGAGAGGCAGATCCACAATGGAACTCGATCCGGATGCCGATGGAGCTAGTTACTGGTGCTGAAGCTGGAGATGGGGATGTAAATGGAGTGTAAAATGCATCCGACCAGGTTCATGATCAACAGTCATTCTTTCTGGTCCAATCTCGGTTCAGAAACTATCCTTCCCTTTGATTTTTCTTGATGGATGATGTCTCGGGGTGGCTTGTTGATCAGCAATACGTGCGCCGTTGACAGGGTCCTGCAGGCGTGCTGCAGTCGGGCGTTCCGTGGAAGGTGTGGAGTCGAATGTTATTTGGCAGGAGTCCTTCACCGGCCGTGACAGTCTCCACTTTTCTATCAGATTTCATCTGCATTTCTGGTTCGCGGGCCGAGCCAGTGCTGTCAAAAAGTTAAATCCCAGACAAGACACCTTAGACACACAGATAAACAGGCCAAAAAAAAAAAGTACAGATGAACATCGGAATGTTTCTCTCTGGGGATCGAGGAGGTCAGCAGAAGACTAGGGAGGGGAGGAAGACGGGGATGGAGATGGTGGTAGGAGATTACGAACGAATGCCGTTCAGCAAGCATGCATATCGAGGTGGGTATGGAAATGAGGGAGTACATGCCGGTCTAGACTTTCTGTTGGTTCGAAATTCACGATCTCTTGACCCAAGCGATGTTTGTGGCAAGATTGAGCATGAATATTAAACGGAGGGGCAGCAAAAGGAAGCATAACAGTGAAGAAGAAAGAATGGTGGTCCTTGCCGCACGCTTCGCATTCCTACCTTGCCCACCCTTTCTTCGGAACTCTGGGATGGGAGAAATTGTCCTTGGCACATGTACGATCTAGCAAGCGGTACGGATAGTGGCCCGGAGAACTACACAAACTTAGCCTGCACCTGCATTAAGTTGCAAGGTTTGTTCTGAACGGAGATAGTATCCAAGTGGGAGATGTGGTGGGCGGGGGGATGAGGTGTAGTCGAAAGTGGATACTCCGGAACTTAGGAAGTACGTATCGGTACCCCACCGGGTCCCTCCCACTGGAAGTCACCAGACACACCTTTTGACTTGCCAATAAGGCTACGCCCAGGAACAGCTTGCAGCAAGCCCCAACCATCGGTGTCAAGGATTGCGGCTTCCACACCCTGCTCTCCTACTGTTCGGCTTCTTGCCTACTTTCGTGTGGGTGGGAAATGCAAGGTAGGATCAAGAGAGCAGAAAAACATGCCCTTCTCTGTATATCACCCAAGTCTGACGAGGGGTTGAGAAGTTCTCCATTTCCCTTTTTCACCGACTCCCTCGTTGTTCACTATTACCTCATCTCCGCCCTTTTTTTTTTTTTTTTTCCTTCCTTTTCTCAAATCCCTTTCTTGCTTTTTCTTCATTCTATTCTCGATTCCTGTATGTCTCCAGTTACGTGCGTCTGTGGGACATAACGCCCCTATCCACAGTTGCATATGAAAAGTGCCCGCGATTTCGGTACGTACCTTGTGCTCGATGTGCATTTAGCAGGTACACGTCTTCATGGTATTCTTCATTGCTTTTCTTGCCGGGACATCAGTTACGTTACCCATGCCGCCTACTCCACGTTTAGACATGGATACCTTGGACACACTCACACGAACGCGATACTATCTGCGATGGGCGTCCCAGCCAGCCAGCTAGCCACCAGCGTCTTCCAGCGTGCAACCCAAGACGCTCTGCTTTTCATTCTTCATTTTCCCCCTCCCGTAGCATTTCCACACACATCGTTTTATGCTCCATCTCGCTATCATCCATGGCTTACCAGTCATACACCATGAGGGACATCCTCATACGATTCACCCCCGTTCTGTCTGATGGGCGACTTGTTAGGCAGTCCCCGATGATCGGACAGGGTTGGGTAAGTGTGGTGACCAGCAGCAAGCGATTTTGGGAAGCGACAGGATACAGCTAATCTGAGCTTGGGGTAGCCATCCTCTGAAGTCCGATGGAGGTTGGTCGTTCATTCTGCGACTTACCCGGCTTTAGCCTAGGGACACAGAAGAATAGTCACAATATGGTACAACCCTTACAATCAGCAACATAGATCGGATCGGCTGTCATTTGCGATAATCTCCCTCCCGGGGCGCACAAGACTCTGCATCGCCCGATTTTACAGAGTGCGGAGCCAGGTGATGCCAATCACACCGCTCGAGCGTGGCTGAAGTTTCCGACTCACAATCGTCCCGACGTCGTCCCGATACTTGAGCTTCTCAAGAGTGAGTACGTTACACAGCTTTCCATAAATTTTCCAGGGCTTGTCAGCTCCAGGAACGTCACGCCTGAGTGTTTCCCCCCCTTCCTCAGTTTTCCGGAAATCCCATTTGTGTTCCCCGTCTCCTCTCATAAGTCTCCGTCGATCGCGCTGGCACATGAGGCGCTAGCCACAAAACGTGGTTCTCTCAGCGCGAAGTCATCATACAAGTTGCTGAATGCACGCCCTGTATCTTCTACACCCTGCCATTTCTACTGCTAGGGAGGAGAATTGGTGCTCCATGTTCCTGATGTCGACCTCTCGCTACAATCCCCGTTGCATTCCTCCTCTTATCCACCAGTACCTGGCCTTCCAGCTGCATGGAAGCGTCAGTCTGTCTATCTACAGAGTACATGGCAAGGAACCAGTCACCACATGTCTTCGATCTCCGTCAAGATCCCAACGTGGAATGGAAATGCGACATCCGTGCCACCACGAGGTGCCCCAACAGCGTAAGTCCACTTCTGTTTCTGTTTCTCGTGTGCATTGGGCCGTTTCCGTGGTTGGTTGCTGTTCTGAGCGCAAGCCAGCTAGCCGTCTGTACGTGCGTACGTGCATGGCACATACACGCACCATATACAAACATACACATGAGCGTACACATCAATGATTCTCTTGACAACAAGCCTAAGATTGCTATGGTTTTTATTTTTATTTTTACTTTTATTTTTCAATCCAAGGAAGACCTTCTGTATTTCAATTTCTCTTGCTTGCTTGCTTTTACGACTTTTATTTATTTGTATCCCTGGCAATGCGCTCAAACTAGTCGTTTCCTTCGTGCTGTAATGGAGCTTCTTAAAAAAAAGAACTGGGCCCTTGCTCTGGATAATTGCAGGTACTCACCCCTCCTCTGCCACTGTTCTTTGCGTCTCGTACTCCCATCCCCCTCTCGATCTTTTATTCCCCCTCCTTCCTTGTGGGCTCCGCCATTTCACATGAACCAACACCAATTGCTTAATCAACTCTTACGTGCAGTTTCTCATGTCCACACCCATGTCTCGAGCTAAGGGCATGCCTGCTCGGAGAATGAGCAAAGTATGGTAGGACCAGGAGGTAAGGGCTGGCTGAAGCACAGCAATCGTTTGTTTAATGGGTGTGCGCGTACCTATCCTACTCTTTTTTTTATTCTTTTTTTTTCCTATCCCCATGCTGGATTCAGGTAGTTCATCGTAATCACGGCTCGGCCTAGCCCGGCCAGCCCAAAACACCCTTTCCTCTTGTTTCGTTTCTTCTTCTTCGCCGGGTACCTGCGAGGTTGCTGTGCGCTTCCATATCATGCCGTTGCACACTTGGCCGTATGGCTGGCTACCTCAGGGAAGCGGCACTTCACCGGTTCGGTAGCGTGCTTGCTGTACCTTGCTTTGCCTCCCATACCATCCATACCTACCTATCTGGTATATGCGAAATACCCATCTTTTCTTTCCCTCCGATTTGGAAGATCCATGACAGTGCTTGCAGCAAATGTAAGGTAGAAGGTGTGTGCCGCCCTTCCTTGCTGCATCTCTTCTTGCCTCGCTTTGCTTCGTTTTGCATCTCGTTCTTGCATAGTGCCTGCCTTGCATCCCGTCCCTACCTTACTTTCCTTACCCTATTCTTTATTTTTATTCTGGATACCTTACCTGAGGTAGCTTCGACTCCATCTCCCTTCCGTTCTTTGGTCCTCTGACCTCACGGCCGTTTCTTCTCCCGCCTTGACTTAAAATGTCTTGACGGACAACCTCGCATCGCATCACATCGCCTCATCTCCCCCCAGCCCTCCCAACGGCCCGGCTCACTACACATAGCCCTTGCCGCTCTCCCGCGAGATTTCCTGCTTCCGGGCGTGCGCATTTGAGGTAGCCATCTACAGTATCCTGACGACACTGTCAACTACGGTACCCATACCTCGCCTTCTGTTTCCTTCCTTACATCTAGTTCGTCGCCATCGAACCCCTACACGCGGGCAGGCGCATTCCCGGAACCGCTTTCCCAGGGTCCCATACATCACGCTGCTTCTTGCCGTGTTATCTTGCTGTCCTTCGCCTGTCCTTCTTCGCCTGCCTATATTGCCTGCCGCCTTGTTCGAGAATTCTTTCCACACCGACTGGGACTGCAACTGCATCCTGAAGGGGCCCACGAGAAGGTATATTAGGTGTCTGCCAGATCATGACAACTCCTCCTAATCATCTTTCTCTCAACAATTTCCTCTCCCGCCAACGTCGCCATTTTAACCCTCGTCCCTCTCTACTCTTTTCCTTTGGACTAGTATACAAGACTGTCCTCATCATTCAGGCCTGGCCGTTTCCACGCAGGAGCCACCTCTACACGTATTCTCTCTCACGATCGTGAGACTGTTCGGTCGTCGCGTAGTTCTCTCTCAGTCTTGCTCCAAGCCATTCCCTGATTCAGTTTCTATTCACGCTCTCATTTCCTCGTTCTACGCCCCAAGACTCATCACAGCCAGCAATATAAAACAGAGACCTACAGGTTTGTTGACCCTTGCTGCGAGTTAATCATTGCGGCACCTTGTCCGCTTCTAACACGTCGGTTTTCAGTTCTCACATCAGCAAGATGGCGTCCACTGCTGTTGGCCCGGTCATGGGTGCTGCCGTACCACCCGCTGCTCGCCACATTTATCAGATCGACTGCAACGCTCCAGTCGCGGGCATGCCTGATCTCCCCACTGGCTTTCCCGAGACACTGGGCCTCGAATCAGCCTGGACTGGCCCGCAATTCACTCAAGAGTTGCAGTACACATACTACCTCACCAACTCAGATCTTGATGAGCTCATGGCTGCATTGAAACACTTCAAAGGTATTTTGAAATTAGCTCATTCGATAAGTCTAGTCGCTAACTGTTCCTCCAAAGCTTTGGGACTTGACGGCGATCTGGTTGACCAGGAAAACTTCCCTCTTCCTACCCTAGGGGCTACCCTTGGCCGTCTTGCTGGTGACATCCATCATGGCAAGGGTTTTGCTGTAGTCCGCGGCATTGACCCGCAGAAACACTCCATCGAGGATCTCACGGTATTATATCTTGGCATCCAGGGGTATGTTGCCAACCAGCGCGGCCGCCAGGACAAGAAGGGAAACATGCTTGGTACGTCGGGTAACCGCCCGTGCTCTGCAAATCACTAAACTCTTTCCCAGTTCACATTGTTGCCGACAACACTACCCAAGCCAAGGCAGATCACCACCGCCATTCTACATCATCCATTGTAAGAAATTTTGCTCGTGTCGTCGACAAGTCACTAACCAAACACTCAGACCTTTCACAACGAAGAGTCAGGCGACATTGTGAGTTGGCTGACCAGAGCCACTGCTGCAACTGGGGGCAAGTGTATTATTGCCTCTGCCCACACCGTCTACAATATCCTTGCCGCCACTCGACCGGATATTATCCGAACATTAGCCCGTTCAGATTGGCCTTTTGCCCTGTATGTTCACTCCCCCAATGTCATTGTGGCATCTGCTGTCAGTCACATAGATTTAGGTTTGCATGCTGACTTATTCATAGCCCCAAGTTCCAGTGCCGTCCAGTCCTGTTTCACCACGATGGCAAAATCATCATCAATTTCGGTCGCACTCCCCTGATGGGCAATGCTACCCACCCCCGACCTGACCATCTCCCTTCCCTCACCCCTCGGCAGATCGAGGCCCTCGACGCAGTTGAGACCATCGCCAAGGCCACACAGCTTGAGATTCAGACTCAACCAGGTGATATTCATTTCATCAACAACTTGGCCATCCTCCATCGTCGCGAGGGCTTTGTCAATGGGCAAGGTCCTAGCGAAAAGCGTCATCTTGTACGAATGCGAGTACGTAACACGGAGCTAGGCTGGTCCATTCCCAATGAGCTTCAGCGCGAGTGGTTCAACGCCTTCGAGAAACCCGCCGACCGTGTTTGGCATCTGGAGCCCATGCCTGATGCTTTTTTCCCTCTGAGGAAGTATCCCAACTAGTTCTGCTCTTTCGATTATCAACTTTTGCGCAGGGTCACTCGAATGAACATGGTCGAAAATTGGTGAAGGGGCGTCACGGTTGCATTTCTTGGACTTGCATTTCTTGGACTTGCATTGATTATCCCTGGGGACTCGGACTCACTCTGGCGTGGAGCGACAAATGCATCTTCTCTTCTTTGCTTTTTCCCTCACCGTATATTATTACCCTCGCCAACCCCCCAAAAGTTTATTCTCCTTACTTGTCTTTCATGGTCAGATGCGCACGGAGTCAGATGGAGTTCGCGCAGTAGAACCCGGCAAGAAAAAAGCATGGGTACATGGATGGGATGTAAAACTAGGAGTTTGTCTGTAATAGAAATTAATTACCCATTCACCGTCTTTCCCAACCATTGAGGCTCATGGTGAGAAAAGCGCAGATCATTGACCCTTTGCAGAGCCATGAGCGAGACAAATCGGCGCGGTTCCCTGCCTGCCAATTATGTGGCTGCATATGGAGGCGGTCACAGATCACACGACCGTGGTGCTGGAACTCTGCAAGCATGCAGCACCGGTCAGAGACCGGAATCAATGATTGGACGGTTCAGGACACCGGTGTGCGGTTGCCAATGCCGCGAGAGTGGACGTCAAGCCATTGCTTCAGCTAGCCATCTGTGACCGCCTCAGAAAGTCTCAATAACGGCCTTAACAACCTCTTCGTACCGAAGAACGGGAACCTACAGAATGGCCAGACTTAGTGAGAATATCGAATCGCTAATGTGCCATTTTGCAACTTTGAGTCGGTGATTCTCCCAAAAATTTCGTCCTGGAGAGCGTAACCAGAAGTTCTCCCCTTCCCATATTTGTTGCACGTGTAACAAGGGAAAACTCTGTACTGTATGAACGGATAGATGTTTGGGTTGTTGCAATTCGAGCTCTTGTGCTTTCTTCTTGGTTGGCCTTGAATGTACGAATACGTGTATGTGGCGCTTAGGTGCAATGCCAAACATCCTTGCATTCGAAAGGCCAGTTGGGTATGCAGAAAAGCAAACACTCGGCTTGAACAAGCATTCATGCCCAAGATTCCAACGTAAATGGGGGCAAATGTCCATCGGATAACATGTGCATTCCGGTCTGCAAAAGATTGACCGGTCGACGGCTGACCGACATGTTGGGCATGGCAGGCCGCAGATATCGGGGCCAGGGCGTGAGCTCAACCTTCTTCTTCTTCTTCTTCTTTTTCCCTCCTCCTTCAGCCAATGGAGGTAGGCAGTAGTAGCGGTTTCAACATCTGGTTCAAGTTATGCACGGCATTGAGATGATGACGACTTCGCCAGGTCGGCCATTAACATGAAGGCAAACATGTGGCTGCAGACTTGACGGGACAGTGACTGGTGTCTGACGTCTGCACCATGGCCAGACAGGTGGTGTCACTGATGCCGAAGAGAATGCATGTTTTCATCAGGTGCATGAGATTGCCGGATCGCTGGCTACAGTCGTCAAACTCCCCGGCATCCAGGGTCAGTGACGGGATCGAGGGGTCTACCGGAACAAAAAGGTACGTTGTTTCTGTACAAGGGAGAGGGCGACGGTGTGTGCATGGAAAAAAAAAAAAAAAAAGAAGACATTGAAGGGTAGTCTTGTGGGAACTTTTGCTATCTTGAGATCGCATCGACTCAGTATTGAGACCCCTACGCCGGGGTATTTTTCTTTTCAAATGTCTTCAATGTTGAAGGGTCTGGGGCTGGGTCATGACGATGATTGCCCTTGACGAACACCTTCCCATCATGGTTCAAGCAAGGGTTAAACCGCGGCCTGTTGGTATGCCGGCCATTGAGGGGGAATCAGGGTTCAACTAAGGAGGAGTTTCTTTTTTGGGCTTGCACATGGAGCTCCTTCACAAGAGGGTTGAAAAGACTCTGGTCCGACGTCGGCAGTGCGGGTAGGAGAGTCTGCGTTGGTCTCGGTTGCAACACGGTCCCCATCCAGCTCTTCTTTGAAAAGTTTGTGTTGCTTCTCCCCAATTTTGGATTACGAATCGTTGCTTTTTCCCCCATCAAAGACATGCTGTACATCGCCGGGGAGTTGTGATCGGTTCTTAGCGTGGGAGATCGATCGAGAGACGAATGAGCTGGGGGCGTCATTGTAAATGAGACAGTTGTACGGGAGGTGGACTTGCACATTGGGCCCTGTTCTGCTTTCCTACCTTGTCCTTTCTTATTACCTTGCGCGCGCTAAGCAGCATCTTGCAAGGAAAGAAAGAAAAAAAAAAAAGGATGAGAAAAAGCAAAGCTGATGGGTCACCAGAAAATGATTAGACAGGAAGTGGGAGGAGTTCTAGGAAATAAGCGACACGGTGACCTAATCAACGCCGTTTGCTGCATGCGGCCAAGATGAAGATGGAGTCATGCGCGGGCTCATCCGTATTGAACAACAACCGATTCGGGGTCCATGTCAAATATGTGCAGTACGTTGTATCGAGCCCCATGGCAATGTAGGTAGGGCAGGGGTTTGGTGGAATGGTGATTATTTCGTGGGAGTGTTCGCTTCGCTAAAAAGAGCTGGGGTCAGAGCTGGAGGGGGAGCTAGAAAGGAGCTGAGTCCCTGGTGGCTGATTACGGAACAGTAGCTGCACGGCAAACCTGTCCTCATTAGGACGTGGTTGGATGAAGCAGAAGATATGCAGGTGGGTGAAAAAGAAAGTTGTCGTCAGGATGACAGAAACGCGGTGTCGTTCGATGAGCTCCGGTGACAGCGGGATATGGCCTTGGAAGCCAGCTGGTTGAAAATAGACCCCACGGTTATGCCAGCCCCCGACCGCATGTAGTCCACTACTATTCCCAAGCATCACGTGTTTCCAAAGAAATCCTCCAAGTCAGTGCTTGGGCCCGGGGCAATTCCCAGCGATCCCATTGGTCAAAGCAAATGTTCTGCGGACCGGATCCATCGCCCCGATTGAGCCAAGACTAGCCAGGTAGTGGAGTCGTCATCGAATAGGATTGCCGTATCCAACGACAGGTGCCCCCTAACTCAGAGCCTCCCTACCCTGAGCATATCTAGCCCCCTCAAACGACGCCTCTATCACCATTGCCATCACACCGTCGTATCTGGACTCTGTGGCGCGTGTCATCCGCAAGGCACCAGGCGATTAAACCTTGTACGGTTCGCTTTGTTATTTTCCTCCCAACCCGTTGCTTCCTCCCGCTCTGTTCGGCTTCCCCCCCTTTCTCCCCCACTAGGGCGGCCAATTGGGTCTCGCGGAACATTGATCCCGATAAGCAGGGGAGACGCCCCCTTTCTCTGCATCCGTGCCGATACTGGCGACCTTTTCATGACAATATTGCTGCTACTGCGTTGACCGCTTCTGTATGCATTGTTCGGATATACCCTTCCTTGCTTTTTGACAGATCGATAGAAGAAACGCTGCGCACTCAGACGTGAAACGTAGTCCGTCTGATCGTTTGCTCCCTTTCCCGGCCTGCATCCGCACCCGCACCTGCAACCGCCACCCCTCCACCTCTCCCTCAAGTGTTTCTGTCACCGGGCTCATCTGGCTGGCTGCTGATCGCCGGTTCTTGCGCGTGTTGTGGAGTTCCGTCGCATACCGACTGATCGACCGAGTCGACCAACAGACCCGGCGTCCGACCTAGTGCGAATTCGCGTGCATCAATATTCCGTCAACTACGCCAAGCCACAGCGGGAGGAATATTGTGCTCTCATTATCAAGCTGCTGACCAGTTCTTGTTTCATTCACCTCTTGGAAAATGGCACCTCGTCAGGCCGGGTACCTCCGGGTCCCGGGACAAGAAGAGGACTCGCCTTACGGAGACCACCACCAGCAACGGCCCCGCCGGAGTCGTTCCGGATCGTCGGGGCGGAGGAAGAAGCCCCTCCCAAGCGAAAAGCCACTCCCTGCCCTCCCGCCGGTCACTCCCACTGACGCAACCTTCCCCATTGATTTGAGTGATGACGATCACCACGTCTCACCCAACGAGCGGAGCTATCGCCGCGCGACGGTTGCTATCGGCCTTGCCATCCTTCTCACCCTCCTAGGCTTCGTCATCGCGTTCGTAGTATTGGGATTCGCGTGGGATGTCGGCGGTGTAAGAAAGGGCCCGTCAGGAATTTGGAAGAACCTGAGCGATGATGAGTGCCCTTGTCGACCAGACGATGATGTGCCGCAGTACTTCAGGACGAGCCCCGAACTGTGGGCTGGCCCGACGGCGACGGGTAAACCTGCATTCATGGCACAAACGAGGGTCTTGCCAACAGGGAGTTACGTGCCGAATGCTCCGCTGCAGACAGACGTGCCAATTAAGGGGATGTCAGGTGCCAATGAGAGTATCTTCAACATGATGGGGTGAGTTTTGGATATAATCTCGGAGATGGATGTGCACTGACGAGGAGTAGATACCTTACGCCGTATCAGCCCAGTCCTGGGTTTGGTGTTGAGGAGTATGCTCTCCCGGAGGGTGCGGATATTGTTCAGGTTCAGGTATGGGCTTCCGTTCGCACATTCAGGCCATTATGAGAAATGGCCGAGTTCAAGCTGTTTGGAGAATTGACAGCCGCTAGATGCTCTCCCGTCACGGGTCAAGGTATCCGACATTAGGCTCCAACGTCTTCGATTTTGGACAGAGGATCGCCAAGGCTCAAGACAAGCTCAAAGTCAAGGGCGCTCTGGGTTTCTTGAAGAACTGGAAGTATCAACTTGGACATGAAATTCTCGTACCCAAGGGTGAGGAGCGTTGTATGCTAATGTTTTTTTGAGTGACTTTGCTAACTCTCGAACATAGGTCGTCAGGAACTCTTTGACTCGGGTATCTTGCATTCGTACATGTACTCTTCTCTTTACAACCCGAATAGCAAGATCATCGTGCGAACTACAGTAGGATGCGACCCCTTTTTGGAACGCACTGTATTTGATGACTGATACGCTCGTAGACACAAGACAGAATGCTGAAATCAGCTGAGTATTGGCTTGCCGGCTTCTTCGGTCTTGAATGGTAAGTTCAATTGCATCATATAGTACATGGCCCGTGGCTTATCCTTAGCAGGACGAAAAACGCAACCATTGAGGTTATCATCGAGCAGGACAGGGCCAACAACTCGCTCGCCGGCTACCTTAACTGTCCCAACGCTCGTAAGCAAAATGGAGGCAATGAGGCCGCCAAGATCTGGGCCTCGAACTATCTGGCCAATGCTACGGCTCGCCTGAAGGACCTGGTGGAAGGCTACGAGTGGACTGTTGATGACTCCTACGCCGCCCAGACGATGTGCCCCTATGAGACGGTACGACGACTTTTTATGGTCTGAGGGACGATTAAGCTAACTTCTATAAGGTTGCCTATGGATATAGCCGCTTCTGCGATCTCTTCACCTACGACGAGTGGGTCGGATTCTCGTATTCTGTCGACCTTGCCTTTGCTGGCAACAACGCCTTTCAGAACCCCACAGGAGTAAGTCATGTGTCATGAAAGCGTTCTTCGCAGACTCCAAACTGACCAATTTCAGCGTGCGGTGGGCATTGGATGGCAGCAAGAAGTCATTGCCCGCCTCCAGAACCACACCCTCGGCTACTCCGGCTCTCAGATCAACGTCACTCTGGACAACAACACCGAAACATTTCCCCTAAACCAGAGTCTGTACTTCGACTTCTCCCACGACACAAATATCGCTTCCATTCTCACGGCCTTTGGCTTCAAGCAGTTCGCACAGCTATTACAACCCACAGAGTACCCCGGCCCGCACAACTTCACGGTGTCGCATATTACTCCGTTTGGCGCGCGTCTCGATATCGAGATTATCAAGACGCCGAAGCCGTTCAAGGCTGACCGGTCTGGGTACGAGGATAAGGGAGGGGAGACGAAGTACATCCACTTCGTACTAAACCAGAGGACACTTCCACTTGGCTGGAGCTTTCCGGAGTGTGATGCCGAGAGGAAGGACGGCTGGTGTGAGTTAGATACTTTCTTAAAGGTGCAGGAGGAGATGCCGAAGCTTGCGGACTACGAGAGGGCTTGCCATGGAGATATCGAGACAGTGCCGTATGGAGTTGTGTATGATGGCAGGCCGATGTAAGGGAAAGTAAGTGTAAGGTTTAAGTGTATGTTTGTGTGTATATATTGGGAGGATTGCCGTGTGAAGATACAGTGTTCTTATTTGGAGTCGTTTGGGCGCTTAATTTAGGTTTCTTTAGTCACTTTCTTCCCATCAGCTACCGAAAGTAAAGTGCTTGGTCAACAGGTTTAAGAAAAGTATAATAAACAACTTCGAACTTGTGTCCTCAGCGAAACATACCTCTCTGCCCTTGACTCTCTTGTGGCCAAAAATTGTGATCCCAGCCAGTAGAGCGCACCATGATGGCAAAAAACATACAACACCAGGTATTCGCTGGTCGTCACCGACCCAACTACTAATCCGGCCCTCATTGGCTTATCTATGGGAGAGCGGACGGGATCTCGAGTTTTCCAATGGGTATGGTCGTATGTGACAGATCCTTAAGATGAGATAGACTATGAAGTTTCCAGTCTGGGTATCTGGTATTGCTGAGTATGCTTTCCCCAGTGTCTCAACAAACCGATGTTATGTACAAGGAATTCCATGTTAAATTCAAGGGCAAATAACATTATTTATTGTTTTTGATTGTCTCTGAATGGCCCTCGACCTTTCAAATCGTCATTTAATATCTATTAGATACATGAGAGAATGTCTGTGACCAGTTTTATTGCGAATCTCAACACCCAGCTTAGGTGTCTTGACTCCTGAGCAGGATATTACCAATCCATCTCCTGAGAAAGAGCCTCTGGAGGCAAGCGAGAATTTTTCGGGGCACTTGAAGTTTGCGAGTTCAGTCCTGGCTGTTATTTATCTCTCTGATGTCTCGTCATTGTGTATCTTCGATACCCTGTCTCCGTTCATTCGAACACTCTTCACGAATTCTACAATAATCTGCGTTTTCTGTCCCACTGGCATAGACTATTTGAGCTATAAACATCACATTACTTGAGATGATTGTATGGCTAAAGCGGCGTGCTAAGGCCTCCAACCGGGGTTAATCAAAGCTACACGCATATAGATACACAAGGATGCAACACAAATGATATCATATCTCAAACCCTTCATCTAGTTGCCTGCGTTCGCCGTCAATCGGTTATACATTTGCAACAACGGCAGCAAAACGAATGAGGCGACTTTCAGAAGAGTTCCCATCCAGCCGTCGAAATCAATGTTCTGCCCACAGTCAGCATCGGCAGTCATCTGTAGGTTGCAGCACAGAAGTAACAGTTACATATAGATACAGCCACACATTTACTTACCGGATAACTGCTGCCTCCACTTTTTCGAACCCAGTTGAAGGCTCGAGGAATCATAGCTGCCTCATATTCCGCACAAGCTGTTATAATGGCTTGGTTAGGTGGAGGCCTTGACGTCTTTTTGGACAGTGAATGGAGGTTTAACAGCTGAGGAAGAAGATCCGCGCAGTCGGACAAAGACTGATTGCCGCCTTGACCGCTGCAAAGAGAAGAGTTAACAAAAGATGGACGCTTTCTGAGGCCCGCAGACTACGGAATTGAAGAACAGCGTCGGAGTGACGTCTGTTCGAGTGTAGCCATCGGTTATTGAGCCTAATGTGTGCCATAGAATTGGCTTGGTTTGACGTACCGATTGGGTTGCATTGCGTGGATTGCGTCTCCGGCAAGCCAAACTCGTGGGTGTCCTTCACCAGCGACTGCTCCCTTCTGAACTTTCTCGCGCCACTTCAAGCTTGGCTCAGTGCTAGCTGTGATCATAGTAACATGCATATCCGATGCTCCCTCGTCGCCTTTGCCAACGCTGAGCATCTGATGACTACAGCAATGAGCGGACTGTCAGCCAGCTCGAGTTCGTTTAGAATCAAGACTTTGCTTACTACTCAGGAGCCCAATCTTTGATAACATCTAGACAGAATTGTCTGCGATCCTTGACGTTCTCGATTTTATTGTCTGGAATCATTTCCACGGGAACGTTCAGTCCCCAGTAGTATGATGCTGCAGATTCGTCGTAAGAAATGACGCTCTTAGTGTCGTTGAAAGATCTTGAGCCACTAAAATCCTCTGGAAGGTATACTTTGAAGCAGTCAGCGTATGCTCAGCCAAGTCCTCGAAACTGTCAACCTACGAGCATAGTACAATGATACTCTCTTCGAAAGCACGATAATTGGTCCCTTTCGCAAATGTTCAGGCAGTTCAAGCACACGAGTGTACGGCAATTTGCCCTTTACCAGAAATCCCCAGTGCGACTTGAGAGTTACCAAGTTATTTAATCCGATTTGTCGATTGATCTAGTTGCCGAGTTTAGTCAATGGTTTTACTGAAACAGAATGTTACGTACCTTTGAGCGACTGCCATCGGTACCAATGAGTACGTCGCAGGTATCAGACGACCCATCTCGAAAATTGACCTTGACCTTTTCCGAGCCGTCTTTGTCGTGAATGATTTCGTAGCTCGAGAACTCCTTCTGGTATCGAACTCGTTTGCTGGCTTTGATCGGTTCCATTAGAAGGTCTCGCAGAACTACTCGGTTAATGGCCGAAGATTTGCTGTAGGAAGGTACTTTCGAAAAGTCGACCAGCTGCTCAAACCTTGACGTAAAAATTGATGGCGCAGTCTGAGCTGAGTTGGCCGACTTTCCAAGCTTGCGTAAGATGGCTTCTGTGTGCGATTGTGTGAGACAAGCTGAAAATCCTCTCATTGCCCCATCTCCCAGCCTGATCTGATACCCTTCGTACTTGGAGTCCTCAGAGTCACGTTCATACAGAACGAAGTCTACCCCGTTTTTCAAAAGACCGTTCCCAAGAAGGGGGCCTGATAGACCACCACCAATGATGATGACTCGGAAATTAGACATGATGATAAAATGTACGTGAAAAACCGTTTGCTGAGGCGCCTCAAGACTCCAAGTCGGTGTATATCCTTTGCTCACTGGAAGAAGTCCTAAGTGCCGTTATATAGACCGTACCATAAACAGCTGCGCCTCACTAATGAATCGTGTTATGGTTGATATGTAAGTCTGAGTGCCTGAGGACAAACCAGAGGCACCTCAGAAGTCTCTCGGCCATCGCATTATGTTTGCTCGCCGTTCCCCTTTTCCTCGTCAACAGTCGGAACAATCGGCGTTGTGGGGTTGCCGGCGGGGTTGCCGTGGGGTTGCCGTTGCCAAGCCAAAAAGACGGACACGCAAACCTTGGTGTTTCATAATGCCCGCCCATCTTAGTACGAATACGTCATATGGATGGATTAAAATGGCTAGCTAGCTTTCGTTGTGTCTGTTCCTGTTTCTTTGGTCTCGGCTTTACATAGTAGACCGACGCGCAGGCTTTCAACATCAGAAACTGTGCATGCGGGACATAGTTATCTGTATCAAGCACACCTTGGCTATCATTACCACTAGAATAGAGCTCGTTGGAAGTCGTAAACAGCCTGTAACAATGATGCGTGACTTTCACGTTGTAGCCTTACAAAAGGAGAAACTGATTCTTGTTAAGGTTTATCGTTATACATGCAATATTGAGAGTGGGCTCCTGTTATATCCTTACTTGTTCCAAGGATTTTGTTTGTGATTTGTTGTCAAAATTGGATTAGCTTCACAGGTAGAGTTAAGGGCGTACCTAGGGGGTTGAACTGGCTGTTGCCAAATTCGTCCTTCTACCAAATCTCTTTAGCCTTGATTTTGTAGTTCCATATTTCGACTTTACTTCTGCGGCATTTTAGTGCTAACATGCCCTGACATAGCTTCTGTATTCCTAGATTGCACTCTTAGATTCGATTCTACGCAAAGCCTTGCTTTTCTGTAGTACATTTGGAGTGAATAATATCAACCACATATGGGCAATCTTGACCGTACTCTACTAAGTATTGAAATGAGTGTCCTGTTGATTCAATGGTTGTATACACCGATTCACTATCCTTTTTAGATGGCTAGAATGGCTGTTCACTGGCGTCTCCTAAAGTGTCCTACAAAAACTCGAACTCAAAACAGCTACATATCTAGGATGACAAGTTTCCCTGGCTCCAAATGCAGAACTTTTGAATTTGTTTCTTTTTCAATTGTTTCGCTGGCAGCAGTTGTATCCACATGATATGGGATGATGCAGCTAGAATATGGATCAGCTTATTTATTTAAGACTTCGTGTTTGGTGGTGGATATCTCTGACCTTTCATCTTGCAAGCACCATATTACCTGGCTTGGCTGCCCCAGCCATTGTATCTGTTGCGCAGCGAATTCTGCTGCCGACCCAACGAATGGTCTGCCGTTGAGATTGGCTCGCCCAGCTATGCCGAGGATCGCTACTCGGGGTTTAGGTTCGATGCTTTTTAGGATTCCCTCATAACCACCCAAATGTGAACTCCAAAGCAGAGCGTTGCCGTCGATAATGATGTTAAACATGAGTTGACCTCCATCGCAGTGAGAAAAGATGTGCCTCTCACGGTCGCCAACGTAAGTGCAGAACGATCTCATACCATCAGTCATGCGTTCTGGTGGAATTACATCACCCATTTTGAGCAAGTAATGCTTCATGCCCAAAGTGATATCCAGTGTGCTGCTATAAGGATTCTCGTCCCTATATGGAACTCCAGTGTCCATGACTTCTGGTGTCGGGTGCGGCATAAAGCAGTGTAGAGAAGGCCACACATGGACTGACAATGCTGCAAGAGAGTGATGGGGATAAGGAGGTCGACCGGGTGGAAATTCAGCCAAAGGTACCTCATGACGCTGTGCTTGAAGCCGAACTTCTTTTGTAAACAATGGGAGACGTTCTCCTCCTTGGACCGGAAATAATTGCTCCTCGGGAACACCAGCTTTCCTCAGGCAGTTGATCGCCTCACAGTTCGCTACTACAATTGCCCCCGTTTTGATTGCAATACGATCAGCTCCTGGAAGACTACGGGTAGTGAAAACCATCAGTCATGCAACATATAGAGTAGGAGAGCATACTAGAGCTTACTGATCGAAATGAGCATGAGAAATGAAGATGTAATCTGCTTCGTTCACATCATCGACTCCAAGATACTGTGGTAGTACGGCCGGTCTATCTAGCCATGTATCCAAGAAGATAGTGACACCTTTGGCTCTAAGTCGGTAGGTTGTGGCTCCTGGCAGGCTGGAATTAGCAGCGTTTTTGCACGCTTGAGATGACAATCCACTAACCAAACCATTCCAGTGTGGTACGGTCCATTCTGAAATCTCGCGGTGCTCACAAATGCTGAACTCAAAAGATGGCTTGTTTAAGGCTTCGAGACATTCAAATGAAAAGGTCGATGTACCATCGTGGAACAAGAGATGTGAAGGACATCTGAATATAGGTAGTTGGACGTTCGCCGCTGCGGGGCTTCCGGCGGGGTTCCCGCGCTGACAATCCCTGGAGGCAGAAAACCACCCCCAATACGCAGTGCTTGTTATTATTCACTTGTCGGTTCCGGACGTATTTAGGATGCCGAACCACGATTGTACTGCTACTTTAGGCGATGATGTGCATTAGGTCGCGTTCTTAATATACCAATTCTAGTCAGCTGGGCGCAATAGAGCGGCTACATCTAGGTAGAGGTATGTCAACCATTCGAGGCCCTTCCAATTTGTCTAGCGGAGTTCATCCTAGGCTAGTGCCTTAAGATATCAGAGATGCTCCATCTTTCTTTTCTCTGCTTCGGTTGAGCAAAGTCTCGGCTAGACCTCTCGGCAAAAGCGAACTGCCAAAGATAAGACAGAGGCTTCGCATAAACTAAGCATATCACGTAACACAAAATAGAGTACAATTCAAACACTGGAACCCGTTTAATTCTGTTAGGATTCACTAAGACCTGGGGTGTCAACTGACAAGTTGCCAGCAACAGCCCGGTCGACTTTGCTCCCTACCTCACTCGACCCTACGTGGTGGCATCATAAAGACACCCACGTGGGCATAGGGGAAGGGCTCCTCTCAAGCTATGGTAAAAGTTGTTTTATCTGTATAAGAGGCTGTAGAAGGGCAGATTGAAGTGTGTGTCGAAATATATCCCTTCCAGTTGCCCGTAGCGTGGGCAGTTGAGGTCGCCTACCCACGTGAGGCCTGGCGGTCGACAGCCGGCAGCTGGGCGACCATGGAGCCACTTCAACCCGGACTTCCGACTATTGTAACACTTTGCTTGGCAAATCGCCGCGTTTCAAGAGCATGAAGGCTTCTGACAACCCTCGACATACTACTGGCCAGGCTACCTGCCTATTCAAGGTTTTACTTGCATCCGTGAGAAGTGTTAGACCGCTGTTAGGGCCTCTCAAAACGCCAACACCGGTGATATGAACTTCTCCATCTTCCTCTGACATTATCCACTTCTTCACGTCCAACTTTTTCACCAGCTTGTCCAACCTTATTGCGGCTGCTTGGACCCTGGTTGAGGTTCCCGCGAATGGTTGCTCTCTCTGCGGTGGCTCTGGATTGAGATGCACATATGCCCAGATGTAGCACACTGCGACGCATAGGCTTAATGAGTTGTAGCAAGCAAAATACTGCGCGTTTCGAAGCTCTGAAAAAATAACCGTCGCATGCCAGAGACACTTACGGGCTGCGGTACGGTTGTGATGGAAGAACTTTTCGAGGAAAGCTTTAGATCTCGCAATCCCAACCTCGTCAGTTTGCCAACCAGTGAACCTGTAGAGCGTACCCAGTGGAACAAGCCTCAAAATTGCCACCACATGGACGACCAAGTCCAGTGTGTCTCGACTACTCAGGTGGTTATAAACCTGCGTTTCGATATACTCATCGACGAGTAAGCTATCATCAGGACCGTTCTTGACCGGCTTTGGAATACTCGATCCAGACAAGTTCTCATCTACATCCTGCTCTGAAAGCTTCTGACTAGTCAAGATTGACTTCAAGAATTTTGATGAGCGTAAATGACGACTTCGTAGTCTCTCATCTACATAGAGTTCCATCACATGTATTCGCTGAACGAAAGAACCAAACTGTGAAAGAGTCTGGTCTGCTCCGCCTTGTTGTTCATCATTGGCATCACAAAGTGACTGATCTGGAAGTCGTGAGCTACCTAACTAGACAAAAGTAACACATGGGCATCATATACCTGAGTCTTCACAAGTGTTATGTCGCCACTCCTCCGCGCTTAAGCAACGCCAAGCTGCGTCATCGCAAGGCATTTTTTGGATAACGTCAGCTAAATTGAACAGAGGAGGTTGATCCAAAAAGATGAGATTGAGACACGCCAAGGCTGAGAGGAGATTAGCGCTGAATGTATCTTTTGAGCTCTTGTTACACACCGTGAACACAATATACGAGACGGATTTTCTCTTCTCTTGATAGCCAAGCTTGCCATTCATCATAGGTGTTGTTATGATCGACTTCATGTTCAATCATACGATCGTGAGAAGCAAACAACCGTAGAGTGGTGACGAGTATGCTTTTTTCAAACTGTAACATGATGTGATCTCTTTGACCAGAAGAGAAAAATAGTAATACATGACGCAAGAAAAGACTTTGTACTATATCAATATCTGGGCAAGTAGGTCGCGTTCGTATCTACGGAGTATGTGAGTTAAGATTCCAGAGACTCGAAGTAACAAACCTACTTGAATCTCCAAGGCCCTTCTCAACAAATCATGCAGTACTACACTGTACTGTGCTGCGTCTGGGATCTCGGAATATTGGCTTCCGACGCCTGCGATGGCTATAATCAAAACCCATGATTGTTTGTCTCCTCTCATCCTAGTTGAATGGAGAAAGGGGAATGTCGAGTCAAAATATTCCATATACAGTTCTACAAATGCATGGAGAATATCTGTACTTATGAACTGCGGTGAGTCGCAGTCCTGCTGCTGGTTGTAGAACGACCGTATAGCGTCGACTACGTGGCTCGGAATGCCAGAGATATGACCGAATATCTCGGTTTTAGCCACTTGAAGTTGATCTGGTGAAGTGATAGGAAACTTTGGACAATGTTTAATCGTTTGAAACACAACAGGCACGGGGCAACTTAGTTGGTTCGACCTGGAGCCACTGGTGTCTTGAACCGGATTGCTAGTGCCGCTTCGAGATTGATGTTGCGCGTCAGCCAAGGGAGCGATCCTCTCTGTGGTATTCTGCAATTGCCTCATGAGATCGGGATCCTCTATGCCGATATGGCCTTCTTGAAAGATGTCAAGATCCGGCGTCGTTGGGAAGAATGGAAACCCAGCTATCCTCGGTCCTGTCAAGTCGAATATGGAGGATCCATGGATACCTGGTAAGGAGGGAAAACTGCTAGGGGCCAACCAATCACCCACTTCCCAAGCAGTCCCGTTAAGTGCGGAGGAGCTGTCAACTGTTGAACAAATGTCAAACGTCGAAGCGCCCGGGGGGTTAGTGACAGATGCCGGATCTATCAGGTGTCCCATGGAAGATGTAGGAGCATGACCCACTGTCATTGAGTAGTCCTGTAACAATGGCACATGTGAGCTTCGAGGAGGAGATGTAGCTACGTTAGCCATAACATCAGACTGTTGGTGAGAGGCAGAACTCTGATTTGCATCGCTCTTATCACTAGTTGCGTTCGTTGCAACGCTTCGTTGAGTGACTTGTGATTCTGTCCTGCTTGGTTGCTTTGCGTGCGGGTACTCGCAGCGACTGTTCTGCCGGGCGCATCGAGGACATGGAAGGCCGCCATCGCAACGCTGCTTCAATCTAGCACAGCGAATGCATGCCTGCGGCGTGCGTCTGGGGGGATAGTCTGGCAACTCGGAATGTGGGTGATGAGTGCTCCAATGCCGGACCAGTGAATCTCTGTGAAGAGAGCCGTCAGCACGGACTACTTACGTGGAAGGCTGGATGAAGGGCTTTTAGGTTTGTGTATACCTTCGAGGGAACGTCTTCGAACAAGCGACGCAACTAAAAGGCTTCAGGCCTGAATGCCGAAGCATGTGGCGGTTGCGATGCTCTTTACGCCGGAAAACCTCTCCACAATACTCACAAGAGAGAGATTCAGTCCGGGATTGCATGGTGCGGGTGTTAGAGAACACCACGTCTCTCCTTACCCTACACGTGGCACGGGGTCCTACACCACCTGCTTCCCGCCTCTGGCAGATGTCGTGAGTGTAGCTTGGTGATTGCCGGCTTCTGTTTCGGCCAGGCGGTGAATGTTCCGGCAGTTGGGTTCCCCTGAAATCCACTCTTGACGGGTAAGCATGTAGTTGGCAGCTAACTGAAGACAAGGCAAGCTAGGATTCCGGACCTGCACAGTGGCAGTATTGGGAAGCACGGGAAAAAAATGGGGCCGTGCACGAGATGTGCGTCGATCACGGCTCCCCACCACAGCCGTCCCCGCACCCGGAAAAGTCAAGACTAAGAATTCCGCGACGCCAACTCTTGAGACCCGAGACCGCTTACTACTACGGACGTAATACGAACCTATGTATAGGTTGTAAGGTCGAACAGCACTCGACAATCAGTTCGTGATCCACACGAAACAGGTCCACTAGCTTTGACCGCATGAGAAGGCCACTGGCGAGGGCTAATGCTGTGCGGACGACACTTCTGGTACCAAGTCGGCTGGGATATATATTGCCACGTTTTGTATCTGTAAATTACTTGAAAAGATTTGAATCATACAATTTGAATTTCTTTCCTGACCATCGCAAAAAATGTTTTCTCATGCTTTGCTTTCATTTGAGAATCTCGTTACGTGGAAATCTCTGGGCTTCTTGTTACTTGGTGCCTTTTCCTGCTGTTTTCTACGTGTGGTTCACCTCCTTTACTTTCATCCCTTGGCTTCGTTTCGTGGCCCACGCCGAGCGGCCTTGTCGACATGGTGGCTCTACTCAGTCAACAAATCTGGTCGGGCAGCGCAAGTGTTTGAGAAACTGCATCAAAAATACAGTAAGTGTTGTTAGAACCGGTTGCTGGTTGCTCTAACGCCTGGTTTGGCAGACACACGCGCGCTCCGCATTGGACCTAATGAGCTTCATATATCCGATTCTACTCTCTACCACACGCTGTATTCCCAGGATCATGCCTTTGCAAAGCATCCCTACTTCTATGAAGCCTTCATGACGCCACACTCCGTTTTCGTGGAGACTGATCGCAGTCTACATCGCCAAAGACGCAAGATGCTCAACAACTTCTTCTCCAAATCTTCCATCCGCGGAATGCAACACCTCTTGTATGAAAAGGTGAACAATCTCTGCACCATAGTCTCAGGAATGGATAAGAACCACTCTTTAAATATATACAATGCTGTCAGGTGCGAGCCAAGGCCGGTTTGTATTGTATGTTAAAACATGCTGATGTGTCTCAGATGCATGACGATAGATATAATCTCAGACTTAGGCTTTGGTCGTTCTTTTGGACTAACGGACAATGCCAAAGGAAGTCAATTTGAAGCAGAATTTCTGAAAGTCTTTGACATCGCTGCCGATTCTATCTGGGATCTAATTTACTTTCCACTAATTCGGACAGTGCTGAACAAGATGCCACCAGCCTTCATCAATCTGCTAGGAGGCCCAGCTGCACACATGATACGTCTTTCGGAGGTAAAGTTTCACCTGCTACCAAGTTTGTTTTATACACTGTATTTTAACAAACTATTTAGGCCATCCAGGATGTTGTGGCTAGGTTCAGAGCAACGCAGGCTGCGGGGAAGTCGCCCGAACATGAGACCATCTTCGATGGGCTTTCTGAATTGGACGACAGAGAAATGCTAGCAGAAGCAACAGACATTATAATTGCAGGCTCTGATACCACTGCAACTACGCTTGCTGTGGCAGTTCACCAACTCACCTGCAACCCAGATAAATACGACACCCTTAAAACCGAAATCCAACGGGCAAACCTGAAGTCGGCCAGGGATTATGATTTAAAAGATCTTGAGAAACTTTCATATTTGGTGAGTCCTCCGCACATAACATATTCTCCAGGAAAGGAAACTGACCCGGATAGTCTGCATGTGTAAAGGAAGCACTTCGTTTCGCATCAGCTGTGCCTGGCCGTTTGCCTCGTATTGTCCCTCCGCCACAATCCAAAACTGTCCCTCTGATAGTCGATCAGAAAGTTATTCCCCCAGGAGTAGGTATTTTTAAGCGACAGAGAATACTTAACAAAAAGCTAACCAAGCACGCAGACGGTTGTCGGAATGTCCGCATATACGGTACATACTGACAAAGAAATCTGGGGCGACGACGCCCGGGAGTTCAAACCCGAACGTTGGCTCGAGCCCGAGGGGAAACAACTGGAGAAGTATCTTGTCACTTTTTCCAAAGGTGCAAGGCAGTGTTTGGGGATCAAGTAAGTGTCACGTATAGGCAAATATTGAGCAGAGCACTGACAGAACGTAGCTTAGCTTACGCTGAAATCACTCTGGCCTTGGCTATGTTCATGTCTCGGTTCAATTTTGAGAAAGACACCACTTTGAGTAAGGAAGATCTGGAGTTGCGTGATTCCTTCACATTCGGATTTGTTGGTTCAGGTCCATGTGTCAAAGTTTCCTCCGGCTGATATTTGGCTGCCATGGGAGAGAAAGGCGGCACCAAAAGCCGAGGATTTTTTTTAGACGGCTTCTTAACTATAAACCGCACGGATACCGAGCTTAGTTGATGTTTAAGTTTGAAATTGAGAGTCGGTAGAAAGAAAACAGGACTCAAAGATCCATAGAGGGCTCTACTCTGTTTTAAATTGCTCCTCAGCTAGCATATGAAATGCCTTCCGCAATGGAGCTATCATTTTCGTGATAAACGTGATTGGGGGCGTTAGCCTGAACTCCGAACATAGAAAAAGATGCTTCAAAAATCCAGATAAGTATGGGATGCTTGCCCTTACTAGGGTAAGGTGTGTTAACTGATGCGTTGGTTGTAGTTTATGTATTAGGTGGATAGATTTTTTGTATATCGAGAGTAAATCATAAGTTAACTGCAGGGACGTAAGTGTAGGGTTCACAGGGGGTGAAACGGAATTCCGTTCGTCAATAACAAATAACAGTAAATTGGTTCTAATCGATGGTTCATGATAGTTGAAAGTGGTGTTGTTGACTAGAAGGTGGGGATATTCCCCCTTGGCCTGTCACGTGGGTCTGGGAGGCTTGGGCCTCTCAGCCTGGCGGGCGTGTGGCTGGAAGTGCTACACGACTCCGTATTCCAACTATCGCAACACTGGAAACTCTCTTTTTATAGTGTTGAAGCGGTTGGAATACGTTATCCCTATATAGTTCCGTCTCCTCGTTAATTCGGCCTCCTATCCCTACTTTCTCCCGTAGTTACGGTCTTGTTACCTATCCCTCTATACGTATCGTTATCGTGTTGCTATCAACGAATCTCTCGAGGGCTCGATTTGGTTTGCTCTTCGTAAGGGCATTAGCAGGGTTGTCTTCGCTATTAATCTAACGAATTTCTTATAGTTCTCGTCTTTCGTACGATTGTCTTAACGCTATAATATCGATTATAAGTCGCTTTTCTTTAGTAGTACCTAGCTTTACGAGACACTCGTATAGCGAATAAGAATTAGTATAGACAACTATCTAAATCGTTAGTAGGTTAAGGTAGTTAGTAATTATCGCTAGGGTTATAGCAAAAGCGTAGGCTATATCGACGCTAGCAACTATCCCGTAGATCTCTAACGCTAATACGCTATAAGTAACTTATTTACTTTTTATAAAGCTATAATAAACGAGGTTATTATAAATCGTAAATTCTCCGTTATTACTATTAGAGGAAGTATCGTTAGCTAGGATAATTAGAAACCCTAATTAGGAGGAAAGGTCGTAGTTATTAGCAAACGACTTATTAACGAAAACGAATAGCTTAGCTATTATAAGGTCGAGTAGGATAAACGTTATTCCTCGGTTAGGCGATTCTATTTACTATCGAATCCGTTGATTTAGTACTTTTATCGCTTCTAGCAAGGGGTCTTAGTATTAGGCAGTAGTAGATAAATCGAAATAAGCCTTAGGTTAGCAAATTAACGCGATATACGCCTTTCTAGCGCGTTGTTCGATATATTACTATTTTAGGTTAGGTTTAGTAGTCTTAATATATCGTAACTTCTTAGCTTATCCTTTTTGCTTTAAATTAATCGAATTATTAGTTAACAGCGCGATTATCCCTCTATTAAATTAGAAGGGTTTGTTAATTATAAGGATATTCTTCGCTTTTGCTATAAAAGCTGCTTTTTCTAACTATTCGTCTTCTAATTATAAGAACGCCTTGTCTAACAAACCGAAGGTATCGTCGGTTTATATACCGATATAGCTAAAGTATAGATTTTCGGTAGATAAGATTAATAGGCATAGATCGTACGAAGAAGTAACTATCTAGAGATTCTCTCTATAATGCTTATAATACGTTGCCTACTAGTAGGTTCTAGCTTCTACGATTCCGTATAAAGGCTTTATAACCTTTATAATAGTCCTTTTAAGTACTAGTGTTAGAAGTATAAGTATATTATACTTCTATTTTACTTATTTATCCTATTTAGTCTTATCTAAGACTTAGTAGGACTTACAAAAGTAACTAGCTAAGAATGGCTGCTTGCTAGTTTAAACATATGATATTCAGATCCCTATGGAATACTCTCTTTAACCTTATCTAAAAGTCTATTTAGTTAAAGAAGATTCTAGTCTGATTTATAAGCTGCTTTATAAGCTAGTTGACGTATATACTTACGTATACTAAACCTAGCTTATAGCTTCCTATATTAGCTATTATAGGCGACGTTATACTACTATATAACTAGCCTAATTCTCTCCCTTAGCTAGCTATTAGTTCCTCAACCAACTCAGCTTCAATATAAGCCTATACATTCTTTACTATTAAAGCCCTACTTCATAAGTACAAGTTCCCTTACTCTAATACCCTGTTATAAGGATATCGTACTATCTACGAGATTCCTACCTACCGTTCCAACAACTAGTCTTGAATTTGCTTCGGTAGGTAGGCGAGAATAGTATGATTAAGCCTTATAGAGGATTAAACGTAGGCTTATATAATATCTTAAAGCTATAGTTATTTCCCTTCTCGTAGGAGTAATAAGGTAATTAATAGAATTAGCCGTTAACTTGCCTGCTAAATCGTTAGCAATTAGGTTAATATAGCCTTCTTACTATCGTCGGCATAACCTTATATTATAAGTCTCGATTTCTCGTAGGGTTTGGTTGTTTTACCCTTGACTTCGTTAACGATACGAGATCGGAAGATTCATACGTTCTAGTACCTTTTCTTATTAAACTAAGTAAATTTAAATACTCTTCTAGCGATAAGGCTGTTAATCTCTTATTTAGTTAACTATTCAAACGGTTTGCCTAGTATAGTAATAATACCTTCTCGTCGTAGTTTGATTACTAATTCTTCGTCTACTTACTCCTTAATCGATAGGAATATTTATTAATAATCCGGATTATCGTTAAATTCCTTTATAAAGTAAGCGATTAGTAGTAGTCTCTTCCGGGGTCTACCTAGGCGTCTTCTCGGTAGCTCCGGTGCCTCTTGCGGTTCGTCCGGTTTACTACCTCCGCCGGCGACGATAATTTCGTCGCATACTACTTCCTACTATAGTATCTTAGCTTCGGGTTCTTCTTCTTCTAGCGCGGCAATGGAATTAAGTAGTTAATTAAGATCTTCGTAGTATAGTTTAACTATAGTAGACTAGAAGGTCTTTAGACTATATAGCGTATCGATAGTATAGGTTTTGCTATTTATAGCTACTAAAGTAAACAGTCTGGTCTAGCCTTTCTTTTCGCGCTATACTCATACTTACGACCGTAGTAGTAAATTAATAATTAGCTTTATATCAAGGCTATTACGGGTAGCGATAGCTTCTACTACCTGTCGCCTTGCGTAAAGTTTATATACTTCGCTTATCGCCTTCTTAATCGCTTTCGCCTGCCTTATAACTTCGGGAGATAGTAGCAAATCGTTAGTAATTCGTAAGTATAAGCCGAATACTAAGAGTATTAGTACTATTCCGTTCGGGCTAGTAGTATCGTTAACTGCTTTGACTACTATTTAAAGTACTGATTCTAGCGTAATTATTAAGTCTTCTACTTTAATAATTTCGTACGCCTTCCTTAGAGGTATATAGTATCGTTTAACTTTCTTAATACTATTATAGGCTTCTATAGGAATTTCCTTGATTTTAATTACTATTCTTCTCGCCGCGTTTCGGAATTTTGTTAAGTAGAAGTTTATTCTAGCGTTAGTAACTAGCTAGTCTAGGGGTCCTTAATATATATCTATCTAGCAGAGGCGTAAGGCTTCCTAAGTAGCTTTCGTAGAAATATCCTTAAGGAACCGGGTAGCGTTAAACGCTATAGCGGTATCGACGACGTAGAAGACTAGTCTATTACCTTCAAGGTATATTACGTCGGCGATAACCTCGTAGTTAAATTCGTAATCGTCTCGTAACGTAAATTTAAACCGTAATAGCGCTAGTATATATATTTAGTATCGATAGCAGACTTTCGATAGTTGCTTAATTACCGTAATTTCAACTAGGTAGCTAGCCTTCTAAAGCACCTTATATAATCGTTAAACAGATAGGTATCCGAAGCGACGGTAAACCCGTCGCAATTTAGCGTCTATAAGGTAGTTCTAGGCAAGTAGTTTCTCCTTATCGAGTAATAACTATAGGTAGCCTTATTTGCGAATAATAGGTACGACCTTATTTCCTTAGATAAAGGTATTCGTAACGTTATTAAAGTAGACCTTTAATCGGTCTATATCTCCTAGGCATATAAGGAAGGGAGTATTAGTCTTAATAATATAAAATTTAACGCTTCTAAACAGCGTTAGCACTTTAGTAGTCCTTATAGACTTTAGTAGTATCTTATCGCCGAATTTTACTATAACGCCGCTAGCCGCCTTAGTATTTAACGTAATTCCTTTATAAATTTGTTATAAGGCTACGAATTATAGGTAGCTAGCGGTTAAGAATCCTGCTACGCCCGAGTCGGGCATGATCCCTTAGAAGTTCTAGGCAGAGTAGCGTCCCTCGAGTATAAATTGCGAAGGTAGCTCTTTCGGTTCTAGTTAGTTGCGGAAGAGGTCTTCTTTCGTAATAGCATAGCGGGTTGACTAGTCTGCTAGGATCGTAGCGATCTTATTGCTATTAATTGCTATTATAGTAAAATAGGCGGTAACTTAGAATTGACTATCGCTACTAGTCTCTTCCTCTTCGTTACCTTTACTAGTTTATTTAGTTACGTAGTAGTATTGCTAGGGGTCTTCGGCGGTAGGTTATAAGTCTAACCTATCGAAACCCTTATATTAGACGAGAAATTAGCTATATGCTAGAAGTAATATATCCTAGGCATATTAGGTAGTTTTAAACTTCTCGTATGCTTTTCGTCTCTCTTCTATAGTATATTTAGTTAACTAGCAGTTAGGTTTTCTATATACGTAGTACTTCTTAGGCGTTAGTAGTAATAAGGGTTTGTTACGGCTTCTTCCTCGTAATAATCGACTTCGTAATAAACGACTATATCGTAAATAACGCCTTCGACCGTTAAA